TTGAAAGATACCTTAGCCGGTGCTCAACACGGAAAAAAAAAAAAAAAAAAAAAAAAAAAAGGAAAGACCGTGTCATGTCAAGAACTGACCCCATACTCGCAAAGGAAGGTGCCGCAAGTCCGACAAAACTCGCGCACCACACCGTTATCCTGCGTGTATTGCCTCGGCACGCCCTTGGTGTAGGAGTACGACTCGACCGGCACCTTGGTGGTGAGCCCGTGGTCGGTGCCGAAGGCGCGTTTGCAGCTCGAGCAGTGGCAGAGCGACGTCCGCGCTTCGTCGGCCGAGCCGAGCGATACGGTGTACTGCACTTCGTCGCACGCGCAACGGCCTTTCATCAGTGGCATCGGCATCGTTCCGTGGGAGGAAGAAGATATTTGGGCCTGTTGCCAAGTCGTCGCGGTGGTGGCACCGGTGAGATGCTGGAGACGTCTAGGGCCAGCGAGGCTGGGTGCTGGCAAAAATGACCGGTAGGTTGCCCGATGATATACCTTCATACCATGGACCTCGTGATTTCTACATGTACAAACGGGAAGGCCGTTGGAACCGTTCGGTGGTGTCGTAGAATCGTATGGTGTTTGTTGTGTTACTGTGTACCTTATGTATGCGTGGGCAGCTGCATGTGGTGACGATGGGAGAGGAGGGGAGGCGGCCCGGGAGGGTTCCCGAAAGGGATGAGGGATGATGACTTGGCTCTGACGTCAATCATGCCCTCCCATCATCCATCACCATCTTCCACCCCTTCGCCATGTCGACGGGACACAGACCGCAGGAAGTCTTAGGTCAGATCTCAGAAACTCGACAAAGGCCGTCTCGATGCAAAGCGACAAGGCGGCGTGTACGATAGCCTCCGTCGTCTCTGCAGCGACAGAGGTGGGCCGTACATCGGCCACCACCTCGAGCATTCCGAGTCCCTTGGACTTGTTGTGGAACCCGGCCAAATCGCGGATCCAAGAGACGCTGTCGTGCTTGATGTGACACAGGAGGCGGAAGTCGGAGACTTCCAGGGGTCGCGGTGGCTCTGGCTTCCATGACGGCACAGACTCCCGGTGAGAATCAAGGGCGGGCGGCGGCGGGAGGTCTCCTTCGACGGTGATGCGTAGATGCCTGAGATTCGGGAGGTCGTCCTGGAGGTGCCGGCACATATGGGACCAGTCGATCGGATCACTGCCGCTGCCGGGCCAGCGGACGGCGCTCTGCTTGCGCACAGCGATGGAACGGACCAGTTCACGAGTGGGTGGCGTCAGGTCGCCGAGAAACGGATCAACGGCTTCGATGTCCGTGTCGAAGCTGAAAGTGTGCCGGCCGTACAGGAACCACGAGGCTTCGGAGTGGAGGAGACGGTTTGTGGCCATGAAGGCCGTGTGCATCTCGGCGTTGCACGCGAGGGCGTAGGTCATGTAATAGCATCGTCTGCGGAGGGAGGGCTCAATGATACGGTAGGAGGAGCGTCGTTTTTTGGACCGTGCTATTTGTTGCCCCTGTCCTAGAGGCAGATGACGTATTTCGAGATTCCGGTTGCCGCAGTCATCGAGTAGGTATTCGTAAATGAGCATGCGAATATCGAGCGGAATGCGCAACAGCGGCGGCAATGGGGACTTTTCCGCCATGTTCGATGTTAGGCTGTAATGGTGAGTCCTTGGGGAGATGGAGAGAGAACAAAGTAAAGGAAAAAAAAACCCCAGTGGTCACTCATGCAGTGGACAAGACGCAGCTACCATTGAACCCCGTTCCCCCGTTCCAATATGCCCTTACGGATCGACACTTAGAGAGTAGATCGATGGTACGGAGCACGTGTAGTTGCCCCCCTTGGCTCACTCACCCAAGACTGCCATGGATTAACAACCAAAGAGTTCCAGGCAACTAGGACGTATCATCCCCAGGCAAATCGAAATAATCTCCATTCTCCCTTCATAACCCTCTTATGCTCTGGAAGCGTGGTACTGCTGGTAAGATGTCAGTTCACAGAGCCCAATGTCGCATCGTAGGAGTACGGAGAAATTAGTACCTAATTAGTAAGGTACCTTGCTCTCGTGACTGCACGGGGTATCGGTGTACATCCCTTAGTCAGACGCACACAGTATCACCACGTGACTTCAATCGGGCCAATCAAACGTCATCCCCCGACTTGCGGCGTGGGGAGAGCACGCACCCCCCGTCTCCATGCGTCTCCATCCATCTCCATCAAAGCAACAAGCAGGCAAAGCCCCACACCTTCCTACGTGATACCCTTGGTCCAGCCCTTCCAACACCATCCATCGCCATCCTCGAGCTTACCCAGACCCGTTCGCAACGCCTAGCCAGGCACTTTTCATCTGAGAGTTGCTTACCTCCGAACCAATTGCCCCTCTGACCTATTTCCGGGGCCGTCCCCCGTTCTCCATGCCCGTTTGCTTGATTACTGCTTCCTCCCCTCTACCTCTACCTCTACCTCTGCCTCTACCTCTACCGCCAACCTGAGCTTCCCGCAGCAACCACTTCCCCCCCTCCTCCCTAGAACGCCCAGCTGGCCTCTCGACGCGTCACGGCCATGTCTGCGACACCCGCGCCGCCGGAGGACCAGGCCCGTCTGCTGGAAGATGCGCTGATTGCCGTCCGCCAGCAGACGGCTCTCATGCGGCGATGTCTCGACACCCCGGGTAAACTGATGGATGCTCTGAAGTGCTGGTGCGTCGTCCCCTTCTTCCCGTGACACTGAATTCTTCAACGCACACTGCAAAAACCCCATACAGTTCCCGTGTCTGTGTCTGCTGTGCTTTCTTAGAACCCAATCCCTCCATAAGCTGACCCGTATTCTCGCGACTTTCCACAGCTCTACACTCGTCTCCGAGCTCCGCACCAGCAGCCTTGGCCCGAAACAATACTACGAGCTCTACATGGCGGTGTTCGATGCCCTACGCTACCTCTCCGTCCACCTCCGCGAGAATCACCCGGTAAACCACCTAGCAGACCTCTACGAACTCGTCCAATATGCCGGAAACATCATCCCTCGTCTCTATCTCATGATCACCGTCGGCACCGCCTACATGTCCATCGAAGATGCCCCGGTGAAGGAACTCATGAAGGATATGATGGACATGAGCCGCGGCGTCCAGCATCCCGTTCGTGGCCTCTTTCTCCGATATTACCTATCCGGCCAGGCCAGGGACTACCTACCCACCGGCGACGGCGACGGTCCCGAGGGCAACCTGTCCGACTCGATCAACTTCATCCTCACCAACTTCGTCGAGATGAACAAGCTCTGGGTGCGCCTGCAACACCAAGGCCACTCCCGCGAGAGAGAGCAGAGGATCAAGGAGCGGAAGGAGCTCCAGCTCCTCGTGGGCAGCAACATCGTCCGCCTCAGCCAGCTCGTCGACCTCGAGACCTACAAGACCAGCATCCTCGGCCCGCTCCTCGAGCAGGTCGTGCAGTGCCGCGATGTGCTCGCGCAGGAGTACCTGCTCGAGGTCATCACCCAGGTGTTCCCCGACGAGTTCCATCTCCACACGCTCGACCAGTTCCTCGGCGCTGTGTCGCGCCTGAACCCCCACGTCAACGTGAAGGCCATCGTCATCGGCCTGATGGATAGGCTGTCGGACTATGCCGAGAGGGAAGCTGCCAACAATGGCGCCGACGAGGACAGGGAAAGAATCGAGAGGGAGGCCTTGGCCAAGCTGCTCGAGCAGGTCAAGCTCAAGGCAGAAGAAGCATCCGAGCAACCTGCCCCCGAGCCGCCGACGGACGACGACGCCCAAGCGGATGATACCAGCGACCCGCACCCGTCCGGTGCCAACGGCGAAGGACACCAACACCACCCCGGCGAGGACAAGGACGGGCGCAGAGGTGAGGAGGATCAGGTCACACAATCAGGGCAATCGGCGACGGCTGGCGAGTCCGACGACGCATCAAAGGCACAGCCCGACACGACTACTACGGCGAATGGGTCCGAGTCTGCCGCGACCGAGGAGAAAAAGGAAGAGAAGACGGCACAGAAGGGCATCCCGCAAGACGTCCAGCTCTACGAGATCTTCTTCAGCCAGGTCAAAAACCTGGTCGAAGTGCAACACCTTCCCGTGCCAGACACCATGGCCTTGCTGCATTCCCTGACCAACTTGGCCCTCAACATCTACCCCGACCGGCTCGACTTTGTCAACCAGATCCTCGAGTACGCCGCCTCCAAGGTCCGGGACAACGCCAACAACGCCGACCTCCACTCGCCCGCGTCGCAGCAGAGCCTGCTGGCCCTCCTCCAAGCCCCCGTCAAGCGCTATGTCTCGCTCTTCACCGCCCTCTCCCTCCCCGCCTACGTCCCGCTCTTCCAGTCCCAGCCCTACCCGACCCGCCGGGCCGTTGCCGGCGAGGTGGCGCGGAACCTCCTGCGAAACCGGACGAGGATATCGACGCCGACGCAGCTCGAGAACGTGCTCGAGGTTCTCAAGGTCCTCATCCGGGAGGGCTCCCAACCACCGACCAACTACCCCGGCGTCACGCAGCGGAGGCCCATCGAGACGGACGAGACCATCGAAGAGCAAGGCTGGCTGGCGCGGATCATTCACCTCATCGACGGCAAGGACAACGACACGCAGCTCAAACTGCTCCAGATGACGCGCAAGGCCTACTCGGAGGGCAACGAGCGGATCCGCACGACCACGTCGCCCCTCGTCACGGCGTGCATGAAGCTGGCGCGGCGCTTCAAGGCGCGAGAACACTACGAGGACAACTGGGAAACCCAGAGCAACGCGCTGTACAAGTTCATGCACTCGGCCATCAGCGCGCTCTACGCCCGTGTCGGCGGGCCCGGCGCCGCCGACCTGGCCCTCCGGCTCTTCTGCGCCTCCGGGCAGACGGCGGACCAGACGGGGTTCGAGGAGGTGGCGTACGAGTTTTTCGCCCAGGCCTTCACCGTGTACGAGGAGTCCGTGTCGGATTCCAAGGCGCAGTTCCAGGCCGTCTGCGTCATCGCTTCGGCGCTCCACCAGACGCGCCACTTTGGCAAGGAGAATTACGACACTCTCATCACCAAGTGCGCGCAGCACGGGAGCAAGCTGTTGAGGAAGCCGGATCAGTGTCGCGCTGTCTACCTCGCGAGCCATTTGTGGTGGGCGATGCCTCTTGCTGCTAATGGGGAGACTGAAGAGACGGAGGTGCGTTTCCTTTTTTTCTTCCTTTTTTTCCCTTCCCCCCCCCCTTTTTTTGGTCCCTTTCTTCTTGTTTTTCCCTCATCAATCACAGCATGCTCACCACATCTCCTTCTAGCTCTACCGCGATGGAAAGCGCGTTCTCGAGTGTCTCCAGCGAGCCCTCCGTGTAGCCGACTCGTGCATGGAGACGGCGGCGTCCATTGAGCTCTTTGTCGAGATTCTGGACCGCTACGTATACTATTTTGACCAGCAGAACGAGGCTGTGAGTCCCTTTTTTTCTTCTTCTTTTTTTCTTCCTTCTTTCAGTAAGCTTCTTACGCAGACGGCTAACCAGTGGAAAAAGGTCACGACGAAATACCTCAACGGCCTCATCGAGCTCATCCACTCCAACCTGGCCGGTAATCAGCAGGACTCGGCGTCGGTCGAGAATAGCAAGCGCCATTTCCACTCGACGCTCGAGAACATTCGGAGTCGGCAGTACGAAGGCGTCGTGCTTTACCCTAAATAGAGCGTCCGGCCTGTCATGCGTGAGCACCAGCATCATGTGGCTGGTGCCGTGAGAGGTTGAGAATGATGCTGTGAGTGAAGGGGACTTTGATTTGGGACGACGACCGCATTTGCAGACCTACAGACAGAGGCAGAGACCGAACGAGAGAGGAAGAGAGAGAGGACGTTAGGAGGAGGAGATATCCGTCCTTAATTCACTTGTCCCTAGATTTTGTTTTATTGTTTTCTTCTTTTCTTTTTCTTCTGTTCCGTCACCCGACGACACGGGGCAGGGACAGCCAGGGCAAAGGTTGATCGATGCCCAGCGCATCGCATTGTAAACTCATGTACAGACTTTATGCAGCTGATTCCTAGTAAAGCGACCGATTTTTATTTACCTCTTCTTGAATCGCGACGTGAGGACACTGCAGCCGGACTATCAGACGAGGTTGTGAGTTGCATGAATCAAGTCGAGAATCGAACAAAAGAAATAAAAGGAAGAAATATACATGAGGTTTCTAAAACTCCGTTGCAATGCCTCGCGAATGGAGATTCAGAGAAAGAGAGGCCGCGTATCCATCGCAAAATCGCCTCCAGTCATATTTGGTTTCTCCGAGTTCGGGGCATGGCCTTATAAGACCTTGACTTTCTCTTCCTCCCTCGCTGTTCATGGTAGGGCAAGGACGCCAGTACACGCGAGAGAGGTAATAGCCTGGTGTCCCCGTGAATAATGGAATGTCAAGGGAAGAGAAAAACCCCGGAGAGGATATATAAAAAAGAGAATTTTAAAAGGAAAATAAAAAGAATGCCGGTCGAGTATACCGGTCGACGTAGTATCATGCTCGCTCATCAGCGCATGTAATTGCATCCTCTTCTCGACGTACAATCCCTCATCATGTCTCCCCCTCCCTTGTTGCCTGGCCTTCACGGCTGGAGCGGCGCTCATATGTCCTCAGTGTCGATGAGCACTCTCGCCGCATCCCGGAGAAGGCTGGCAGTCTTGAGAACGATCTTGTTCGCAAGATCCCAGTCGCCTCCCTCAATGGCGTCGCGGATGGCGGGGAAGGTGGTGTTGTAGCCCGCCCATTCTCGGGGGCCGAAGACGACGTGTTTGAACTGTGTGCGGTTGGGGATCTAAGAAAAGAAAAGAAAAGAAAAGAATTAGCAAATCTTGCGAAAGAACGGGCAGCGTCGGGCGTGAGAGGGAGAGGGAGGGGGAGAGGGAGAGAAAGGATTACCCCGCCATCCTTTTCCAAATCCAACAAGGCCGTCTCGAAAAGCGCCATCCTATCGTTGTAGTTGAGGCGCTGGCTGTTCAAGGAGGCCGACTCCCACCCGCCGCTGGATATGACCATGCTGTCCCAGGCGTGCTCCCAGGTCGAGTAGGTCTTGGCCGCCGACTTGATCTCGTGGACCGCAATGCTCAGCTGGTCGAGCGCGAACTTCTCCTCCCCGCCCGCGTCCTCGGCCGTGGCCTTGACCTTGCCCTTCGCCCAGGCGACGAGGTCCTCGACCCAGCCGTCGAGGCGGTCGGCGTACCCGACCAGGTCGAAGGGCAGGATCGGCCGGTCGGCCAGCTCAAGCACCAGCAGGGCGACGACCTCGGCCATGAGGCCGTGGTAGACGAAGGACGGGTCGCCGACGCGCTTGGCCCAGTCGTAGGTGTCGTAGTTGGAGTGGCCCGGGTAGCGCGGCGGGCCGCGGAAGCTGAGGTCGATGGAACTCGTGCCGGCCATGTCCTGGAAGGCGGCGAAGTCCCCCGCCGCGGCCGGGGTTTCGACTTGGCCCCGCCGCTCCTCCCAGAGGTGGCGCAGCGACTCGTTGCGGACCGGGTCGTGGACGCGGTCCAGGACGCGGTGCAGGGTCTGGCGGAAGACGGGCGAGCCGGCGGCGTGGAAGTGGGTGCCGGCGACGGCGGCCTCGAGGTTGACGTAGGCGTAGGCGTTGCGGCGCAGGGCGTCGAGGTTGGCTTCGACGAATTCGGTCGAGCCGACGAGGTTGTAGGCCCCGCCGTCCCACGACATGAACTCGATGGACCGCAGGGGTCGCCAGCCCTTGCCGAGGAGGATGCCGAGGATGCGGGCCACCTCGAGCATGACGGCGGTGCCGCTGTGGGGGTCGGTGGCGCCGAAGCCCCAGGCGTCGCGCTGGTTGCCGACGATGACGGACTTTTCCGTCTGCTCCACGCCTTCGATCTTCCCGTAGACGTTCCAGATGGGCTGCTTTTCCACCTCGTCCTGCTCGTTCTTGAGGCGGACGACGGGCGAGGACGAGGACCCGGCGTCGCCGGTCCACCACTCCGAGACGTCGGGGACGCCGCCCTTCCACGCATCGGGGACCTTCTTGCCGTGGCCCTTGAGGTGCTTCAGGAGAACTTGCGCATCGCCCCAGGACAGGGGCAGACTCGGGATGTGGTTCAGACCGGGGGACTGGTCGACCTTCATGCGCGGCAGACCGTCCTTGCTTTCCCAGCCGGGGGTCAAGACGTCGCCGAGGACCCAGTTTGTCAGGCTGACCGAGTTCCGCTGCACGCCGTCCTTGGGCATGTATCGGCCATCGGGGGCCACGTCGTCCAGGTCGGAGCCTTCGTCGAGCGGATCGCTGTAGATGAGGCAGCCCGCGAAGCCGGCCAGCTCGGCGGCCCTGACCTTGAGCGCCGGGTCGGTCTGGGAGCCGTAGTGCCGCACCAGGGCGATGGCGCCCTCCGTCTTGATGCCCCTCTCCTTGAGCTCTTGGAAATCCTGCCGCGATCCGTAGTTGGCGTAGACCAACGGGCCCTTGACGTCGCCCGCCTTGGAATGACCGTGGAAAGCGTATGTCTGTCGACCGGCGACTTGCTCCGCCCTCGCGTGCTCTTCCAGCTTGGCCGTCCAGGAAGCCTTCCCGTCTTTGTCGAGGATCTGGACGGCGCGTCCGTCCTTTTTGGGGTAGTTCAGGTACACGTAGTACTCGTCGACGTGCACGGTGTCCAGCCCGGTCCTGGTCAGCATGTGTTCCATGTCCGAGGCCAGGGAATAATCGCCCTCGGTACCGGCGAGGTGGGCGTAGCTGGTGAAGTGCTTGACGGTGGTGGCCATGCTCGCCGGGTCGACGTGACCTTGCACCCACGACCGCACGTCCTCGGGATCGAATCGGAAACCGGTGCCCATCCGCCTCGCCATTCTCGAAAAGACATCGCTGACGAAGACGAGGTAGAGGAAGGACAGGATGACGAAGACGGCGAAGATGCGGACCAGTAGGAGGATCACCTGCTTGCGGGACGCGCCCTGGAACCTGGGCCAGGGGAACCGCCACCGCCGCGATGTGTTGTTTTCTGTGCTACTCTCGTTCCCTTGGGTCGAGCTCGGGGTCGTCGTCGTCGTCGTCGTCGTAGGTGGTCCCGAGGGGAGCACGATGGTCGGCCTCAGGCGAGGTAGGCGCCAGCGCCAGGACCATTTCCAGCGAGGCAGCGATAGCGAGAAGGGTATCCGTTTGCCCCATAACGACGTTCTCGAACCGTGGTCTGGCTCTCCTATGTCCAGCTCTTGCATCTCCCGCCGCACGTAAGCGGTCTCGTGGCCTCCGTCATCGTCGCTCTCGAAAAGGCCGTCTTCGTCGTCGCTCTCGACCGTGGGGGGGCGGTAGCCGTTCGGGCGGCGCGAGGAGGACGGCGCACCATGATTACGGGAGGTTAATAAGGATTGTGATTCGGTCTCGTGTGGTGATGGATCGTGGGCATCGGCGATGGCTTCTTCGTAGGTCGGGATGGGTGGCACGGCATCGTACCGATGATCGCGGTCGGTAGGCATGGCGAGACGGCTCGCCAAGGTCTGTGGTCGTCGGGTGGAGGAAAAGCACAGATGTCAAGGGGCGACATTCATGAAATGACAAGACGTAGGTCGGGAATTGATACTTAAAGAATGTAGAATCGCTTGCTGGGAGAGGGTAAAGGAAATAGGGGGGGAAAAAGATTAGGGAAAATCCTCAGAGGCAACAATGATTGTCGGAAGAAAATCTATAAGAGAACGGCAACAGAAGTACCCATCCAACCCGGTAAAGGTAAAGCAGACATTGACGAAGCGTCACAAAGCGGCCTGGGGTTCGTTTTCTTGGAGTTGGGGGGGGAATAATATGGAAGGAGCGAAATGAAGTCGAGGATCCCGCACAGATGCAGGATTCGATGTTGGATCTGGAGGTTGCGGAAGTTGCGTGTCCCTGGGGGTCCGCCCCACTTTGTCACTTTGTCCGGGGAAGAGCTTAGTCATGATTCTGATTAGTCATGTACCGGGTGGAGATTGCGGAGTTACTTCTCCAACCATCACCTCAAGTTCCCGACCGCTAGCTCGAAGGAGAAGTGTTTGAGAGCCAAGAAAGACTGGCAACTGCTCAAGGAGTGTTCCGAGATTTGGATGCCATGTTTCGCCTTGTCTACATTGTCTACATCGCTCAGGTATCGACATTGTCACACGTAGATTGTCGTTCTTGGTCATCGTTGGAGAGGTCATGTGACCTGTCACCTGCCCTCGGGCTAAGAAACTATGCGAATTGTCAGAACAATCGGGTCAAGGTACCGCGGAATTGTCCATGTCCCATTCTTCTAGACTTGAGGGTACAAGTCTAGGGCGCTATTTATACTACGCTATGGGTGCGGAGTGGCCCGTGCCAAGTAGCGGAGGTCGCCGGCCATGTACGATGTGTCCTGCGGCTGTACCCAACGACCTCCTTGATGTAACCCTCCGTTAGGTGGAAGTCCAGCACGCCACAGCGTGCAACTCCTTCCACTGCCTATTATGATAGGGCCTTACTAGGGAGCCAGTACAGATGACTATTTTGCCAGTAAAACGGTGGGGCCCGCCAATGCATATCATGCTTAGCGGGCCCCACCGTTTTACTGGCAAAATAGTCATCTGTACTGGCTCCCTAGTAAGGCCCTTATGATACTATCACCAGTTAACCCTTAATTTTCCCCTCAATCAACAACCTTCCACCGACCACGTTATTCATCTCTATTCATACAGCATCGCGTTTATAGGCCTTGTCGGCCTTGTCGTTTTTTATGCTTTCCTGAAAAGCCAACGGAGAAACCTCGTCACTCACACCCTCGGACCTCGTGGGGAAGCTTCGCTCTGCAGAGACGCCTGATGCCATCGCATGCTTCTATATCTATAATCGACGTTGCCAAAGCGGCCAACATGGTCGGCACGCGCTCCCGAGCCTCCGTAGCGGACGGGGACAACCACGCTGGCGACACTGTCATGGATGAAGCTGGAATGCAAACAACAGTCTTTGACCCACTTGGCGACCTCCGTTTGAGATGTGGCGCTGAGCTTGGGTCTGCTGTCCAAGACTTCGTCGTCTGCTCCCGGTCTTTGGCGCGAGCCTCGCCTGTGCTGCGTGTGCTGACCTATGGTCCTTTCGCCGAGTCGAGGGCCAACCAGTCCTCGGCTTCGCCCGACAAGGACAACGAATGGGTCATCGATCTCCCCGAAGACGACCCGAAACCCTTCCGGGACATCCTCAACATCGTTCACGGAAGGTTCAATCTCGTCCCGCGCCGACTCTCTTTGGCCGCATTGTACGATGTTTTGGCCCTCACCCACAAATATGACATGTCGGCTGTCATCAAGCCATGGTCTGATGGGTGGTACCAGAATGTCGATACAGAACCCAACGCCAACGACCCCAGACTACTACTTGTGGCGCGCGAGTTGGGTGCCACCCAGCGTTTCGCCTCGTTGGTGCGCGAATGGGCCATAAAAAGCCATCTGAATGCTGCCGGCGAGGTTGTGATGGAGGACGGCCAAGGCTGTAACTTGCTGTCTTACAAATACCTCAAGCCCGAAACCGCAGCAGGTATGTCTGTGTCTCTCCAGCCGCACCATGAGCGCAATCCCCCTCCCATTCCTAACGCGCTGCAGACACTATCCGCAAGCGCAGAGAAGAACTTGTGCAATATATTCTCGGGTGTTGGAATGATACAGCGGACAAACTCTTGGCGGCGAACTACCTCGCTGATTGCCGCGCCGAGTACACCTACTTGTACGGACTGATGATGAGAGCAGCGAAGGAACACAAAGCAGGAAAATCTCTACTCTCCGTACCGGCGCGGGAATGGCCTCTATCTGTTTCTGATCTACAGGCGTTTATCCATTCCCTGACGCAGTCAGACGAGTATACCAAAAAACTTAATTCTTACCACAGCCTTTTTTCCGGTTCGCCCAATCTCATTGCAAACATGAAGACAGCGGTATGTCAGCTCCTTCTTATCCACGACTTGCTCCTTTTGAGCTAAACAGCCCCTTAAAAGGTCGAAAGCACGTTAAATGGAACCACGGCCACGCCCGCGCATCCGTACTGGCGATAGTTATCTGTCATACCAGAGCGGACAGACGCTACTAAGGGGTCACTGGTGTTAAAACAGCCTTACTAGGTCGTACAAGGGTGCTAGCATGTTCGTTCTGTTATGATATCGATGGAATTTAGTGTGGTTCAATGTTGTGAATAGGGGAATATTCCTTGCAGAGCTTCATACGATAGGGGGAGCCCTTCCAGGTGTACCTTATAGCTCGGCCTTTTCCTCGGCCTGACCATGATGGCTCCTACTCGGGCCTCCTCCCCTCGACTAGCACACTGCAACTCCTCTCCTGTGTGGAAATGGGGACGTCCAAGCCGGGATTTGCAGTGAAAAAGTTCACCGGCTTAAGCCCAACAACCATCTTCTCACAAGGCATAACGGGCCAATCCTCGATACGCGGGTTATGCGTCGACCCAAACGTATGCCACAGCACGATATCCCGGTCTCGCACTGCACTCTCTTCCCCGTCCCCCTTCCGCGCCCTCTCCTGAATCCATGAGGCGATGCCCTCCCCGCCGAGCGACTGCATGGTATGCCGGCCGGCCGGGAACAGCTCGTCGTCGCGGTACCGCGTCACCCACACGGCGTGCGTCGCGTACTCCGCCCGGCGGGCATGGTAGGACGACGGATGCGCGAGCAACATCTGGCTGTAGCAGGGAAGGAGCTTGACGCCGATGGGCGTCCCCGTGACGGGGTTCCGCCGCGCCTCGTTGACGACCTTGAAGGTGCGGTTCGAGGCAAAGTCGAGATCGAGACCCGCTTCGGCCTCGACGGTCCGGGAACGAGTCGCGAAGCCCATGGCGAACGGGTTCGCGGCTTCGTCCGGCGGCAGGGGGTGGGATTCCTCGACCACGAGGGAGTTGTTGGCGTGGCCGCCGACGGCCGGGTCGACGCGCAGGCAGAAGAGGTGCTGGTGGCCGGGGGCCATGGCGCCGGGGGCGACGTTGACGCCGTAGGGGACTGCCGAGTCGCCGACGTCGACGGGCACGGTGGACATGATCCCCGTGGCGCGGACCTCGTAGAAGAGCGAGGCGTCCTGCTGGAAGTAGAAGAGGAAGATGTACTCGTAGTTGCTGACGGTGACGATGGTCTGCAGCACGAGCACGCGGGACCGCGTGACGACGGCGTTGCCGGTGCGGAAGTTGGTGTGTTTCCATAAGATGCCGTCGTCCGCCTCGTGGCAGCATATGACGTTGGGCATGCGGACCGGCGTCCCCGACGCGGCTGTCAGCCAGCCGTCGAAATACTTGATGTGGCCCAGGCAGTCGCAGCCCAGGGCTAGGTTGTTGGCGTTGATGCCGGCGCCGTCGTTGCCGAGATCGAAGGCGGCCTTGCGCGGGTAGGGCGCGCGGGGGTCCGAGTAGGGGACGAACATTTCCGAGAGGGAGAGCCGGTAGTAGAGGCTCCGGCCGTCGTACCGGACGTCGTGCAGGGTCATGCCCTCGCGGTAGTTGAAGCCGATGCGCATCGTCCATTTCTCCCAGCGGATGAGGTTGCCTTCCGTGGTGAACGATGGGCCTTCTGGTTGTGACACGTGGTAGGGCCGGGTGGTTGTCCTCCGGTCGTCGACGAGGTCCGGGTGATATTCGCTGGTGGTGTGGATGCGGCGACGGTCGAATTCGTTTCGCCGGGAGTGCGTCTTGTCGTTTGCTCCCGAGGGGAGGCGGTAGACACTGGTGACCTGGAGAGTTGGGGAGATTTCGGCACAAATATCGAGGGGGTAGGCGTAGTAGTTGGCATCCGGGTTGTCGGAGAGTCGCAAATAGAACCATCCCTACGATCGTCTCGTGTCAGAAAGAACGAAGAAAGATGTGAAAAGGGGGGCTGGGGGGAAGAGAGACAGGGAGAGAGAGAGGAAACACAAGGTGTGACCGTTCCCACATGCATCCAAACGCACCATGGTCCAGCGGTCCTTCATATCCTTCACCCCGTCCGTGGCGTATGCCCACGGCTCAACGACAACGGTGGCACCCTCGGGGAGGTTCAGAGACTCGATCTCCTCCTGAACGCGCGGATCAGCGAGACAAGCTTCGGCGGCCTTCTCCATGAAGCCTGTGTCGATGTAGGAGTGTCGACCATGCAGCGCCTCTTTCGCGACAATGACTCGGCGGTCCAAGTCGACGACGGCTTCGTGAAGTACCCGGCCGTGGAAGAGCTGGACCCTGGCCTGCCGAGGGGGTGGAGCAGGGGACTGTGCCCCTGGGCCTGCACGCTCGATGTCTAGGAAAGAGACCATATCTTTCTTAGGAGGTTCCGCGAGGGTGATGGCCCTGAACACCACATCGTCTCCGGTCCATGTTTTCACAATCTCAGCAGCCTGCATGTGGATGTTTTAACTCGAGGTTAGACAAGAGACATATTTATGACCGGAAATGAGAAAGGGGGAGGGGTCTTACGAGGCTGATCTCTTCAGGACGCAGGGGATCGAAAGGGTGCGGGGTCATGATGAAGGTTGATGGCTGGGTCCTGGGGAGTTGATATCTTGATCAATCGATCCTCCGAGTCGGTCAAGTTGTCAACCTCCCCTCCTCTTGGGGCCTGTGTGATAAGAGTTGCGAGGTTGAATTTTGAACTGTTTAATCACGTACAAATTGAAAGGTACAAGTGGAACGGTAGAAGAAGCAACCGTTGGGGTTCATGTGGGTTTTGGGCTCCCACGTGCCCCTAGGGCCGAGATCGCCCCAAGATCCGGCCCGAAGCCGATCGGCTATTAGCGGCTTCCATTAGCACGCGGACCGGCATCGGACCATCGGACCATCGGTGCTCTCGGATCCCGGCCCCCATCGTGGTACATGTACACATCGGTAGAGTGGGGTTCCGAGAGACACGCCGCTTCGGTTAAAAGTCGAGGTGAACTTCCGGCCATCTCCCAGTCCGTACCGGAACAGGCCGGGCTTATCGTCTGTTAGACCGGGAAGGGCCGGCGACGTGGACGAGGTGACCGGTCAGATGGCCGATTCTCATTGATCGATGGCTTGTCAAAGCAACCATTGGGGGGGTTCACCGGTCAGTGATTAAGCTTATTTTGAGCCAAAGGTCTGTTTCCGGGTTCCTCTCCCCCACAACGGTGGGAGCAAGCGGACAAATATTTGTGTACGAAGCAATTGTGGGGGGAGAGGAAGAGGAGAAGAAGAAGCACACGTTGACGCGAAAACGAAGAGCTGAGCGCGGAATATTGTCGAGCCTGTTTGTCAAAAAATCCCCAGCCACTCCCGAGGTGAGAGAGCCAAGATATCGCCAAGACACCCTGGCTCCCGTTCCCAAGGCTTGGCGTCAGGTTAAATACCTGCCGGTTTGCAGCCCTCAACGACTACTACTGCTCCGTAACGCGAGCACGACATCTCGCTGCATATCGCGTCATCATCCACTCCAAGCAACAACGTCTGTTTTCTCCCCTTTCGGTCGACCAGCCCGCACTCAAGCATGGGGAGGGAGATGAATTCCTCGGCCACCCTCGACTGGACTGAGCCTTTTGTAATGATCCTGCCCGTTCCCCCCCTTGTTCGTCCCCCACGGCCTGGTAATTTGCGCATTTATTATTCGTTTCTTGTTTTTCCATGGGGTGTCGCCATTTCCTTCGTCATCAGCTGGAGATGGAGTCACCGCTCAAGAATGTCCAATGCCCAGTCCATTAAGCTGGTGATGTGGTTCTTTTACCAGTTCTATCCGGTTTCTGCGACGCCCGTTGTGGTCTTTTAAACCGTAGCCGCAGAGTGGGCAGTCGACCGCATAATTGTATTAATTACCCCTGAAGTGATGACCTGACAAAGACGCTTCATGCATGTACAGAATTAACACCCAAGCAGGTTGAATTAGGGTTACCTATCTTCGGGGCTTGCCCCGTCACAGATCGACTAATATATCCGTATAGCGTCTACAACCCGGCTCAGTCCGGTTCGACAGTTGTATGCATGGGTGTGATAAGAGCACGAGTTGGGGGTTTGGTCTGCTTGGGTATGGAGTTGGTTGTCTATCTTGATCCTTTCTGCACGAAACCAACGCTCGAGTCCCTTTGACATGTTCACCTTTCAGAAGGCAAGCTGACTACATTAGCGAACACAGCGTGTCTAACAGTCTAACATTATGAATGACCGCCGGGGACCCATCCGGCATTCTTGTGCTCCTACTAAGGCGGTACCTTCGGTTCTAACTCCTGCCGCGCAAGCCATGTCCACTCCAAGCGCCTCGGCATGCAAGCCGCGCACTCTAAACGTCCAATGCCACCTCCCACGGCCTATAAAGCTTTTTCTTTCTCAAATGTCGTGATCGTTGCGCACCCAGGACCCCGGCAGGCTGGCCCTGAGGGGTCCAAGCTCCCTCCTCGTTTCCCCAGAGTGTAGACTGTCCAGATCTATATGTATGAAAGGTGTCCTACAACCTCTCTTCCCATAGTCCGTCCTTTGATTCTCTCACCTCGACCCCAGGTTCCCCGCCACTCAACACCACTCTTCTGGTCCCATTCTTCGCCTCTCCCCCCTTTTCTTCCTCGCTTCTCGCATGGTAGCTTGCCCACCATGTCAGACATCGAGAAGAAACACCCTCCTCTCTCGGACAATCCCGAGAAGGACGCCAAGGGTGCATCGGAAATCTTCACCAACTCCAAGCCAGAGTCGGACGAGGACCTCGAAGAAACCCGCGAGCGTATCCTCCGCCAGCACCGGGAAGAACTCGAACAGCGCGGCGAGCTCAAGGAGCAACAGATCCCCATCCTACCCCTGACCCAGTTCTTCGGTAAGGGGAACAAGGACTTTGATGTCAACGCCATCGCCACACAGCCGTCTGTTTACGACAACCCGGCCGCAGCCGCCTACTTCAAGCCTCACCCCGACTATGAGAACCTCCATCGCTTCGATCCGTCCTGCCGATGGACTTGGAAGGAGGAGCTGCCGCTCATCAATAAGATGGACCTCAAGAGTGAGTCAATCCACCGTACCCTCATGCTTTAACCACATGTGCACCGACGGGCTACGTTGGTTGTTCACTTGTGTGGACTGGCACATGCATTCTGATCAACTCATTTGATATTATAGTTACTGTCTGGGCCTGCGTCGCTTTCTTTGGACTCGACCTCGGACGAGGCAATCTTTCTCAAGCCAACACCGACAACTTCCTCCCTGACCTGGGCATGACCACTAATGGTGAGTACGCAAACATCTCAACCTCACATGTAGTCTACATGTACTCAACCTCAGCCCCTTTTCAAGTCGTCCGTCCCCTTCTTTACATGTACTCTCTGGCTTGCTAATGGACTCTCCTAGATTACAACCTCGGAAACACCGTCTACCAAATGTCTTTCCTGTGCGCAGAGCTACCTTCTCAGATGGTCAGCAAGAAACTCGGCCCCGACCGCTGGATCCCCTTTATAATGTGCTCGTGGAGCATCATCTCCGGCGCCCAGTTCTTCCTTACCGGCCGAACCTCCTTCCTCGTCACCCGCGCCCTCCTCGGTCTCCTGCAAGGCGGCTTCATCCCCGACGTCGTCCTCTACCTCACCTACTTCTTCAAAGGCAACGAGCTCCCCTTCCGGCTCGCGCTCTTCTGGTGCGTCCGCCGCGTAACCGACATCATCGCCCCCATCATCGCCTTCGGCGTCCTCCGCATGCGCGGCGTCCTCGGCTACGAAGGCTGGCGCTGGCTCTTCCTCATCGAAGGCATCTTCATGCTCTCCATCGGCATCTGGTCCATCTTCATGATGGCGCCGTCGCCCACGCAGACCAAACGGCCCTGGCGCCCCAAGGGCTGGTTCGACGAGCGCGAGGAGAAGATCCTCGTCAACCGCATCCTGCGCGACGACCCGTCCAAGTGCGACATGCACAACCGCCAGGCCATCACCCTGCGCATGCTCCTCCGCTCGCTGTCCGACTACGAGCTGTGGCCTATCTACATCTTCGGTCTGCTTTGGGAGATCCCCGCCGGCCCGCCCGACCAGTACCTGACCCTGACGCTCCGCAACCTCGGCTTCGGCACATTCGATGCCAATTTGCTGAGTATCCCCTGCCAGTTCCTCGGCGCGGTGTCTATGTGTGTCATGACGTATCTGTCTACCATCTGGGATGAGCGGGCGCTTTTCGGCCTGTTCACGCAGTTTTGGTATCTCCCTAGTCTCGTGGCCCTGGCGGTTTTGCCGGATAATGCTGGGCCTTGGGCTCAGTACGCTGTCGTGACGACTCTGCTCTCGTACCCGTCTCGTGAGTGGCCTCCGACTTGATCTGCAGCAGAGATTACTTGTCCTCAATTTTTTGCTAACTACTGTCGTTTCATGTTTTCTTCTTATAGCTCATGCCATGCATGTCGCTTGGGGTAGCTGCAACTCCAACTCGGTGCGCACCAGGGCCGTGTCTGCCGCGCTGTATAAGTACGTTTCGTTTTCCCTATACACCGAGCCCTTATTACTCCCGTTGACTGGAGATGTGCTAACACTTAAACTAGCATGATGGTTCAACTGGCTCGCGTCATCTACTCCAACATCTACCGCGAAGACGATGCGCCCAAATGTGAGCCTCTTATGCCCGCACCTTGGCTTCTGTGGTTACACGGTACATTCCGAATAGACGATAACTAACAAGAACTTGCCAGACCGTCGCGGTAATCGCGTTCTCATCGGCATCTGCTGCATGAATATGTGTGTTTACCTCATTGCCAAGGGGTTCTACATCTACACGAACCGCAAGAGGGAGAGGGCGTGGAACGCCATGACCGAAGATGTACGTCTTGGCCCCCCAGCCCCCCCCCCTATTCTGTTGTTCGATGTGTATAAGTGCTAACCCATGACTGAATAGGAGCGCATCCATTACCTGGATACAACGAAGGATAAGGGTAGCGCAAAGAAGGATTTCCGCTTTGCTCATTAGCACTTCCGTTCCTTTCTGTTTCTTCACGAATAATAAATGCTGTTGTGGCGTGCCCAGCCGGTTTGGGCCGGTTCTCGCGGCCTGACTCCATCCATTGCTGGTATTCTACTGTCTCCCAGAGTATCCGATATCTCCGTCTGGTCAGAGAGACGCTGGTAGATTCAAAAGTTCTAATCTATTCATGCCAAAGACCGCAGATAAGCATACATGTATTCAACTATCCATTACTTCGCGTCCAGGAGGCACGGTCTACTGTGATATAACATCTCGCTCGTGTCCATAGGCATTAGCACCCCCTCATGCTAAAGGGTCAGCTGGTATCGAGGATTCGTCCTGATTGCCTCGCCATATCGGATAAAAAGGAGAGGGACTGGGATGAGGCCGATGGCAATGAACCCGAGAGTCGAGTTTCCCCAGCCGAGCCCCAGGGCCTCGTAGAGGGGCGGGCCGGCCAGGGGAAGAAAAGCGCCGAAGATGGATCGGAGGACGGTGGCAGCGGCCAGCGCAGAGGCTGCGTAGAGCGTGTAGGCGTCTACCAAGTAGACTTGGATGGTCATCTGTTAAGGTGTAAGATGAGTCTTCTCTTTGCGTACGTCAAATGGAGGGTGGAGTGAGGCAGGGAGGGGAAGGGAGAAGGACAGAGAAGGGAAGACAAATAGGATGCATGTGGATAGTAAAGACTGCATGTGGACTTACCAGTGACATGTTCAACCCCAGCCCTAGAAGAGACGTCGCAAATATAGGGATAATCCAGTGCAGCGCATAATGCGTAGTCCAGCCGTAGATGAAAAAGCAGGCAGGGATACAAAACGCGGCGGGGATCATCAGGGGGAGGCGATACTCGGGCTTCAGTTCAGTCACCCCAGCCAGCTTCGCCTTCCCCGTGAGCAGGCGATCGGCGAGATGGCCAAACACGGCATTACCCAGGAGCAAGCCGGTCGCGATGCCGAGGTAGGCGAGCCCCGTCTCGCCGACGGAAAAGCCGTAGGTGCCGCCGAAGACGGACGGGATGGTGACGAAGAGGAGGAACTGGTACGAGAACACGACGGCAATGAAGAGGGAGAAGAGGAAGACGATGGGGGACCGGAAGAGCATGACGAGCGGCCGGCGGATGGAACGGGTCAGACGGCTTCGTCGGCTTGACGTGTCGGCCATGGCGGACGTGAGGTGCGGGTTTCCCGTTTCGCGGCGCAGGCGGTCAACTTTGCGCTGGAGGAGGACGGGGGGGTAGGTCTCGCGTACGACGAGGAAGAAGATGACGGTAAAGACGCCTGCCTATGCGATTGTGTAAGGGTGTTGTTAGCTCTCTCCCTCTCTCCCTCTCTCTCCCCCCCCCCCTCTCTCTCTCTCTCTCTCCCTTGTGTGTCAAGATGATATACTCACAGCAATGGTCACAAGCCAGAACACCCATCTCCATCCCATAGCCTCCGTGAGATATCCACCGACAGCCGGACCGACAGCAGGTCCCATCAGCGGACCGAAGGTCCAAATGGCCATGGCCCGGCCCCGCTCCTCTTGAACGAAGAGGTCGGCCACGGTGGCGCCGCCGACGGTCAGAACGGCCGAGGCCTCCATGCCGGCCAGCATGCGGAAGACGATGAGGGCCGGCAGGTTGGGGCTGAGGGCGCAGCCGGCGGTGAAGAGGGTGAAGAGGACGTTGGTGACGTGGTAGGGCAACAGGCGGCCGTACATCTCCGACATGGGCGCCACGATCAGCGGGCCGATGGCGAGGCCGACATTGTATACGCTCACGATGAGGGAGCTGAGCACTTGGTCGGTGCTGTCAAAGTCGACGATGGCCTGGTTGACGCCGGGGGCGGCGATGGATGAGCCGAGGGCGCTGAGTGACTGTTACTACCAGACGAGAGCACGAGAGTGTATGCCATTACGATGGATAGCCTCAGTGCTCTGTACCGGGGATGAAATACAGGAATACACATGACATAAAAATTAGAAAAGAAAATCATAAAAGAAAAATAGAAAAGAAAGGAATGCAACGCACGAGATGAAGGTCATGGCAGCCAGGACTAACACGTTCAGCCACTTTCTCCTAGGGGCCCAGTTGATGGCCATCTCCGGATCGCCAGGGCCATCAAAGTCGACAATGTGGCCGCGAGCATCCCCCTCTCCCAAGGCAACCACATCCTCTGTTTTGCTAGCCATGGCAGGCTCGAAATTTCCTGGTTGGACAGGGTGATGGGGGGAAACAAACCAGCATGGGGCATCTACAGAGGGAGAAGCACATGTGGACATGTGCATGTGTGCAGCGTGCTCAACGCATTCCACAGCCTCCGAGAATCGGATCAGTTGATGCAGTCCCCAGGAAGTAGTGTACTAAAGTCTAAGGCTTCTCCTGATGAGCGTGCGCTGTCTCGGGTAGGGTGGGTGAAAGGGGCCACATCGCTAGGTCGATCGATGATAACATGATGATATGAAGAATGTGATCGACCTCACTGGGACCCAAGACCTCCAGGACTACGTAGAAACACGGTGAGGTATCATCATAGTGGTGTACACGTACGCGTGTATCATAGGATCTCCTCGGATCGACGCAGTGGAACCATCGATGCCGAGAATGGTGAGAGCTAACAGGGGTAACGATGCAGATCGAGCAAGGGTGTCGTGTTTGCCGACCCGTATTCGGCCCGCCGACTCCCGGATGCCCGATGCCCAACTAGGAAGGTCGCATACATATGCATTCTGGTGGATCAAGGCGCAGGCAGGGGGGCGGGGCGCTGGGGGATACTGCAATCTAACTGTACGTGTAATACACATGGTCCGCCGCGGCGGGTAAAAACCAGGGACTCTAAGTCTAGGCATCTCCATTATCTCGTCAAATCCAGAGACTCCGGACTCGGGAGACTCCTAGAGCCTTGCACGAGCCTGGCCCAACATATCCCAATCACTCTCCGTGAAAGGGACGTACTCGGACGACCCAGCGGGGAGCCAGAAGAACAGATCTCGCTCCCCGCCTGGGACCTTCGTACCCCTGGCCCGAGGGTCAACCCCTTCCTCCCTAAGGGGCACCTTACTATGCTTGTGATTATCGGTGCTCATGCCGCCGACGCCACCGTCCCGGACACGAAGGAAGACCGGCACGGCGTAGGGGGGCAGCTTGGACCTCAGCAAAGCCGCCAACCCTTCGGTCCCCTCGGTCCCCGCAGTCCCACCGTCCTGCCTCCAAACGAGAGCGACGCATCCAGCCCTGCCCTCGTGGCCTGGGATCTTCACCCCGTAAACGTTCGCCTCCGCGACGCGCGCATCGGAGCCCAGCACCTGCGCCACCTCCGTGGTGGACACGTTCTCCCCTTTCCAGCGGTACGTGTCGCCGAGCCGGTCCAAGAAATGCCAGTGTCCGTCGGCGTCGCGGCGGAGCGCGTCGCCCGTCCGGAAGTAGACGTCGCCCTTCTCGAACACGTCCCTGAGCAGCTTCTTCTGCGTCGCGTCCTCGGCTTGCCAGTACCCGGCCCAGGCCGAGGGGGACGGCAGCTTGACGAGGATCTCGCCCCCTTGGTCGTACGGCACGCGCTTCGCGAAGCCGGTCTTTGGTGACCGCCAGACGTCCCCCGTGTCTGGGTCGATGTGGACCGGCACGTACGTCTTGTGGAATTTTCGACGGAGGAGCCAGCCGTGGTGGCCTACGGCGCCGATGCCGAATCCGGGGCTCCGGTAATGCTTTACCAGCGTGAGGACGCCTTCGGTGCTGGCGTAGAATTCGCCAATGTCCGAGACGCCGAAGCGTTCCTGTCAATCATTAGCCCAGGGTAAGGTATAAGTTATTTCCCCCTTTTTTCCTTCTTTTCTTCGTTTCTTCTTTTCCCCTCCCTTACCTGGAATTTGGTCCACAACTCAGGACCGAGTCCGTTTCCCCAAATGAGCCGAATCTGGTGTTTACGGTCGTTTGGCGAAGGGGGGGCAGAGAGCAAATAGCGCACCAGCTCCCCGACTATTGTTTCTCAGTCCCCCTATCTATAGACTATAACAGTCACCCCGGTAGACCGGGAAGGGGAGAAACGCACCATAGACAAACACAGTTGACTTGCTTTGTATGCAATCATCCCAAAACCGCGACAGTGAGAATTTCGGAGCCACGGCAATGGAAATGCCACTCATTAAATCGTTCATCGCCGCGATCCCTCCGGTGCCGTGATACAGAGGGATGCAATAATAGGTCCGGTCACCATCTGGGCCTGGCCGCTGCCCAAAGGTTTTTGGGAGCAGGGACGCCGAGGGATAGTTGCGAGCCACAGTCAGAGGGAACGCCTTTGGCAGTCCGGTAGTTCCGCTGTCCACCGGTTAGAAAGATTTAATTGTTCCGTTGTGAGGAAGTTGAGGAGGATGAGAAGTTGAGACCAGAGGAGGTCGCCTACCTAGTGTACATGAGAGCCAAAGGCAGCACCACGTCCCGTTCGAAGCAGTCCACCGGAGCCCTCTCGGGGACGTTCCCGGCAATGCCGGCCTTCAAAGAGCCCGAAAGCCTGATGGTCTCGACGCCGATCTCCCTTAGCTGTGCATCGGCGGCTTCCATGCGCGAGACGCAGTCTTGGGCGTCGTCGTACAAGAGGAACCACGTGCCCGCCAGACGGACACAGTGAACCAAAGCATCCGAGGCCAGGTTGTAGTTGACCAGGGCCGGGGCGGCGCCGATGGAGAGGAGGCCCATCCACACGAAGAGCAGCTCGGGCGAGTTGTACAGGTAGACGCCGACATACTGAGAGGGCGAGACGCCTAGGGCCTGGAAGTAGCGGCCGTACTGGCACACGCGCTCGTAGGTCTGCGTCCAGGTGTACTGGGCCTGGCGAGACCATATACAGGGCGCGTTTCCGAGGCGGCGGGCGGCGGCTTCGAAGAGGAAGAAGCCGGAAGCCTTTTTTTGTTCGACTGTGAGTATGTTAGAAGGGGGGGGGGGGAGGGAGAAGGGGGAAAAAAAGAAAAAAAAGGAAAAAGAAAAAGAAAACCCCCTTACCCGCCCTTGCAAAGTTACGCTCACCCTGCTTGGCTCGCGATAGCTGGTCGAGATCTTTGGTGATGTGAAATTTGGCATCTAGATATGCCGACCCTGCGGCTATACCGACGAGGGCCATCAGCCCCTGAGGCATGCCTTGTAGAATTGTATCGAGTGGCAGCGACATGTCGATTATCGATGCACTAGCTTAGAGGTGGACAGCAGAGTTGCTCAGCGTCAACGGTCAGACGTCTAAGGTCCAGCCTCTACTTGGACCAGTAACAGTAAGTCCAATCCGTACAACGTACAGGTGGTCAGCACTGAGCAGGCTACGATTAGGGGCTGTTGGGCTACAAACCCCTGGGTGCACGTGGTTTAGGGGCTCGGGGAAAAGATACTGGTGAGTCCTCGGGAGGGCAGACCGCCAGTTTACAAAGTTTCATTGCAAACAAGACTTGGGACAAATGAAAATGGTTATTGGCCCATGTGGCCATGCCATTCTCGGTCTAGAAGGTTAGAAGTTCCCTGCCCTGTTCCACAGACGGATCCCTGGGATACTACACTGTACGAGAGAAGCAGGTCCAGAACACTGCAATCCGCAGACAGTGGCCGGTTGATTTATTAATGACTCCGCCGGCCATACATGTACGTTGCATCATGCATGCGTTCAGGACCGATGGGAGATGCATGGCTTCGGCAGTCATTACGAAGTACCGGTATGATAAGTTCTCTCCCGTTGAACCTGTAATTAGGGCCCAGGAGGATACCTAAATTGGTCTTCTGCACCCTCCCTCGCTTCCTTCCGAAGCCCCTAGCTACAAATAGCAGGTGGTTCTTCATTTCCCAACAGGAAGGCAAAGATGGACTCGAGCGTGACTTGATCGGGTTTAGGGCCGTGGCAAATGAAGGGCCAAGGACTGGTGCTCAGGGGCTATAAGTTCCTACCCGCATCCAGTGACAGTAGTGCCATTGCATTGGACAGATATCCCGTGATCGTCCTTATATGCTCCACGTGTACACGTGTACAACTCGTACACGTACTGTACACGTACACGTAGTACATTTTTCTGTTCAAACGATTAACCCATGTCCATTGATTTTATGGCATTTGATGTTTCAACGGTGGAAACGGTCCGGCCGCTAAGCGACCCGTGCTCCACGCGGAACACGGGGATTTATAGAGACCGTCGCAACGTGGCGCGACGTGGCGTCGGCTCGCTTCGGACCGAGGTCGGACCCAGTTAGGACGAGGTGCCTCGTGACGGTGATTGTACATTGTACACTACAACGTACAACGTAACAAAAAAAAGAAGAAGAAAACAAGAGAAAAAGAAGAGAAAAAGAAGAGAAAAAGAAGAGAAAAAGAAGAGAAAAAGAAGAAAAAAAAAACCCCCGCGCTCAATCAAAATAAGGAGTCACTCCGCAGTCCACCAGATTGGTCGTTTCAGTGTTCTTCTTTTCCGTACGGTGGTAGTCACGAAAATCGACTTCTCACGTCATCTTGGGACTTGGGTGGCGAGTTTTCATTTTCCTCTCATTTCCTCTCATGACGCGGCCTCCTCCCTTGGCCGGCATACGTGTCGTGGAGCTCGCCGGCCTGGCGCCAGGTTCGTGTTCTCTGGCTCTCTCTCTCTCTCTCTGATTTTTGAGTATTGTTGGATGTTGTTTAATTTTTCATTTTTTTATTTAAAAAAAGAGTGACAAAAGAGAAAAGAGAAAAGAGAAAAGAGAAACGGATCAAGTCTCAAGAAACAAGACACAAGACAAAAACGAAAATGTCTAACACCCTCGCATAGGCCCTTTCTGCGGTCTTGTCCTCGCCGATTACGGCGCATCCGTCCTCCGCATCGATGGGCCTCGCTCCCCGAAAGGCGACGTCTTAGCCAGACACAAGTCATCCCTATGTCTCGACTTGAAGCACCCTCCGTCCCGAGATGTCCTGCTCGAGCTGCTGGCCCGCGCCGACGTGCTCATCGACCCCTTTCGCCCCGGCGTCCTCGAAAGACTGGGCCTATCGCCCCACGAGGTCCTCCTCAAAAGGAACCCCCGACTCGTAGTGGCCCGCCTCACGGGGTTCCGCCGAGACGGCAAGTATCGCGACATGGCAGGCCACGACATCAACTACCTCGCCGTATCCGGCGTGCTCTCCATGCTGGGCCGCCCCGCCGACACCCCGCTCCCACCCGCCAACCTGCTGGGCGACTTCGCCGGCGGGGGCGCCATGTGCGTGCTGGGCATCCTCATGGCGCTGGTTGCGCGCCAGGCAGCAGCAGCGGGGGGCGCGGGCCAGGTGGTGGAGGCCAACATGGTGGATGGATCAGCTTACCTGGCGACGATGCCGCGGCTGGCGACGAAGACGGCCTTCTGGAACGCCGCGCGCGGGGAGAACGTTCTGGATGGAGGGTGTCCCTGGTACGACACGTACAGGACCAAGCAGTCGCAGTCCGTCGAGTCGGGCGTGGACGAATACGTCGCTGTCGGGGCGCTGGAGCCTCGTTTCTATGACGCGCTGTTGCGGGGGCTGGGTCTCGATCCGGCGACCTTGCCACCCAGGGAGGACAAGACGCAGTGGCCCGCGCTACGATCCGTGTTGCGGGCCAAGTTTGCGGAGAAGACGCGGAAGGAATGGGAGGGTGTGTTCGATGGCCTGGATGCATGCGTAACGCCGGTACTGGGCCAAGCTGAACTGGAGCGGGAGGGGTTCCTGCAGCGTCTCCCCGTTCACATGTCTCACACGCCCGGGAAGGCGATCCCACATGGCCAGGGCGATTGGACAGGAGGCACTCTGGCGCATGGCTTCGGAGGGGAGGAGGTGTTGTCTGAGTGGACCGGGTGGGCGGAGGGAGTCGACTACACCAAGACGGCAAGTGGAATTGCCGTTCGGATGAGGGCTAAGCTGTAGCTAACCGGAGGGGGGTAAAGGGGGGACCAACCAGATTCGCAGTAGTAGTCTGAGATGTGAGATACGGTGTGGGAGACACTACCCATTCGTGCATCAGACATGGTCGTCGCATATGCACTCATATATTGCTGTGTTTTTAGGTGCTTTCGGCAGTCAAGTTGAAGACCAAAGTTCTTTTCTTCTTTTTTTTTTCTTCCTTTTTTCCCCTTTTTTAGGAGATGGTTACGACTCAGGAGGTCTGCTATGCAGTGTTATCCCGAAGACAAACGGACAAATTAAAACAGACGGGTAAAGCCAAGGTAGTATTTCTCTTTCTTCTTCCTCTTCTTTCCCTACATGTATGTATGGATAATAGCGAAAAGGGGTGTATGGTCAAATCCGGCCTATCTTGCCGATTCCAGGTGAGTCGCGTCCCGATCTATGCTGCCCCCCTTTTCTTCACCCCACGTTGTCGAATAGACCACAGTCTTTTCGGTTACGTAATGGGCCGGATTGCCAAGAGTATAATCCGGGTGGACGCTTACAGAATCTGCACTATATAAAATACGGTGGCAGCGTTTCCCTGATAGTCTAAGACAGTTAAAAATTATACATAATTACCTTAATTAATTTCGACTTATTTTTATTCATGATTTTAACTACGCTTTATCTGATAATTAAGAGTCTCACTTGCTAAGTGAAGATATACCCATTTTACCTACCCTTTACCACTACTACCGAATTAAGAAGCTATCTAGCTACGCCGATATAGCGTGTTAATCTACAAATAACTATTAAGATATCGTATCTTAGCCCTATTACGTATAAAACCTATAAGGATTAGGAGCTCTAGCGACACCTGTACGAATCGGTTACCACCTATAATAACGTGTGGAGGTTTCTCCGCCCAGTCGATCCGACTTAGTTCCCTGAGGAGCCTATAATACCGGATTACGGTTCTTTCCTCTCTATAACACCTAAGCGTACGCCTATATAATATCTCGACCTTACGGACGTTAGCTAGAAAGCATACGACGTCGAAATCGCGCGCTGGAAGATCCTATAAACGCAATACGACAGCTACCTAAAGGGGATCAATGCTATACTAACCTAGCAGGTTAATACTATCGACTACAGCCGCAGATAACTACTACGAGGAGGCACACCTCGCGAGGTGTATAAAGCCGTTAAACGCGATACGGATTAGTACCTGGCCACCCGCTAAACCGACACCCACGAAGAGTATATCGAGTATGCCTATTACCCTGCGAATAGCCTTAAGAAGCTCGGGGAGTGGTTAGATATATGGCAGCTACTACTATAAAGCTGTGAAGATACCGGTTCAAAGCCCGCCACGCATATATAGGTTATAGACTTCTTTAGAGGTATACGCCCCTATACCGGCCGCGATTAGACTAAGGCCGAGGGTCGCCTAGTAGATAACCAGGTAGTTATACCCGAAGACCTTTACACCCTTAGTCAGAAGTATATTAACACCAGACTTAAAGACTAAGGAAAACGCGGTAGCCACCGCGCTATAGTATTCCCTGCACTATATACCGGAAGCGAAGAGGGTGAAGATACCTTAGAGGCCACGGCTAAGCCCCGTAAGAAGGGCGGCCGTGGGAAGAATAAAGCTAAGAATCCTATTACCGCGGTATCTATAGCCACACCTTTAGCTACTTTAGCTACTTTACCTACTTTAACTAACCGTTCCTCTTCTAAACGCCGCTAATCTGCTCTATAGAGAGGTTAGATCTACTGCGTATACGCTATACCTGGTCACGATATTAACGCCTGCTTCTATTTATTCCCGGATACGGTATATAACGATTAGATCCCCTTCGAGAGCACTAAAATAACCGTCTAAGGGATCCTTAAATACGACCCCTCGCTACGCGCGGAAGTAGAAGAACTGCGCGCCGTAAAGAAGGTGAAGAAGGATATAAGCCGGGATTCTGTATAGCTTAAAGAGGCGTGACTTAATTATAGTAGCGTCCGCGGCGTCTCCCACGCCGCCACCTTTATAGCTAGCACTACTACTAGCTACCCTCTTCGAACCTCTGCTATCCTCGATTCCGGTACTACTATTTATATTTTGAACGATTTTTCCCGTTTTTTAGATTGTATACCCGTAACGCCGGGAGACTACGTAGTTATAGGCAGTTTATCCCTGCCTATTAAAGGTTATAGTAACGTGACCGTGAGATTAAACAGACTAATAGGAGGCCTTAATTTTAGGCTATTAAACGTCGCCTACTACGAGGATTTTACCTATAATTTAATCTCTAACTAACGCCTATATCTTCGAGGATACTAGTAGGATTAGAAGCTACTAAATAACTGTATTCGGCGTTCCGATAAATCTATACTATACTAGCTAAGTCACCGCTTCGATTAAACCGTTATTAAATATATGCCCTCTGACTAATCTACGGCTGCTTTTCTAGGCTCTTCTTCTTCTTCTTCTGCCACCCGAAAAGGCGTCTATAAATCGACGATATAGTATCTAAGAACTACGGAGGGTATCTTATAGTATCTATACCTAGGGCACGCAGGCCCTAAACCACTTAGGCACCTAAAAGAGCAGACGTAGGAGGTTAAAATCAAAGGACTAATAACTATCGACTATAAGGCCTACGAGCTTATAAAGATAAAACGGCACGTTAGTAGGCGCCCTCGCACTACACCTACCTACGCAGGGGAGCGATAGGCGATTAATTTTACGGATTTTGAACGAACGTCCGACGGGGACTTAAGGTTTATGTTTTTCACCGACCGTTATAGTGGTTTTACGGCCACCTACGTTATAAAAAGCAAGCTGGTAGTGGATATCCTTATAATAATTAAGGAATTCCTCGCCTGGGTAGACCGTTAATTAGGCTATAAGGTGCGCGTTTGCGAATCTGATAACGAACTAACTTAATCCCACGATATCACCTAATTCCTGCGTGACGAGGGCATCCTTTTAGAGGTATCTGCTACCGACACTCAAGTATAGAACGGGGGTGCCGAACGCGCTGCTGCCGTGGTTATTTCAAAGGGTTATACGATAAATATCCACGTAAAACTATCGCCGTTTATATAGCCTAAGGCTATTCCCACGGCAGTATACGTCTATAACCGGACGCCATGAAGGCAGTAAAAGGATTGGAAAACGCCCTACGAGGCCCTCTTTGAAAGGAAGCCGATTTTATTACACCTTCGAGCTTACGGCTATAAGGCGTACGCGATAATAAAGGACGCCCAGAAGGCTACTAATAAGCTATTAAATCGTATTGCTCCTCACGCCTATATCGGCTACCTCGTCGGCTACGATTCTACTAATATTTTCCGTATCTGGGTGCCTGGCCTACGCCGCTATAACCGCGTTATTCGAACGCGCGATATGGATTTTAACGAACGCGCCTTCTTCAACGGCGATATCGCCACCTTTAAGGACAACCTCCGTTAATCAATGAGGAGTAATTAGAAGACCTGATTAGTTAGATCGAGCAGGAGAGGGCTAGAGATTCACGGCCGTTTACGGACGTATAAGCTAAGGACCCCCCCCTTTATATAACTGCTTATTTTAAATTATTAGATCCGGGGATAAACGCCCCCGGATCCCCTTCCTCGACGGCTTTACCGTTAAGGTTATAGTCCGTAATACCCGGCCGTAAGGGGGTAGAGGAGGCTATTTTAAGTTAATCAGGACAAGATTTAGGTTATAAATAGTGTGATTTAGCCGGTATAGCGCCTGATTACCGTCTATATCCGTCCGATCTATTACTTCCTACTCTACTAGTAACCCCGCCGTCGATTATAGCGCTAATAGCAACTGTTATATTAGGAAACCGTGATACCCCTGCGGCCGCAGGGTTCTAGGATAACGGAACACGGTGCTACGATACCCTTATAGCTACGGCTACAGGGCTCCTATTAAATAAAGGAGCGTAACTAATTCGGTAAGGAGATAGCTGGAAAAGAGACTATTAGGTTATAGTATTTAACGCTGGCCGTTACGCACCTAATATATATATATTAAATAGGACTCCGCTAACTAAATTACGGTTAAAAAGGTCCACGCCTATAGCATTATAACGACGCTTAATAACACCCCGCGAATCCACGGCCCCGGCGGCAGCTATTAGAAGCACGTCCCGGGAGGCTATCTCGGGAAATATGACCCCGGCGGTTACTTCGGCGGGTACTCCGGCGGTTATCCCGGCTACCGCAGAGATCCACCGTAAAGACCTCCCTCCTCCTCCGAAGAACCCTCGCGATATACCCTCGCACCCTTACGGCCACCTATTCCGACAGGTATAAGAAGACTACCTGCGGAGCCACGAAGAGATAGGGTTATAGATACGGGTGCCGGCATCCGTAGCAGATAGATATCAGGTTCTTAATTCGATATGGGTAATAATATATAAGTTCGATAAATATAGATTTCTATATAAATGTAAGGTAAGGCTTATAGTGCGAGGAGATTAGCAGTATTAATCCTCGCTTAAGGAGACGTACGCAGTAACACAGCTATCGCCGCCCGATTTAACCTTACGCTATTATAATTTAACGTTATAAACGCGTTTATATACGCGCCCCTCCCCCACGATATCTTTATATACCCGCCGCCAGGCTTTCCAGCCCTTAGGAGTCGTTTACACCTGAAAAAGGCGTTATATAGACTTAAGAAGTCTCCACTACTTTAGTAAAAGCACTTTTCGGCTATCCTTTTAACGGACGGCTTCTAGATAGTGCCGTAAGAACCGTGTTATTTTCTACGCCGCGGTTTAATCCTATTCTTCTATGTTAACGATATCGTTATTACTTATAAGGAATAATATAAGACGTAGATAGAGCAGGCCATTAATAACCTGCAACGCCACTATAACCTATAAAGTAGCGATCCTCTATAGTAGTTTCTTAGTATTAAGGTTATTCGCGACCGCGTCGCCCGTAAAATCTGGTTATCATAACACGACTACGTTACTAAGTTAGAACGCCTATTAAAGCCGAATAGCAAACATAGCAGTAACTATCGCCTAACGTACGTAATTCAGGTTATAGAGCTACTACCCTATTCAGGGACCTCGACTAACGTTAAAAGCTATTAACGGAAGATAGGATCTATACTATACGCAGTAGTGATATCACGGCCTAATATCGCGTTTATAGTATCTAGGCTATACCGGTTCAACGTCAATCCAGGGCCTATTCACCACGAGGCCGCCGATTATCTAATCCTCTATCTGATTAATAGCCAATCGTTTACGTTAGAACTAGGGGGTGGCGATACTATTAAAATCTACACTAACGCCTCCTTGACCGATAATACCCTCGATCGAAAGAGCAGTTAAGCCTATATAATACGCTTATTTAGCAGTATAATAGCATGGCGCGCTAATAAGCAGGATACGGTTATAACGTCTATAACGGAAGCAGAGCTATTAGCGTTAGTATAAGATGTAAAAGAGGGTATCTTCATATAACGCCTATTACTTAGTATAGGAGTGGAATTTAACGATCCGGAATTAAGGATCTTATACGACAATAACCAAATAATTCGATTAGTCAATTATGAGATCAGCACGTTAATAACGCGCCTCCGCCACGTCGATATCCACGGCCACTAGTTACGTTAAGCAAAGGAATAAGGGTAAATACTCGTAACGTACGTTACGAGCGCGGAAATAATGGCAGACGGATTAACGAAGGCGTTATACGGCGAGAAATTTAAGATATTCAGGTCCTAGGTGGGCGTGATAGATATACGGGAACGGTTATCGCAGAAACAGCTAGAGGAAGTCCGGATAGAATATTTGAAGGACCTAGAGGATGAATTTAAGGGCGGCTATAGCGAACAGATTATATAGCTAGATTGTCTGCCGATTACGAATAGCTTTAATCGCCTAACTAACGTTTAGGGCGATTAGGGGGTGTGTCGAATAGACCACAGTCTTTTCGGTTATATAATAGGCCGGATTACCAAGAGTATAATCCGGGTAGACGCTTGCAGAATCTGCACTATATAAAATACGGTGGCAGCGTTTCCCTGACGGTCTGAGACAGTCAAAAATTATACATAATTGCCTCAATTAATTTCGACCTATTTTTGTGACGATTTTGACTACGCTTTATCTGACACACGTCGGCATACGAATCTTCACCCCTAGTCGTCGATCTGTGGAGCTCAAGATATGCCGGCGTCCCACTTACAGTGTAACCTTACACTACGTCTGTCCATTCTTCTTGATCAGACCCGCCAAGCCACCTTGCAGATAGTCGCCATATGAAACGCTCTCTCTCGCTTCCTCCTCCTTCTTACCGCCTTCTTCGCCGGCGGGGTTCCAGGGGTGGACGGTATCCTCCCAGCCGAGATTGACGAAAAAGGGCAACGATTGGCGCTCGGCATTGACCCATTTGACGCGGTGGATGGGCGCCGGGTAGTAGTCGTTGGTGATGTGGGCCATGTAGCTCCCGCAGTTGACCAGGAAGCCCGAGTCGTCGGCCTCGATGTCGAGCCACCCCTGCGGCGTCTTGACCTGCAGGTTCTGCACGTCGGACTGGTACAGCACCGTGATGAGCGAGACGTCCTCGTGCCACTCGAAGCTGAGCTTGGTGCCGTCGTCGGCCGTCTTGATGGCCGGCGCGGGGTAGTCCTCCAGGTACGGGTAGCGGATCAGCACGACCGAGGAGAGCGTGGTGTCCCGGCGGAAGTGGCGCGTGAACAGGTCCTCCTGCTGGCCCAGCGCGAGGGCGTACCCGCGCAGCAGGGCCTCCGAGACGCCGAAGACGTCCCAGTAGTACTTCTCGGCGAAGGCGCGGAACCCGGGGTGCTTCTCCTCGTCGGGCCACACGTTGACCTCGTGCATGGGCGTCGGGTGGGCGATGCGGGGGTGGTCCGGGGTGAACGAGGGGTTGAGGTAGCAGAAGGACTCGACCGCCTTCTTGCCCGGAATGGGCAGGTAGTAGCCGGAGCGGATTTGCGACTGGTGCTCCTTGTTGTAGGCGCGGATGGCCAGTTCCCATTTTTCGTCGTCGGTGATGGTTCGGTGGAACTTGGCCGTCTCATGGGAGAGCCGTGGGAGGTCGACGCCGTGGTGGACGGCGTAGAAGAAACCCGTGTCCCGCGAGGCGGCGTCGATGGCCTTTGCCACGCGGAGCTTTGCCTCCTTGTCGTCTCCGAAGAGGGGAGAGACGTCGATGCGGGGGACGTTGGCGACAGGAACAGAACCCATGGTGTCTGTGTGAGTGGTGTAGAGAAAGGGGAGGCGCGATGTAAGAGCAGTGAGCACAGGTAATAGCACAGGTATGAGGGATGAGCTGGAGTGCAATGTGAGTAGGGGGGTGCTCGTGTAAGTAAGAGGCAGAGAAAGGGCTGGTGACTAGGCGAGACGGGTGACTCGTGAGACTCTTGTGGTTGAAAAAAAAGGGGGTAGCACTAGAACCCGTCGATCAACGTTGTGCATTAAATAAATACACGAATCTGTAGATATATGACCGGATCAGAATTCTTTGCCCCTCCATTCCATCCCTCTTGATGTGAGGGTATTTCCCTTTTGGTGCGGCCTGCGGCTGGGTGGCAATGCGAACTACATGTGCCTACACTATGTGTACTGAAAGTGCATGTGCTCTGCTCTTAGCAAATCATGGCCCATGATCCCGGCTGCAGATCGACGTCTTGGGAACCGATATAGGGGCCCATGTTCTAGGAAGGTAGTCGAGAACTACCCCCGCCAAGAGGATGCTAAGATGCACTGCAGCACTTCTATCCAGAGCCGCTTGACACGGTTTACTGCTTCCTCCACATGCCGTCTTGCGGCTAGTTTGGTTTCTTGAAGCATCAAATCTAACATACGACGTACATGGGCCCTGTGAGATCAAGCTGCATACCGAGCGGCCCAGGCATGGGTCGATGGGCCATGCCGCCGTTGATCCGTGGACCCAGCGATACGCTGATGTTCAGAGACTTTCCGAGAACGGCTCGCAACGTGCATATCCCTTCTCCGGCTTATCCCACAAGAGTTTGGTACCAAATAACAACACGGCGGTGAGACCACATGGTGCAGCAAAGACGTGGATTCCCGTCCAGGTGCCTCCGGATCATCGTATCTCGAGCCTTGCGGCTTGCCACAGCCCATGGCCCACGGCCCAGGGCCCGACTCGCTGCAGATATGAAAGACATAGCGGGGTATGGGCCATATGCTCCAACGTGGGCCATTTCGCCTCTTTGCCTACTCCATGTAGTAACGTGCGATCTTCTATGGTGAAGCCGGACCCTTACCGGCAGGGGTGAAGGATCCAGCGTAGTCGATGCATGTGGGTTCTGCAGCCTTTGGGACTTGCAGATATTTTCTCCCTTCTCTTTTTGCGTTCCTAGAAATATAAGACGTGTGAAGAAAGGACTTTGTCGATAAAGGAAAGCCCTCGTTGACATTATTGTTCCATTCGCCTTGGAGAGATACGTTTGCTCACTGCTCACTTGCATCCATCCGATTCCTTCCCTGCGGGTCGTTCCCCTGAGCCCCTGAGCCCCTCACCCCCTTTCCCCCTTTTCCCCCCTTCGAACAACATGGAGCATTCCGGGACAAACGGAACAAACGGAACAAACGGCGTTGCAATCAACGGGTAAGTCGAATAAGGGTTGATTTATTGTCCATCTCCCCGAAAAAAAAAAGTTGAGAATACAGAGAGAGACGTCGTTGGGACAAGCAACTGATATAACCAAACCCCTGTCCACACGATTAGGAATCACAGCCCACCCACCAAACATGACGCCTTACAAACCCCCAAAGGCGTCATTCACGTCAAAGCTGCCAGAAATGAAGGGCCCCAACCGCCGGTCCCGAACTGCTGGATCAGTTCCGCTGCGCTGGAACGGTGGAAACAAACGGCCCGGGCTTTCCCCGAGCGCTGCGACCTCAGCGGCCTGAGTCTGCAACCGGTGCAATACCAACTGGCATCGACCGGAGTGTCGGTGAACCGGACCAGCAGCACCGACTCCGGCCAAGCTCCGTCTCCCACTCCTCCCACCCTCGCCCTCACCCTCGCCCAGCGCTCTACCGTCGTGTCGGGCGACCTTATCCCTCAACTGAAACATGTCTGCTCGCAGAGACGACTGGATGCCAAGTCCCTGGTGCTCTTTGCCGTGCACCAAATGCTCAAGGGCCACGGAAACGGCTCTCATACCGTTATCGCATCGTTCGTCTCGCGGACATCCCAACGGCCCGATTCTGGTTCATCAACGGCCGCCGCGTCGCTGGTTGTCCCCTCTGTCGTGGATCACGGGGATCGACCGAACCAGACGGTCGATTCTGCCTTGTCCCAAATCGGCCTGGGCACGGGGTCGGTTGACTGGGACGAGGAGCCCCTGATTCCCGTGGCGACAGACGACCTCGTCAAGTCCGAACTTGTCGATCTCATGGTGGTTTTTGACGACAACGAACACGAAGACAACTTGAGCGACACACCGCTACCAGGAGGAGAATTCATGTTTCCTCTCATCCTCCGTATAACTTTCGGGGAGACGCAATGGAAATTCTCTCTGCAATACCGCCGCAGTCTCTTCGACGGACCCGTCATCGACAGCTTCCTGGGCTCGCTGCACACCCTCCTGGCAGCCTCCCTGCGGCCCTCTCTCCCGCTGGCGGACATCGAACTCCTCCCGGCCGAACAAGTCGCCCAGCTAAACGAGTGGAACAACACGGACGGCGACTACCCGGCAGACAAGAGACTGCACCACCTGTTCGAAGACGTGGCGTCACGTCGCGGGGACAAGGTGGCCGTCCTTTGCGGCGCCAAACGCATCACCTACAGCACGCTGAATGCGCGGGCCAACCGCTTGGCGCGCCATCTCTCCGACATCATGGGCATCCAGCCCGAGCAGCTCGTCGGCCTGTTCCTCGACAAGAGCGACAAGCTGGTCGCCACCATCCTGGGCGTTTGGAAGTCGGGCGCCGCCTACGTGCCCATCGACCCGGCCTATCCGGATGACCGCGTGCGGTTCGTGCTGGAGGACACGCAGGTCCGCGTCGTCCTGGCGAGCGAGAGACACGTCCATCGGCTGAGGGACCAGATCGCCGCGGCGGGGCGAGATCTCCTCCGTGTCATTGCCATTGAGCCTCTCCTGGAGTCTCTCGAGTTGCAGAGACTGCAGCAGCAGCAACAACAAGACGGCGACGCCTCTTCGGAAAACCTGACCCATCTGCCCCTCCACAGCAAACAGCTCGCCTACGTCACGTACACCTCCGGCACGACGGGATACCCCAAGGGCATCCGCAAGGAACACACGAGCGTGGTCAACAGCATCACCGATCTCTCGTCCCGGTACGGCGTGGCCGGTCAGGAGGACGAAGTGGTGATGCTCTTCTCGGCCTACGTGTTCGAGCCGTTCGTCCGTCAGATGCTGATGGCCCTGACGACGGGGAACCGGCTCGCCATCATCGGCGACGACGAAAAGTTCGACCCGGACGTCCTGCTCCCCTTCATCCAGAAGCACAAGGTCAGCTACATCAACGGGACGGCGTCGGTGCTGCAGGAGTACGATTTCACCGCGTGCCCTTCGCTCAAGCGCATCATCTTGGTCGGGGAGAACCTGACCGAGGCGCGCTACGAGGCTCTCCGGCGACGGTTCCAGGCCCGGATATTCAACGAGTACGGCTTCACCGAGTCGGCCTTCGTCACGGCCCTCAACATCTTCGAGCCGACGTCGGAGCGGAAAGACACGAGCCTGGGCCGCCCCGTGCGGAACGTCAAGTGCTACGTGTTGGACGCGAACCTCAAGAGGGTGCCCATAGGCGTCACGGGCGAACTGCACATCGGCGGCCTGGGCATTTCGAAAGGCTACCTGAACCGGGAGAAGCTCACGCGGGAGAAGTTCATCCCCAACCCGTTCCGGACCGAGAGGGAGCGCCGGCTGGGCATCAACGGGTTGATGTACAAGACGGGCGACCTGGCGCGCTGGCTGCCCAACGGAGAGGTCGAGTACCTGGGCCGGGCGGACTTCCAGATCAAGCTGCGCGGTATCCGCATCGAGCCGGGAGAGATCGAGTCGACGTTGGCCATGTACCCCGGCGGACCTGTCCGGACGAGCATCGTCGTGTCGAAGAAGCTGATCGGCAAGGAGGGCCGGGAGACGACCCAGGACCATCTCGTGGGGTACTACGTGTGCGACGAGCGGGCCTTGGACGAGGACGAGCTGCTGATGTTCCTCGAGACCAAGCTGCCTCGGTATATGATCCCCACAAGGCTGGTCCAGCTCGGCCAGATTCCCGTCACCACCAATGGCAAGGCTGACCTCCGTGCCCTTCCCGCTGTCGAGGTGGCCCCGTGTCCATCCCGGTCGTCTGACGGGGTTGATGTGAACACGGAGGGGCCGAGGACGACGAAGACCGAGATGGAAAGTCGGCTGGCCGGTATCTGGGGAGACGTGTTGTTGATTGCGTCGGGGGGGGTTGGGCCCGAGTCCAACTTCTTCCGCCTCGGAGGGCATAGTATCGCCTGTATCCAGCTCATTGCTCGGGTGAGGCGGCAGTTGGGTCGGACGATCACTCTGGAAGAGGTCTTCCGGGCGAAGACTCTGCAAGAGATGGCCGAACTCTTGGAGGGCAAGCCGAGCGCCAACGGTGTAGGCGTTGTGACGAATGGCACTGGCCACGCCAACGGCATCACCAACGGTGTGAATGGTCACGATCACGGCCACGGCCAAGGCCACGGCCACGGCCACAGCGTCAACTACCTTGCCAACAGCCTGCAACAAGGCTTCGTATACCACTCACTCAAGACCGAGCGGTCCGACGACGCCTACATCATGCAGTCCCTCCTTCATTACCAAGTGGCCTTGGACGAGAGGCGTTACCAAAGTGCCTGGGAGAGGGTGCAGCGGCAACATCCCGCCTTGCGACTGCGATTCGCATGGGAAGCCGAGGTGATGCAAGTCGTCAACCCAGAACCCATGGCCACCTGGCGAGTGATCGACTGGACAGACGTCTCAGACCAAGGGGAACGACAAAGGCTGCTGGAAAAGATGCAAATCGACGACCGTTCCCGTGCCTATCGTCTCGACGAGGGCTCCCTGGTCCAACTCTACTTCTTCCTCTTGCCGGAGCAGCAATCCCTATGTCTGTTCAGCTGCCACCATGCCATCCTCGACGGATGGAGTCTGCCGTTGCTCTTCGAGTATGTCCACCAGGCCTACCTGGACCTGACAGACGGGACTGCCGGGACTGCCGAGACCCAACTTGAAGAACCGGCCCAAGAGGACGCGACCTACCTCCTCAGTCAGCAGTATCTCCAGGATCACAGAGACGACCACCTGGACTTTTGGGCGGAGCAAATCGACAAGATCGAGGAGCGCTGCGACATGAACGCCCTCCTGAACGAAGCCAGCCGCTACAAAGTGCCCCTGTCCAACTACGACCAGATCAAGGAACAAAAGCAACAGACCGTCGACCTCCCCTGGGGCAACAAGTCCATGAGCCTCGCGGCAAAACAAGAGCTCGACAGCCGGGGCATCACCCTCCATTCCGTCCTGCAGCTGGTCTGGCATCTCGTGCTCCATTCGTACGGCGGCGGCACGCATACCATCACCGGCACCACCATATCCGGCCGCCACCTCCCCGTCGACGGCATCGAGCACGCCGTCGGCCTGTTCATCAACACGCTGCCCCTGATCTTCGACCACGTCCTGAGCCGCGACATGACCGCCCTGGAGGCCATCACCCACGTGCAGAGCCAAGTCAACGCCATGAATTCCAGGGGCAACGTCGAGCTGGGGCGTCTGCAGCAAAACGACTTGAAGCACGGCCTCTTCGACTCGCTGTTCGTCTTGGAGAACTACCCGAACCTCGACACCACGAGACGAGAGCTACACCGGAAGACGTTGAAGTACACGGTCCAAGGCGGCACCGAGAAGCTCAGCTACCCCCTGGCTGTCATTGCGCAGGAAGAACATGAAGACTCGGACGGCAACGGCGGCGGCTGCTCGTTTACCCTCTGCTACGCCAGCGAGCTGTTCGCCGACGAGTCCATCGAGGTGTTGCTGCACACGGTCCGCGACACCTTCCGCACCGTCACGGAAAACCTCCATGCGCCGATCCGCGGCATCGAGTTCCTCTCCTCGAACCAGATCGCCCTCCTCGACAGGTGGAATGCCACCGACGCCGAGTACCCCAACGCCACGCTGCACGCCATCTTCGAGTCCGAGGCGCTCCAGAAACCGAAAAAGACCGCCGTGGTGTACGAGGACGTCCGGTTGACCTACGAGGAGCTCAACAGCCGCGCCAATGCCCTGGCGTACCATCTCCTCCGAGAGGCCCCTTCGCTGCGACCCAACAAGCTCGTGGCCCTGGTCATGGAGAAGAGCGAGCACATGATCACGAGCATCCTCGCCGTGTGGAAGACGGGGGCCGCCTACGTGCCCATCGACCCGGGCTATCCCGACCAACGAATCCAGTACCTCATCGACGACACGGCGTCCCTGGCCGTCATCGCCGACGTTCCTCACCTGGACCGCCTCCGTGCCATCACCAAGGGCCGGCTACCCCTGATCCCGTCCGACCTGGCCCCGCGCCTACCGCCGAGCGCCGTGCATCCCGTCTCCGCCTCAAGCTGTACCCCGGCGGACCTAGCCTACATCATGTACACGTCCGGCACGACGGGTCTCCCCAAGGGCGTCATGGTCGAGCACCACGGCGTCGTCAACCTCTGCGCCTCGCTGGGTCGCATCTTCGGGCTGCGAGACACCGACGACGAGGTGATCCTCTCCTTCTCCAACTACGTCTTCGACCACTTCGTCGAGCAGATGACCGACGCCCTGCTGAACGGCCAGACCCTCGTGGTCCTCAACGACGAGATGCGCGGCGACAAGGAGAGGCTCTACCGCTACATGGAGGCCAACCGCGTCACCTACCTCTCGGGCACGCCGTCCGTCATCTCCATGTACGAGTTTGACCGCTTCCACGCCCACCTCCGCCGCATCGACTGTGTCGGCGAGGCTTTCAGCGAGCCCGTCTTCGACAAGATCCGCGAGTCCTTCCCGGGCCTCGTCATCAACGGGTACGGGCCCACGGAGGTGTCCATCACCACCCACAAACGCCTCTACCCCTTCCCGGAGCGGAGGACCGACAAGAGCATCGGGAAGCAGGTGCACAACAGCAAGAGCTACGTCTTGAACGGTGATCGGAAGCGCGTGCCTATCGGGGCCGTCGGGGAGCTGTATCTCGGCGGCGACGGCGTGGCGCGCGGGTACCATAACCGCCCGGACCTGGCGTCGGAGCGCTTCCCGCCGAATCCGTTCCAGACGGAGCAGGAGAGGCGAGAAGGTCGGAACTGTCGTCTCTACAAGACGGGCGACTTGGTGCGGTGGATCCGGACCCCCGAGGGCGAGGGCGAGGTGGAATATCTCGGCCGCAACGACTTCCAGGTCAAGATCCGCGGGCAGAGGATCGAGCTCGGGGAGATCGAGGCCGTCTTGTCGTCGTACCCGGAGATCCAGCAGTCGGTCGTCGTCGCCAAAGACCGCGAGAGCGATGGACAGAAGTACCTCGTCGGGTATTTCGTCTCGGACTCGGCCGTCCCCCTCTCGGCCCAGGTGATTCGGCGCTTCATGCACACGAGGTTGCCGGAGTACATGGTCCCCGCGCGGCTGGTGCCCATCGACAAGATCCCCGTCACGGTCAGTGGGAAGCTGAACGCCAAGGCATTACCGGACCCCGGGGAGCTGGTAGAAGAGGAGAAGGTGGCGCCCCGGACCGAGGCGGAACGGACCCTCGCCGAGATTTGGTCCGAGTTGCTCGGGATCCCCTTGGCGGGCATTGGCATCTATAACAGCTTCTTCAGTCTCGGCGGCGACAGTCTCAAGAGCACCAAGCTTTCGTTCGCCGCCACCAAGGCCTTCGGGGTGTCCGTCAGTGTCAGTGACCTGTTCAGCCACCCTACCGTCGAGGCCCTGGCGCATCTGATCACTAGGGGCCGGGGCAAGGGCCAGGGCAAGGGCAAGGGCGAGGACAAGTCGGCAGACGTCGGGAGGGTGAGACCGGGAGGTGTCCGGAAGGACGACACGGTCGAGGACATCCCCGTGTCGCCAGCCCAGGAGAGACTGATATTCATCCACGAGTTTGACCAGAGCCAGAACGACCACGCCTATAACATCTCCCTCCAGCTCACGCTTCGCCAAGATGTCTCTCTCGAGGCGCTCGAAAAGGCGTTCTGGGATGTCGTCTCCAGACACGAGGCTCTGCGGACGTTGATCGTCAGGCCAACGCACAGCCAGAGACACTGCCAGAGAATCCTCGAGGCCGATGCGGCGCAAAGGCTCTTCCACGTCGAGGTCCTGCCCCTGGATTCTGAGAGCCAGATGCACGCCAAGATGGTGGAGAGCGCGGAACATGCCTTTGCCCTTGATGCCGAACTGCCCATCCATGTGCGCCTCTACGAGACGCAGACACAGACCCAGACCCAGACCCAGACCCAGACACAATCCCGCTCGTACGCCAGCATCGTCTTCCATCACCTCGCATTCGACGCCTGGTCGTGGGACATCTTCGAGAGAGACCTGGCCGAGTTATACTCCGTGCACGCCGGCCACAAGACGGCCGCCAGTCTCCCGCCCCTCCGCGTCCAGTACAAGGAGTACGCCCTGGAACATCGCAAGACCCTACGGGACGACCAGGGCCGTCGCCACCTCGCCGACTACTGGCTCCGCAAGCTCAGCGATCTAGAGCCTTCGTACCTCGTCACCGACCGGCCGCGGCCCAGCCAGTTCGACTACGCCGGCCACGACCTCGACGTGTGCATCGGCGAAGAAGTGACCGACAAGCTGAGGAACCTGGCCAAGCGCCAAGGGACGAGCCTCTACACCGTGGTCATCGCCGCCTACTTCCTGCTCCTCAACGTCTACACGAACCAGCGGGATGTGACCGTCGGCATCCCCGTCGCCCATCGTACCCATGCCGAGTTCGAGTCGGTTGTCGGCTTCTTCGTCAACTTGCTCCCCCTGCGGGTGAATCTCGCCGACACGAACGTCCACGGGCTCGTCCAGGCCGTGCACAAGGAGTTCTTGGATGCCCAGGCCCACAAAGACCTGCCTTTCCAGGACATCACCAAGCTGTTGCACGTGCAGCATGATCCGAGCCGCCACCCCCTGGTGCAGATCGTGTTCAACTGGGAGACGACGCAGGCGGTCGTTGCGGACGAGAATGACAAGGCGGACGGCAAGCCGCTTCTCCAGGAATATAGCCCCCCGTCTGGTTCTAATCCCCTGCCGTCCGTGGCCAAGTTTGACCTGAACGCCACCGTCCGGGAGAGCACGTCGTCGCTGAAAATCAACTTCAACTATGCCACCAGCCTCTTCGACGCCGAGACCATTCAGGGGTTCCTGGACACTTTCCACCACCTCCTCCGACGACTGGCGAATAGCACCCCTGAGATGGCCCTCTCGGAGCTTCAGCTCGCTGCATCTGTTCCCAATGGTGTCGCTGTAACGTCGTCCACCAACGGCGAGGCCGCCGCCACCCCGACACAGACTCTCGGCGACATGTTCGAAGCCCAAGCCGCCGCCACACCAGACCGTGTCGCCCTTGCAGACGGCTCTACCAGGCTGTCCTACCTCGAGACCAACGCCCGAGCAAACCGGCTGGCCGGCTGGATGTCCTCTCATCTCGGCATGGGCCCAAGCGATCGCGTTGCCCTGCTTCTCGACAAGAGCATCGACATGGTCGTGGCCATCCTGGCCGTCTGGAAGATCGGCGCCGCCTACGTCCCCATGGACCCGGACTACCCGCGGCAGAGAATCGAGTACATCTTGAAGGATGCCGGCGCCCGGCTGCTGATCACCGCGAGCAAACATGTCCCCGGGCCGGAAACCACCGGCGGCGGCGTGTGTACCCTGGCCCTTGACGACCCCGAGACCCCCGCGGCCCTCCAGCAGCACGAGACGTGGAGTCCAAACGCCGTCGTCGTCCCCCAGCGGAGCCTCTCCGACTTGGCCTACATCATCTACACATCCGGGACCACCGGCAAGCCAAAGGGCGTTCTGGTAGCGCAGAGAAGCGTAGCCCGGTTCCGCAACGCCGTGGTCAGCCGGTACTTCGGCCAGACGAACGGCTCGCACGCGGTGCTCTTCCTCTCCAACTACGTCTTCGACTTCTCCATCGAGCAGCTCGCCCTCGGCATCCTCAGCGGCAACAAGCTCGTCATCCCGCCCGAGGAGGGCCTGACGCACGAGGCCTTCTACCACCTCGCCGACGCGGAACAGCTGACCTACCTCAGCGGGACGCCGTCCGTGGTGCAGCAGATCCAGCTGTCCCGGCTGCCGCACCTGCGCATGGCCACCGTCGCGGGCGAGGAGCTCCACGCGAGCCAGTTCAAGGCCATGCGCGCGCAGTTTGGCGGCCCCATCAACAACGCCTACGGCGTCACCGAGACCACCGTGTACAACATCGTCACCACCATGGCGGGAGAGGCGCCTTTCACCAAGGCGCTGCAGGACGAGCTTCCCGGCACGCATGCCTACGTCCTGAATGACCGACTCGAGCCCGTGCCCCGGAATGCGGTGGGCGAGCTGTACCTCGGCGGTGCATGTCTCGCCCGGGGCTACCTGAACAAGGAAGACCTCACGAGAGAACGATTCATCCCGAACCCCTTCATCGTTTCGAGCCGGGACGGGAGGGGGGAGAAGGAGGAGCACCTGCATGATGTGCTTTACAAGACCGGCGACATGGTGCGCTTCCGCGGGTCCCGGCATCTCGAGTTCCTGGGACGACGAGATCAGCAGGTCAAGTTGCGCGGCTTCCGCATCGAGCTCTCCGAGGTGCGGGACGCCATTCTGGCCATCCCGGGTATCAAGGAAGCCGCCGTGGTGCCCCGTTACGAGCGCGACGACCCGGCTTCCCGCGCCATCAGCGCCCTGTCCTGCTATTACACCCTCCAAGACGGAGCGTCGCACTCGCATTATACGCCGTCGGACGTTCGGGACCGTCTGCGCGACAGCGTCCCCCCTTACATGATCCCGAGCCAGATTCATCGTCTGGAAGGGTCCCTCCCCGTGACGGTCAACGGGAAACTCGACATGAAGCAGCTGAGCATGACCGAGGGCGCCAAGCCCGAGTGTTACGTCGCGCCGCGGGACGAGCTGGAGGTGAAGCTGTGCCAGCTCTGGGCGTCGATCCTGGGCATAGACGGCAACTGCGGAATCGACGATGATCTTTTCGCCAGGGGCGGCGACAGCATCTCGTCGTTGCGGTTGGTGGGCGATATCTACCGTGTCCTGGAGCGCAAGGTCACGGTGAAGGATATCTACCTCCATCGGACCGTCCGGAGCCTGTGCGAGAACGTCCTGCGAGACGGGGAGGAAAAGCAAAGAAGACGGAAGGAGCTGACGAACGGAACGGAGCCGGCTGCTGCTGCTGGTTGGCAAGCCGAGCAGGGCGCTGTCGAGGGTGATGCGCCGCTGCTTCCCATCCAGCGCTGGTTCCTGGCCAAGCCGCTGCAGCGTCCCGGATACTGGAACCACTGCTTCACCGTTCGCACGCCAGAATTGTCGGTCGAAAGGCTCCGCAGAGCTCTGCACCTGTTGCAGGAGCGGCATGATGTGCTGCGACTGAGGCTCAGACGCGGCGATGACGGAGACTTTGTGCAGACGTTCCCCCTGAACTGCGCCCCGCCCCATCCGGAGGAGGTCGACGTCGCAGACTTCGGGGATCCTCAAAACGACACGGTCCGGGTCCTGTCGGAGCTTCAATCCAAGTTTGATATCGAGCAAGGCCCGTTGTATGCAGTCGCTTACCTCCACAACTACGCAGACGGTTCGGCCCGCGTCTGGTTCGCGCTGCATCACCTCCTCGTCGACACGGTCAGCTGGAACATCATCCTCTCGGACCTGCAGACGCTGTATCACGGCAACAACCCCGGCCCCAAGACGGCCAGCGTCAAGCAGTGGGCGCTGGCGGCGAAGGACTACTTCATGTCGCTCTCCGAGAAGGCGTACTGGAACTCGGCCCGCGCCAAGGCTGCTGCCCAAGGCCCCGGTCTGGGCATGCCAAATCCGACGACCGTCGGGGGCGCTACATGTACCAAGCACGGAAGCAAGCTTTCCGAGAAGGACACGACGTTCCTCCTCACCAAGAGCTGCGCGGCCCTGAACGCCGGCATGCACGACATCCTCCTGACGGCCGTGGGCGGCGCGATGCAGAAGGTCCTCGGGGACAAAGCGCCAACGGTCGTCACCATCGAAGGTCACGGGCGTGAGGGGGACGCCATGGTCGGCGGGTCCTCATCCTCGGCCTCCTCGCTCGACGTGAGCCGCACCGTCGGCTGGTTCACGAGCATGTACCCCTTCGAGATCCCCAAGGTAGCAAATGATCCGGCCCAGGGCGTCGTCGACGTCAAGGAAAGGTTGGGAAAGGTGCCGAACAACGGCTTCGGCTACGGTCTCGCGTACGGATACCTCGAGCAGGCCCTTCCGGCCGTGAGCGTCAACTACCTCGGCCGTCTGGATCAAGGAGGAAGCCGGCCGAGGCCGGGAGAGTGGGTCCTCGCCCTCGGGGACGGGGAGTTCCCGCACGGCCTGTGCACGGCTGCCGAGGACGCGGGACGCAGCTCGTCCTCTCTGGTGGATTTCACATTCGCCGTTGCCAGGGGGCAGTTGACCGTCGAGATGAGCTGCGCACGGGAATTCGGCGCATCCGAGGCGCTCATCCGCGGCGTAGAAGAGACGCTGGGCGCTCTGATCGAAGCCACCGCGCAACCCGACTTCCACCCTCCGGCGGCATCGGACCCGGACCTCGACTTCACGCCCTACTTCGTCTTCGAGGGTCCGGCGTCCCGCCAAGGCGCTCCGCTCTTCATGCTGCCCCCGGGCGAGGGAGGCGCGGAGAGCTACTTCCACAACCTGGTGCAGGGTCTCCCGCACCGCAACCTCGTCGTGTTCAACAACCACTACCGCGAGAAGAAGACGCTGCGCACCATCGAGGACCTGGCCGCCTACTACCTGGCGCACATGCGTTCCATCCAGCCGGAAGGGCCGTACCACATCCTCGGCTGGAGTTTCGGCGGCATCCTGGGCCTCGAGGCGGCGAAGCGGCTGACGTGCGACGGCGAGCGGGTTGCGACGTTGGCCTTGATCGATCCCTATTTCGACATCCCGTCGGCCGCCAAGGCCGTTGGCCATGTGGAGGGGTCGATCCTGGATCCCATCTATGATGTGTACCGGCCCGACCCGGAGAGTTTCAAGGCGGTGCAAGATGGTACGGATCGGGTGATCCTTTTCAAGGCCACCGAGACCAACGACCAGGACGGAACACCGACCAGGATGAAGCTGTTCCGCTGGTACGCGGCGTCGCCGATGAACAACCTGGACATGTTTATCGACCGGGATGCCATTCAGGTGGTTCCGTTGAAGGGGACCCATTTCACCTGGGTTCATGTGTCGGAGCAAGTGGCTGCCATGTGTGCCCGGTTAGAGGAGTGAGCAAGGCTGCAAGTGGTGCGATGCGATGGGAGTTGAGAGGAGTTGGAGGAGTTGGAGGAGTTGAGAGGGGAGGGAGATGATGATATGCCTGGACACGTAGAGGCGTCGAGGCGTCGAGGCGTCGAGGCGTTGGGGGAGGATGAACATGGGCGTCGGGATCAACTTTGTCCTTGTTCTCTTCTTTTATTTTCTTTTTTCTTTTTTCTTTTCCATTTTTCTTTCTTTTTTCCTCATTTTTGATGGGCTGCAGTGCAGGTTCGTGATGGATGGATCATGGAGTTCAGGATAAAGGCAGGATGAAGGCGCAAGGACCGGGATACCTAGTCAGGTGATAAGAGATAAGATAATGTCGGTGCTTATCGTTGTTATCTTATCTTTTCGTATGATGTCACACTTCGCTCCACGTGGGACAAAACCACAGCACAGAGCTACGGTCAGCTACCCGTATAGGTACCCAGCAGAAGTTCATGGGATATTAATAATATGCCCTTTTCTTAGCATGGCATGGCCTTATTCGGATAGAAACTGGCTGAAAGTAGACTGCGAACTAAGAAGACAGGGACTGTAGAGAAGGGGATATGAAGAGAAAATGAAAAAAAAAAAAGAACCATGAAAGAAACACCACAACTCATGCCCACCTCCGTCTGTCCCGGCCTTGCTGATACCGGTGATGCAACCCCAGAGCCGTCATCACCGCCATAATAGCCCACCTCTCGCCCAACAAACCCGAATCCCCCGTGCCGAAAAAGCCAAAGCGCAGGACCTTGCTAAGATTCATAAACGACGACGACTCGGAAACCGCCGCAACGACCTCGGCCCCGTCACTCCCCCTGGCCACGATATGTCTCGCCCACGCCGCGCGATCCGACCCCGCCGGCGGCCCATTCGCCAACCGCACGAGCTTCCACCCGTACCCTATCCCGCCAAGCCTGGCCACGGCGTCGCCCCGGCTGCGGCGCCACTCGAACCGCTCCATCGGCACCTGACCACCACTACCACCACTGCCATTGCCCACCTCGAGGGCAAACTCGAACCCCACGCGGGGAAAGTCGACGACCGTCTCCAGCGCCACCACGGCGGGGGCACCCGGGAAGGGCGACGGCGGGAGGCGCACGAGCATATTCTGGTTCTGGCCGAACGGCGGGGGTTCCTCGAGGGTGGCGAGGGGAGGGTGGCCCATGGTGGGCCCGGAGTGGAGGACGAGCTCGACGTCGCGGCGGAAACCGGCGCGGATTTCGAGGGCGTAGATGGGCTCGGAAGGGTGCTCGCCGAGGACCATGTCGTCGGTGAAGGGGAGACGGTAGACGTCGAAGGCGGTCGGGAACTGGCGCGGGATGGGGGCCATGGGGGCCATGGGGCCCGGTTTCGGGGCTTGTGCGCTGCTGCTCGCGCCGGGTTGGGGCCGTGCGGCGGCGGGTGACGAGGGCGATGATGCCGCTCGACGGTGTTCATTTTGGTAGGCTGGGTATGGCGAGAGTCTGCTGGGACTTGGTGGCGCTGCTGGGTCTGGGCTGGTCGGGAGGGAAGGTTGCGTTGATTCTGCCCGGGCCGAGTGCGCTCGAGGACGGAATGGGCCACTCGGACTTGCAGAGGACGGTGCGGGCCGTGCGGGGACTGGTCGTACTGGTTGTAGAAAGGGGTTGTTTGAGTTGTTTGAAGAGCCTACTGCCTCTTCGTAGGATGGGGGAGGTTCGTCAGGAGGTGCATTGGTCACTATGGGCGGTACAGACGACATGATGGCAGCGTGGCTTGGGGGAAGTTGGTGATTGTGTTGCAGCTTCGAAATAGTTGATGACGAACTTGGGGAGAGAGTAAGAATTAGGTAGGTACCTTCCTTATTAGTAAGGGAGATGAATGTACACTACAACGTACGGACGTAACGTCGGCATTATACGACGTACCTACCCCGCCGAAAGATACGTACTACAGGTACCTTACCTTACCTTAGGCTGGGGCGGCTGCCTCCCGAACTTGATTACTCACGAGCACCGAGATGATAGACCGTGCCGTATACAGTTTATACACAGTATATATACTGTAGATGCTGTCGTAGACTTGATCCTTCCCCATTCACTTCCGTCTCTTTTCCCCCTTTCCCCCTTCGGAAATTCTCACGATTTCACCTCGACACATAAACACCTCGACTTTAGATCCGAGTTCTGGTCTTGGTCTTGGTTCTTGCTACCTATTGCCTATGTCTGCTGACCGTTTATACCAACAGCTTCCTCGACTAGAATACCCCTAGGGTTGGCGTCGGATCCTCGTCCTTCCACTGGTAGCCGTCTCGCCTTACCCTCACCCCTGGAGGCTGGAGGGCGCTATGGGTCGTTGTCTTGCCATCTTGCCATTCTTACCGCCCTGGCGTGACGTTTCGTCGTTTTCGCCTTTCACGGACGGACCATAAGGTTTGTGATTTATACTTCACGCCGAGCTTGAATCCAACAACGCAGGGAGTTGCAAGCTCAGGGCCCGACTGAGAACTAATTGACCGGAGCTTCCAAGGACTCCAAGTGCCTTTGAATTTCCCCTGGCCGTCCTCCTTCTCGAATCCTCTTTTTCAACGCTGATTTGTTGAGGCAGACAATAGGTTGTCGACCATCTCTGGTTTTTCGTCATTGGCGAGCGGCGTAACCACCTCTTTTTTTCATTTTTTATTTTATTTTCCAATTCCCTTGATCGATCGACTGTTCCAGCCGCTTCATCCGATTGGAGACAAGGGAGGGACAAACTAGAAAACTGCCTCAGCCCTACCCACGTTCGGTCCTTTTTCCTCCGGATCCCCAATATCTGTCCTCCATGACGCTGCATGGTTTGTGGGTTGGTTCGCTCTAGCGGTAGACCGTCAGAAACCTTCCCACACCGGCCAGGAGAAAAATCAAAACCGCTTCTTCTCTCGGCGGCTTGTCAAGCCACACTATGGACAGGTACCATCGGCCGATGACAGCGTTGCCGCCGTTGCCTCGCCGTCTCATCTTCGTCAGAGACCGCCGGCCCTCAACAAAATCAACCACAAACATCATACCATGAAATTTACAATTATCCGAACCTCTCCAGCCATGCCGTTATCCAAGTCCAGTGAGCTCATATGCTTTGCCATCGAGATGGCCGGCCGAACTCGACCACAGTTAACGTTACTCCGGTTTCACCTCACGTTGCGAGTCCCGTTGCGAGTCCCGCCAGCTGGGGCTACTGTGTGGAAATGAAGACAACGCCTCCATTCTGCAGAGCCTGCTGGCAAGGCCCTCCACAAGAAGTTCTCTACTGCCGTTGAGGGGTACAAGCAAAGCAAACTTCGGCCGCTCTTCTCTTCACGTCGTCTTGGCAGGGGCGAGGAGACAACAAAGTGGACAACAAAGTACCCGTAACGTTCTCGAAGACGGCGAATCATCGTCCAACTTGTCCGATTTCACGACCCATCTTCATCCCCAACCTCCCTCTTTCTAGAGGGGGTTGGTCAAAAGGGTAAATACTAGCCCTCGCGTCTCATGTTGTGGCCCAAGTCCTCTAGACGGTCTGGACATTTGTCCCGACCCCCCGGCCACGAAATACTCGCTCGCTCAACCGACACATGTTTGTAGCCTCATCCCACGCGGTAGGACATTCTCGTCAAGTCGCCGGACCGAATGTCAGCCATAGCACTGCGAGAATGCGACGACCTTGATGGACCCGGCTAGCCAGATGTTCCTCATTTGACGGGCCACCAGCGATATTCTTACGTCCCGTCCCGCCTTTCTGTCTCGGCACCATTACCAGCGCAATCTTGACCAAATTCAACCGAATGTTCTTCCAATATTCCCAATAACCCCTCTCCCTCACTCCATCATCTCATCATCTCCAAGACCCGCAGAATGGCCTGATTGTGCCCCAACAAAATGCTTATCTATTATGGTCTATTGGGTGAAGACGGACCATCAGAGTTGGGACCGGCAGGTGCACGGAATCGGATGAGGGATAGACTAGAGATGTCCACCCGACCTTGGTTGAGTTTTCCCCAAGAACGGAACCGGACCTAGAACGTCAGGTCCGTGATGGCTGGTGATGGGGCTGGGGAAAGCCGAGACTGTAGGACCTCTCCATGTGACAGTGGCAGTCTTCGAAGGCCGGAGTGAGTGGGCGTGGCTTCACCATAGCCAGCGAAAACCCGACTCCATTCCGAGTATAAGAACCCCCGTCATCCTGCTCTCTATACTCTACAGAAGTTCTTCTCCGCTTTGCAAGGACAGCAGCTCAAGAGGTCTCCCTTCATAGTCGGGAAGCTCAGCCATCCTGCCAACAGTTCCCTTGCCCCCTTTTTTTTGTGTGTGTGTTTCCACGCTTTTTCTCATCGTGGTAGCAACAAGGCTCCCTCGCGGTCCCAAGATGAAGACCACCGCAGCTCTCGTCCTCACCGCCGTCGCCGGGGTGCTCGCCGCCCCTGCGCCTGCTCCCGAGCTCCTGGAGCTGACCAAGTCGGTCCCCCAGCGCGCGCAGACCGTCAACCCGGCCTTTGCCCCTTCGAAGCGCGACGCGCAGTACCACGGGCATGGGTCGTCGTGCCACAGCCGCCACTGCCACCAGTCCTACTCGCACAGCTACTCGTACAGCTACCACGACTGGTACAACTGGTGCCACAGTCACTGTTGGCACAAGAAGAACAAGCGCGACGCCGAGCCCGGTGCCCAGGTGCCCAGCGCCCCCCAGCCTGCCTTGGGCAAGCCGCACCTCACGGATCCCGAGAAGCGCGACCCCTCTGGCGGCGGCCACCATGGCCACTCCTATGACTACAAATACTCGTACGACTGGTACTACAACTACTACTGGAGCCACCACGGGGACAAGAAGCATCACCATAAGCGCGCCGAGGAGGCCGACGCCGCCGTGGCTCAGCAGGCCCAGCAGGCCGAGGAGGCTCAGCAGGCTCAGCAGGCCCAGGAGGCTGAGCCGGCTCAGCTAGCCGACCAGTCTTTCACCGCCGCCGAGTTGGAGCAGTTGAACCAGATGGCCGAGCAGGCCGAGCAGGCCCAGCAGGCGGACGCGCAGTGGTGGGGCTGGCGCTACCGTAACCCCTGGTGGCGCTACCCCCCCGGCCGCTACCCCCCCGGCCGCCGCCCGCCTTGGGGCCGTGCCGGGCGCAACCCCGCCGCTGCCGGTGCCGCCGTGAACAAGCGCCAGGAGGCTCCTGAATCCGCCGAGCCCATCGAGTCCGAGGCGGACGATGCCACCGAGTCCACCGAGCCCATGGAGCCCAACGAGGCGGACGATGACACCGAGTACACAGAGGCCATCGACTCCGCCGACTTGGCCGAATCCACCGAGCCCAACCCGGCCACCACCGAGGCCGACGACGAAGCCCTGGCCAACGAGCTCGCCACCGCCGAGCTCGCCGAGTCCAACGAAATGGCGCGCCTGGCCCAGATCGCACAGACGGCCGAGGCCGACGGGGCGGCCCGGTGGTGGCGCTATCGCCATCGCTACCCCTGGTGGCGCTTTCGCCAGCCCTGGCGGGGCACGCGTGGTCGTCCCTGGCGGGGCGGCCGGGAGGCCAAGCGTTCGGAGGAGCCGGACAAGGAGCGCAGGAGCTGCTGGGGTGGTTGGTGCAGCAGCTCGTCGTACTCCTCGTACAGCTACAAAGACTGCTACTACCACGGTCACTGCGGCGGCTACTAGAAGTGAACGGCCCAATTGTCGGTACCCTCGACCTGCTTAGAATGTTGGTGTTTTTGTTTTTAATGTTGTGGGAATGGGAGAATGAAGGAGGAAAGAAAAAAAAGGAGCAGAAGAGTGAGGACACCAAATGGTACTAATAATGTCTTGTCTATTTGATTGGAAGAGGACCGTTAGACTTAGCTTTCTGTCCTTACCGGGAATATAAATTGCAGTCGAGGAAAATATTTGCCTTGTCTCTCCTAATGATTTCGTGAATCGTGATGACTTGGGCGTTGTCTTTTTACTTTGCTGTCGGTCGCTTCGCGAAGTCGAATGATTGGAGTCGAAAGGTCGAAATGTCTCTCCATGGTAGTGCAGTGCACAGGGTGCATTGTGACAAAACTGATAAGATGCCCATACAGTGTGGTTCTGCAGCATCATGTCCCTTGATACACTGGCTACTTGGTACTTTGGTAACCACCCCACAGTTTAGCCCCAATTCAAGCCACAGACCGAGTGGCGTCCTGCTTTCTTTGGGGAGCTACAGAGTTACTTCAATACTTCAAACTCAGAGGTCACGCCTCGCCTGAATCCAAACAACAAACCAATGCTCTGCTCCCTCTCCTCTCTCTCTCTCTCTCTCTCTCTCTGTCTTCATCGCGTCTGACAGTCCACACCTACAAAGAAGCTCGCGCATAATCATCCCTGAGGTTTTAGGCCATCCAATCCCACCGAAACGACGGCATAAATTCGCATTTTCTATCTATCACGTTCAACCCGACTTTTAAGCAGCCACGATGGCCGCCAATTTGGACCGCAGCCTCGACGAGATCCTCTCCGAGAAGGTGCGTAGACCTTTTGCCAGCGGCCAGCGGCCTGGTCGGACTCTAAGGATGTGTCCCTCTAACATTTGGAGATAGAAGACCGAGCGACCTCAAAATCGTCGCCGCGGTGGCGGTACTGGCGGCGGTACTGGCGGCGGTACTGGCGGCGGTACTGGCGGCGGTACTGGCGGCGGTACTGGCGGCAGCGCTGGTCCGCGCAGCTCCTCTCGACGAGACAACGATTACCCTCGAGACGGCATTCGAAAGGTATCTACATGCCTTTTCCCCTCAGTGCATCATCAAGCGAACTCTCTCCCCGCGGCTCGACGTCTCCAGGCTAACGGTCTAGGTTGCACCTCCTCCCTCATGAAATCCCGGCAACCTCACGTCCTCTTTGGTCGCCAATCCAACATCCAAACAACTTTTGGACGGGGGCGACCAAAGGGGACTGCAGTTGCATGAACGACGTCCTCGCGCTAACCGTGTCGCTTCGGGCGATACAGTCCTACAGAGACGAGCCTCGAGATCTTGACAGGTAATGCTACTAGCCCGTCCCCCGTCCCCCCCTTCCCTTCCTCGTCGGTGTCGAAGCGCCTTCTTCGGCCGGCCTGCTAACAAGAGTCTTGCTACGTCTAGCGAATGGGTCCACGACCGTTATGAAGACGACTCCCGTACTGTGTCACCCCAACTCGTCGGCCTTCAGGCTTTCTTTTCGCCTGGACTTGCCCTTTCAAGTACTGACTCCGTTTCTAGGTCCTCGCCGATCTGCCCCTCGACGCCGTAGAGAGTCCCCCCCCGAGCAAAAGTCGGTTTTCCCTTTCTTTCTCCTGGGCCCACCTGCCGTGCGGTGGTGGTCACAGCTGTCGCTGACATGAGAACATAGCGATCCCACGTCTTCGAAACTGAAAGTCGAGAATCTCCACTATGATTTGACGCAGAAAGAGTTGGAGGTGCGTTGGATACTTTGCGCCTGCGCGTGCGCGCGTCCACTAATTTGGCACTTCTTTTTTGGCTTACCATACATATACCGCACAGGACCTCTTCAGCCGAGTGGGGCCGATCGTGAGATTTGTGCTCGTATACGACCGTGCCGGACGATCAGAGGGCATCGCATATGTCACCTACGAGTACCCCGAGCACGCCCGAAAGGCCGTTCGGGAATTCGATGGCGCCAACGCCAATGGCAAGCTCCCCCTTCTCCTTGACTCTATAAACCCAAGTCTTCTCTTGAGCGAAACCCTCGATCCGCTAACCGCCACAATGACCCCCCCCCCCCCCCCCCCCCCCCCCCCCCCCCCCCCCCCGACAGGCCAACCCATCCGATTGACCTTGATACCCGACGGCCGCCGCAGTCGCGCGTCACGAAACCCATTCGACACCGCAGTCATGCCGAGCCGCCCGCTCTCGGAACGCATCACCTTTCCCGACGACAGGTCTCGGTCCTTGTCCCCCACTCGAAATCAGGATGTCGAGGAGGCGGCGAGCAGAGGAATCGACCGCTACGTCCCCGGCCCGCGTTCTTCGCGCAGCCCCCTGCCGTCGAGGCGGCGAGGAGGAGGAGGCGGCGGTGGTGGACGCCGACCAGGAGCCAGGAGAGAGGCGGCGCCGGCAGGCCGAGGGAACAGCCGAAGCGGCCAACGGCCGAGGAAGACGCAGGAAGAACTGGATGCGGAAATGGCGGATTACTTCAACGGCGGCGGCGACAACGGGGCCCCGGCTCCTGCTCAGACCGGAGCGGTCAGCAGTGACCAGACGGCGACGGACGATATCGATATGATCGAGTAGGAAGTATGAACAAGTTCTACGGCGCCATGGTCCAGCTTTGGGAGCACCCAGCACCGCTTAATTGCTGATTCGACAACCACAGCTAGCAAAAGTGGACAAAAGAGTGTAAACATCAATAAATTGGTCCTTCACAACAGGAACACGCATTACAACGATGTCGATTTTTTATGCCGAAGCTGGCTCCGAGACTTTCTGCAAGGGTCATGTCTTCTGCTGCAGCACGGATAGGTTCAATGTAAGACTGTCTGGCCTGGTTTTAATGAATCGACTCTTGAATGCGTTTGGAGATATAAATAATTCTGCGCTGGAAACATGAACACGCTCCCCGACCTCTTCCCGCTGAGATGGCCATACGAATACACATCCTCCTACCTCGGCCTGCTATAATACTCCGTAAAGTACGTGTAGACCCCGCTGGTTGTCGACGTGGCTGGGGGTATAACCAGGGTGGACTGTGGTTCTAACGCCATCGCCGCCTTTCATTGCGACTACCCTAGCGAGGTAAAATACAGGGGTGAGTTAAAGATGCTGTCGCAACACGAACTGGCCATGAAAACAGGCGATTGAGGTCGTAAGCGGCCTATGCCTATACATACAGAAATATATTGGATGCCGAGGAAATCAATGTTGGAAAGGTCTTCGTGTTTACTTACCATCACCACATGTTAGATGGCTGTCGCAGGACGGAGAACCCAGGCGCCGCAGCTCTTTTACAGCATTGAGACGACTAAGAAAGACTCTAAAAATCTTACAAGACTTGGGCATGGGATGCCTGTCCAGATGAAACTTTGACCCGTGACAGGCGTAAGAGGTCTTTGTCGCTCGGCCGTAGTCGGTTTGGAATGTGCGTGTTACCTTGGACAGTCACAGCTGGTTTAGTTAGTACCTGCTTCTCCTATCGGGTACTCGTTGTCGTTGTCGTTGTCGTTGTCGTTGTCGTTGTCGCCCTCTTCGTGCCGAGCTCGAGTTCGTTCCCCTCTTTCACTCCCCTTACCGGTCCAAAATCAGCAGAGACTGATGACACGACGCCATGACGCCGACTCGACCTCCCCACTCTGCCCAGTAGGCCGGAGGAACGACTCCGGCACATTAATCTTCGTTTGCATTCGCGGTCCTTGACCGTCGCCCCTCAAAGTACGAGGCGTAGTCGAGAGGTAGATGCAATCGCTCGACACGCCGCCGAATAGGTCCGGCACGATAGCCCAGGACGGCCGAGGAGGTTCTCCCGCAGACGAACCGTCGAGGACGTGGCCGGCACGGGGCGAGAAGCCAAACACGGCTCTTCCGCCCGCATATTCTTCGGCAGTTTCTAGCGTCGGCGCGGCGTTCGCAGCCGTCTCATCGGCACCGGCAACGAAGAACTGGATGATGGAACCACGGGAAACAACACCGCCGTTGGTGGTAGCGGCGCCAGAGCTTGCGTCTTCGCCGTCATGCCCTCCGCGGAACGACCGGATGAACTCATCCAGCCCGTCCTCGCCGGCGTTACGGAACAGCGTGTCTGGATCTAGCGACAGGAGGCCCTGCTTCTTGCCCCAGCCACCTCCTCCACTGACTATTACCCTCTTCGTCATTAGCAAACGGAGCCATGGTATAAACGGGTAATAAGTAATGAGAAGTAATGAGAAGTCATGAGAAGTAATGAGACGTAATGAGAAGTAATGGAGAAGCTCGGGCTTTAGAAAAAGACTTGCCGACTTGGTAGAGACGCCCTCCCTCGGACAAAGCGCCGGTAAGACAAGACTCTCCCGACCGGAGCCAGGCGCGCTGCTGCTCCACAAGCAACATCTCGTCCACGACACCCAGTCTGAGGGGTGACGGCCAATCCCCGAAAGACGGGAGGGAAACCGACCCCGCCACCTCGGACGGCATAACGAGCGCCCAAATGCCGATGGGCCCCGACGGACGACCCCCCTTTGCGCCGTCGTCCCAGCCGTCGTAGATGCGCTGGACCGCCACCTCGAGCTCCTTGGACGCCGGGGTGACGCTGCCATCCACATCGATCTGCCTCACAATGTTGCCCAGGCCGGCGAGGATCCCCCGGGGCGGCGTGATGGGGACGAGGGGGGCGGAGACGGAAGAGAACTGGCCCTGGGTGTCGTCGTCGAAGCAGCCGACGTCCTGTCTCTGCTTGGTTACCATCCGGGTCAGGGAGAACGGGGATCCGGGGCCGTCCTTGCGCCAGTGGCTGGCGAGCAGAGTGAAGGGCTGCTGGTTCTGGAAGATGGTATTCGACAGAGGAACGGTGCAGGTGAGTGGGAGGGGTGTTGTCGTGCCGGTTCCGGGAAGGAGATGAAAGCCCCGGGAGAAGGTCAATGCTGCTTTGGGTTCGGCTCCCCTGACGGGATGAGAGGTTACGGCGTCCCGTGGATCCCATAGGCCTGGGAGGACATGGTCCAACTTGCCGTGGCAGATGGAGAAGCCTTGCCGCGGGTCGCCTTGGCGGGACTGGGGGGGGAGACCATCCACGACGGCCGCTAGCACGTTGACCTCCTGTGGCTCGGAATCTGAGAAAGATTCGAGGAGGTTTGCCATGAATTCCTGGTCCGAGAGCCACGTTGCGTGATGGCGGGAGGCAAGGATGACCACAGCGTCTTGGCCGGCATTGCGACGGATAGACTGCGCTGGTGCCGTGGCTAGTACGGCGTCGAGCAGATCACGCTAGCGGAAAGGTCTGGTGAGCAAGTAAGACAAACACTACACGACGAGTAACGGGGATCGTTCGCAAGGGGGAAGCTGAGATTCAATTCACCTTGCTCCCTCCGCCATGGACGGTGAACCGGGTAGTAGTCGAGGACCACCTTCTGGAGAGGCCGGAACCAGGGAGAAGGGCCCTCCTAAGAGAGGGCCAGGGGCGTAAAGACATTCTGCTTTGGTCCGTCTACTTCGTTTGCATTTCGATTTTGTGGTGCCTTCTCAAGTAACAGCAGCCGAGAGGACAGGAATGACGACCACAGAGAAGTGTATTTCGTAGGTGACGTTCATAAGGCTACGGAGTACGCTACGCGTGGGACGCGTAGTACGATATACGAGAGTGTACGGGTTACATAATCGTCTCTAGGTTCGTGTAACGACTTTGGGCCAAGCGAAGGACCCAAAAAGATTATATAAGCCATAATTACAGCAGAGCATATCGAGTACCTACGTATGACGTCGTTGCGCCTCAGTTTGCAACACAGGTTGAGCTTGCGAGGAGCGTACACTGTGATGCGGAATGTTAGGGGCAAAGAATGCCCTTTAAAGACTTCACCTTATACATTATCCATTTATCCATCTTTTTGATCAACAATCTAGCAGAAGAAAAAGTCGTTCACTCAAGCCCACTGAAGACCAAGCTTGAACATTGCAATCCTCATAAACTACCATCTCAATGGCGACCAACAGTGGAGGAGGCAACCCCAGTACGGACTCATCCCTTTTCTCCTACGCTGTACACATGCGCATAGGCATACATCCTGCTAACCGATGTTTCCTTTCTCATGCAATAGTTGGGGCAACCGACGGTCTGGAAATAAGGGACAATAACCCTCCGCCTGTGTCTCCGGACGCCAAGGCCGGTGCGTCGACAACAGCTTCGTCGTCCTCGATACACTCGGCTGGTCAAGATGCAGATGTTGCTGCTAGTCGAAATCTGGGCAAAGTTGAGACGGTCGAAGAAGTAGAGAAGGAGGAACCAAATGCGCAGAAGGAAACGAGGGAGACGCCAGGGGAATAGATTTTGGTTGGAAGGAACTCTCCCCTATTTTTCCTGTTTCCGCCTCACACGTTCCCCTTGTGTCGATAAACGTCCTGTGGCGTCTTCTCTGGGCAGTTCAAACATCGTCTTCTGAACCGATTGAATCTTTCGTGTCCCGTCAAGGCACACATCTCGTACAGAGACATCTCGACGCATCGCTGCCACCAATAGCAATAAAAGCCGTAATATTGTCACGCCTGCAACCCGGGCAAAATGCGACGCATGTGCTATTCCCCCATGTACCATGATACTCTTCGTCGTGCACACATTTTCCAGACCACCCTTCATGCAACTGTCCCAACAAACTCCCCTCTAACCTAATCCAGGAAAACAACCAGACGAGTGGCGAAAGAAGGCCCAAACGCAGGTACGCGAAGGAACGAACCCTCTTACTGCTTCTTCTTCGTGGCAGTAGAACCAGCAGACCCCTTCCCGGTACCCGCAGAAGCAGCACCAGCACCAGCAGCAGCAGCAGCGGCAGCGGCAGCGGCAGCCTGATCACGGTCCTCCGCCTCCATCTTCTCCCACTCTTCCTTCTCCTTGCTCTCCGCATACCACTGGCCCGCCTGGAGCACGAGCACCCCCACGAGCACGAGCGCGAGGATGGTGTTGCTGGCGGCCATGACGCGCAGGCTGTCCTCCTTGCCGAGCATCAGGTCCCCGAGGAGCCGCTTCTCCTGCCAGTCGTCGCGGTTCCAAATGTCGTTGCCCACGGCGCGGAGCCCCTTGACGATGTTGGTCAGGTAGACGCCGACGCCGATCATGTAGAGGATCAGGCTCGCGCCGTCGAAGAGCACGTTCGCCTCGGACGGGTTGAACAGCTTGATGAAGAAGCCGAGGAAGCCCACCAGGATGATCGTCGAGAGCAGCCGCCCGATGAGCGGGGGGGACTCGTAGACGAAGCGGACGTGCGTCTCCACGTGCCCGTAGTACTCGTCGGGAATGGGCGCCGAGGTCCACAGGAGGGGGTAGTCGTAGGGGAAGAAGGCGAAGAGGATGCCTAGGAAGAAACAAGTCGCTGGTTCGTTTGGTGAGATGTCAGTTGATTGTTTCCTTTGAGCCATTGCGAATTGGTATTGGCCAGGGCGGAGAGGAAAAAAAAATAGATGGCGGGAAAGGGAAAGGGAGTCGTAGAGACGACGGGAGGTACGTACGGCCAATAATGAGAAAGGTCGCAAAGGAAGTCGACCCATATTGTTTCTTAGTAGTCGCCATCTTGAATTGGCGAAGTAGGGGTAGAGGTAATCGTCGGCTTTTGGACGCTGCGGGACAGAAGGAGATCCAATCAAGAGGAGATTAGGAGGTGAAGGTCGAAATGGCCCCAAAATCGCCTAGAAATAAAAAATGTCCAGGTTAGTAGGGAAACAAAAGATGGCCCTTTCGTTCGAGACGCACACGTTCGTACGGCTGGGGGGGTTTTTTACTCGTTTTTTTTTGGCTCTGACTTTCTAAATTTGTCTATTCCCCTTGTCGAAAGGTGGCGATGTGGGAAATTCGACAATGGTGGTCGAAGAAGAGGATGGACGAGTTTTCGACGCGGATAGGATACGGACACGACTTCTCGAACTTCTTAGCTCGCTCTGCGCTTGGCACGGGGGCGTTCTTAGGCTTCAGGGTACACCGTAAGCCGTCAAGGGTCCCGTTTTCGGCGAATTGAAGACAGTGGGCAGTTGGGGAGGTCTGGGGCGAGCTAGACGAATCAGGCAGGTGGGTGGTACAAGTAAGGTAGTCACAAGATACGTGCGGAGTACATGCCCAAAGGTACAGCATTACCTTGCCTTACCAAGCTCAAACTCCGACATCCTTATCAACACTTCGTGCGGATACGTGACACAACAACAGCAACAGCCGACACACATGTACCGATACTTTCAAGATACCTAACAACGATGGACGATGGACGATATCGGGAGGCATCTCATCAAGACGACAGCAACAAGTAAAATGCAGAAAAATACAGATAAAAATGCAAAAGACCAGATCAATTACAGCGTCACGCTCTCGCTCGCAATAGCATGCGTCATGATATAAGTACAAAGGAGAAAAAAATCCACGCGCTGTACCGCCCGCCAATGCCCACCAAAAGCGCATCATGACACGAGAGGAAAAAAAAAAAAAAAAAAAAGGAAAAAAAAGGGAAAAAAAAGGCAGACTCCCAAACCATTGCTATCCGTAACGTAACGTCGACACACCGAGTAGAAAACGTAGAAACCAATGCACGACCCCATTAGCTATTATCAGATCGCAGTCGTCCGCGCATGATAAAGTCTTCCCAGCGTCAACTGCCCCAGCGACATCGTCCTGGGCGCCTTCTTGTGCTGCTGCTGGCCGTCATCCTCCTCGTCCTCGCCCTCGCCCTCGCCCTCGCCCTCGCCGCCCGCGTAGTGCGTGCCTCCCTGGTACGCGACACCCTGGCCAAACGTCAACTCCTCGCGCGGCGTCTCGAACGGCTCAGAGTAGTCGTCTTCCCCCGTCGTGCTCCCCGTCGCCAGTCCCGAATCCTCGGGTCCCAGGTGGTGCACATTCTTCGAGTGCAGGCCATTCTCCTCGTCCGAGTCGTCGTGGTCAAAAGCCGACACGTGGCCGAAAGACCTGGCCGTGGGAGGCGGCTGAAAGTCCCCCGACAGCCCACGCTGCTGCTGCGACGACAGCAGCGAGTCGAGGCTGCGTGTCAGAGCTGCCACCCGCGCTTCCAGCACTTGTCGCGACGCTATTTCCGCCTCGAGGTGGGCGAGGGCCATCGGGAGGTCGGCGGTCTCCCTGATGGTCGCCTCCGATATCGGCCGTTGGTGGAAAGACGGGGCCGACAGCTGCGGAGGAGAGGCAACGTGGCTAGGCCCCTCGTCCGAGGACCTCTGGGATGCCCTGGAATACCCGGACGGGCTGCGCTCAGGGGAGTCCCGCTCCCTAATAGGCACTGCCTTCTGATACGCAGGGGACTCCGGCGCCATTGCGCTCGTGGCGGGGACGGGTACCGGCACCGGCACCGGCGGGGGAGGTCGGTCTGGAGGAGGGTTGTGAAGCTCCGGTAGGGCCTGGAACCCAGGAAGCGCATCGCAAAGTTGCGCCACCATCCGTTCCATCCTGCCCATTCTGGCCTCCAGGTTGTCGATTCGCGTCTCCAAGCTCACTGCCTGAGTGATCTTCATGCCGGCGGTGGGATTGAGATGTGTAAAGTCGCCAAAGTTGAATGGTAGTGCGACGGCCGCCTGCGAAGGCTTCTCCTCTTCCTGGACCGACAGATCCATCGACGCCTTGTCGCCTCCTCTCCTCTCGTCGTCCGGGCCGCTGCGCTGGGGCGGACCGGACGATGTGGGGGAAAGGAAAGCCTCGTGGCTCTGTCGCCAGTATCGAATCTCGTCGCTCCTCCTCCTCACCTTCCGTCCCTCGACGTTGTGGAGGCCGTTCAGGCTCCTGGATCGCCGCCTGTGGCCCAGAGTATCGCTCGTGATGGCCCGGCCAATCTCGTCGGGATTCTCCTCCATGGGGAACAAACGGCTTCCGCGGGCGTGTGCGTGTGCGTGTGTGCTGACAGGCCTCGGCGACAGGCCGGCGAGCTCGCCGTCCCGACTCCTGAAAATCTGGCTCGTCGTTATGGTTGCTCTCCTGCGGGCGGCCAGACCGTACTCGGCGTGCATCGAGTTTCGCGCGCTTTCTATGGCGTGTATGTCGCTCAGACCGATCGAGTGAGACCGGAGTGCTCGGTCGAATTCGGTGATGGGGAGGGACGCCGACCGTTTCGATTCGCTCTCTTTGCGTTCTCGCGCCATGGGAGGGGGTTCCTGGAAGGAGAACTTGTCAACCTCACCAGGTAAGAGAGACAGAAAAAAAAAGAAAGAAAAGGAGAAAAGAAAGCTTACAGTCTGCTGCTGCTGCGGCCGGCCATCCAAGGTAGAGACACGCTGTGCACTGACAAACGACTGTCCTTCGCTCTTCTTGCGACGACCAAAGAGTTTGCTAAACGCACCCCTCAAAGTAGACTTCTTCCGCTGCGGTTTCCCTTTGCTGCTACCAGTCCCCTGCGTCGCCTCGCTAACAACCGAATACCTCACGGTGCTGGGTGGGTTGGCTCTCCTGTGCCCCTGAGGGGGTTCTCTCGGGACTGCGGGAGGGGGTTCGCTGGGGGTTTGAAGAGCCTCTGCCCTAGTACTAGGGCCGGGAGCGAGGGCAGCAGCGGCGGCGGCGGCGGCTAGTTCCCTACCGGAGTCTGAACCTGAACCGGTATATTGGGCAATTTCGGGACGGGAGACCTGGGCCGAGACCGGAGTCACGAAATCTGGCGGGGCCGAGGATTGATGCTGAAGCTGGTCGTCATGGGCGTCGCCACCTGCAGTCATGGCAATGCCGGCACCAGGGTTGCGCACGGGGAATTCATCGTCGGTGGGAATGAGAATCGGGATGGGGCCGGAGATTCTGCCACGGATGGATTGGCCGGCCTTGGGACGAGGGGAGGCTGGATCTCCGGCGGCAGATGCAGACTTGAAAATGCTGACCTTCATTGTGGAGGAGGGGAAGCGGGGTGACCGCTGAGGGGTTCGAGCAAGAGAAGATGATGTATATGGCTGGTGGCCCAGTACTAGCCAGGGAACATGGTGGGATTGCGAGTCGTCGGAGAGCGGAGCTCAATGACAGTTTGTCATGAATGTCAGGACGTCGTCTCGCAGGGGCTCCGAGTAGGTTGTCGAAGTTGAGGTACCGGTAGTTGGACAAACAAATTGGTCATGCGTGTCTATGCGCCCTGGGCGGGAGGGTGGCCCTGGTACGAAAGAGCAACACGGCTTGATGCTCCTCTTCCCTGGAAGCCGATTCGAACAAGTTGAAAGCTCTACTCGGTAGAGACTGGCCAGCCAGAGCTTGGGAAAGCAGCGGAAACGGCGTGGTTATGAAGAGAAGATGCGAGATTGATCAATGGGGGAGGGAGAAAAAGAGGGAGTAAAAGAGGGACACGAAGGTGATGAAAGGATGAAGGGATACCGAGGAGGCGGAATGCTCCGTCTGACCCAGGTGAGGCTCAGATTAGATAGATACCCTGCTCGGCTCTGTCAGATCAGGTGCGGATCCCCGGAAGCTTCGCCGAGAAATGAGAGCGGGGAGCAAAAGAAAGGAAAGACAATAAAAAACACATTTATATGCAAAGTAAATTCTCCGAGTCTGAAGAATTGAACAGAAACGGGGGAGTCTTGGTAGGGAGTTGAGGAGGTGAATAGGTGGAAGGGATCAGTAGAGGGATCGAGGAGCAAAGAGGGAGGGAGGAGAGGGAGAGAAATTCCAGTCGGTAGAAAATTGACAAGGAACGAGAGACGGAGGGGGAAACGCTAAGGTAGTGCACCTGCAAGGAAAGGAAGACCAACACGTACCTACTGTAAGGTAAGGTACCTACCTACCTTAGGTACGGAGCAGGCGATCCAGCGAGAGACGGGGAAAGCGAAAGTAACGGCAACAAACTGCGACAGCCACATGCAGGTAGAAGCAGAGGGAAAGGGAGGTTAATGTAAGTTACCCGTACCCCGTTTTCTCTGCTTACGAGCCAAGGTAAGATAGTGGCTCGGTGGGAGGTGAGCGATAGGTCGTCGGCGTACCATCTGCATGGATCTCCGGAGTAGGTACGTTGTATACGGAGCCCGGAAAGCTCTACACCGAGTCTCAATCCGTGCAACGTACCTAGGTAGAGAATGCAAGAAATGGCGAGTACAAAAAAGAACCAAAAAAGGGAAGGGGGAGAACAAGAGAGCGAGAGAGAGAGAGAAGACCGTCGTTCCTCTATTGAATGGCGCAAGGGGGGAGAGACTCTCGGGCTATTATTTCATCAAGAACCTATTCGTATTCGCTTTGTTCCTTCGTCTTCTCTTCTGTATTTCGTTTCATCGCTTCATTGCGCTTCTCGATCCTCGCTTCTCGCTTGAGCCCCCTGCTTCTTTGGCTCCATAGCAGCGCAGGTGGGTGCAGCGTCTCGTCGGTCCGTTGGAGGTCCGTGTGCCAAAAGAGTTGTCCGGAGTTTGACTAGCTGCAGCTGCACCTGCAGCCCCTGAACGAGTAATGCTTCGGAGGAATGGGGGTTCAAGGTTGGCGTCGAGGTCATGGGTCAGGGTCGGGTTGCCACGAAATACCACGTAAAAGCATTTGCATTTTGGACTAAAGAGGGCTGAAGAGGAAGCAGAGGGCTCATAATGAAAGCTTCGTACAAAATACGATACCAAGTGCACTGTCCTTCTTCGATGTATTTTCCAGGGGTTCTCCAAGGCAGGGGTCCACACCCCTCGTAGCGTGTCCAAGCGCCTTCCTGGATCGATTTCTTATTCTATTTTCCTGGGACAAGCTCAGGTGGTCAATCCAGATTTCGTACCGAGTTGCACTGTACCTTACCTTACCTTATATTTTCCGTACCCGTACAACGTACCTACAATGTACTCTGAAACGGGAAGGCGCCGGCCCTGGCCGTCATTGACCCTTTATCCCCAACGCCAACCCCACCTCTATTCTATGTACCTTAAGGTACTTATCCTTTCCATGCTCACACAAATCGTCGCGCTTCACGTTTGTTAGTTCGGAGTGCCACAGCTGCCCAACGTCTTCTCCCTATCAGGAAGACTTTGCGTATATTCACTCGCACGTCTGACGCCGAGGAGGGGTGTGATACGATTGAAGATCCCTTGAAACTTGAGTGGCCAACGGCTTATGACGACGTCATGTTGGTAGCATGATCGGTGATCGACCTCCAGACGTCGCATTGATGGTCCGATATGGCCAGGCCGGGGTATATAGAGATCCGCAAGGGGATTGGCTATATGGCCAGTCCTTGCTAGCCAACTCGGCGTTGCCAGGTCAAAGGTAGGTACGGACAACTCTCAAGGACTCATTCATCACCAACCGACTCCCGGAGTGAAACAGAAGCGAACGGGAGGAGAATTATCGTAGGCAGCCGCAGGGACAAGCAGCCACGAGGACGGACGAGTTCCGACAGGGTTGGCACAGACTGTAATATATACGAACACATACCAGCATGTCTGAGATGACCTGAAACATCCATCCCACTCGTTGCCAATGTTGTATCAGCTGGAGCAGAAGGTCCAAGCGAGTCTCTCTCGGCCATATCTACTAATTACACTCTCTACAACATACGAATACCCTATCATTCCATCCTCCGTATTCCACATTCGCTGGGTGGCCTTCTCGAAGCCCTTTTCGTGCGAATCTTGCCTCCTAGGAGCAGTACGAATGGGTTACCTCCCTCACGCTCATGCCTGGCATCACTCAGCCTGTAAGGTTGAGACGTCAGGATACCTGAGGTCGGCATTCTCTTCAAGGAACGCCATCCAATTCCTCAGAAACCGGCTGCCTCTGTACAAGAATCCGTATTAGCCAGAGCGACAGACGAAGAAGAAAAGAAGGAAAAAAGAAGGAAAAAATAAAAAATAAAAGGAAAAAAAGGAGAAGAAAAAAGAAACCAGCAAAGACAGGGAGAGAGACATCTACGCACCTTCTAATGGTTTCCGAATCTCCCACAACCGTCAGGGACCGCTTCGGCCGCGTCATGGCCACTTCATTACTCGCGTCAGCACGAGTTGGCGTCCCAAAGAGTGGTGGAATACGAAACGACGATGCTCTCGCGGCGGACATAGCTTACCGTTCAACCGCCGCTTCTCCCCCAAGAACCCGACCTCTCCTTGCGAGTTGCTGCGCACCAGGCTAACAATGACGGCCTCCTTCTCGCGGCCTTGGAATCCGTCTACCGACCCCAGCTCAATGCCGGGGAACTTTTCTTTCAACGGTGCCAATAGGCCGAGCTGGGGGACATGAAGCGTCAGTGCGACGTCGTGTAGGCGAGGGTGTAAGGCTCTAACAAGGGACGAGGTTTTCTTCCGGCCTGTCCCATCCTCTCCGACTCCATCATAGGGAAAGGAAGAAAAAGAAAGAAAAGAAAAGAAAAGAAAAGAAAAGAAAAGAAAAGAAAAAGAGGATATGTAGGTAGGTAGCTCACCTGGGCATTGTACGGAGTGACAACGGCGATATCCTCAGGCCTCACCCCCAGGTCAACAAGACGCCGCACATGCTGCCGCACCACCGCCGCCTCCATCTCATTGCTCTTACTTTCGCCATGCAGCCCCAACCGCGTCTTCTTCGCCCCTGGTCCCACATCGTTTTTGATGTCGTCCTCCTCGTTCTTCTCGGGAAAGTCCCCCCCTTGCGTGTCGATGAACACCAACGGCTCGCTCGTGTCCTCGTCGTCCTCGACCCCGTACGGCAACTCTCGCAGGAGGCGCTCCCTGACCGCCTCGGCCGCGATCAGGCGGCCCTCGTAGAGCTCGTCCGAGGGGAACCGCATGATCTTCTCGTGCATGCGGTACTGGGTCGTCAGCATGCGCTTGATGGAGGGCCCGTGCAGGGCCAGGAGCCGGTCGAAGAGCGTCGTCTCCAGCGACATGCCCTTGACCGAGTTGTCGTCCTTGCCGTCCTTGCCGTCCTTGCCGTCCTTGTCGTCCCCGCCGTCCTCTAATGGCGCCGCCGCCGCCGCCGCCGGTTGTGTAGCCTTCGTTGTTGTTGCTGCTGTTTTTGTTTTCGAGTTGAGCGACTTGATCGTCGGCGGAAGCTGCAAATGGTCGCCAGCACACACGGCCTTGCGGGCGGCCAGCAAGGGGACCCAGCACTGGGCCTCGAGCGCCTGGCTCGCCTCGTCGATCACCACGACGTCGAAGGCCTCGTGGCGGAGCTGAAACCCGCCGGCGCCGTGGAGGGTGGCGAGCACGACGCGGGCCCCGCCGACCAGGTCGGCGACGCAGCGGCGTTCGCGGTCCCTGTACTCGCGGCGCAGCGCGCGGAGGTCGGCGTACGTGGTGCGGCGTTCGGCGCGGGGGAGGCGGGGTTTTCGGAGAGCGGCGTACCGGGCGTCCATGTCGGCGCGGACGTCGCGGACAATGGCGCCGGCGTCGGAGGTTTGCGTCAGGATGTCGAGGGAGTGGGCGAGGACGGAAGGGAGGAGGCGGGCCGGGTGGCCGAGGCGCACGAGGGGCACTTTGTGCGGGGCTAGGCGTTCGACGAGGTTGTCTACTGAGATGTTGGAGGGGCCGCACACTAGGACGCGAAGGCCCCGTTTGACGAGCTGGAGGATGAGCTCGACGAGGGTATGCGTTTTTCCTGTCTGAGAGGGGCAAAGTGTGAGAGTAGGTCATGTAAGCCAAGGGACTCTCGTCGGCGTTCAGGGGGGCGTATGGACTAGAACGAGGAGGGGAGTACGGCAAAGGAAACATGAAGCGACTTACACCAGGCGGGCCGTGGATGAGAGCAATCTCTCGCGAGGCCAGGGCGAATCGGATGGCATCCTTTTGCGACTCATTCAGGGTCGGATCGTTCCACTGGATCGCAGCGAGCTCGGGGTCGGAGGGGTCGGAGGAGAGGTCGGCCGGGACAGGAGAAGGGCTCTCGAGGCCAAACAGAACTCGCATAAAGGTGGAATATTCCGACTCGGGCATTTTTTGGAGCTTTTCCATTGTCTGCTTCATCCTGGGGGGTAACCGCCCGTGTCAGCGAGCCATGTCGGCCATATCTGTGTCGAAAGAGAAAAGGGGAACTGGTTATGTGCAGACTGGAGTGAAGATGGAAGTAGACTCCCCAACACAACAGACAACACAACAGACAACACAACAGAGTACATACCTCTTATAAGTCACCTCGTCCGCCAATTTAACGATCCAAACCCGTCCCGCAAGTTCGGCCTCCTCCTTCTCATCCTCCTTGCCATCGTCCATAGCGACGGCAACCCCATCCTTCTTCACCCTGACCACGACCCCCCGCGCGCCTTTCTTCTCCAGCTCCCTGACTTCGCGCTTCCGCGCACTCCCGGCGGGCTGATCGGCCACCAGCACGATATCGCCGGTGCGCAGTCCGTGTTCGGGCAGGAGCGGACCCGCGGCGTTCGTGTCAGACGAGGAGAGAGACGGGTCCGGGGCGAGTTCGAGCACGGTGCGGCCTCCCGGTCCTGTGCGGCGGGAGGAGACATAGAGGTTTATGAGGGCTTGGCCTGCCCTTTGTAGCGCGGTCGGGGTGTGATTGGAGATGAGGTCCTTGGAGGACGCTAGGTCGGCTTGGAGTTCTGTGTTGAGGAGGGAGAGTTGGGTTTCGGCGAAGGCGGGGATGGGGAGGGGTTTTGGGGGCATGGCTTTGGTGGTCTCCTGTATTCTGTTTGGTGGGATGAGTAGATGTGAGATCTAGGTGTGAAAAGCCTAGTTTTTGTTAGGACTGTTGTAGTGAGTTGAGATGAAGTGTCGAGTGTTGAGGGTTGAGAATGAGAATGAGAATGACCAGCAGCGTTGAACCTTCATGGTGCTAGGGCCCTGATTCAGCGGTCCCACTGAACCTACAGTGTACCTTAGGTAATTAAGGTACATACAAACTACAACAGTGACAGACAGTGACGAGGTTTTAGCCAACAGTGACCTGAACCCATGGCCATCATGGCGACAGTAGGTAATCACTGCACATGTCTCATGTATACCTTAATATATTTCCCAGGCCAAAGTAAATAAATAATCGGAAAACAAGGAGAGATCAAACGCCAACTCCCTTTTCTCATGCAGCCAACCACCCATGACCCATCGCAAACCAAAGACGCCCAGACAGAAAGCACCCTGTAAAGACCATTCCCGCAACAAGACGCAGGACGGAGAAGATAGTAGTGGCTTCAAACAAGCCATATGCGATCCGTCCCAATGACAGAAGGAAACCGACTGTCAGGGTATATAGAGAAAAGGAAGACAGATCTGCAGATCTGCCCTCGACATCATAGTTCACGGTCACCGGGATGCACCACAATCACCACAACCAAACTCGCTATCATGACCGCGAAGGCGATGAAGGCGACTCCGATGATGGTGCCCCGGCTCGCGGGGAATTTGCCCGCAATGATCCAGCGCTGGGCATGGAAGTACCGATGGTAGCCCAGAAAGAGGATGACGATACTGATGCCCAGGAACGTGGCGCCCAAGGGCTGGCCGAGCCGGCGCAACGTCGTCCCCGTCGGGTCATGGTCGGCATGTCCGCCTAGGGACGTGTTGAGGCGGAAGAGCTGGGTGATGGCAATGCCGATGGAGGCGAAGGCGAGAGAGGTGCGAAGCCAGGCGAGGAACGTGCGTTCTGGCGCCGTGTCAATCTCGGGGAGAGAAAAAGAAAAGAAAGAAGAAAGAAAGGAAATAGGGCGAAGAAAAAAAAAGGGGGGGATGACCTACCCAAAGCAAGGTGGTCTCGCGCCACGCTCCCCTTATTCTCCAATTCTATACTCGCAAAGTGCGTCACGATGCTCTGATGCCAAGGCTCACCACCACCACCGCTACGTGATTTCCTCTTCTTTTCCTTCCTGCTCCTCCTCTCCGTCGGCCCACCGTCCATTTCATCGTCCGTGTCGTGGGCCGTCGCCGGCGGCGGCAGCTCCACTCTCTGCGACGCGAAAGCGTCCTCGAGGGGCCTGCCGCCGCGGGACGACGACGCTGTGGAAGGGTTCCTCGCTCGGGCTCGGGCCCCGCCGCCGCCGCTGGCAGCAGCAGCTTGCGCAGGGAGCGCAGACGGGGGCGACGTGGTGATCGACTGGTACTGCCGTTCGGGCGCGCGGGACATGATGCCGGTGTGTTCGTCGGCGCTGCTGTAGTGGTCGTCTGTGATGCGGTCGGTCTCGGCGATGCGTCGGCCGCCCCACTGGGTCTGGGTTCCGGGGTGGGAGGTCGTCGACTTGGTTGCGCCCATCGTTTCGGCGCGTTCTCGGGCGATCTGTGACGGGAGGAGGCGGAGCATTAGTCGAGGGAAGAGAAGCGAAGCGCATGTCTACAAGGGAATGTAGAGGGAACGAAGAGGGAACGAAGAGGAGGAAGAGAAAGACGGAAAGGAAAGGAAACGAAAGGAAACAAAGAGATCTGGACATTTCCGTGTACCTCCAAGATATGATTGATGCGCTCGTTCGTGCTGTGTCTTTGGGCAAACAAGCGCGGGCTACGCGTAGTAGGGTGGGATTGGGACCGGGCGAGCTGTTGTTCGTCGAAGGAGATGGTGCTCCCAGCTCGGCGAGGTCCAGCAGACGCAGAAGGAGGTGGAGGAGTGGAGGAGGAGCTTGTATTGACGCCATGGGACGCCATGGTTGCCTTTTGTTCCGTCTCTTTTTAGACCTCTGGCGATTTGGCGAGTACGGAGTGTGGAGTACGGAGTACGGATATGCGAATGCGAAGATCGGTCGAGGGAAGGGTGATGTCAATGCCCCTCTCCCCTGCTCTCGTGGGGAGCATCACAGGACGTATTAGGTGTTGGTAGAAGTCTGGAAGTCTTCATTTGATGCTTTTGCGATAACGATAAGCTTTCTTGGACTTGATGGTTACGGGTACCTCTCTCTACCTTAGTGGATCTGATCCATGACTTATGTAAGATTTTACGTAATTACCGGCACTCATACTTCTCCGGTCACAAAGCTCAAACGTCGCAACAACTCGAGTTCGAGTTCGACTCCGAGTCGGAAGCGCCACGCCACGGTATACCTTAGTCTTGCTAGCTTGCAGACTGATCCAGGCAGCTAAACAGAGCTACAGCTGCCATCCTTTTCGAATCCCCTGACCAAATCGACCGACAAGGAATCACCCCTGTCATAACGTCACTCCCCTCTGAACCGAGGTCCCCGGGATGCCTGGCGCTTTCCGAGTCGACGTATAGCAGATACGGAGTCGGTGCTTTTGCGTCCTGCTCCACCCCATCAGGCAGTGACAGCGAGTAAGCTCGACTCACAACGTCGCGGACCTCGACCAACTCCTGCCCCGATACACCGACAACCGAGACAACGCTGCGCACCGGCACGCCCGACACCATGAAGTGGTGGACACGGCACTCCGAACGCAGCCCCCCCGCCGACATTTCCGTGTGAGTAGAGGAGACGAGCTCTACCGAGGAGGCATCAAGACCCGCGAGTGCCAGATGCGCGTGCCATTCAACCCCCGACCGCCGCGGCAGTTCCTCGACCTCGGCCGAAAACACCGGCGGGATGGGCGGCCAGGGTTGCCCGTCGTCCGACTTGAACACCGACGTGTCGGGGAGCGGTGCGCCCTCTCCGGAGTGCGACCCCCCACCAGCGCCAAAGGACACGACGAACGACGCGTTGTGATTGCGATTGTACCTCCTGTCCCACGGATCCGGGCCCTCTTCGTCATCCGAGTCGGAGTCTCCCCCGACGCCGTGCATGTGGGCGGCTTCCCAAGCCCGGGACGCGAGTCTGCTGTTCTCCTGCATCTGCCCCCCTGCGGACGTTGTGCGGGGGAAATACGCGACTGCTGCGCTCCAGAGCTGGACCTGCTGGTCGGTGCCGATGCGCCAGAGGTGTTGCAGGGATAGCGTGATCTGCGTCTTGATGTCCGCGTCGGCTGGGATGGTCATGCTGGCGGGCCAGAGGGGGATCTGGCCAGCTATGGAAATCGCCCTGGCCTTCGATGCGCTGTCGGTCGAAGAATCGGGGGCCGTGGCGAGGGATGTGATGGCATTGCGGAAGAGAGGCACATCAATGGCTTGACTGTAAGGCCCTATGTTGGCCGGCGCCCAGTATGACCGCGACTGGACATGTAGACCTTTCCGGTCCGCGGCTCCGAGGTCGGCCTGAACAGCGAGATGGATGATAATGTTGCGTCCTTCAGGTAGCAGTCCCCCGCAAGAGATGGTGACCCTCGAGGGAGGGTTCGCGTGCATGAATAAGCCACCGTAAATCGTATTAACGGCGGGGAAATCCGACATGCGTCTCAGCACAATGATCGTGTTGGTGATGGCGGTCGTAGGCAGTGAGGAGGTACCCAGCAGGCCTCTGATCGTCTCAACGAGCGAGCGCGTCTCATTCGCGATGGAACTGCCGGTATGATTCTGAGTGGCAGTGGCCACGGTCCAGTACATCTCGTGCCGGCGAGGCTGCGGGCCGTTGGGTCGGTGACTAGGCCGTCCCAACCCGCCCACGACGGACCATGTCCTTTTCGGTTCTAATCGAGTTGATGTCGGTTCGGAGAGGCTGGCAGCGACCGCATCGAACCTCGGATCCAGCAGGTCTGGGATACGCACATGGAGTTGATCGTCACCGTCCCTCTTTGTAGAGCCATTCTTCTCCTCAAGGTGAGCCACCTGGAAATTCAACCAAGAGGTGCCACCGCCCTCTCTTATCACCCTCCTCTCATGCTCCGAGACGTGGATCCTCTTCCGGAACAGATCATCCGGTCCATCAACGACAATCGTCTCAAACTCGCCCCCTTCTCCGAGAACAGACCCTTCCGCGGCCCCGAACCGACGCAACGCCCTCTTGATCCTCCCCACACCGGCGACGGAACTGACTTGCTCCCAGAGAAACCCCTCGTCGAGCCCCGCGCTCGCCACTTTGATGATCCGGGCTTCCAGCCCCGCGCCAGCCATGTCGAAGAGCAACTGCGCGTCGTCACCGCCGACCGATCCGCGAGGCGGTGGTAGCACGGGATACTTCCACAGGTAGGCCAGCGGGGTGAGGCCAAGGCGCAGGGCGACCGACTCGACTCGGGTGCGTTGGTACGTGGACAAGATGGCGCCGGCACACAGCGCGTTGGCGTCAGGATGCCGCTCCATGACGGCGCGGAGGAGCGGTACCATGCTCTCCGTCTCGTCGCCATCTCCATCTCCATCTCCCGCGAGGGCAGAGGCCGTCTGGTGGGCGTCGTAATCGCGGCCTTCGTACTTGGCGCCGCCGAGGATGGGGTGGCGGTACAGCGGGAGTCCGGTCGCTGCGGCGTAAAGAGGGATGATCTGGTGGCCGACGGTCTGGTACATGAAGCTGTTCAAGTCCACGTCGTCGTCACCGTTACCAGTGTGGCCATTTCGTGCTGCCGAGGACGTCCTGGCACCGCTGGCATCGCAGTAGTCGTCGGCGCTATTATGAGGTTCGATTATTTCCAGGCCGGACCTGCCCTCGCTCTCCGGGAACAGATTGGCCAGCGCAACTACCTTGTGGCCATTCTTTATGCAGTGAAGGATGGAGTAAAAGCTGTCCTTGCCTCCTGAGATGAGGGCGATGACTCGTAGGCTGTCGGAGGACATGATGGAGTTTTGACGACGCCCGGCGCCCGTAGCAAGGGACCGCTGAGGGGTTCCGAGCCACACTCGAAGGTCCTACGGATTATCAACTGGAAGTGACTATCATGCCTACAGATCTGGAGATGCTCCCGTGATAGTGCGGAGTAGTCGCTGTGAACGGCGCTGTAGACATGAGGTTTTTTCTATTTTTTTTTTCTATTTTCTAACGTAGAGTGGTCTCACGTCGTTGCGAGAGTTCCCCACTCCGACATCAAAGTGGTATCACGTGACCCCAGAGTTCAGACTGGCATCGGTGCCTTACATAATTCAGTTCTTCGTACAGCGTACAGACCTTGACACAGAGATGTAAACCTGGGAGTAAATTAGTAATCACCCTGACCCTGCTCTCTCCAGTCCCTTTTCTCTGTCCTTCACACAGCGATACCACTGCGCAAACTGGATACATTCATCACAGTACGACGGATACGGAATGCCCACTTTCGAGTTCTTCAACCTCGCCAAGCCTTTATGACGACCACTAGTGACTAGTCAGTCTGGGTCTCCCCGGATCTTGGTGCCCGGGGAATATGGGCTCGACCCCTTGGCGCCGTTCGTGTCTTTGGATCCCAGTCAGCAAAAGTGCACTACACGTATTAATATGTACGCCCGCAAACCATGCAAACAATGGCAGGGGATCCCATGATAGACGCGAAGATCAGTATGGAGTACAAAGTAAGGGTCTGGGGAGCAGTAAAATTACGAAGCTATACTCCGTACAGCAAATTACCCGGACTCTTCCCCCCAGACGGCGTTCAAAGAGCACAGATGGATGGTACGGAGTAATTATAGTACGTTGTACGCACCGACATACGTTGTACGCACGGATGCGAGAACGACCCATTGTCCCAGCTGCTAGGATCAGGTGGCTTGGTGGCGCGCGCATCCTCCGCATTAGCATATTGGAGACGACGTGCTCCCGTACTCGCAGCCTAAGGGCTAACGGTGGCTAGGACTCGGACTATTATTTGGCTCCAACGGTGGGGAACGCCTCACGGTGGTCATGCAATGCGAGGAACTCCGACGATGATGGTCTGAGCGGAACACTTCATATTGGGTCCTCGCTCGGCGCTCGAGCAATGCCCGTTAAAAACTTGAGCATGGGTCCAAGGAGAAGGCTATATCGGAGAGTGCAGGTACTAAGTAAGGGATGCTCTTATGGCCTGCCATATTACCTACGCAACCGCCATCGCGCTTGGCTAATCGTTCTTAGGTGGACTCTAGATCGGCTTAAGCACCTGTTAAAGTAGCTTACGTTATAGTTGGCGGACCGCGTGACTCTCTGGCTTTAATGTCGACTCTGGGGTAGGCGGGTCGAGTACGGAGCTCTGATACCTATACTTGATAATAGACGCTGTTACTTAGCGCTACGGTCCGTCGCGATACAGATACTATATAGGGAGAGCTTAGGAAGTAGTGAGTACTCTTAGATATCTATCCCCCCAAGTCTCCGCATAGACACTAGTGCCTGACGGTCGTCTCGTATCACGCATGGCCGCTCGAAACGGCAAGACCCCATGTTTATGTATAGCGGATCCTCGGCGACTTGGCGGATTTGAGGGTCTCCTTTGCTAGAACAACATCGTCGACTCGTTGCGACAGCCTAGCGAAAACAGCCATGGAACGGTGTCTCTTAGCTTATCTTGCGTGGCGCACTGTGCTCTTTCTAGCTTTATAGTGCTAGAAGGCAGATCGGTTCTTCTGTGGGACCAATAGTGGCCGCTCGTGCTTGGAATTCGGCTGTCGAATGCTGGACGGGGATCCTGGTCCAGATGACGACGCCATTCGCCATTGTCACCACTAAACGCGTGAGACGGAGATTATTATACGGCCTAGAAAGTCTGAGTAGTAAGTAGCACGGCCCTGTATTAGCTAGACAGTGCGAGACACTAGTCAGTTCAGAAGCAAGAATCGAAGCCATAGGAAGATGAAACGGGCTAACTAATCGTAGTGCTATCCGCGTGTTTGTCAAGCGAGATACGAGAGCGAGCAAGCAAGCAAGCAAGCAAGACGGGATGTTAGCAGCCTCGTGTGACATTCGAAGACACGTTAATAACCCGTGCAATATGCCTATTGACAAGCACAGCAAATTTAAAAGCCGAGCCTGCGAAGGAGCCCAGGACGCGCCAACGGACCAACTATCTTAGAACTAACCAAGCAAACAACCAAACAAGTGAGAAAACCAGTGGAGACATGGTAATCACGAAGTAAATTCTGGGACAGGAAACGTCTTGGAGAAAAAAGAAAAAGAGGGGAAGAAAAAGGGGACGCAAGGGAGGTAGCTAGACAACATGAAGACAACAGGCCAGGCCCAAGTCCTATCCCCATCCCCAACTCGAGACGGCATTCAACCCTAAACGTAGATCGAACTTGATATAACATAGCGTTCCAGAGTTCCCAACGACTTAACCCTAGTGTACTCCCAGGGTACTAATAACGGTCATACAAGCCCGTACGGTAGGTGGCCTATACGCCATGTCTTGGCCCATCCGTTGTCTCGGTCCCTCGCCGAGTTCCATACGTAATTAATCTGCGCACCCGTAAACAATATGAGGGAACCCCCGCCAAAAGGGAAGAAGCCCAAATAACCTCAAACGAGAAGAAGAAGAAAACAGGTTTCTTGCCGATGTGAGGGTTCGCCAAGATCGCGGGGTTACTCGACACGGCCGACTCGTCGACTTGACTTCAATAAGCAAGGTCCAAGACAAGACCGCATATCCAAAACTTACGCACTCCCTCTTGACCGTCCCATACGGCACCCCGCGTCCAGGCCCCTCCTCCGTGATGTGATGCCTCCCGGGACGCAAGCCAACCTCGTTCCGGTGCCACACCAAACAAGATCCACCGGGGAAAGCCGCAGCTTGGATGCAAGGAGGCGAAAGTAGCCGGGTGTCGCGGGAGGCTGGAGGGGAAGGTCCACGGAAGCAGAGACATAGACGACATGGAAATTCCATCTCTCAATTGGGCTGGCAAGATTTTCAGTGCATCATGTTCTGGTTCGGTCTCACTGCTTCTGATTTTTTATTTTATTTTTATTATTTCGGATTGCGGCAGTGACCATACCAGCTGGCCTGCAATCACACAACGCTGAAGCTAAAGAGCATCACCTCCCTACCGGCACCCAGGTAGGTGGGTGAAATTACAAGGAGCATCCGAAAAGAGATTGTTTATGATAAGTGGGCACAAAGTAAAAAGCCGAAAAGAACTCGTTTTGGTTTTGTCCTGTTTCTCTGCTGTATCGCAAGGGGACCACAAGGACAAGACGACGACTATGCTTCTGACAGACCAATCCCACCATACACGCCGAATCAAAATAGCAACCCTTTCCTTTTTCCAGAGCCCTTTGGTTAACTCGTCCTGCTCCGCCTTGTCCTTTTTATGTGGGTAATTATAGTTCTAAGTGTTTGCGGGTCTGTGTAGTCTCAAAGCCCGGTAGACCAGGTACGCGCGCCTCTTGCCGTAAAAAAAAAAAGAAAAAAAAATTGCGTGCGCCTTCTTGTTGTTAATGAATAAAAGCATTGCCCGAACCAATCTCCACAAAAGAGAGGGTCATCTGAAGCCTTCTTCTGGTGCATCATGCCGTTCATAATGACCATGAAAAAATGGTACGCCATGGGTGCAGTGCGAGTGGCCTGTAAAAAGCGAACCGAGCTTCGTGATGTTTTGTGGTCATTAAATCATGCCGGGCATTGAACAAGGAGGCGAGCTGGAAGTGAAAACCCACACCCCTTATAACGAGGTGTGATGAGTGTAAATAAAGAAGACAAAAAGAAGAAAAAAAGATGGATCCATAAGCTGAAGCCAGCAGCGAGGAAAGAGAAAAGAGAAAAATAAAATGTCAAAAACCACAGCCGCTGAAAATGTCTGCTCTTTCCTCAGTCGTCTCGCTTGCGCTTGTTATTGCCGCCACTATCGCTGTCGCCATCCTCCGACGATGCCTCGCTGGCGCTCCCAGGAACCTCGGCAGCGACCTGGAACAACACCTTGCCCAATTGATGGAAGTCCCCCCCCGGGACGCCGGCGGGGACCATCATATTTTCGAACGAGTGGGACGTGGTGTCATCCGAGATGAGGTCCATGACGATGGCACCCGCTCCGTGGGTCCGCGAATGCTGGGCGAGGTTATCGCTGCGAGAGAACTTCTTGCCGCACTCGTTACACTCAAAGGGCTTCTCCTGCGTGTGGAGCGACCGGTAGTGGCGCTTGAGGTGCTCCTGACGACGGAATCGGCGGTTGCACAGCTCGCAGACGAACGTCTTTGAAGGGTCCTCCGTCAGCGACTGCTTGCGACCGCGGCGGCTCTTGAGGCCGGGGCCCCCGGACGGCTGGGGCGTAGCTCCGTGTTCGGAATCCGAAGAGTCTTTAGCCTCCGGGGTCTGGGCGCCCTGATGCGAGGCCGGCTGCTGCGAGTCGGCACTCACGCCCGACTGGGTGGCCTCTGTCGCGGCGGTCGTGGTCATGGAGGAAACGGCGGCACTGTCGTCGATGGAAATCTTGCGACGCTTGCTCTGGTGCGAGTCGCAGTCGGAGAAGGAGCTGGTGGCGTCTGTGAGAAAGGACTCTTCCTCGTCGAAACTGAACTCGCCTGCGCCAATGAAGCTGGCGTGACCAAGAGAAACAACGCTGGAGCCAGTGCTTGCGCGGGGCCGGCCGGCGTCCAAGGCTGCTGAGTTGGTTGTGGCGTCGTCTGAGCCAAAATTCACAAGGTCGTTGACCAAGTCTTCGTCCGATTCCAAATCGGAAAGATGGTCGTCGAATGGGGGTAGTCCGTGGGATGGAACGATGAGGTCGTCGAAAGTCGCAGTATGGGACGGTGCGACTGGGGCGGGGGCCTGGGATGCTGCTTCGCCAGCCTTGAGTCCGTCGTCGTCGTCGATGGATGGGAAGACGGCCAATTCAGCAAGAGCGGAAGTCGCAGGGATAACACCCGAGACGGTCAAGTTCCGGGGATCACAGAAATCGACGTCTTGCTCTGATGCCGTCACAGACCTAGCATAAGGAGCAGGGGACGGAGATAGGGAAGGGCAGGATAGGAGGTCGCTGGTGGAGCTGACGCTTGGAATCGAATCCTGGTCGAAGGGTCGTTGAGATTCAGGTACGTGTGATGCACGAGGCTGAGAATGAGATGGAGCTTGTGGGTTCTGATGGAGGTAAACTGCCAAAAAGAGATTAGCGCCAAGTCGAGAGCCAAGTTGCCAATTTAGAGGAGGCTGCAGGTTGAGAGGCACAAGTTTCGAAAGGAATAAAAAAAAAAGCGACAGGGGTTGCCCGGAGACTGGGGATGGTCTTCCCACGGGGGGGCTTTGACCGCTGGCGGATATTTCCAGTGTGCCCACAGTGGCCGAGAAAATCACCGACTTGGGTGTTCCTCAGCGAGTTCATGCTGCCTCAGGCAGGAACCTATTGGGCGGTGACCGGCAAAGGCGACAGATAACGAGTCCCACCCGCCCGAGGTTTCCGCATCAGTTACTAGGGCCCCTTGCCCTGGCTGTTGGGCTACTACCTTAGGTACCCTGAGAAATCCCCGCCCGGAAGTCAAGTCCAGCAGTCCCGGAACAACCCCCGGCCCCGACAAATGTCCAGTGGTCACCGATGCGACCGGGGTAAGAGTGGCCTGAAGGCAGTTTCCAGTGGCATGGACATGTTGTCACTAACAACATGCAGCCTATTGTTTCTCCCACGCAGAATTCAAAGTACCAATGTCCGCCCACCGGCTCGCCCATCAGGTGTCGGGAGTGTGGGAAACAATATGAAGAGGATCGGACATGTAGTGTAAAATGCAATGTAAAAATAAAAATAAAAACGGAAAAAGTAGAACGTACCAGGTGTCATTGGTGGTGATCCACAGCTCGACCAATCGAGTACAGGGTTCTCAATCGACTCGAGGGTTTCCTTGCCATCCTCAAGGCCGTCCAGCCCAGAGAACATCGGGTTCATCGGCGTCTGCAGCATGTCGCATTGCTGATTGGGGCTGCTCACAGTGCTGCACGCGCTGGACAACGGTGGTGTAGAGGGAAAGCACAGCCCGTCATCTAGGCCCTCGGTGTCGAGAAGAATGGTGGGCTTCTGGTGCGCTCCCGCGGAGTGAGGCTGCGGCGAGGCCAGCGGTGTCATGACACCGGGGCCGTTGCTGTACAATGTCGGCACAGATGGCGGCTGCTGCGAGCATGAGGAGTTGGGCCTCGAGTAAGTCGGAGTTGAGGGCAGAGTTGGTACCATGGGGTACATGGGCAGCTGGCCCATACCAGCTGGCGCGAGGACTTGCTGCGCTTGCGGAAACTGTGCTTGTTGCCGGCTGTCCCAGTAGAACTGTCCAGCGGCCATCTGAGTCGCCATCATGGTGGACTCCATTATGTGAAGATGCAGTGTGGTGTATGTAGTAGTGATAGTCCTGAGAAGTCTAGAGGCGGCCGTTGTCAGTGGTGCCCTTTTCGTCAGGGGCCGAACACAGGGGCAAACCAAACTAACCAGACTAAACTTGTCGTATATGGGTCGTGGATTTAACGTGTTTCCGTCCTTTCGTTCGAGTCGTGCTGATATCGTGTATGGTCGTTTAAAGATTAGGTAAAGTTATAATGCAGCGGATACTTATACAAGGCCCTTTCGATCAGATGAGGATTCGTCGGGCAGACTGGTTGGTTCAAAGGATGGTGTGTCTTCGGTTTTGGGGTTGTGAAAAGATTGGACGACTGTCTCCTAGGCTAGAGCGAAGGACAAGGACGGTCTAAGTGATGACTCGAGAGGTCGAAGTGTTGTACATGGAGATTTCATCCGTTTACTTGCGGCGGTCTCTCCTCTTTGATATCACTGACAGATCGAAATATCACCGAGGAAGAGTGCGCAGAGAAAGGTCGGCCGGTTCTTCGCCCCGTGGGCAGACAAGATAATAGGTGCCTCGAAAACCAAGGTGGTAGATGGACGAGGTTGAGCGTCGTGTGTGCCGTGTACGTGCACGTGGATGTGTTGCTTTAAAGGAAGGGCAAGGACGGTCCGAGGCAATGACCCGAAATGTCGTCCTAAATAAAAAATGCTATGTCGAGTCACTTAAAAAAGGTAAACCCGAGATGGCATGAAAGAAGAAGAAGAACCACGCAAGGCACGCCAAAAGTCGAAGTCAAACACGACTGCCGATCGTTTAAGACTGACTGTCAGAGTCAAGGAACGAGCTAGATGCGTGGGTAAAGAGGTGAAGAGGTGAGATATGTATGTTCCTCCTCCACCAGAAGATCGACGGACGGGGCGGCTCCAGAGATAAACAAGCAAGTCGATAGGCATGATAGGTATCCGTCCTAGCAGAAGAGCCTAAGCACAACCAAGCACTAATGCTGGTGGACTTGGACCGCGCTCTCCCCGACGAATGCCAGTCTTCCTCCACGCCTTGTTTCACAGGACCAGGGTCAAGGATCACGTCTGAGAATAGGTGGATGCGCTGACAGGGATGTGCGAAGTTACGACCCAGGAACAAGAAGGTGGGCGAGACGGTGGGGTGGCCCGGGGGGGGGGGGAGGGTCCCAAAGTAGGTGAAAGCACCGGGACCCATCCCACGGTACCTCTTTGGCTCCTCCACCGCCCGTGGTCCGTGTCTAGGGGGGGCGCGAGGGGAAAACGGCGGGTGGATTCCAAAGCGGGTTGCTGGGTCCCTTAGTCCCTCAGATGACTGTACACAGTGATATACAGTGTTGAGTGGGCGACAAGTCCTGCGCCTGCACCACGAGGTTGCTTCTAATCACCTAGAACCATACCTAGTGTATGTACCTTAGTGGGAGAGAGGGTGTGGTGAGAGGGGGGCGCAGCAGTCATTAATGGTCTGCTAATTCGGGCACTGACCACCCACCCGCACGTCCTTCGCACCGTCGCTTAACAGTTCTTCTCACAGTACATATATACATATATAAGATAAGTACCTAAGGTACACTCCAACTCCAGCATAGGTAGGTACCTTAGAAATAACAGACGAGACCCTCGACGGATTGAATGGGCCTATACAAAACAGGTGCGGACACAGCCTGACAATGCGCCAGCTCCAAGCATCTACCTGCCCTGATTAATTACAGTACGAGGTTGGAACGACGAAGCAAATGTTATAGTATTATTCGCAGAATGATGACCGAGGTACGGATACACTCTGAACTTTGCAGATGATTTACTGGCTGGCACGGTGGTTGGGTAGGTACTCTTCAATGCCTCTCTTTCGGAACGTGTCGGATAGCTATTCCGGTGCATACGAGGCGACATATCACTCCCGAGCAGATTTTACAAATCTTCTCTTGGTCTGGCCCTATTTGTTTATTTACTATGTATTATGTGTTTATTATATATGTATTTGTGTTGGCTCGATTTGTGGCGTCTGTACGTGATGAATAAATAGCCTGTTGAACTATTACCGAGTCTTTGTACATATTCGTAAATATGGGCGTCGGTGATTTTGGCTACTTTCGGACATAGCGTACCACCAAAAGGCACGAAATAGGTACTATAACTTATAATCCAATGCCTTTTCGAGACCGAAGAAACCGTCCATGTACGAAGCATGTCCCGAGACATTCGCTGAAGTTGCAACGTCCCAATGACGCAGTCTTCACGGTCTGACAGGTTACGAGTTTGTCAGAGCCGAGAGAGAGACATGCTGAAAAAGCCGAAAAAGGGCAAGGAGCTGAGCCCAATGTGACTTCAGCACTGCATAAACCCGAAGCCCTCGTGTTCTCTGGTAAGCGATGATAGGACAGCATAGGGGAAGCAGTGGATAGACAGACACAAGCATGCATGGTGGGTGCTAAAGCCTGTGCTCAGATGAATAGCGCCGGGCCACATAATTTGCACAAATCATGCCCTGGACTGCTATTGGCTCGGGATGACTTTTTTGTGAGCGTGTCGCTGGCTCAGCCTACGCTCGACCCACCGCGACGCGAACACAACCATCCATCCATCCATTCCCTTTGGTGGCCTCCCAAGGCTCCAGCGAGACAGAAACGCCCACCACTCTTATGGCTCCGTGACCAACGCAAAGGCACATAAAAAAGTGTGCGAGCGTGCACTAGTGTAGCGCTTGTGCAGCTGGGTGTTCCCGCCGCCGCCTATTACACACCATTGATTGTGTCGACCAAGATGGTGCTGATCAGTCTCTATCCTATCACATCACTCTTAACCGGACCTCTCAGGCGTGTCCCGTGCCCCGTGCCCTCTCACTCGAACTGATTGTTTTAGGTCTGTTCATAATAGGAATTATTGGTGGATTGGCTTCGAAATTCCGTCGCCGGCTCCCTCTTAGAGGCGGATGACCAACGGTCGGCGTTGAACCATAACGGCGGGTGCTTGTGCGAATACGGAGCCATGGCCCTCGCGACCCAACAAGCCGCGACAATACGAATAGATACCCTTCTTGATAATTACTTCTGAGAAGGCGTCCAGGCGTCCCCGTGATGATGCTGAGCCTATCGCATGTCATTTCGAACAAGCAACGAGGACGAAGCTGCTTCCCTCTCCATTTTGCGATTCGCCACTAATAACTATGGCGGCAGTTGGTGTGGCCACACCTAGGCCTCTGAATACTCCATAGATCGGGGTCGCGATAGAGGCGGCGAACCCCCCCCCCCTGGTGAGAGCATTGACAATGGAAGCTAGGATATGAGGCACGTCGAGCGGGCCGTTGTTAAAATAATGCCTCGGTCTTGACGTCTTGACCGTGGACAAGGCGTCCTGTCATCGATGGCTGTTGATGGTTGGTTGTCTTGTACGAAGCCACGAAGTCTTACAGAGTACTTTGTACAGTCTGCGAGTCCTCCGATAATTGCGCCGAGTTGAAAGGCCAACCAATAAATTGAGAGGAAGATGATGAGACTTGGAAGGGGAACCAAGAGCCAACGCAGAGACACGACAACATACCGTCACTTTCTTCAATGTCCGTTCCTCCAATTACGGTCCTCTCAATTCCATTTCTTTACCTTACCGCCCGGCACACCCGAGCTAAGAGGAGGAATTCCCTGATTATTGGACGTTTTCGCCCTCTTGCCCTGCCACGGTCCTCTCATCAAGGCTTTACTCGCAGCCATGACTCGAAAATGATGGTTGTCTGCTCGACAATGACAGACATGGTGGTACACGTAGGATCGACGGCCTGCCAATAATTCAAAATACGAAACATCTTTTATCAACGAGTCGCCACAGAGGCAAACATATGTGCTTCTCTGGAACGAGGGACGCCGGGGAACGAAGCCCGCGACCATGCAACCCCGTCTTGGAGTTGACATGGAGTAAATAGATCATGATCCAAAAAGTAAGGACGCGCTAAAAGCCGACGTAACAGAAGATGGGGAAGGGGTTGCATCACGGTCATCCCCGGCCTTGGCATTGACAACTTAGTAATAAGCCAATACTCTATATATATCACCTGCTCTTTGCAGCATGCGTGCCTCCGATCTGGCTTCGTTTTCTGGTGCTTGGGAATCCGCGTTTCGGGGAGGTCGCAGAGGCGCGACTCCCATGGGTACGGAGGAATTTTAGTGATCCCTGTTCTTTGGGTTTTCTTGTTGCAACGGTAAGGGTCGGGTGGTCGAGGTAATTGTCAAACCGTTTCATATCAGTAAAGAACGTCGGCACAGAGGGAGGGCCCAACAGCCATGCGATTTGTGGGCACATAGATCCCAGCTCCTCCTCGCATCTCATTTCGTATCTGCCGAGTCACTTTGTGGAAAGCGATGGATGATTATCACCTGCCTCATATCTATCACAAAGAGTGACGATAATGTGGTGATCCTACTGCCATTTTTTGGCCGCGCCATTTATTACTTCTATGTATGCGATAATGATATCTCGCGTCTTATTTGAACATATCACCGGCGGTATGGATACATGTCACTTGGGAATGATAAGGCACTAGCGATACCTTAGGTAATGTATGATAAGGTTGAGATAGGTAAGGTACCTTACCTATGTGTACCTATGCGAGCTTGTCTGTTGCTACGATAATTGCCCTACGACTTGATTACTATTACGTTACAACCGGGATCGCTGCGAGGCACCAAAATGGTCTTCTGTTCCGATTCTTCAAACCCCCACTTCGCAGAGGGAACAACCCCGCCTTGACGGCGCAAGGATGGTTCAAGGCCTAAATGTTCCCGATAATATTCTTATTATCTATCTTCCTACGAAGTAGAGCTGCCCTTTTTTTCTTCTTTGTTTTTCTCCCTTCTAGTTAATCATTCGTCCTCATCCATGCTTCAAGGGGACAGATTATCGTTTTGTATTTTCCGGGCCAAAAACGACTGCTCTATGGCGCAAGCCCCTGTTTGCGTGTTATCCGCTTTAGGAGAGACATTTCAAACGTAGTTCCGTCGTTAAAATTATAAACCACACCCGAACGATGTACGGAGTAATTACGTTGTACGATGCATTTTTGAACGACCAAGAACGGGACGTTTCCCATCTTTCCTGTTTAGGCTATCATCTTCCACATCCTTTGAACGATGCACGAATCGTTAATTATCTCGAAGCGGCTTGGTCACGAAACCACGGCGTCGGGTACGCATCATTGACCGTATCTGGATAAGGGAAGGACCGGATCGCGTCGGGGGGGACGTCTCCCCGTGCAGTCTTCTCGACCACTATATCAAACAAGATAGCGGCAGCCGGCCTATCGATTTTATTCTCTCTTGTGGCGGCGCAATGTTGCTTGTGCTTTCAGGTCAGACGTTGGTAGCGCAAGCCCTCATCATCTCCCATCTCGCCACATTAGAATAGATTCACCTTAAGCATGCTCGGTACCTGGACATCCGCCGCGCTTGTTGACGGCGCTACGACTTTTGGGCTATCACTTTATAACGTATAGACGAAATACGGATTAATACGTGCTAGACGTAATGAACCGTTAACTTGCCTATCTTGGTGCGGTCTTGGTACTGCATAAGTTTGACCCGTCCGTGCCATGGGGGTTGCATTAGTTTTATTACACGCTATGCACTAAGGTCATATTCCCTACCTTACCTTAGGTGCCCAGTAGGTTTAATGCACGGGTACTGAGTGGGTAGCGAAATACGAAAGTAGTCTGTACGTAATACTATGGTTCGTTAGTAAACATAGTGTGCTTACGACTCGGGGAAAAGGTGCATCACGGGTACTCCGTACGTAGGTGGTAGGTATCTGTCACTATGCCTCAGAACTGGAGTACTCGTGCCGCACAAGCATTTATGATTGTGCTCGACACCCCCTGCATTAGACTCGTCTCGGAATAAGAGGCGGGTCAATCACGAAGTCAACCGGAGCACAGTAACACCGTGTCCTATTTCTGTTATCGCTTGTATTTGAATACTTCGTAATTACGTTGTACGTTGCACAATCCCTCTCAACCTCGCTATCCCGTCCCCGTCTCTCATGCTTGCCCCATCCCATCCTCCATTGATCCTCCCAGACCTTCCAGACGGACGGCTACCAACAGTAGGAAGAACACCGTACGTCGGAGAACACGCCAGAATAGGCAGCTTGTCACCGTCTCCAATCCTTCTGGAAGCAATGGAATCCGTAATCCTTCAGACCGCGGTTTCGCCATCGCATCGAACGCGTTCCGGCTCCTCTTTAGAGGCAAAAAGAATCAGAAGTACCTTCCCCGAAGGGACCAACCAATTTGCCACCTTCTATCCTAGACGATCTGGCTCGGAAGACCCGCCGGAGAAAGGTGCATCGCACGTGTGGTTATCACCGTTGTCCGTATCTCGTTATCTCGAGCAAAGGGCTCTAGATTTCCCCGAAACCTGTGCCTGTTACGTTTAGGTTGCTTGTGGGGGGTCTCAACTGGTTCCTGCTTGTCGTACCGTACCTTGCTTGCATACACCGTACGTACTAAGAGGGCTAGTTGGTAAGGTACTTCGCAATGCCACTCGTCGTTTCGTCCTCGGGGGACAAACAAACTCTTCCGCGCTAAGAGGTCTTGCAGGTCTGCAGTGGGCCAGCTGCAGGAACAGAAGAACCAACATGCAGGTACGGCCACATTTTCTCGTTCGTTTCTCGTCTCTCGCTCGACCGCGGTCGCAGTTAGCACAGTATGGATCTCCTCTGCTCCATAGTTCCCAGGAAAAAGGGCACCCCCTTCAGAGGCAAACTCGTCAAAGACCCAATCTCTCTTGTTTCACTACTGCGCAAATAGTGTATAAGTACATCTATAGCGAGGTCGTCAGATTTCTTTCGCGGCGCCAGGAGAATAATCGCCGAGATAGCGCACAGCACGGCCTTCTATTCCCCACGAAATGCGGAGTCAAGTGTGTAACTAGTTCTTTCGTAGACATTGTTCACTTCTGATGGTCAGTGCTCTGAAGTGCTTGTCGGAAGGACTATGTTGCTCGTGCTTGAGACATATTGGGGGCCAGAACTAAAGTCAATGCTGAGCCTGAACGAAGTAATAAGTACGTACCTATATCGGACATAATCGGGAGGGCTGTTCGCTTTGCGAATCTTCACACTCTTCGACGAATGAACACATACACATAGAGGCGGTATGGCGGGGTCCTCCTCACTCTATACTGTAGACCGGGGAGTCCCGCCTTGATGCAGGTCCCGTCTCATGTCTCTGCACTTCGGCACAGCAGAACGTGGTGGGCAGCATGATCCGCTGAGTGGCTGGGCCGATACTCATTCTCTGGGAGAACGCGGGCTACAGACGATCCAACGTGCTGGGTCAAGCGGGAGGGCGTAAAAAAGTTCTCATCTTTCAAGCAACCTGCGAATCATAAGAAGACGCCGGAAATGGCGGGTTTCTTCCCTCGAACAACTGTGTACGTACATAGGTAGGTAGGTACGTTGTATCTCCCCCCCCCTCCGAAAATACGAAGTACTACGAAGTACAAAGTACGAAGTACGGCTGGGATATTTGATTGCCCATCCGCAACATCGTGTCACTCTGTTGAAAATGATGCCATAGGCAGTTGAGGGTCAAGCAATGTGGCAAACCCATCAGTCGGGTCGAAGGGGAAACCAGAATGCAAAACCGCTCTTGTGAGAGCTAAGACCGCTCTTTTTGCTGCACTGTGAACGGGGCAGGGGAGAGAGGATGGCGGGGGGCCGGAACGATTCAGCGCGGCCCGGATAGTAGCCGTGAGCATGGACCTGGGCTAGGGTTACCCACAATACAGTGTCCACAGCGGGGACCTGAGCCAGGAACGGGTGAATACCCCGAGGACAAGAACTGCCCCGGATTCTGTCAAGCGACGCTGGGCCCCCCTGGTCGCCAATTCAAAGCAGCGAATCCCTTGTTTGGGCGGCGGCCATTTGCTAAGAGATCGGCGGTGCGGAGGGCTCAAAACAGAGACCAAGGAAAGAGTGTGTCCATTGAAGCCGTTTTTTTTTTTTTTTGCCTGATCAAGCGGGTCATCTTATCCATACTGTCCTCTGGGAGGGGGACTGGATTAATGGGCGGGGGGAGATGAGGTGGTTTCACTTGGTTGGAGGAAGATCCTCTGTGCCGGGATTTACGCATTTTTGCCTCTGCCCGGCCTGTTGCCCCGTATTTCCCGCGACTCTGAGAATTTGGTTGGCCTGGGGAGGGAATATTGAACCGTTCGCAAAGGTCGGTCAAGTCTTGGGTGAGGTCCGAGTTGGGATGACTTTTGGTCGAGAAGGCTCTTTTTTTCCTTCTTTTTTTTTTTATACCCTCTCTTATATTCTTTTTCTTTCTTTTTTCTCCTTCACTTGCAGCCCCTCTCTGTTCTGCTTTCCAGTTCGACCACTGACCGGCAACTTCAAGGAGCCTCCCCGGCTCACCGGTGCTATTCTCGGCGGGGTCCATCCAGGGCCCCTTCATGGTTCTTGGTGCGAACATGAACCAATTGGCACTTCCGCGACTCCATTGCCTGTCCAGGGGCCCTGGTCCTGGCTATGGGTCGAGTACAACGTACGGAGACGCAGGAACCGCAGTTCAGACCGGGATGGGAGACTTCGAGAAGGTTTCATGCTCTCTTGCTCTCTCCCTTTCTCTCACTCTCCCTATCATTCCATTCCTACTCTGTACACACTTCGTACGAAGTACACATGATTGCTGGAACCAAACTCGGCACAGTCCAATTTCAGATGTGAGGGCCCCCATTCAGTACGTTGCACGTTGCACGTTGCAATAACAGGACGGACTCACTTCTCGGAAGGAGGACAGCCCGTGTTTCCAGAATCCAGTCTATCGGAAGTCGCATGGACATTCACCAAAGCCTCGATAATAAGTAATCCTGCCCTTACGGGAGTAATCAATGACGAGCTACCTCGATCATACCCATCCCCATGACATGACCGCTATCGTGGGAAGATGTTTGAACCCGATCATCCATCTTACTAAGGTAACGGTCGGACTACCTTACGGATATCGGTAGGCCATCTCTCAAAATCTCGATAAAACTTCCGATGTCTTGGATGTTACCTCCCAACGTGCCCTGCCCTTGTTGGTATAATGACTGGGTAGTGAGTGCTCAGTAATATTTCGTGAAGATAGATGGCCTTGCCGTAAGTATGTACATGATATAACATAAGCGTCTCCGCCTGTCCGAGCGAGACAACTGCCGGTTCCCTTGAGGTACTTCGTAAACTGCGTGGGGCCGTGGAAATTTGCTGCGGCTCGCAAATCTGCCCGGGAGCTCTCGCGGCTCTCGTTTTTTCACGACAAATCAAGAAAAGTAGACATGGGTGCGAAGATTGCTAACCCGCTCCCTTACCTCAAGCTACCTAGCTTAGAGACTGCTGCCGATGGCCCAGACCGTCGAGTGGCCCTCACGGAAATTGCTATCGATTGATCCTTCGTACGATCGATCAGTCTTTCACATGAAGCTAGAATGGATCAACACATAAGTGACATAACCACGACTAATAAGACGGATCTCCAGATGAACAAGTCTCTGCGACAAGGCAAAGCTCAATCTCCAGAGTGGATGAGCTCCAATCCTCGGGATAGCAGACGTCAGCCCTCTCTTAGCTCGGCATATGGTCTCTGCTATCAGATCGTCCACGATTATCCGAACTTGGTACTACGTGCTCCTCACTTACGTACGTGAGACCGGATCATCATCACGCTAGCAGACCGCGGGTGACGAATGCGTCGGCTCTCTCGTTAGCGCAGGTGAAGTGCAGAGCTGCTCACTATGCTGACCGGGCGCCGGTGGCATGCATGTCTTGTCTTGTTCTGACCGCGATGATCCTGATCCCCTTACCCACCATCCCGAACGGGGAAGGCAATACCTAATAGTCAGGATCATGGCGAGACCTCCTTCGAACAGAAGGCCCTTTCTCCTAGCTCATTGAGACTTTTCTCTGCAAGTGCCAAGGTTCGGTGTGCGGGAAATGCGCGACGATGAAGTAGCGGCGTCGATCGTTGACGAAGCACAGGCAGGCAGGATTCAGGAAGGAAGAGGAAGAGAAGGGCCGGTAAAGTTTACACTGTGGTTCCGCTGTTGTTAAACCACATCGTGCAAAGATGGGCATGGCGCAAAATCGTCCTTGCTCGTGGTTTTCAGTTCTCCTTCCACATTATAGAGAACATGAAAGCGATATACCCTCAGTATCACCGGGCAGGCAGGCCTGTGCTCGTGCAGGTGAGTGTTGCGGAATTGATAGGTACGAGTTGTCGCAGACTGATGGACAGCCCCGAGCACAATTTCCTCGGACTTTCGCCCACTATGGACGGTGAAATACCCCTACCTACATGTATTCGTAGTTTCAGGCACATTTTACTTGTGGTAGCTCTGCAGGGTCCGCTTGGGTCCTCCGTGTCCATTCAACGCGAGAAACGCGTGGATGAACACACCCATGGCGAATTCTACATGTAGGCTGAAGAGTGGCAAGACACGGCAAGACACGAGACGCAGACAGCGGAACAGGAACGTGCCGCTGCCGCGTGCAAAGGCCAACTCTCTTCCCCACCCTATAAGAAAAAGAAAAGAAAAGAGAAAAGAAAAGAAAACCCCTTCCCCTGCTCTCTAGCAATATGCAGAGGGGCGAGGGCGAGACACCGTTCGCCACCGGTCTGTCGCCGCCTTGACTAACACCGTCCCCTAATACGAATGATAAGACCAAGGAAATCGGAAATCGGAACAGCCGCCAATGCGTACTGTTGTCACCCTCGTCCCCGATGTCGTGGCGGAGGACCGATCCACCTGCTTTTCTTCAATGCATAAACTAGTGGGATTCGGGTTGGTGTCCGCGGCGCCACTTGGTCAAAAACATCCGCACGTTTCTTCTTCCTGGCCAGGTGAGAACTGACGAGCACCTGTGTCGGGCGGTGAGCATTACCCTACTAGTTATCGGCTGGTCGATGAAGGTCTATCCGTCGAATGGGGGGGGGGCAGCCGGTGACCCCCATGCCCCGTTGATAAACTGTTATTGTACGTCGTTGTAGACTGACTACATGTACATACCTTGACGTGAGCACGAGACATATCTGCAGCCGAGTCGAAACTACGGGTCCGGTGAAGACATGCCCGATAATTTGGTCGCCGGATCCTTGAAAGTGTCCCTTATATTGACAGATGGGCTATGGGCAGCTCTCCGTCTCACTGACAACTGGAGCCGCAATTTAGTTTACTCCAACCTACTTCCACGAAGGCGGATACATCCGAATATCTGGACAAAACACGAATACGTTCAAATGTACATAATTACCTACAAGATCATTGAATGTATATGGGTCAGTCGGTTCTTGGCGACAGCTTGAAGAAGAATGCAAAGGGAATGGAAAGATGGATGCATGTGCCTGTTTCCAGCCCCCCGGGAACTGGGAGCGTCGTTGCGATGAGAGCAATAGGATCAACTCCCCGTTTCCCATGCAGAACTTTCCGGTTCAAGCTTGGCAAACAGCACAGCTAAACATACGGTAGCTGTATCCCAGGCTCTGCTTGCTCTCATATATGGTAGATGCAAACATTCAGAAAGCTTGGGCGTCGAAATATGCCTTTGGAGATGCTCCCAACCATGATCCAGGGACCAGCCCCAGTACAGCTGTGTTTCACTCTTTTACGCCTGTGGTGCTCCTCTCAAGAAGGCAACCTGGATACTCTCGGCTTCCCCGGGGAACGGGATAGCCTCGACTTCTGGCGGCAGCAGACACTGGGGGTTTTTATACATACAGAATACAGATGGGTGAAGATACTCCCGCTCTGGTCTTTCCGGGGTTTGCCCTCGTCATAGCCTCTATCGCAACATTTTGGGCTATATACAGGCTCGCCCACCGGGCTCCATGAATCACATGCACTTCTCAGGAACTCACTGATCTGCCGCCCCATGGCCTTGGAGGGAATTTACTGGTCATGTGGTGGCAACCAGTTGAGGGCCATGAGAACAAACCTGTTCGAGCCCCAGCAATGTCCATTGGCATGTCTGGCGCTGAGTTGGCCTTGATTGAGCTATGCCTTATCATTCGTGCCTCAACCGTGATGCCTCGTTCCTGCGGCAATCGATCGAAAGGCAGTAGTGGTAACAGAACGATAAAGTAGTAAGAAATCGGGGAAGATAGGCTTATAACACAGGAAGGGTCTTGGTGTTAGTATGTCCCCAAGTCGAGTTTCGGGTGCATGGAAGACAACTCAACATATTTAAAAGGTGTAGACGGACGGCGAGCGTTTGTAAGTTTGGGCTTGTAGTTAGCTAAGTAGCTGCAGAGAGTTGGAGACTCGGAACCACGATGCCTGCGAGACGGAGACTTTTCCTCCTGAAGGGTAGCCAGTTTTGTATTGATTATATATTGGGACTCAAGAAGAACCGAAAGACGTAACTGGTACTTCTTAGAACATTGAGGGCAAGAGACAGCTACAGTTACAGTCTCAACAACAGAGAGAGTGGTACCTCGAGGCACGCAAAATTGGCACGGAGTTAGACTCTACATAATACCAAGACGACAGACGATAGTTGCGCATGGTGTTGCAGGGCTCTCTTACACGCTATACTGTTCATCTGAGATGGAGATGGTTGAAATGGAACGCATACGCAAAATGGTTGCATACAGGGAAACTCCTTTCCAGGTCACAGAAAGTTATTCCCCCCCCCCCTTGGAGGGGTGCATTGAACGTTCCAAGGGAAAGGCCAAGTTCGACTCCATACTCATAATAATATAACGACAATCCGGATAAACTACTTGGCTTGGCTTGTGGACCGAGTTAACGTCAGGCCGTCATGGTAGTGCTAGAAGTCTGTGGAAGAAAGCCTGGGGCGCTCAACTCGTTTGACTTGTGAGGATTCCTTCATAAGCCGCCTCCAAGGTGAGCTGTGATGTAGTGACCGCGGAGTTTGCGACCCAACTACCCGAACCATAAAGCTACATAAACAAAAGTTAAGTAGATTTTAACGTACCTACAGCACAGGTAAATCATACGGGACTCGTCACGCCCTGGAATGTGGGAGCGAGGAGGGGAAGGCGGACGAGAGGGAAAATTGACTCTCGCTGCTGCAGAGTATTGAGAAGCCATGCGGCTCTTGCCAGAAGCGCCAACTTTTCGGCCTGTCCAGGTCAAGGCTCTATCCAGGCGTCCGTCCTTACTTATCAAAGTCAACCCTGATAGGTTACGATATACAGGATACCATGCAGACGGACTTCCCGAGTCGATACACACTAAGTCTAGGGAGTGAATAAGGGAAGTACCAGCTCACTACCATCAAGGCCATTCTGCGAACGCCGTAAGGGTAAATACTTCGGGGAGACTGAGCCTCATAGCCGGGCTTACAGGTGTCTTAAAGCAGCGGAGGGCGCTCAGGCTAGGGACGACGAAGCTGCTATCAGGGGGGTTCAGCGGTAGGACCAGCACACCACGTGCTGACGATGAGATTCCTGAGCTGCTCGGAGGGTGTGCGAGGAAAGGTTCAGGGGTTAGACCGGCTGATATTTGCCTTTACACAACCACCTTGACAGCCTTTTACAATCAGAACGGTCTTAGAGGTCGTAGATATCTGATTAGGGCGGGGAAAAGCCGAGTCCTGGTACGGAGCTGCCGCTAGCGGAGAAACACATAGGACTGATTATACAATTGGGGGCGGTGGGAGACAGGTAGGTGGTTGCCTTTATGGACGACGAGTAAGTATAGGAGAGATGACTGAAGGCAAAGGTGAGAGGGGAGCTAGATGGCCAGGGAGAGGGAGAGGGAGAGGGAGAAAGCAAACCACACCTGGAAAGCCAGCGGAGGGGGGTTAACTTTTGGTACAAGAAACCAGTACTCGGATCTTAATCCTGACACATCTTACTGCTGGCAGGAAACCCGCAAGACCAACCTGGTCCGCTGAAGCCCACGAAAACGAGGTCATGATCCGACTTGCCCACGGCACTCGCGCCGTTGCAGTTCGAGCTAGCCAGTGCAGCGTAATCTTGGACAGGCTGCGAGGTATGTGTCGCCATGTTTATTCGGAACCTTGCGCCATGGAAAAGCGAAGGCATTCGAACGAATGGCAAGAAATCAGACTTGGAGTTGGAGGAAAGGGGGCGGCGGTTTTTGACTGACGCCGCTTTCCGATAAAAACCCATACAAGGAGCTTTGCATTCTTAGTAGCGCCAAAGACAGCCCAGATATCAGCAGCAGAGGCGGTCCTCGCCCGCTTCAACCAAGGTTGTCGATCAGGGGGAGCGACATATCATGTTCCGAGCAACTAGCCCAACCCATGGGCGAGGACAGAGCCGACATAACTGGCGTAGCCGGGGTGGAGTTTGAAAAGGGGCAAGACCAACGCGGTGGTCGCAGTTGGAATGAAGGTCGAAAGAAACACGAAGACTCGATATCGTAGAGGGAGAGATGACGATGGGAATAAAGAGATGACGGCATCCCGACAGGTTAAACAAGGGCTTCATGTCACCGCAAGCGAGAGAATCATGGTGACATGTGTTATTGGCGAGAGTATGAGAGGCAGCAAGCCATCTTCCTTTGAGCACAGAACGGGGGAAAGTCTAGGGGAGTCGAAGAAAACAACCAGAAACAAAGACACTCTCGGCTGTCAAGGTTTCCATGGTCCAAGACAGTCATACTAAGGCGAAGCAGCATATAACCTGGTTCACTTCTCCACTAGATGTTGAAATAACGGGTTCATGTTAATAGGCACGTCCCAGTCACCCGTGCGACGAGCTTGGGTGCAGAAGGTCGGGTTGCGATGTCCCCGGCATCAGGACATTTCGTGGGATGATTGATGGATCCGCGAGGGTGCCGATTGCCGAATCCTGCCAGTCCTGTCGGTACTCGGTGTGTGTCTCAACTCGGCGGCAGGTATGAATTTGCATGCCCAGCTGACATGTGTAGACTTCGATGGATAGTTGTGTGCGTCCGGGCCAATTAGAATCGTCACGATCTCCAGGTGTCCTCCATGGGGATGCATGTGGATTATAATGATTATGCTCCTTTAAAGAGCGAACATGAAACTGCCAAAGCGAATGAGGTCGCTTCAACTATGCACCGAGTAAACCTGCCAATTAGGCAGGCAGTTCAGATATCTCATGGACCTCATGTAACAGTAAGACGGCAAGGGCGGATGGTCTATTAGATCTGCCCTGAGCGGATGGGTGAGATGATAGCACTAGGGGAGACTAGGGGAGACTATCATGTGATGTACCTGTCAGCCAATCAGGGGCCCCACTCGCCCCGTCAATGGTTCGTTTAAGGATGCCGAGCCGGCTTCGTAGGCTGCCAAAAATAGAACACCCAACCAAACTAAAGCAGAAAGGACAAAGTACCTGGCCTAACAAAATCCACAACAGGTGCCCTTATGGAGCTACGTAAAATAAGAGAAGAATATAAGGTCAACCACCAAATTCATAATAAGGCCATGCTTCATTGTCTTCCATTGCAGGATGTGCTGCGTTCAATGTTGGTACATATGTGGATGGAGGAACAATGCAGGGAGGAAGAAACCCATATGATAGGGCATGCTCACATCTTGACGCCGCTCTATCCAGGGTTGCCCGCTGCATGCTGTACGACTCGAGGCTTACTGATAGGTTGTAGGGGTGTGCGTGAGGTTGGTGACAGTTGGCCAAAACATCTGCCTCTCTTGGTTTGCCTCGCCATTCAGCTCGAATATTTCTTTTTGTTGGTGCATGAATGAGTATAGGAGCTGCGGAGTACGGAGTTTTCTGGAAGGAAGAGTTCGGAGAACTGCCGGAACAGTTATGCAGCCCGTATTGCCACCGGAAAGTCCTGCTTGGCCTGGACAAGACAACAAAGCCGGTGCGGCGTTGCCCTTGTGCCCCTTCTTGAAGTGCAGGGGCGAAGACACGCGTAGGTTTCCAGAAAACGGTCATCGACGATCATTACCAGTTTTCGGCCCCAACAGGGACAGGATGCCAAGTAAGTACTCGATACCTTTCTGTTCATTAATTATGATCCATTCCAATTAATCATGATCCATTCCGATCAATTATAGCCCATTTTTCTGTACGTGACTTATCTGAAGGGGGCAAGGAGGGCCAAGGAGGAGGTATAGGTGACTGATCGCCACTGCCCCGCCGCCAATCAGGTAGGCGAGCTACAGGTGTGTGTGTACGGACCCGAAGTACGAAGTACATAATCCATAATCTCAGGCACCCGCAGCCCAGCACAACATGCCCTCCAGAGCAGATCGTCCAGAATAAACACGAAGACCCAGATATCTACGAAGTACCTATGCCTAGCTGCAGGTACCTAGTACTTCCGCGAATGTCATCCATGATGTGACTGGCATGATGGATGATTGTCTAACTGCTGTCCGAACCTTCTTAGGTTTACGATAAAAAAATCAATGACAGGTTTCAAGTATGAGATTTTGAATTGAACGGTTTCCAATGGATTCGCGTATTATACCTAGGTAGTGCGAGTATTGCAAAACTTAGGTGAGAAATGACCATTGCATGTTCGTGTACGTACCTGGATAGATGCGGAGTATATCAATACAATCCATACAAGGACACCTGCACCTGGACCGTGCATTTGGCTATCAGTACGGGCAGGGAAACTACGGGAGACGGTCCCAGTCGTTACTTCCCTTTGGGTTGGTCTCTCGCGCCTTACTGCAAAACAACAACCCCCCTCCTTCTTTCTCACTCTTCTCTTGTCCCACCATCCATCTCGAATCCACGCCTTCATCTCTTTCGGCTTGCTCAACTTTCCTGTCATCTTCCACTTTATCTTCCACCTCATCTTCCACCTCATCTTCCACCTCATCTTCCACCTCATCTTCCACTTACTTCCATTTCGTCTGACCATCGACGAGCCTACTGCCGCCCTTTTCGTCCTTCGATCATGGGGATTATCGCGTATCCGTGATCTCCTTCGACTTCCTCCTCCCTTCTGAAAGGAATTAAAAAAGAAAAAAAAAAAAGCCAAGAGGAAAAAAAGAAGAGGAAGCAACATAGTCGTACTCTCGAAAATCGACCGATTTTACTCGCACCAGAAGCTAGGAGCCAAGTCTCTTTTTGTTTGCCATGGATTCAACTGATACGGATTCTCAACCACACCTTGATCAGGTCTCCGAACACTGTAGCGATGACCCTGCTCCTCGTCCTTCCACGGAAAAGAAGCCCTTGCCATCTCTGGCAGTTGATCGTCTCCCAGAAGAGATTATTGAACAGTAAGAAAGCACTGTCGCCTTCGTCGTTTTGCTTGTCACCCCTCCTTCATGACCTCTTCCGTCCCACCACTCGTCTTTCTCTCGTCCCTCCCTTCCCTATATCTCGAATTTCGTCGCTAATTCCCTTTGCTCTGAAGGATCCTCCAAGCTGCCGACCCCGACTCCTTTGCCTCCCTTATTCTTGTCAACTCAAAGTGGCGACGAGTCTCCCAACGTGCCCATCTCTATGCCCACCACCTTCATAAGTGTCCTTCATACGCTGCCAGCCACAATGCTCCGCCCATAGAACCCAAAGATGACAACGATCACCACAGCGACAACCCCAACGACACCGAGGACGAGAAAGAACGCAGACTGCACGACCTGCGTGAGGCCTTTGCCCGCGAGGTGAAGCGCAACTTATTCGAAGCCTACCTACGCCCGTCCGAGACCACGATCAAGCTCATCTCTAATTCGATTAGTTCCTCCTCATGTCCCGGCGGCGAAAGCATGCAGTTCAGCCCTTCCCCTCGCGGACACCATCTCTTGGCCTATAACTCGTCCCGAATATACGTCATTGATGTCCGCACCGACATCATCGACGTGACCCGCGAGCTTAAGATCCTTCGTCGCCCCGTCTCCACCTGCATCAAGGACGATGGCTCCCTGCTGGCCGTTCTGTCCAGCGAGATGCAGGTCGATCTCTACGACTTGAACGAGTCCCCCCCGCGCCGCACCCAATCCATGATCCTTGACCATGCTCCACGCACCATCGCCATGTCCCCCTGCGGTTCTGTTCTCGCCGCCGCCTACGACGGCGGCATCGAGGTCTCTTCCCTCAACCCCGGCGCCTTGGCCACTGACAGGAGGGCCGTCAAGTGCGACGCCGTCGACACCCTGGCCTTCTCCTTTGACGGGACCCAGCTGCTCGGCACCACCGTTCACTCGTCCTCCCCCAATACCGTTGTCCTAACGGCTCCCTACTACGACCCTGCCAACATCGTCGATGACAACATGATCGCCCTCTGGACTACCTCGATCCTCTTCCCCAACACCAGCCGCGACTGCAGCCATGCCGTCCTGCTACAGAACACGAGTCGCGAGGAGGCCTCTTGGACTTTCACATACGACCGCAGTTTCGAGACCTTCCGCGCCGTCCGCATCGACGACCTACGCAACGGCACCACCTACTTCACCGGGCCTATCCCCAGTCCATGCGACCAGGCGAAGCTCCTGCCTTCCACCTCCCCTGCCGCTACCTACCACGGAGACCTCGTGGCTGCTGGTTTCAAAGGCAGAGACATCTGGCTCTACGGCATTCCCGAAGACCTCGACGCCGTCCCTGAATGCGCTTCGTCCGCGTCTAACGATGGTGGCTCCGCCGCGCTCGGACGACGCGGCGGCAATGGCGACCCCCCTTCTCGCACGCCGTCTTCGAAAGCGCGAGAGAGCAGCAGTGCGAGGCCGCAGTGGCAGCTGCTTTGCGACAAGCTGCGGAATACCTTCGTTTGGGGGACCAAGGTGGCCGAAGTAGAGGGCGTCAGTTGTGTCAAGTGGGTGTGCGGCTTCGGCGGCGCGTCGTCACGCGAACGCCTGGTCATCGCCGCTCGGGGTGTCACGCCTCCCAAACCCATCACCGAACAGGAGGATGTCGACTTCATTGACGGGGGCAGGATTACTCTCCTCGATTTTGACTACGCCATCGAGAATGGCTTCAAGCGGGAAATCACCATCGACGTCGGCACTAAGGAGCCCGAAGTCTTGGAGGAAGAACGGAGGGATATGGCTACCGAGGTTGCTATAGTCCGCCGGAGGACCGTCGCCCAAAGACGGGACAACCGCGGCGCCCTTCTGCGCGCCTCACCGACTGCTGGTACCTCTGCTGCGGCGCCTCCTGTACCAGATATTCCGCCGCCGAGTAACCATCATGCGAACGCCAACGATGACGACGACGATCCCCTTGTTCCTCGCCGTATGGGGGTACCTCCTCAGCCGGCTTCACGGCAATCGACCTCGGCAGGCGTCCGAGATGAGTCGGAAAGCGCTTCTCTTATCGAGGCGCAGGAGGCTGTGGACGTCCCGTATTCACACGACAACCCCCGTTCCACAACAACGCTCCGTCGTGCGGCTACTGCGGCCGCCGTCAGCCGACGTCGCAACCCGCGGCCTCCGGTTGCCGGCCAGGACACCTACACCCGCGCAGACGGCCGTCGCGAGCATCCGCATGAGAGCGACGCAGATAACTGGGTACCTCCGCCGCCGCCCTACCAGAAGGACGACCCTGGTGACGTGCCCGTCTTCCTTCGACAGCCTGCAATCGTCGGACCCGGAAATCATGGTCCCGCGACGTCTTTGCCGCTCGCCAGGTATCAAACAGCAGCACCCACAACAACGGGATCATCTGCCTGGCCGCTGCCGTCCGCGGCTCCCCCGCACGTTCCATCTACGTATCGCAGGTCAGCAAGCGACGGTGTCTCCGTAACAAGCCGACTCCAGAGCGAAGAGCTTACCCGGCCGACAACTAGTGTTTCGATCCAAGTCAGCAACCGCACTGCCAGTAGCGCTCCACGCGACGACGACGATCTCTATGACGTCTCGCCTCCTGACTCTCCTCGCCTCACCGCGCAGCAATCTAGCAGCAACACCCAGCCAACGGAGTCTCGGATGCACCCCCCAGCTCTAGGGCTGCAGATTCCCTCACCGACGTTCGTCGTGTCATCCGAGCCCGATACCCATTCCCATGCACAAGCGAGCACCGGTTCAGGCGGACCCTTTCCGGGTAGACGACTTTCAATCGCCAACACATGGCCTAAAGCGCCCGGTTCACGAGAGAATGCGCGTTCGGCGTCTTGGGTCGGACATGCCCACACGGCACCGCCCATTAGCGCAAGCCAGAGCGAGATCATTGCGGCGACGTTTCCTCTTCCGAATGGCTCTGAAGCCCGATCCAGTCTGGGCAGTCGCGGATCGGCGTGTCACTCCTCGGATCGGCGTGCGGCTCTAGGAAGCCGTGGTGGGAATGTGTCTCATTCTGGCCTCTCTCCCCTACCGCAGCACGTTCCTCTCCCGCATACGCCAGTGCAGCCGGCGTCGAGCCCGCCTGTGGAAGATCAACCTCTTATTATCAGCACTCCTGGCGGCGTGAGCGGGGCCTTCGATCCTCCCGGTGCGCATACTCTTGGAGGACCCAGGAGCGAGACGCCCATTTTGGCACCCATCCCGCGACACCCGCGCACGGATCCTGATGGGTGTCACACTGTCGAGCGAATCGATCCTTCGTATATTGCACCATCCACCAACGCGCCAAGGAGACTAATGCCCTCATGGCTTCCGGCGCCGTCGACGACGTCTAATGGTCAGCGTACAAACAGCTCGCTTAGTCGAAACGCCAGCCGGGCCGAACGAAGCGCTGCGAGGAACATGCAAGACGCGAAGCGGCGCGGATGGAGAGGCACGCGGAAGGCCAGGAAGAAGCGCATTGACCACGAGGTCGCCAGTTCGGTGGCCTGGACTGACGTGTCGGCTGTGAGCAGAGGCGGGCCTGCTGACGGCAAGAGGCACAAAAAATGCGCCGTCATGTGAGAGTCGCCTTCGCCGACGGGGGCCAGGGAGGCAAGGACACGCACATCCACGATACCCACGTTTCCACCTAGGACGATATTTGATCCAGCGTATCAAACCACCATTTGGTTTTCGAGATTTTCACAGCAATGACCAAAGCGTGGCGTTGGGAAGTTCCATCTTGTTACGACAGATTTGAACCAAGGCGTGGGTAAACTTGGCCGAGTACAAACGGAACAAGTCAAAAATGTGGTATTATTCACCAATGTTGGATGGATGTTTTGGCGTTTTAGCGAGAATATAAGCATGCCAACTGATATAGCAAGGATGAGAATGGTCGTTCATTAATGGGCGTTTCGTGTGAGAGGTCAGCAGACGAGACACGGCTCGACTTCGGGACTGCATTGCGGTATGAGGTGTCCAACTCTCAGGGAGAAGATCACGCTCCCTAGCTGTCTACCTCGCAAACCACTGTCTCATTAATGCCGGACGAGGGAATACTAAGCGGCGGGGGCAGAGGCAGAGGCGGAGTTGGGCGAGTAACCTCCGTCATCTCCGTACCCAAGTTCGTGCTCCCGTTCGTCGCCATCACGACTGTTGATCCATTATTCGGTTCTTCGTCACTGAATTCTACCACCGCACCACGGCCCTCTTCCATCTCACGAGCTTCCCATTCCTCGAGCATCTCGGCACGCTCAGCTGCGACGACCTCGAGCCAGTACCTCTCAGCGGCGTGGCGGCGCGCCATCTCCCTCGCATCGGCTGCTAGACGCTCCTCGAGCCGGCGGTGAGCCGCGTCGAGGCATTCCTCTCGAATAGCGCGTTCTTCCTCGGCGCGGGCCTCGAGGGCAGCCAGCTCGTGATCCCGCCAGCGAATCCAGGTGTGCCAGCTCTGATCCAGATTACATCGTAGCTCTTCCTTCGCACTGGCTATAGCGTCGTCGGCGGCGGTCGGGTCCTCAACGTGGAGGGCGGCGTAGAATCCTTCGAGCTGGCGCTGATAGTCGGATTCGAAGGCGCGCTCGGCGTAGAGGCGCGCGGCGTGCTCGATCCGCACGGCCACCACGCGCTTCACGAGGTGGGCTTCGGTGGCGGCGACCAGTTCGGCGCTGCGCGCAACGTGCTCTGCGTCCAGGCGATACCGGGCCGTGTCTCCCTCGCGCCGCGCCGCTTCCGATTCGCGGACGTGGTGCTGGCGGAGGAGCTGGCGGTACTCGCTGCCCAGGCGGTCCAAGGTGTCCCGCAACTCGGCGAACCGCGCCTCGACGAGACGTCGCCGCATGGCCTCGCGGCGCTCCTGCTCCTCCCGGCGGAGGAGTTCGGCCTTGCGGGCCTCCTCGCGCTCAAACTCCTCGATCTGGCGCAGGGCGTCGCGGAGCTCGGCTTCCTCGCGGCGGATGCGGGCCTCGCGACGGGCGGCGGCGGCGGCCTTCTTGAGAACCAGGTCGGTCGTGGTGCAGCGGCAGGACCGCGGCTCCCGCCAGGGGGCGGCGCAGACGTAGCAGAACTGGTAGCCGCAGCGGCAGATCATGTGCTCGCAGCCGTCGCGGTGCTCGACGAGGGCGCGGCATCTGGCGCAGTGTACCCAGCCTTCTTCCTGGGCGAGGGCTTCGGTGAGGGCGGCGTCGCCGTCGAGACGGCAGGCGGTGGTGCTGGGGTGTTGCGGCTCCCGGCAGAGGGTGCAGGTGGCGTGGCCGGCGGGGCAGCGGGCGGTGCGGGTGGCGGGGTCGATGTTGGCGGGGGGGACGAATAGCCTGCAGGAGGGGTGGGAGCAGTAGATGCGGTGTGCCGGCCGGGTGTTCCATTCCACGCAGCGAGCGCGGAAGATGTCGTAGAGTTCGCTGTCGTGGGGAAGATTGCTGAGGATGGTGCAGGCGGGGATCTCGTTGAGGCAACAAGTCGCAGGCCAGGACTGCTCATGTTCGCAGGCTGTTGCGATGAGACGTTGGAAGCATTCTGGGCAATAGGAGTGGCAGGTCAGCTTGATGACGCCGGTCACGGGGAGCTTGTCCAAGCAGGACACGCACTCGCTGGATTGGTGTTAGTGGCTTTTGGGTCGGGGGAGAGTAAGAGTCATGTGGTGAGCAAAGTGTTGTCGAGGGGGAGATATCTGAGAAGCTTACACTTGTTCCATGGGCTCTGGTTCAGGCTCAGGCCCAGGCCCAGGCCCAGGCTCAGGCCCAGGCTCTGGGATAAGATGTGGTTCTCCCGTCGCGAGAGCCGTGCCCCTCAGCTTATCGCTTATACGCGCGACGACGGCGTGATAGGCGGCGTCCACCGGCAAAGAACTGCGCCTGTAGCCGCATTCGTCTATCGGCAACGGGCGGTAGATGGATCCCCGGGTCCTCTTCCTCTTCGAGCTAGACTCTGGGGGAACGATGATGGGAATGCATGATTCGGTGTCCTCTTCGATGGCGTCGTCCTCCTGTCCATCGTATCTGGCTGCCTCTTCTTCGGCTACCCCTAGCCAGGCGGCGGCGGCCACCTCCCGAAATAACGTGGGCCTTCTCCGATAACACTCGAAGATACGGGCCTTTATATTCACGATGGACGAGGTGATGATTTCAAGTAGAATAGGATCCGTCACATCTCTGTTATCTTTTACGACGTGTGGGGGCTGGTACCGTGTCCAAAAGATGGATTCATCTTTTGCAGAAAGACCATCACCCAGGATTCCATAAAGACCAGCATGCAGGAGGGCGTGGCTGAAGGCAGTGTGGTCGTTATGGACACTGAACTTCGGCCGAGTCTCCTCGTCCTCGGGTCGGGGGGCGCTTCCCGTGACAGGAGCTTGTGTGGCAATGAAACACATTGGGACGAAGATCTACGGGGCAGTGCTGAATGGGAGTTGCAAGGGGAGGAAGGAAGAAACCAGCAAGCTTGGGCCTGGGAGCAGCTTTTAAGGTTTCCTCTCGTCCGTCGATATCACAGCTCGAGCCGTGGCAGATAGGGGACAGGCAATGTTGGCTAGGTGGTATGATAGGGGGAAACAGGGGGAAACAGGGGAAAGGGGCGGCCACATGGCATGCCATGTGTCATGTAATACGAGATACCTAAGCTCTGACTACTACACGGCGGAGGCGAAAGCGAATAACACGGAGATTAGGCCATTTAGGGCATACGAAGACTGGCAAACCGTGGCAGGCGTCTAGGCGCTTCTCTACGCGCTTCTCACAGTGCTCTAGGGCATTCTGAGGTGCGAACAAGGAAAGGCACAGCCGCTTTGGTTGGTCTGCCCTGAGAGGGTTCATGATACCTGTGGTCTTCGTGGCGCTTATAACAGACTCAGTGTGTCGGTTCCGGCCGGATAATCGTGGAAGGGGGAGTTGAGCTCCAATTGGAGCAACGTGGTGGATATTGCACACGTAATAATGGCTGAGGCTGAGACTGGATTTACGAGGATAGTGTGTAGCCTATACAATGGTGGTCGGAGTGGTCCGAGTCTGAAAGTTGGTCAAGGCAGATGATAGAAAAGATGATAGAGAGGTAGAGAAATATAAAAAAAGGGGGCCAGGGGCACGGAGCTGTAGGGAGGCGCAGTCGGGGGATCTGTGGCTGTGCGAAGCAAAGATGAGAAAGATGAGCTAAAGAGGATCCCGGAGTCCATGAGAAGAGTGTCAACGAGTAATTGTCGACTGACCGGGTCCTGAGATAATCGTCGTATGCTTGGTAAAGATATCTATATCTCCGGAACAAACTAACTAACTATAATAGGAGGAGGAAGAGGCTAGAATAAGCTCTCTACTCTTAGGCAGGTCACATGACCGGCCCTCAGTCCCCTCGGCCCCGCCACCCGATGATAAGATACTGCCCGGTCGGCCAGTCGCGGTATAAGGTACCAACCGGGCTTAGCGCCCTCTGAGCTTCCCTCTGAGCTTGCCCTCTGAGCTCGAGACCTACAAAAGACACAAAGAGGAAAAACCAGACATGTGAAAAGCCAATGAACGAACATATGTAGGATTGGCCCGTCTCTTGAAGAGAATTGAGAGCAGATGAGGCACTAAGACGAATGAATCCATGAACAGGATGCAGAGGAGCAACCCAACCCAGTGACTTATACGAAGTACGAAGTACGTTGTACATGGCACAGCGTCATCGAGATCCGGCAGCATGCGCCACAATAAACGGGTTCCCCACGATTACTACCTTAATAAGCACGTACAAGCAACGTGCCCTCGGTATCGGTACAGGGGCCGACGATGACCGAAAGATCGACACATGCCACAGGACCAGCGTTCGTGAGCTCACGTACCATCCTCAGTAACTTCACGTCTTCGCCAATTCTTCCCCGACAAGCCCATCCTTTCTCCATCACCTACACGTCTAAGGTACAGAGCTCGACATACACCGTACACGTGCCAATGGCGGCCGGCAAGCGAGCGCTGTCTGGCCTTCAGAGAGAAGTCCTCTCGCTGTATCGGCAATGCCTCCGAGACATTCGCACCAAGCCAGAGGTAATTCATGTTGAAGATGACGTTGCCACGCATACGACGCGGTATAGCTGGAACACTAACGGGGTTTTTTTTTTCTCTTGGCGACTACCTACAGGCTACCCAACCTCACTTTCGGTCGTTTGCCCGGTATGCATGCGCCTTGTTCTCCCTCTACCTCCTCTGATGCCGGTCGCCGGCTGACGGGGGAAAACAAACTGTTTGAATGATTAGGTCCGAGTTTGACAAGCACATCGCCATCGACAAACGCGACTTCGGCGCCATCGAATTCTTGCTGCGAAAAGGACGCCGTCAGGTCGAGGTGTATGCGGCCCCGGGTATCAAAGACATCCGATGAGACGAACGACTGCCCATGCGCCTGCTTCCCATACGGCAATACGGTGCACTGTTTCGCAAGCCGGAACATTGTCGAAGGACTCAACCCATGCTTCAGGGGTCCGTCCCCGTTCGCCGGAGCAAGAAGTCGCTTCAAGTACAAATCATCCCGTCCATCCCACCATCAGTCGAATCACATTGCTCTCCGGCGCCCCTCCTGATACGGCGCACTAAGGGGGCGTTATCGGCTTGCCTGCCAGTGGGCAAGCGGTGATCCTTTTCTACGCCGATTTTTCCTCCCTCGTTTGCTGAAGAGGCCGTTTGAACGTCAAGCAGAGGGATTTGTAGATGCATCTGGGAAGACTCACCTGGGGTTAACTCGAAACAACCCCCTTTGACTTTGTGTATTATACAGAAAAAATACAATGTATCAAAAAAGCACCAGTGGATGCGAGTCCAACGGGAGCGGAGGCCTTCCACCTCGCGAACGCGACGGACAGGACTTTACCATTCGAGGACTTATTCGGAAGCCTGGTGACAAGCCTAGCTTGGGGAACACACACGTGTCTGTCTCTCTGTCTTCTTTATCGTTCGGGATGCTGCGGGGAAGCAGCCGTCACTCGGTCGCTGCGTGTGCGGAGCGCCTTGCTCGGCGTCGTACAATCAGAAATTCCTAAAAGTGGAAGAAAAAACAGGTCAGTAAAATAAAGGCGTCGCCCAAAGGAAGAAGAAGAAGAAGAAGAAGAGTCGGGGCCTAGATCCGAACAAGGCGTCGCGTGCGTGTGCCGTTTCCCGATGATTCTGAGCGCATCTCGAGTCTCGGGATTAGTTCCCAGCGCTGTGGATAGGATTGTCTCCAGGTGTTATGAAAAGAGGTGTTTTTCGGAAACGGGGCAGAACGAGCTGGGAAGGTGAGAGAGTTCTGGTGAGATTCCGAAGATGCGTTCGAGATGGGGTGCGCTCAACTGTCAATATGCGCTACTATGATACTACGCGGTCCGAACAAGCGCGTCTAGTTCATATATATGGTCGCCGCACAATCGGGGCGCAAAACCGCAAAGGCGTATGTGTCCGTCGCAAGTCCGCGTCCGAGCCGTTCACTCCAGGCGGCCTAAAACACGACAGAGAGCAGGGGAAATGGCCCGGGAAAACGGCCGCCTGGCATATTTTGGGGGCCGCGGAGCAAACCAGTACGGCGTAGTAGTTACCTAGTGGAGTGGGTTGTGGGAAGGGGAAAAGGGAAAGGGAAAAGGGGAGAGAATGGTCACCTAAAAGCACATAAGCACACAAGCTCAGCCAAATCGGAGGGCGGCTATAAAGGTCCGTCGGGAGGGGTTGCCTGACAGTTATTAAGGTAGTGAGGTTATCGAAGAGCTCGGCCGACGATTACCCTGCTTACACCGTCCTCCACACCCCCCTTATTTTTTTTTTTTTTATTCTTCTTTCCCCGACTGCGGAGACTTCCCCAGAACAGTTGCTGGACGCGGAGCTGTCACCAAGATGCCGAGAGTTGGCAAGATGGGGAAACAGTATTATCAGGGCTCCCGATGGGGGCACCTCGGCCAAGAATACGGAGTACATACAAGACAGGTGGGGGAGAAGAGGAGAAGAGGAGACGGCAGACGGCAGACGGCAGACGGGACGCTGAACACGGGGACACGGGAGGGGAAAGGGTGGGAGAGGGGGAGAGGGGAAGAGGGGAAGAGGGGAGGGGGTGAGATAAGTGAGATAAGGGGAGTCAGGTACATCAAAGTGGGCGCTCGAGGTCTGCCAACAAAGCAGAAACACGTGCGAAGAAAGGCTCCCCGTGCATAAGGTACGACAATGTCCCGTCCCGTCTACCCCGGGTGGCAGCTCGGCGGTACAACGTACAACGTACACTACAACGTACAACGTACAAGGTACTGGTCAATGGCACGAAAGCCGCGGCCGGGATCGTGATGCCAAATCCCCCGAAAAGCCACGTCAATATAAGAAATGTGGACAACTGTGGACAACTGTGGACAATTTGACATCCCCACGAATATAGGGGAATGCATGCAATTTACTTGTGGTATTAGACAGGCGGAGTCGGAAATGGAACTTGTATGACAGGGCGGAAATGGGGACATGCGAAAGAAGGAAGATAAGATAGACCTTAATAATAGTGGATAGAGAAGGGATGAAGTGGTTTTGACGAGGAGACCGCAAGTCGGAGACAGCCTTGCCGTAGGCAATGAGGGTGGGCGACTGTATGGTACGGGATGACAGGATCCAATGGGATAGAGGCCCGAGAGGGAGAGAGGGGATGTCCAGAAATAGAGGGAGAAGAAGAAGAAAAAGAGAAAACGCCCAAGTGGATAATAATGGCCCGGAGGTGAAGGGATGACGAAGAAAGTATAAAGGATTCCTGGAAGAACACCTTGGACGTCTGGTAGCGAGTCATGCAAAAGGTGGCCCAACAACAAGAAATCCAGGTATCGGCATCGTCTTACGGATGCACAAAGGTGCTGGACGGGACACCGTCTCACAGACTGCCTCACAGAACGCCTACCTGGATTGGCTGGAGGCAAACCCTCATTGGGGACTGAAGAAACGGGTGGATGGGTGGTGTCTAGTCTGTCTCCCCCACCCCTGGCGTCGGATCACTTACCGCATCTCCGACCACACTCTCGCGATCCTATCCTTTTCGGATGGAAGCCGTAGCACGAGACGCCAGAAGCCCAAAAAGATGGCACATATCGTCCCGATGCGTCTTTGAATGAAGAGACCCGCTGGATCACAGGTAAGTAAGTATTCGTACTTTTCAGCCTCTTGATTAGTCCTAATCCGCAACGTACATGGAATCGCCGTCGCCGCATTCGAATTCGTCTAGTCTTGCGGAAAGGCTCCATCTTGGGAACCCCGTACCTAATTAGTGTACATATGCGGTTGGTCGGTATGAAGCGTGTACGAAATAAACGAATTCGACAGCCATGGGAAAGAAGGGGAGGGGGGAAGGGGAAACGTAAACGGTGGTGGGTTGCGCTGTCGCTTCATGCAACAGTATTACTAGTATATTACTGTTACATGTCGTCAATTCCACCCCTTCTTCTCACTGGCTGCTGGTTGCTCGTCGAAAGGTGCATTGCATAACAAGAGATTACCTACCCGATCGTGAGACAGGGACAGGGGTGCAGAGGGTGCAGGCTTGGCGGAGGCCAGGACTGGGCCATCATGCATGAAAGGCGGGAAGGGTGTGGAGGAGAGGAGGATCGAGGGAAAACGGGAGTGAGTGAAAGAGTGAGTGAAAGCAGCAAGAAACGGTGTCCATGGAGAGCCATGCTTCCACCTCCCAGCAATTGCAGAACCGGGTTTCATATTTCTCGACGACGAAATGGAACGACCAGACGAAAAGATGTTTGTGCACTGCAGAAATGGGTATTTGTATTGCAAGTGATGAGTATTGTATATATAATGTGTGGTGCCGAGCGGCTAAAGCCCATAGATTTTGTGCTCCAACCAGGAATACAAAAAAAAACAGGGAAAAGTCCGTGTTGACATATTGGTATCGTAGGAGGGAAAACGCGGTTTTCAGAAAAAGCATTATACAGGTCCTATCTCGTAACGCATCCACCAGGGCATCAATCGGCCGGGAGAGTAAGAAGAAAGCCGGTCCGCCAAGCTGGGAGAATAACTCTTGAAGAAAGACAAGGACAAAGGAAGAAAATAAAATCAAAAAAAGTTCTCACGTCCTAATCCACTTAATTCTTCACAGGAGTCTGAACCGTCTCCTCGGTGTGCTCGCCCTCGGCCTGGAGGTTGTGCTCCTTCTCGACCTGGCCGAGATCGATGGCGGCGACGTTGGCGTCGGGGCCGTCGATGACCTTGACGAGCTCCTCGAGGGTGGGGCCACGAGTCTCGACGTACATGAAGTAGACGAAGCAGAGCTCAAGGAAGACCCAGATGGAGTAGATGAGGTACAGGCGCCAGGTGTTGCCACCGAGACCGGTGTCCGGGTCGCCGGCCCAGGCCTCGAGAGCAAGAGGGTTGGCGTAGTTGTTGAGGAGGAGGGCGACCTGGATCATGATGTTGAGGATCATGAGACCCTTGGCACGGAGAGAGTAGGGCAGGACCTCGACGGCGTAGCCGATGAGCAGACCGGACCAGGCGGTCGAGTAGAAGAACTGGAACAGCCAGATGAAGAAGATCAAGGCGTGGTTGGAGCCAGGGGCGTTGTGCTGCTCGTACAGGCCGCAGGTGAGGGTCCAGACGACGAGGGTGCCGCACATGCCACCGGTGGCGAGCAGGAAGGTAGGGCGACGTCCGAGCCTGTCAACCATCAAGGCGAAGGAGATGGAGACGATCATGGACATGGAAGTCGAGCCGGCATTCAGGCCGAGACGAGCAACCGAGTCGGAAATACCGGCGTTCGCGTACAGAATGGCAGTGTAGTTGGAAATGATGGCATTGCCGGACCACTGGGAGAAGATACCGAGCGAGATGATGACCATGAGACGGTAGCGGTTGCCCTTGGTCTTGAAGAAGTCGACGTACTTGGTGCTGGTGTTGGCGACCTGCTCGAGCTTGATGGTGTCACGGATTTCGCGGAACTCGAACTGAACCGTGGGGTTGTCGGAATCGCCGTTGGCATGGTACTTGGCGAGGATAGCCAGGGCCTCGTCATGGCGGTCCTTGGCGATGAGGAAACGGGGAGACTCAGGGACCCCTGGAAATAGAAAAAGTCAGTCGTCAACCGTCTCGCAGGAGGGAGAGAGACAGAGAGAGAGAGGATAGGGGAGGGGAAGAAACATACACCACAGGAAGAGGAGCTGGAGGAAGGAGGGGGCACCCTGAAGGATGGCAGGAATACGCCACGACCACTCGTTGTTCATGAAGTTGGTGCCGAAGGTAGTCCAGGCGACGATGAGGGCACCCAGATTCCAGAGGCAGTTGTAGACGGTGGTGAGACGGGCACGATGCTGCGGGTGGCAGATCTCAGTCAGAAGCATGGGGGAGGCAATCTGGGCGAAGGAGTTGCCGAAACCGAGGAGGACACGGCCACCGGCGAAAGCTAGACAACTTTGTTAGTCCAGGTTGTATTGTAATAGGAGATGCATGTGGGAAATAGGAATGGAGCCCGTGACATACTGCCATAGTCCTGAGCAGAACCCTGCATGACGGCACCGACGATCATGATAACGAAGCCAATGGCGATGGAAAGGCGACGGCCCCAGTTGTCGGTGATGATGGGAACGAAGGGGATGGAAGCGACGGAACCAATCTGGTAGAGAGCGACGAGCAGGCCGAGATCACTGCCGGAAGGATAGCCGAAGAAGCTGGTCCAGGACTCGAAGTTCTGGATACCGTTGAAGAACATGCTGAAGGGCAGATCTAGTCAGTACAAAGGTCTTGACTTGTCAAAAACCGTCTGTTTGCGCTCTTCTGGTTTTCTTTCTTTTCTTTTCTTTTCTTTTCTTCTTCTCTTCTTGCTTCTCCATGTGTTGATCAAGAACTTACCCATCATAACCAGTGGAGGCCGAAGACACGCAAAGAACCACGGCGTAGAAGTAGAGCTTCCTCAGACCAGGATCCTGGTGCCAGACAACCCTCTCGAACTTGGGAGCCTCCTCCAATGCCGCGGCCCTGGACTCGGCAGTGGGCTTCGCCTGCTTGATGTAGGTGAAACGTCCCATGGTGACTGATGAGGACGAAACCGGTGTTATCGAGAGACTGGTGAATGTGTCGTGTCGTGTCGACAAAGGCGTTCCTCACTTCTGCTGCAGCACGGGTGCGGTTCGAGATGCTGTGCAGACAGACCTTGTTGATGGGGTGGAAGAGAGAGGGATGAGGATGAGGATGGAGACCGTGGAGGAGGCGGGGGATCCCAGGGCTAGATATATGGGGGAGAAACGGAGCTGTCAGTCAGTCCATGGTCCATGGGGCAAGGAGGAAGCCCTGACCCATCCCCGATGGAGTTCGCCTCCGCGGGCCCCCCAGGGTGCGTGCCAGGGCTCGAGGGGCGACTTGACCAAGCGGACGACCAAAAAGGGGACCAAAAAAACGGTCTACACTACATTGACGGACATGCGGACCGGATTTCAGATCCAGATCCATGGGGCATGGGGCATGGGGCATGGGGTATGGAGTAGCAACCATAGGGGGTGTGGGGAATGGGGAGTTCTCTCTCTCTCGAGTCCGTCGAATGAGCGCGAACACAACGGGTGAGCGACGCTAGGCCAAATTAGCCAGAAGCCGAGTGGTAAGGTCCCGTGTCTGGGGCAGGGATAGTACCTTATACCTTAGGTACCTTATGTACGTACTGAGTGTGTACTTTGTACGAGGGAGAGATTCCAGACTAAGGTACCTTAGCCGGTAAAAGCCGTGCCTGTACGCTGATTGGTTACTTCCAGGACGTCCTAACTGGGCCACGCCGATTTGGTAAGACAGAGAGAGGGTGAGGAGGTACAACGTACGGGCGTGGCTTGTTATTGCAGCACGACACGTCTGTGCCGCCGGACCTTCTTAGGGGCGCTCCCCGAACAACAGCAAAGAAGACTTCTTCGCCCGCTTCCTCCGCAACGCATTGAGTCCATTCGCACCTTATGAGATGCCAAGGGGCAACTTGTTCCCCAATACATGAAGAAATCTCCAAACCCAAAGTTCTGGTCTTTGCCTTTCATGCCAAGTACGGAGTGAGACCCTCACAGGGACAGAAGGAGAATAGAACGCAGGGCGACAGTCGAGTCCAGCCCATCTTCGGAGTGTTAATCCATCCTTCCCTCAGTCGTCTCGAGCATTCTGGACTGGTCCGTGAATGCTTTCGGAATCTATTTTGTTTTGTTCGCAGCGGCAGTAAAACTGCCCGATGACCTTTTGCATTGCCGACCAATCTGTCATGGAAACGTACAAAATAGTACTTCAAAAAAAGATCCTACCTTACCTAGGCCAGCCCGCCCCAAGTACGAACGCCCCGGAGCCACCCCCAGATTTCCCCGGTCAAAGCAGAACAATGAAAAGGTGCCCCTACGAAACGCCCACGAAGTATCCGTAAAACGTAAGGTACGTACGTGCCAGCTTTGGTTGACCAACATTCCGGGAGGACTCGATGTCCTTTCCATCTTGGTATTTCTTGGATCCCCACACTCCGCCAGGTATAACGTATGGCATTGGGTCGCGCTGGGGTTACACCTCACTTCAAGCACCCTGTGGCGTGAATGGGCCAACCGAAGTCCATCGCCCAAGGCAGCTTCATCTCTCCTTGTGATGTCCGGTCCCGTCTTCCGAAATGATAGATGTATGGGGGCGGCGGCAGGAAAACACGGAGTCGACCTAGTGTAGTGCATTTCCTTGGCACGTGTCTCCACTTTCCACATGCGTACCTAGGGAATGGGGAACAACGGGGGAACAGGAACGGGGTTAGCAGGGTTTCTGTGGGGTGAACGCTGTCCGAGCAGACTTCTTTCGGCGCAGTGTGGGTCTTAGCTAATACCGCTAGCCTATCCGGCTTGGGTAGTCCGCACGCCTTTTCACCTAGAACACTCATGGAAGTTTTGTCTTCGATGCACCAAGTAATAATTACAACGTAATTACCGTATCGTAGGCGAAAGCCGTACAAGGCCATCTTAAGCACTACCTAATTATTAGTTTGTACTCAAATCCTACAACGTACAGCGTACATAGTAATACATCGCTTTACCGGCAATCGGGTAGTGCGCAATCTACTCCGTAGCTAATCTGAGAGCTTCAGCTTGGTTAATGTTACCGGCTGTCCCGATCTAACGGCCCTAGCGCTCGGCAGGCGCCGGTTAATGATGTAGGAAATTCAAGGGAAATCATGCCGGAATAGGCAAATCCTCAATAATTTCATGTGTGTCATCGTCGTTGTAGTCGTTGTAGTCGCCTCCTTACCTACGTAAGAACAACCGCTTTGCCGCCGCCATGGCCGCCGCAAAGTGAGCTATGGCGTCGATTTCGCCTCCGCTGCCCGTATAATCGGTAGCGAACAATGCCAGTACGCATAAATCGCAAAACGGTCATAGTATGTACCGTTGTATGTAGTGTAGATGTAGACGTAGCAATCCGTCTTTAGCGTGTCGAGAGGCCTACCATTCCTCCGTAGCTTGTCCAGCTATAGCAGTAGCATGTGATGCTTAACCAGTGAGTGGGGGAGTTGTGTAGAGACGGACTTCTGCATACCTAAGGTACTCGGCTCAGCTGTCATTACCTAAGGTAGTCATTTCGCCTCCTGCTCCGTACGACGTACCTCGCTGAAGCTGCCAAATGCGACGATGCGACGGGCCCTATGCCATGTGGCAAATGGATCGCGTATTGGAGGGGACCAATGTTCCGGGAAGCATACATAGAGTTGCAGTGTTGGCATAAGAAAAAAAGGTTAAAACATAACATAAAAAGGCCCCAGCCAGTACAGAGCCTTTGATGCGGCCTGCGGCGTCGAACTATCATCTCGGTACCAAAGAATGCATTTCTTGGGTTGCGTTTGGGGACGCCCTGTCCAATGCCTTTCAAATGAAACCTATTTTCTCTTCGTTCCGTCTTCATCTATTTCCTGATTCCAGGCTTTCAGACTTCACATTTGGGGGCCGCCTGTTCGCCCAGCACCAACAGGATCGTGCGAAAAGACGTTCTCGATCTGTCCAAGAGGATGCGCATGATCGGTGACATCGACGACTGGCCTGATCCGAGAAACCAGCTAGACCCGGCTGAACTTTGGAGGTGGACCCCGAGTTCCACTCCGACCACCCATCTGGAGCGGCCCAAGCAAACTGTAGGTAGGTATATGTAGGTATTGATCTGTCAATTGGTCGCAATGCAGCAAAACTCCATATGACCACGAGATCGATACCTGGGAACGTTTCTCGGCAAGCTTTTCCAACATGCCCCCTCATGGGATTGATGGCTCTTCTCCCGCGGAGGTTTGCTCGTTGGTCGGGGTTCGGGTTGGTTGGGCCTTGCATGTCCCTTGGCAGTTGGAGCAGTGAGCACCTGACACGACCACCCCCGTCTTTCTCGGTTGGCCAAAAGGGGGGGAGGAATGGTGGGGAAAGGTGGGGAGCGGCATGTTGTCCGGGTGCCCCAGTTTCCCACTATTTAGCCTAAACCCGGGTAAACCGATACCCCCCGTAGCAAGAGCCGAGAGAACCACAAGAGGCGCAAAAGTGCCATGTGTCTCGTGTGGACGCTTCGAGGTAATTAAGCCACCCACAATACTCATGTGACACCGGGTCGTCCTCAGTTTAGCCCTACGTCCGCATTCAGGAAGGATGGCAAGAGTAATGACGAGGTTCGCGAAAGCAGAACAAACGGCCCAGCAATGGAGTAGATGATGTGGTTGATTCTGTCAGGACCGGTCCGGTTTCGGTGCTCTCTTCGCTTCGTTGTCTCGGAAGGGCGGAAGGGCGGTCCATCGTCATGGTTATGGACGTAGCGTATGAACTCCGTATGTACATATGTAAGAAGTAAATGAGACCCGCAAGCGAGCAATCCCACAGGCCTGGTCAGCGAAACATGTTCAGCCAATGTGATGAGGAAGTCAACTGCGGAGTACAGGAGTATGAAGTGCCACACACGCACATGGGACGAGTGAAAAGCCGGGGTGCCGCGAGACCCCTGTCCCTGTACTGAATGTCACGAATCATATTGCACTTCAGGGGTGCAGAATCTGTGGGTTCGGGGTGTGAGTGGTCGTTCTGTGGCGTGGCGTGGCGTGGCGTACACTGTACAGCAGACCAAACAGCTCCGCGTCTCGTCTTATTCGCCGTTGTATTCTTTTTCTCTTTTCCCGTTTTTTCCTTCCTTCTAGTGCCAACGCGAAAGGCGCCGTGGCGTCGGTCTTACGTAAGGTGCTCGTTCAAACGTAGCTTGCTTATGAAAGGAATTAAGGGCCGAAGTTCCTGCTGTTGCCGTTGGTTGTTCTGTTTCTCGCTTCCGTTGGTGAGAAACGAAATGACGACAGATTCTTCTGTTTGCCCCCTGTACTCTGTTGTAAGGGCTCACATGACACGAAATCTCTGTCGTCTGGGGAAAGAAGGAATACACAATAAAAGAAAGAAGAAAAAAAAGCCAAGAATTCGAGTCGCACCACTCTTCCTATACGAGCAATTCAGGATTGATTGAAGGCGGGCGAGATGGGGAATTGAAATGAGAGCATGAAAGGGTAATGCAAGGGTTTGGGTGTTGCCGTGTCTGTTCCTGCAGTACCGATTATTAATTAGCGTGCCGTGTGTGTACCTTGTACCTTGTACACGTGAAGAGCGGGACACGACAATGCGACGCCAAAAACGGGAAAAATTGATGCTTCCGCACTAAACGCTGCTAAATCGCTTTCAGGGTACCCGGCTGAAATCCTAGCATCACGGTTAACCTGGATAAAGTTCCCAAGTACCTGCACTAGTAGGTACCACCCTAAGGGTACTTTTTGGAGTAGCTGTAGCTCCCGGACTAGGAGCTGGCTTCTTTTCAGCCTAGTCGGCAAATATCCTTAGTTGTAGATGCTTTTTGGGAGTCGTGAAATCATGCTTCAAAATTAGAGACCATGCTAGCATAACGCTAGAAGAAAGGGAGAATTATTGCTATCCAGACCCGGGCGTCAACCCTTCACCCTGATGAGGCTGGACACAACTGAGGCTTCACGAAACTCATCCAGAACGACTCGAGCTCTCAAGTCTGTGTAAGTGCAAGAAAGAGGGTCAGCAGAAGTGTTGTGACCCTGAACCTCGCTTCTCCCAACCGATTTAATGATCATCGCAGCATGAAGCGGCCATTCGCCTCTTCCTCTTCCTCTTCCTCGTCCTCTACCACTCCAGCTCCGTCCCGTTATACAACAAAAACTTGCCCGTATCCTCCTGCTTCAGTCCGCCGAGCACGCCCAACACTCCCTTCGCGCTATCCTCGATCTCGAGCACCGCCTCAGGCCCGCCCATCTCCGTCTTGACGTGGCCCGGGTCGATCGCCACCACGATGGCCCTGTCCGCGAGATGCTTCGCCTGATGCACCGTCAGCATGTTCAGCGCCGCCTTGCTGATGCTATACGGCGTGATCACCGCGGGGATGCGCCCGTCCGACAACTTGTTGAGGCTGCCGAGCCCGGAGCTGATGTTGGCCACCACCGCCGCCGCGGGCGCGAGGAGCGGCAGCAACACCTGCAGCACGCGCGCCGGCCCCACGACGTTGGTGTTGACGTGCGACGCGATGGCCTCGGGCGTCGCCGTCAGGCTCGTCTGTTCCCGCGCGTGCAGGACGGCCGCGTTGTTGATGAGCACGTCGACGCGGGTTCCTGCGCCGATGGCGGCCTCGATGCTCGCGGCGAGGCCGGCGACCGACGTCTCGGAGGACACGTCGCATTCGACGATGTGGACTGCGCCCTCCGAGGCGTCTCGGACGGCGCGGAGGGCCGAGAGGTCGCTCCCTTGCTGCTTCCGCACGATGGCGACGACTGTGTTGGCTTGGGAGCGGCCCAGCTGGCGGACGTATTCCAGCCCGATACCGGTCCTTGTGCCTGTCACGACGTAGACGCCCATGATGTGGATTGGTTCCGAGGAAGAAGGAAGATGAGATGGCGATTGTTAGACGAGTGTCTTGATTTCGCGAGTGTCGGTCGCTCTTGTGAGGGTGACTGGTGTGAGGCTTCGTGCTGCGAACTTTTGGTGCCGGGGGATGGTTTGCTCTGTGCTTCGTCCTCCTATCCCCTCTTTCCGTGGCCCGGTCGCGACAGCGTCTTTATATACCTCTGCCAGCACTTCACCTGTCCCACATTATCCCCCTCCCCCCCCCCTTCGCGCCTTATGAGGTCAACGAGGCTTGTGGAATGCCGAATGTTCTCGAAGTCTCAAGTCATGTATCATGCCATACCTCGCGAATCAGGCCCCTTCATCTCCTTCGTCGTGACTTCTTATCGGCGTAGCTCATTTCTTTCCCGCTTCCCAAGGTTCGACTAGAGGGATGATGAGTCACACTATTTACCCTTTGCATCTCCAAGCTGACAAATGGCTGCATGAGTCTCGGAGATTGAGAACGCTGAGGAATGGACCTCGAAGCGCTTTTCACCTAACCCCGGTGTCCAATGATGGAGAAGTCGACCAGCATCTCCCCGTCCTCCGATAGCGGTATTCCACCTTCAGAAGAGTGTTGACGAAGAAATGTCCGCACCATGTCTCGACTTGGAAAAGGCTACAAATCCCAGGCAACGGGAGGCAAATGAGGGGTTGATGTGTTTTTGGTCTATGCCACTGAAACAAGGAAGAAGGCGTTCCTGTCAAAGGGTTGACCGTTGACCAAGCCAGGTAAGGTAGGTGGCTCGAACCACTTGGTGGATGGGGGTGATCGATTGCCCGTTGTCATGGGCATTGTATCTGCAACGGGGCTATGGGCTAGTCTGACACATTGAGTCTTCTGACGATGCTTTACCTATACCGAGTCCGACACGGAGCGCTTCTTCCGCGGGGGCGACGCTGGGTGCTTTTTTTAGCGTGCCTCTAAGTGCGGAGAAATGATAAGCCTACAAAGTGATAAGCCTACGAAGTGATAAGCCTACGAAGCGATAAGCCTACGAAGCGATAAGCCTACGAAGTGATGCGTTGTCCGAAGGAGGAGATCTGATCAACTACGTCAGACTTGGGCCTTGTGTTCCTAACATGAACCATTTGTCGCTCTGGTTGTGGTATGGAATTGTTACCTCCCGGGGGGCACTGCTGAAAGCGCGAAGCGTTACCATCTGGAACTTCTACGCCTATAGAGAGTGATTGGAATTTACGGCTCAACTGGACAGTTCTCGAGTAGAAGGACAGCATCACATGCAGAGCAGCAAACAATATCTGGAGAGTGAGCATGTCCAACGACATCATAGCGATAAAGGACGGCGACGAATGGCAGTATTCGAGACGATGAGAAAACAAGATGACATTGAATAGCATTGATACGTAAGTTCTGGGACAATCTAGTCAACCCGAGCTAACCGGAGGGATGATGGCGACCTCGTCCCCTTCTTTGATCACAGCACCCGAGTCATCTCCAGGCGGTGGCACGTCTACGTATTCCAAATTGACAGTAACCAAGCAAGAGTCGAGAATCTTCGACTTCATCCCCGGATATCTCTCCTCTAGGGCACCAAAGAGCTGGCCGAGAGGTAAAGGAGCCGGTAGCGCTTCGTGCTGCTTCGATGTGAGTGAGCTGGCACTGGCAAAGTAGAGCACGTTGAAGTGGCCGCTTGGCGGCTTTGGTACGGTATTCATCGCGTTGCTATCACAACCATCCCTGCAACTTCTCGGGTCAGTGGGAATGCCTTCCATCAAGGTGCAAAAGAACAAGCATTGAAGAGGATGCAGGATCAGAGATCTTGGTGATAATAAAATACATCATGAGATGATCAGGTAATACATGCTGTAATGTAACATCATTCCTGCGGAGTACGAATGCAAAAGGAGAGAGGAATCCCTTACCTGAAGTAACGCGCAAGAAGGCACACTCCCACAACGCTTGCTCGCGTTCAGATTCTGAAGGGAAGAGAAGAGGTGGAAGGTGATGGAGGAGAAAAGTCGAACGGTACAATATGAGAAAATTTACCGGCTGCCCTAGTAAAGAAAATGGTCCGAGCTCTATCACGTGACATTATCCAGGTCTCCTCGGATCCGAGTACATATTTCGGAGGAACCATCACATTACACGGGCGGACGACTATGACACACAAAGGGCAAAGCTGAGTGTGCTAATCTCGAGTGTCCATACGATTCCCAACCCCTCCAGATTTCCTCTTGCAAAGCGCGCGATGTGGGGTATCTACTGGGAGAGCATTAAGAAAGCTTCGCCATCCGGGCCTCCAGATCCTTAATCCAACCTTCCATAACCTTCATATTTCCACTCATGGCAGCATCACCTTGTTGTATGGACTCCTCGACCTTCTCTAGACCCTCTCTCCACAACTTCATGTCGGCTGCCATTTCCGCCTGCTGCCCTTCCATGCGCTCAAGCCTCTCGTTCGCGGATGCGGCGTCTGCATGAATGGCCCGAAGGGACCTGAGGCGGTCAAGCAGGGGCGGAAGCAGTGGCGCGAGGTTCTCGATGGTAGGCAGGGTGCCATAGAGCGCATTGATCTTGGCAGCCTGCTCCGAGTCCTCGGGCCTCTCCGTGGCCACGCCCTGGGCCTCCAGCGCCTCCTGGGCGCTCTTGGCTCCCTGGCGGGCCTTCTCGAGCTGTTGGGCCTCCTGCGTCAGGGTCCTGACGCGCCGGGAGATGGCGTCGAGGTTTGTCGTCGACGCCTGTGACAAGGTGACGATCTGCCGTTGTAGTCCGTCCAGGGTGGGGAGGATGGCGCGCGGGAGACCGTTGACGTCCACCTCGGGCAAGGCGGCAGAATTGATGCCGATGGCCCTCTCCAGGAGGACGAGCCGGCGGTCGAAATCGGCCGCCTTGGCCAGTGCGTGGCTCTGTTCGTAGGTAGGTGCGTAGGTGACGGTATATGTCGCGCTGCCGTCGAGAGAAGCCAACCCTGTTTCCGCTGGCGCCGCCGTGGATTCTACCGCCAGGGAGGCGGAGGCTGAGGTGGAGGCGGCAGGTTTCGCAGGCCGTGAGGTGGCCCGTATGGAGGATTCGCTGATGCCGGATATCTCGGCGAGGATCTCGCTGAGAGATGCAAGCTTCTCGCCCTGGTCGCCATCGCCCTCCGGTGGTTGCGAGCCTGATGCAGCTGCCTTCTTCCCATATTCTTCCTTGGCTTCCGCAATCTCCCGCTGCAATCGTGCAATTTTGCGGTCCAGCCTCTCCCCTTGCTCGTCATCGTCGTCGCTGAAATCGCCAATCTCCGCGGTACCGTCGTGTAGAATGCGTCGTCGTCGCGTAGACGTCCTGTAGGACTTTCGCTTGCCGTCTACGCGATCGGAAAAGTCGGCGGACGTCGCATCGACGCTGTAAGGGAGGAAACGGGACCTGGCCTCGTCTATGCGGAGGCGGGATCGAGAGATGCCCGTTGCGTCATCGTCGTCCTGGTCATCGAGTTCATCGTCTGATTGCGATCTGCCGGTCGTAGTCTGCCATCGAGGTTTTGGTCAGCCGAGGTGTGGCTAGGCCCAGGCCCTATGGCCCGGAGGGGGGGTTCCAAGTTGCCCTTACGGGGACGGTAGAAATGTCGTCAGTCAGTTCTGGTGTTTCGTAAATGTCTGGAGCCGAGTCCTGCGTGCTATTAGTACGGCGAAGGTCTTGGGGAATCTCGGTTGGGTTGGCGGCAACAAACAAGGTCAGGAAGGTTGGCGTATTTCCGGTTGAGCGTCGCCATTGCAGCGCTTGGGACTGGAGAAAGAGACTGTGTAGCTCGCTCACAGGGCCTTGATAGCCACAAGGGAACGATGTGCTCTATGTTTGTGGTGAATTCGTCAGATATCTGGACCTTAAGAAGGAAGACATACGAAGAATTACAGGGAAGCTCGCTCACAGGGTGGAACACTGTACGGATACGGTAAGCACATAAGGAAAGGTAAGGTAAGGTAGGTATAAGTACTTTAGAGCTAACGTTTCAGTGGAGAATAGGGGCCATAGCAGCCAAAGGGCGGGGTCAGGAGGGAGACATCGAGTACCAGGGCGTGACAATGGACTGTGCGTACGTGTACCATATGGTGGATGCACTGTGTCAGCACACACCTGGCGAAAGTTCAAGGAAGTTCAAGGCGCGTCCAAACGCGTCCCTCACTCGCCATTGACACTGGAACCTAAGGTACCTACCGTAAGGTACAGAGTGTACTCAATACCTCGTACTCCAAGGTATTTGAGATCCAAGAGGCCATAGGCCATTGTTTTCTCTGTCTGGCTGAGTTTATGAGCTGAATTTGTCTTCTGCCATCTTTACTGATTCACTCGAACTTCATAATCACGCACGACCATCGTGGCTTGGACATGAGGTCAAGTCTCTTCAACTCAGACCGGCTTGAATGACCCTGGCAGGAATCCCACAGCAGGCCTACCGTTGATTGAACCCATGGTCGTCCTTGTCTGGCCTTGGAGATCATAAATTTGCGACGCCGTCCTTCGTCGGCCCAGGCACGAAACAATCGACCATGCCTCCCAGGAAACAAAGGGTGCTCGGCCTTACCAGGCATGCAACAAGACCCTTATTGAAGACAATCGGTCAGCAACCACGAGACGGCCCTGCACGCAAGAGGTGCAGGACTCCCGAGGACATAAATGCTCCTCCGGGGGACTCTGACGCAGAGAGTTCCGAGGGCGCATCTGAAGACAACATGAATTCATCATTCCAAAAAGAAAAGGCCGCAGGCTCCCGGGGTGAGAGAGAGGATGTCTCTCAAAGCGATACAGACTCAACCCCACGGGGGGATATTCGAGCCACCGCCTTTCGATCGGGCAAAGCCGCCAAGGCTACTCTTACTTCGCAGAGCCGGGGCACGAGCCGGGCGCCACTAGGTAAACGAAACACCAACAAGGTGGGCACCGAGTCTAGAGGTATCAAGCGTGACGCCGACGATCTGGACGATCCCGATGATATTGATGATCCGAGACCCGTCAACGCTTCGGCTTCTCGGAGAGACAACGGGAATCGCTCGTCTCCCGGTCCCAGTTCCAGGGAGAGTGTGAGTGTGAGTGACCATCACACGAATGCGTTCAACCTGCCGAACGTCAAGCAAGCCAGCAGAAAATATGGCAAAAAGGCTCCAAAGCCATCTCGGTCTAGACCCCAGGTCTCCGAGGAAAGTGAGTCTTGTTCAGCTCGGTCCATTGCAAGACATGTCGTTGACAGAAGGCAGACCACGCACCGTCTCAAACCTCCAAACCTGCGTCTTTTCAAGTCCCGGTGGATCTGCCCCCTTCGAGCCCCGTCGCCAAACCAGCAGGTTCGGGGGCTTCTAAACGTCCGGGTATCCGGATACCCTCAGACTTGCCAGGCTCGGACTCCGAGTCAGTCGGTGCGAAGCCAAAGGCGTCACTCAATATCCCGATTGATATGCCTGAGGAGCCGACCGGCAAAGGATCTCGCACGGGGGTAACGACCAAGCTGAAACGTTCTGGCATTGACACGAAATTGCCGGAGGTCTCCTCGAAGCGATTGGAGACCGCACTGTCAAACCCCGCGTTGGAAATCCCGGCCGATTTGCCGGGCGTGTTGGGTCTCGATAGCCCTTGGAGAGATGAACCGCTCGAGGGACGAAGACAGACGCCTCCGGACTTCACGTTAGGAACGGTCCATGGGAGTACCACCACCCCAGTTCGCATTTCGTCCGCGAAGGAGGCGCCAGCGCGATGCCCCATGTGTTCCCAGCCCGTCGACGCGGCCTTGCTTCGGAGCTTCACGCGTGGAGGCCACCTGAACATCAACAGGCAGCTCCAGTTCTGCCGGTTACACAAGAAGAAGACGGCGGAGGCGACGTGGGAAGAACAAGGATACCCGACGATAGACTGGGACGCCCTGGCGAGCCGGTGCTGTCGGCACGACAAGTTCCTCCGGCGCATCGTCAACGGCGGGGACTCGCACTACCGGTCCCTGCTTGCCGCCAGGGTGAGCAAGGGCCAGGAGCGGACCATCCGCAAGACGGAGCGGAGCCTCGCCCCCGGCTACTACGGCCCGCGGGGCATGCGCGCCATGTCGGAGCACCTCGTCGGCCGCTTTGCCGCGACCTTGCGGAGACGCGCCGTTGAAGATTCCATCGTGTCGGCGCGGGGTACTGCGGTGTTCGTGTCGACGGTGCTGGTGCCCGAACTGGCGGTCCGGCTGATCATGGAAGACATGCATGTCGATCCGGAGGGGGCGAGATCTATCCTGGAGGCGAGCGTGGATGTCGGCGAATTGCTGAACGAGGAGCTGCTCGACACGGTGCAGGATCCGATAAGCGACAAGGATAAAGATGCCGAGGACGCAGACGTTTTTGTTTAGGAGCCGCCCTTTGCAACCCCCACCGCCCGTGTTCTAACGTCGATATGTTTTATGACTTTTGCCTCTATATCACTACGCATTGTGTGGCATATGTACAACTGACTTTCTCAATCTATTGATCTCTCGAGGGCTGTCTGCCCAACGAGGCAATTACTCATATTTTATCATGACCAAGGCTATGTAATGCGGCGGGATACCATCACATCATTAGATGACCCTGCAATTAAGAGAAGGTCATCTCTCTTTGTGCTCTGCATCCAAAGGTAGGAACTTCTCGCTCTTCAGCTTCCATTCTCCACCGGGCTGGCTTTCCTTCCAGCCCACAGCCGCCTCACGTCGTCCGCCCCTTCACTCCAGAAGGACAGCGAAGCCCTCGTAAGGGCCCAGAGTGGTCGTGTCTCGAGCGAAATCATCCACCCGCTTCCCGCCACTGCTCACGAGCACTTCCCGCACAGCCATCCCCTTCATGGCTTGCCACCCCACCGTCTGGTCCGAGAAGTTGCCGGCCACAAGCGCCACGCGACGTCCGGGCAGCCCTGTCTCGGTTCCGGGAGCGCGCCGTACGTAGGCGAATACCTCGTCGTGCGAGGCGTCGAAAAGGTCGAAATCTCCATAGACGAAGATGTCGCGGTGGTTCTTCCGGGCGGCGAGGACGGCGCGCCAGCAATGGAACGCAGAGTCGGGGTCGGCGGTCTGGGCTTCGGCGTTGATCTCTACGTGGTTCGGGTGCGCTTTCATCCAGGGGGGGGTGGAGGAGGCAAGGGCGAAGCCCGCGTGGGGGCCGGCGGTCCACTGCATCGGGGTGCGGGCGTTGTCGCGCGATTTCTTGCGGTATTCGGCGCGGAGGAGGGTTTTGAGCCCTTCGTCGGGGTTGTCTTTCCGTAGGCTGTGGTTGTGGTGGCTGCTTAGTTCAGGGTCCAACGGGCGGTTAAGATTTCGGAATTGTTCGCGGTGACTGACGATGAAGGATTCCCACGCTTTCCTCCTGTCCATGGGGTCTAGAAGACTAGAGAAAGAATCCAGGTAGGGCGCAGAAAGGGAAAGGAACATACTTCCAGTGACTCAGGCAGTCGATATCCTTATACTCCTCCATAGGCCACTCTTCAGGGACGTTGTGCATGCCGAGCTCTTGGCCCTGGTAGATGAAGGGCGTCCCCGCCTGGAAGCCCTGGATCATGGCGAGTAGCTTGGCGCTGTTGGCGCGGTGGATGGGCTCGTCGCTTGCGAAACGGCTCACGGCACGGGGTTGGTCGTGGTTCTCGAGGTAGAGGGCGTTCCAACCGTCGTTGTCGTACATGAAGCGCTGCCATTTGTAGATAGTTTCCTTGAACTCGGCGAGGGTCCATTGACGCGGGGAAAACTTTCCTTCGGGGCCGTGGTCGAGATCCATGCTTGGTGCTTATCAAATGGGGTTGTTGTTCCTGACGGGTGGTTGTGAAAGAATGAAAAGAAAAATGGGAAGGGGGGGGGGGCCGGAAAAGACAGCTCACCATTCAAAGTGGAAAATCATACTCAACTCCCCCCGGTCAGCGCGGACGCTCTTGATGATCTCGTCCAGGTCATAAACACAGAGCATCTCCCCCACGCTGAAAGCATCGTACGTCTTCAACACGGCGCCGATTTCACCCAGGAACTCGTGAAGACGGGGCCCCGCGGCATAGTACTCGGCGCCTTTGTGGACGGCAGCCTGCGAGTCGGGGAAGCCCTGGTCCTTGCTGATAAAGTTGATGACGTCCAGACGGAAGCCGTCGATTCCGCGAGCCAGCCAGAAGTGCATGATGTCGCGGACGGCAGCGCGGACGGCCGGGTTTTCCCAGTTGAGGTCGGGCTGCTCTCGGCAGAAGAGGTGGAGGTAGTATTCTCCCGTCGCTTCGTCCCATTCCCACGCGCTGCCTTTAGGGTTTCGGTCAGAATAAGGGGTGCGAGACGGTGGGTAAGGATCCAACATGCCTTGAAAGTGGGCGACCCAGTTGTTGGGCGGTTAGCGGTTCCCTTGGGCGTCGTAGGCGGGCTTGCGCCAGATATACCAGTCACGGTAAGGGTTGTCCTTGGAGCTGCGGGACTGCTTGAACCATTCGTGCTGGTCGCTAGTGTGGTTGACGACGAGGTCGAGGACGAGTCTCATGCCGCGCTCTTGGAGCTTTTTCATGAGGTCGTCGACGTCGTCGATGCTACCATACCGAGGATCTACGACACGGTAGTTGCTAATATCATAGCCCTAATTCGATTCTTAGCGGTATTCGGAGTCTTTGCTATGGGTGTTCAAAGGCGGGGCCTCCTTTGGTTTTCCTGTGTCTAGTTTTCTGGTTCCATCGTGGGCAGGTGTGATAGCACCTACCATGTCGATCTGAGGGCTCTCGAAAATGGGACAAAGCCAGACAATGTCCACACCGAGAGAGTGGAGGTAGTCCACCCGCGAGATGATGCCCTTCAGATCACCGACACCCGTGCCGGTCGAGTCTTGGAAAGAGGCCGGGTAGACTTGATAAACCGAGCTTTCTTTCCACCAGGCAGAGAGCTGGCTACGTGCATTCTTTTCACTTCCAAACATTTCGTTCTTCGCGGAGGAGAGCCAGAAGAGTTGAACGTCAATGTGTGCGGATAGAGGCAAGGTGTTATCAGTGGCAACGTCCAGAACAATATATGTTTCTAATTTACTCCTTGGGGGCACGAAGAAAGAACAGACAGATGGATGAGTATGGTCTGTGTATGTAGATGGGCAGGCCGGACACCAGCCGGCCCCTCACTTTGAAATCCCCTGTGCAAGGTAGGTCCCAAGGCACTCCAGAGACGACGTGTACAACAGTTCGACGACGCATGGGATTGTCGCGAATAATAATGGAGAACTAGACCCCAGTGTGGCAGGATTAGACAAATGAGTGGATGAGAGCTGGCCGGTGGACGAAGGTCAAGGAAAGGTGAATGGTGTTGTCTGAAGCTTAGGGGTCCACTACGGTCTCTAGCTCATGCATGAAGTGCGTCTATGAGTGATGATGTGCGGGGGTTTGCGTGGGCATTTGTTTACACGGGGTTTAGCAGTTTATAGTCCATGATAGTTGGAATAGTTGGACATGTTGTCCAGGAGAGGTTCCTTTCTGTCTTTCTGTCTTTCCTTTTTTTCTTCTTTCTTCTTTACTCTCTTCCCCCCTTCTCTTCCATTTCCCCTCTTCCTTCGATTATTTTGGGGGTTCGGATTTCCCTTGGGATTGTAGCAGATGGTGTTCCGTCCTAGCTGGGCCAGTGATTAGTGGTAGGCCAAGGAGTGAGATAATCCAATAAATATCAATATTCTTGTCCAGCACAGAACCGATCATAACGATAGATGCAATCCGGTACAAAGTGCGAGAGATTGGGACATTACACCCATCAGTCAACACGCCTCAACCCAGTATAAGTCTGCTGAATGGCTCTGCTCGCAAGCTGTAATTATTATGCTCCCAGTCGCCGACTCACCGACTCACCGAAACACAACCTCGGAACGGATATTGAACTCTCTCTTATCTATCTATCCCGGCTCTGTTATGGTTGTCTTTCTCTTGAATTCGTCGCATCCCGAGACTTAAAGCACCTATATATACTCAAAGACAATACCAAGTCTACACTCACTTATATTTCTCTTGTTCTGGTTCCTCTCCCGTCCTGTCATGGTATTGTACATATGTACTTACAAAGTACAAGGTAATCCTCGAGCAAGCGAGAAGAGAACATCAACCCTCGTCCGTACAGACCTAGGTACCGCTGACTGGCGTTCTCTCATTACCGGCACTCCGTATATTAATACCTGCGATGTATCTCCGAATACCCCCTACCCTACCGGTCCCTGGGTCTGGGCGGTGCACGAACCCCTAGGACGAGCATCTACTGTACAACGTACTTTGTCGTGATTTATACTTATGCCCCGGGCAGTCGTACCTTTGCGAAAGGATCCCTGCCTTCTTTTCTGAATTAAGGCGGTGCTGGATAATCGATAATCCAATGACGAGAGATACTGAAGGAGCGCGTCCATTGTGACAACCGACAGTATCGTACCTTATTCCACTGCTACTTTGCTGGTGGCGCCTTGGTACTTGTAGGTAATTTTGGTAACCGATGCCTTGATCACCAGGCGGCCCGACTACTTCGACATGCAAGCCACGGACCACATTGTGTTCGGTGACGCGGTGGCCAATGGGAAAGTGCACCAAGTCATCGGTTATTAATAATCTTCCCCTAAAGGGTGTTTTGTTCCTCCGTTTCTCGCACGGAGAACACGGAGCACATCAACGAAATAGGTATGTAGACATCAAAGAGAAACCGAGACGAGACTAAGGACTGAAAAAAAGGCTTAGTAAAGCAAAGACGTGTCTCTATGCCGTTTATGTCGATGTCAAGATCCCTCCCTTTTCGCTACCTGAACAGAATGTAATTATAATACCAGGTATCTATATATACCGTAGAGGTACGGATACGCTTCCCCGGAATTGAAGATAGTTATATACGTTGTACCTACTTAGCACTAGCTTGCCCGAAACCGCCCCGGCCTGAAAGCCCACATAACCATGATTTGCAAAGGAAAAGGCCACTGTGAGACGTGTGAGAGTTATGTCTCTATGCAGGTGGGTTAGGTATTGTCCGCTATGTTTCGTCGATATTTCTGTGTCCCCTGTATGCCTCGACGCAAATTCCACACAGCTCCAGCAAAAGCCTACCTGTATTTGTATATTTGAATCATACGGAAAGTAAGGTACCTTACCTTAGTTACCTTATTTACCAGTAGTACTTAGGTACCGTAGTGAGACTCGGAGCGGTCTTATCCCCAATATCATACTAGCACGGAGCACGGAGTACTTGTACGAAGTTGCTGAACCTTCTGGTTGTGAGAAGCCCTTTCGGATCGTGGTACATGTACTCTACACGGAGTACCTTATATACTCCTTACCTTGGCACCTTGGCAGTCATGCAATAGTCGTGGTATGTAAGAGATTTGTTGCCCCAACCTGGTTCACCTTCCAATTTCCTCCTGAAGCTGTTGTACCTGATACTTCATAGGAACAGTACCTTAGGTACGAGGTGTACGTTGTAGCAGTAAGTGTACCTACCTTAGGTACGAAGTATTGTCCGTAAAGCTAAAGTTACCCTCATCCATTGTGTCGTCAGTGCCATTTACAGGTAAGGTAGGAGGTGTAATCCAATCCCCTTCCCCCCCAAATCGCCGCCCACTCACCAAACCCACCTTTTCGTTCTTTCATCATCATCCATCAACCACCAACTGTCCACATTTGCTCCCACGCCACGACCACACCAGGACCCTCTACATCCTAGCTTTTATTTTTTGGACGTGCCATCTCCGCTCTGTCTGCCGTTCCGTGTCGACATTCAAGCTGCGACCTGACTTGAGAAGAGACCCCCGACGCCATTCTCCGTCTCCAATCCCACCCACCTCCTATCCATCAAGACAGGCTGCGGATAGCGCGTACCGTTGAAGATCTTCAACGGTTATATCCCGCGCAAGCTCCTCTCACCTCACTGTCAACACGCTCCTCACGCTCCTCACGCTCCTCACCCACAACAACTCGCCCCTGGCCTCCTTCAGTGCGTCCTTGCGACTGGTCGTCGCTACCGCCCTTGAAGCTCCGACCCGACCCTTTCACCCTTTCACCCTTTCACCTTTTACCTTTGATAATCGCCGGCGTCTTCGAGACGCCCCTCCCATCTCCACCGGCAGTCTCGACTTGTCTACACTAGGCGACCCGACGCCATCCAGCCTTCTCACCCCATCCAACTCGGTGCGTCGAAAACCGTCGAAAGGCATGGCCATTAACACTACCGCGAGGACCTCGTGACAATGACCCAGCTTGAGGTCGGATCCCGGTTTAGCTCCGCGACAAGTAGTAGTGCCGACAGCTCCCACTCCTCCGCCACCTTGAAGCCCTCCTCCCCCACCACCTCGCCTTCTCTCTCCGCCACGCGCAAGCCTACACCCAGACGGCTGAAATCAGAGGATCATGGCTTCTCATGGGACCGCAGGTGAGTTGTCTCCATTATACCACAGTACTCTCTCGCTTTGTCCCTTTCGCACATCTGCCGCCTGGCTCGCCAATTCATTGTCTCCTCCAAAGTCTCTCCCTTCTCTCCTTTGCCCAGATGCCCCCTGCCTCCGAAATGGCAACCTTCCATGTCGTTTTCTTGTTCCCGATATAGCCCCCTCCCGTCCTTGTCGTCCCTGCCTGTTCCACCAGACGAAGGGATGGTTGCACCGAGGCGAGGCCGCCTGGCTCCCTTCTCCACGCCTTGTCAATCTGTCGCTGGTTTTTTTTTTCTTTTTCTTTCTTTCTTTCTTCGTCGCCTCGTTTCTTTCTTTGAAGACTCGCCGACGCCTCATGCTTACCTTTCGCCTATTCCTAGGCCCTCATTTAGAGACATTGACCCGTCCCAGGTCTCGCCTAATTCGGCCGCGCAACCTGCTGCATTCCGCGCACCGTCACCTACCTCCAACAATTCCAACAATTCCAACACACCCCGCCGCAACTCCCGCCGTGATTCCCGCCTCATGAGCGATTTCGCTAATTATCGTCGCGACCTAGCCGTTCTCGACTCATCCGGCGGCCGTCTTCCTCACATTCAACATTGTCCCCCTTCCGCTGGTAGTACCATGTCCCAGGTTGCTCCCTGGATGGCCCCCGGCGGTGGCGGAGGAGGAGGTGGAGCTGGCAGCAGTGCTGCCACTGCTGGCTCCAACCCCGCCGCCCCCTCGTCCAACAATAACAGCCCTTCGAGATCGAGCTTTTCAGGCCTGCCCATGCCTACCAGCTTCTACAACGACGACAGCGACGCCTTCTCCAACCCCTCTCCACTCTCGCCTGCGTTCCGGTCAACTGCCGGAGGGAACGGAACGTCGGGCCGTCCGAGCCGACTATCTGCGTCTCACGATTCGCCCGAAGCCTTCCCCGCCATAGACGAACGCCGACCGTCGCAGGTGAGCATTGCTACTGCCAGTAGCCAGGGCTCCAAGAACAGCGGTGCCCGGAGAGGTGGCTTGCAAAAACTCCAGGGGTTTTTCGGCGAGGAATTCCCCGGTCGCGAGGGCTCCGACGCCAGCTACCACTCGAACTCCGTAGGGAAGGATCGCTCGCACTCGAACAGCCACACTCGCCCATCAAGGGAACGCAACTACTCCAACGCCACCGATCATACAAGAGATGCTTCGCCTGCCTCCTCTCGACCTCGGACCCCGGTCCCCGCCCCGGAAGTCGTCCCCTTTCTTTACCAGAACTCGGATGTGAGTGGGCTGCACTTTTACTACCCCCGGCTGACCCCTTCTACTAACGTTGCAACCGTCAGGATATCGCCAAGTATGGCGAAGCTCCCATCAGAGACATGCTTACCGGGCCCGATCGCGACCGTTACCTGAACGACAGCAGTAAGCCGGAAGTTCCGCCCAAAACGTCAGCTTCCAACCGCTCTGGTCATTCAGCCATCCATGTTCCGAACCACATCCATCATTATCCCCACCATTATCATCAACGTCATAACAGGAGCATCGACGATGGCAGAATCCTGAGACCGATCACCAGTCGGGAGGATCCTCAGAATAACCTCCAGATGCCGAATGTGAGGGAAAGGGGAGGATCTGCGGCTACCGTCTTGTATGGCTCATCCCATTCCCGTGCACAAAGCCCTACGCCCACCGGCAGCGTCGCCTCCTACGGGGAGGGTAGGTCCACATCCGACGGCCAGGCATCCCCGCACAATCAACCGAAGAAAAGGATACTAGATCGTTTCCGAAGACACAAAGACAAAGACGATGGCCTGCGACTGCGTGAAGCGCCCACCAGCTCTACCCGATCCCTTGTCTTCAAGGCGTCCCGATCTGACCTCCAGCGGCTAGGCGACCGTTCTCCCTCGACTTTCCCGCTGAACTGGCCGCCTGGGACCGAACCTCAGGAGCGTCCTACGAACCGGGCCGCGACTTTCAACAAGTTTCCATTCGCGCCCAGGAAGGGTCGCGGGAGCAGGGCGACTGACATGGCAGACGAGCAAATCGGACCCACGGACCGAGAGGGACGCAACGGCACTATTTTCCACCTCGATACGAACCTGAGCGACATGGAAGGGATCTTGACGAAACCGCCGCCCTTGACGCCCATGGATCCCTCCTTCATCACCAACATTACCGAGCCGGACCGGGCAGAAAACGCGGCCGTCTCCGGCGCCGAAGTCGAACCCTCTGCGACTCAGAACGCCAACGGCGCCTGGAATGCACCGGATAGTTGGGGCGTTCGCCGGAATACGGAGGATAGTACCCAAATTTCCCCGGAAGCCGACGACATGGGCAGCCCCCCTCGGCCTGAGGAGAAGATGACCCCCTATTGCATCCGCATCTTCAAGACGGACGGCACCTTCTCCACCTTGTCTATGCCCCTGGATGCCACGGTTTCCGACGTCATCTCCCAGATCATCAAAAAATCATACGCCCAAGAGTCGCCGGATAACTTCCAGATCACTCTCCACAAGCACGGCTTGATTCGCGTCCTGACCCCTGGCGAACGGCCTCTCTTAATTCAGAAACGACTGCTGCAGCAGGTCGGGTACGAAGAGAAGGACAGGATCGAGGACGTTGGGCGAGAGGACAACAGCTACCTCTGCAGATTTATTTTCCTGTCGTCCAAAGAGAGCGATTTCCAGGCCATGTCCAGCGACATGGGCTTCGGACGCATGGCCAAGTTCAACCACGTCGATCTCTCCGGCCGTAACCTCATCACCATTCCCATCTCTCTCTATTCAAAGGCTGCCGAGATCATCTCACTCAACCTCTCTCGGAATCTCTCGCTCGACCTCCCTCGCGATTTCGTCCAGTCCTGTCAGAGCCTGAGGGACATCAAGTTCAACAACAACGAGGCACGAAAGCTGCCTCCCAGTCTCGGCAAGGCAGGCAAGCTTACATACCTCGACTTGTCCAACAACCGTGTCGAGCAGCTAGACCACGCTGGACTGAACAACCTGGGCGGGATTCTGAAGATCAATCTGGCCAACAACCGGCTGAAGAGCCTGCCTTCATACTTTGGAGCGTACAGGGCCCTCCGGAATCTGAACATCTCATCCAATTTCTTGGAACGGTTCCCCCCCTTTCTCTGCTCGGTCGAGAGCCTGGTCGAGCTTGACCTCAGCTTCAATTCGATAGGCAGCCTCCCCGACGAGATTGGGAATATGCGGAACCTCGAGAAGTTCGTCGTTACCAACAACATGCTGGGCAACTCCCCCCCGGCGTCGTTTAGCCGTCTCCAGTCGCTCCGGGAGCTGGACATCAAGTATAACACTATCACGAGCATCGACGTCATATCCGACTTGCCGAGGCTCGAAATCCTGTCCGCCGAGCACAACTCCATCTCCAAGTTTGTAGGGACCTTTGAGAGGATCAGGAGTCTCAAGCTGAACTCGAACCCCATCACGACGTTCGAGATCGTGGCCCCCGCCCTGACTCTCAAGATACTGAATCTGTCCAACTGCCAACTGGCGAGTATGGACGAGTCGTTTAATCACATTTTGAATCTCGAACGCTTGGTGTTGGACCGAAACTACTTCGTGTCTTTGCCGCCGCACATCGGCAACCTCAGCAAGCTGGAGCATTTCAGCATAGCCAACAACTCCGTAGGAGAACTGCCACCGACTATCGGGTGCCTGGCCGAGCTTCGCGTACTCGACGTTAGGAACAACAACATGAAGAAACTGCCCATGGAAATTTGGTGGGCGAATAAACTCGAGACGCTGAACGCCTCTTCCAATGTGCTGGACAACTTCCCGAGACCCGCATCACGGCAGCCACGACTGGCGGGCGAGGAGCCGCAGCAACACGGCGTCTTGAACAGCAAAGGGGCGACTTCGTTGTCTCAGACTTCTGTTTCGGACGAGCCAGAAGCCTCCCGAAAGGCCAGCCAAGTATCGAGCACATTGCTCAGTGTCGGGCCGTCGCCGGTTCCTTCAGGTCCGGATAGGAAGAGCTCGGTGGTGTCAGTCTATGGCAAAGGCGGCAGGAAAACGTCGGTCGTTTCCCGCTCGGCTTCGCAAAGCGCGCCCATGGCCGGAAACCCGGCGCCTTCGTCGAGGAAGGATTCGGGACTCTCTGCGCGACTTCAAAACACATTTGCCGGCTCTTTGCGGAACCTGTACCTTGCCGACAACCAGATGGAGGATGAGGTCTTCGATCAGCTCGTCATGCTGAACGAGCTACGCGTGCTCAACCTCTCCTACAACGATATTAGTGATGTGCCGCAGAGGACGATCAAATCCTGGCCGCAACTGGTCGAGCTGTATCTGTCGGGGAACGACCTCACCACGCTGCCCGCGGACGACTTGGACGACGCTAGCCTTCTTCAGGTTCTGCACATCAACGGGAACAAGTTCACGAATCTGCCGGCAGACATATCGCGGGCCAAGAAGCTCAACGTCTTGGACTGCGGCAGCAACTCTCTCAAGTATAACATTGCGAACGTGCCATACGACTGGAACTGGAACCTGAACCCGAAGCTGCGCTATCTGAACTTGTCCGGCAACAAGCGTCTTGATATCAAGCAGACGGTGGTCGGACCGGGCGCCCTGAACCGCGAGCAGCTTGCCGACTTTAACAGGTTGCAAAACCTGCGTGTGCTCGGCCTGATGGACGTTACTCTCACACATCCTACCATTCCCGACCAGAGCGAGGATCGACGAGTTCGGACCTCCGGCTCTGTGGCGGGCTATCTGCCGTACGGCATGGCCGACACGCTGGGGAGGAATGAGCATCTTTCGACGGTGGATCTGGTGGTGCCCCGCTTCAACTCGTCCGAGACAGAAACGCTGCTCGGCCTGTTCGATGGCCAGGCATTGTCTAGTGGCGGATCGAAGCTCGCGAAATACCTCCACGAGAATTTCGGCCAGATCCTGACCAAGGAGCTGAAGCAGCTCAACCCGCGTCTCAGCGAGACCCCGGTCGATGCCCTCCGGCGCGCGTTTCTGTCTCTCAACAAGGACCTGGTCACCTTTGCCACGCAGCACATCGAAGACCGGCCGCTCAAGGTGCACAAGGGCTCTTCGCAACCGATAGCCCTTAGCAAGGAGGATCTGAAATCCGGTGGCGTCGCGACGATCGCCTATCTCCAGGGCACGGAGCTGTACGTTGCCAACGTGGGCGACGCGCAGGCTATGTTGATCCGGACGGACGGGTCGCACAAGATTCTCACCTGCAGGCATGCTCCGGCGGAACCGGCGGAACGGCAGCGGATCCGGGAGGCGGGTGGCTGGGTGTCCCGCAACGGGAAGCTCAACGACACGTTGGAAGTTTCTCGAGCTTTTGGCTACATTGATCTCATGCCCGCCGTCCAAGCCGCGCCGTATATCAGCAACGTCACGATCCGGGAGCAGGACGACATCATCTTGCTCGCAACGCGCGAACTGTGGGAGTGCATGACACCCGATCTGATCGTGGACGTCGCACGATCCGAGAGGGGGGATCTGATGCGCGCGTCCCAAAAGCTTCGCGATCTCGCCATCGCGTACGGCTCCACGAGCAAGATCATGATCATGCTGCTGAGCGTGTCGGATCTGAAGAGGCGGACGGAGAGAATCAGACACCGGGGACAAAGCATCATGCAGTATCCTTCCGGCGTGCCGGAAGATTTGCAGATTCCGAGGAGAGGGAAGAAGAAGGATGCCGTCCTCGATTCCACTCTGCAGAGGTTGAAGGCCGAGATCCCTGCGCCGACGGGGAACATCTCCATCGTGTTCACGGACATCAAGAACTCGACGACGTTGTGGGAAATGTACCCCTCGGCGATGCGATCGGCCATCAAGCTGCACAACGAAGTCATGCGCCGACAGCTTCGTCAGATCGGTGGCTACGAAGTCAAGACGGAAGGCGACGCCTTTATGGTGTCGTTCCCGACAGCGACGTCGGCCCTTCTGTGGTGCTTCGCGGTCCAGATGCAGCTCCTTGAGGTCAACTGGCCTCCGGAGATTCTGAACTCCCTCTCCTGCCAGCCGTTATACGACAAGGACAACGCGCTCGTTTTCAAGGGCCTGTCGGTGCGCATGGGCATCCATTTCGGCGAGGCGGTGAACGAGATGGATCCCGTCACACGGCGGATGGACTACTTCGGGCCCATGGTCAACAAGGCGTCGCGGGTGTCTGCGGTGGCGGACGGCGGGCAGATTACGGTTTCGACGGACTTTATCTCGGAGGTCCAGCGGTGCCTGGAGACGTACCAAGATACGGACCGTACGGGGTCGATCTCGTCGGACGATACGTTTGACGACGACCAGACGCTCGCGGCGTCGATTCGGCGGGACCTGCGCTCGCTGAGCTCCCAGGGGTTCGAGGTCAAGGAGCTGGGCGAGCGAAAGCTCAAGGGCCTCGAGAACCCGGAAGTCATCTACTCGCTTTACCCCCACGCGCTCATCGGGCGCGCGGAGGTGCACCAGCAGCAAGACCGCGGGTCGGACGTGGACAAGCCGGCCTCGATGCTGCCGGGCGAGCTCTCGTTCGACCCGGACGTTATCTGGGGTCTGTGGCGGGTGAGCTTGCGACTGGAAATGATCTGCAGTGCTCTAGAGGGCGATCACAGCCAACCTCTGCAGCCGCCCGAGACGGAGCTGCTCGAAAGGATGAAGGCGCGCGGGGGGGAGGTGTCGGAACAGTTTGTGCTCAACTTTATGGAACATCAAGTGAGCAGGGTAGAGGTCGGTTGCCCCCTTTATTTTTTCTTATTTTTTCTTCTCTTTCTGCGTCAACTTCCCCGGCTTGGACTAACACGGCTATGCAGACGTGCACCACGACTTTGGCTCTTCGCCACATTGCTCTCGGCAATGGCCCCATCAACCAGTTGAACGACCTGCGCGGCCCTATCACGGACATCCTCAACGAGGTTGCTCAACAGATGGCGGAACTCCAAAAATATAAGGCTCGGTATGGCGAGCTTAACTGAATCTCACAACAACGCATGCCTCGATCCGATTAATAGGGACACACGACGTCCCTACCCGAGAGCGAGACGTTTCCTCCTTTTATGATCTCTCTGCCTCAACTCTCCACCGCTTCGCGAGCCATCTTTTCCCGACATATATACCCATTTACTTCATATCTATTATACCCCCCGAACAAAAGCACGACATGATTCTGGTTATATCCCTTTTTCTTTCTTTTTTCTTCTTTTTTCTTCTTTTTTGTTTGGAATGATGGATACCCCGCGTAAGAGGATGTAGTTCCCTCTTATCTCACACCCCCGGACCGGACGCCCTCCCTACTTATTTATTTAGTATATCCATCTATAACGCCGACTTGTCAGGTTACGACGATCCATAGCGGCACTGGGAAAGGGAATAAGAGCATCTGTTTCCTGGCGATAGCGATGCCTTGTTTCAATCGTTTCTGGACATGACGAACGGTCAATGAATGCGAATTTATTTCTTTATTTTTATTTTTCCTTTTTCGGGCCTGACCTTTCTGGAGGATCTCTATTATATAAGAGGAACTTGTGTTGATTTTGGATCTTTGGGGGACTTGTTTATTTCGCGCTGTTGCCTCTTCGGGGTCTACCAGGGACGGACAGACGGCCTCGGGGGATGAGGAAGCCAAGTGAAGGATAGGATGAATAAATTCAATATACCTGCTTCTGCGTCATCATATCCCTCGTATTTTATATACAGTAACGGTGGAACAACGGGAGACAAGCGAATGAATGGACAGACGAATAGCTTTGGGCAAAGTCTCAGGTCCCAGCGCTCACGCAAGAGTGGGCGACTCTATTAATTGTACTATGAGAATATGTCAGGAGGACACTTATAATTGATGCATCAACCCAAGGTCTTAATTATTAGGCTGGTCTTGAGCGAAGGGGAAGAAACAAAAATTCACTCCGACGCGACAGCCACGGGGCCATTCCCCAGGTCCCTCACACGTTCCAGGATATAGATTCTCGGTTCCATGCGCGGGCCAATCCACCACCCGCCAGTCAGGGCCCGGACGCGGTTCTTGACCTCCGCGACCACACGTCCCCTGCCGACAACCTGATCCTGCTTCCCCCCCTCTCTCTTCTTCCCCGGTGCTCGTGCCTCCAGGTCGGGAGAGGAGGCGTCGTCACTGCGCCCGGGGCGCAGCATCTCAATGCCCGCGTAGCCCTCCACGACGGCGACGGTATCCCAGGCGCCACCGGCTACGTGCGACGGGTCTTGCATGAGGAGGTAGTCGAAGCGCGACCAGAAGGCCGGGTCACGCAGCACGGTGGGGTTCTCCGTCTTGTCCAGGTCGAGGGAGAGCGGGGACGAGCCGTCGTGGTGGTGGAGTGGATGGACATCTTCGTCGTTGATTGTGCGACCGCCGAGAAGCGGCAGGCCGGCTCGGTTCTGGGCGAAGAGGGTGACGCCCGTCATGCAGGCGAGGACGTCGGCGTGGGCAGCGGGGCCGGGGGCGAAAGAAGTAGCGGCTGTGGCGTTGTCGTCGGCGAAAGCAGTGGCAGCAGCGGTGGCAGCGGTGGTGGCGGTGGCGGTGTCGGTGGCGGCGAGGGGGGTGGGGGAAGAGGAATCGACAATGGCGTGCAGGTGGGCTAGTGCTTCGCCGCCGGGGTAGTTAAGGGCGGAGATGAGGAGGATGGCGGAGGCGGCGGCGAAGGTGGCCAAGATGGAGAGCGGGACGATGGCGGCGAGGAGGCCGTGAGGGAAGAGGCCCTTGGTCCGGCGGGCGAAGATGAGGTTGGCGCCCTGGGCGGCGGCGGCGGTGAAAGAAGGCACGACGTAGAAGATGAATCTGGCCTCCTTGTGCGGCTGGAGGGAGTAGATGGAGACGAACAGCAGGCCTGGGAGGAGGAGGGCCCGCGTGGTAGGGGCGGTGGCTGGGTGTGTCGCGGCGAAAGGGATGAGGAGGGTCGGGACCAGGGGGTTCAGGAGGAGTCTGGGGAGGGCGGATGAGAAGTAGTAGTGCCACGGGGACGTGCCCCAGCCGGAGGCGCCGCCGCGGAGGACGTTGAAGGCAAAGGCCCAGAGCTCGGGCCAGAGGGGCTTCTGCCAGAAGTACGAGTCTATGGGGACGGAAATGGCGAGGGCGACGATGAAGGAGACGGCGAACGGGACGACGAGTTGAGGGAGGGGAGTCCGGCCAGAAAGGAGGAGGTGAAGGCCGGTTGTGGCGAGGAGGATGGCGACCTCGGAACGGAAGATGACGGCGGAGAAGACGAGCATGGAGATGGCGACACGTTGCCGGGCGGCCGCCTTTCGGGTGTCAGGATGGGGTAGAAGGAGGGCGGAAGAAAGGGTAGCTGGAAACGGGTGTCAGCGAAAATGAACAACTTACAACTTCCAGGGAGTAAACAGGGGACACAAAGAACGTACTCAACCCAAAGGCAAACATGTTAGGTAACGTCCGCGACGCATAGAAGATGACATGGAACTGGCTTGCCATGAGAAGCACCCACCACCGAGCAACGGCAACACCCAAGCCCCGGGCCAGGGACCGCGCAAAGAAGAGGAGACATGCGGCGTTGAAGAGGCCCAGGACGGCGCGGACGACGAGCTGGGCGTGGGAGAAGCCAGACAGGTGGACGAGGGGCTGGCTCACGCCGGCGAGGAGGACGGGGCCAACGAACGAGCGTGGGACGGCACCGGGAAAGGTGAAATGGTCGTAAGTGGCCTTGAAGCGGGCATTGACGTCGTGGGTTGGCGTGCCGTAGACCAGGATGTCGTGGGCGGCTTGGATGGTGAAGGATTCCTCGACTTTGGTGTAAGGAGCCACGAAGAGATGGAGGAGGATGAGAGAGGGGAAAAGGAGGGCGAGGAGAGTATCTAATGCGTATTGTGTCAGTATTAGCATTCCGCCTAGACACCCCCTACCTTAGATATCATGACATTTCTTCACTCACCGAGAGACTTCATTATGAGAGGGAGATGGAATTCGAGTCGATCATCTCCGATTCTTGGCAGGAGAAGACGACGAAGAAGCCGGAGGCCGGCGTCAGATTTGGGTTGAAAAACTAAACAGGGTCGTTATTATTGCTTCGAGGTTATGAAGTGAGGGACTGTCTGAGGTGATGCTGAAGCTGAGAAGTTGCCTTGAAGTTGGCTGTCATGTTAGTACCTTAGTTATACGCGATGTATCATGTGTTATGTAATCCTCCGTACGTATGTATGGGACATATTATGTCATCACAGTAGAGGTGGTAATCCGGCAAATCTTCGGATATGAGCTTATCTTATCGCTCTCTTATTCAGCCTTCCTGGGAATTACAGGTAATACTCCACCATCACAAGTACTTCTTCTGGCGTACTCCATCCTGGTAGCCTAGCATCTGTGAGCTTGGACAGCTTGCGCCTTGCGCCACTACTACATCTCCTTTTCCTCCCTCCCTCTCCCTCTCCCTCCGCCTCCGCCTCACCCACACAACGCGGCCAAGATGTATTTGATAGGAAACTTCTTCTACGTTTCCCTTCTCCTGATCAACGCCATCGCCGTCCTCAGCGAAGATCGCTTTCTCGCTCGCAGTGCGTTTCCCCCCCTCGGCCCTCTTCGAACGCCCCGATCACCATCCCCAGCGCCGTCTTTCGTCCTTTGAAATCCCCGTGCCTCGAGAGAGGAGAGAAAAAGAGCAAAAGAGCAAAATCACGAGCTAACCATCGTGTCACAAATGCCTAGTCAACCTCTCTCCATCCTCCTACGACCCCGCCTTCGGGGCCGGCTCCGACGCAAGCATCAAAGCCAAGATCATCAACCTCATTGCCAGTGTTCGGACACTGATGAGAAGTATGCAGTCCCACCTTGTTTCCCACACTGCGCGCCCCCTTCAACCTCCCCCATTTTTCCCCCATTCTCTCCGAGGGCAGCAATGGGACAGCGAACTGCAATGAATGCCACGCCACCAAGAGGATGCATAGCTAACAAGAGCTGTGTGTTCCCGCGCTCCCTGAACAGTACCACTCATAGGCATCAACACCCTCGTAATAGTCTACGGACTCTTCTTCGGATAAACACGACAGCATATGACGCTCACGAAAGGCAAAGAAGGGCAAGGCAAGAGATAAAGCTGGGAAGTGATAGGGAGGGCATGGGAAGACGAGTCGCATCTTTACACTGGAAGTATCTAGGCATCAATCACATCATTCACGTGGGAGCTGTAAATATAGGCAAGTTCGGCGTTTTTGCTGCTTTACTTTTTTCCCTTTCTTATTTCCTCTTTTCCCCTATTGCCAGCACTCTTTGGCCACAAACGATGAACCCGATGGGGCCGTTGCGCCGCATTGACATATAACGTCCGACCTGGCCAAAGCCATTGATTGGGATGGGTATTTACTTCACATTGCCTTATGAGGCCAGACGAGATCAAGGGGCACAAGAGGAAGGACATGGCCCAGCCTCCCCTTTCCCATTTTCCTTTTAAATCCACTTCATCCTCGGAATATGGCGGAACCCCAAGTGCAATGTGCGACCATTTCAGATCATTCATCTTTTCCCTTCGGGTTACTTTTACAGAAACCGGGGAAACAATCATGCCATGCGCTGTTATAGTACAAATGCGGAAACCGTATAAGAATCAATAATCTGACGCCGGCTGGCGGATCCATGTTCGCCCTTCATCATATCCACAAGCGACTCGTAACCCGCGCCTCTCAAAATCTCCTCGGCCTTGCTTGGTGACGACTGCAGAATGGTACCCACGATAGTCTCGGATATTTCCAACTGAGACGGCGTCGTCTCCCCCTTGGCACCATCGTACAATCCTCCCCTAAACTATGTATATGTGTCGAGGAGGAAATATATAGCAAGTTGACAAGGGAATAATAATAAAAGAAGAAAGAAATAATAATAAAAAAAGAAAGAAAAAAGAAAAGAAAAGAAAAGAGAAAAAAGGGGGGACTTTTTCCGTCCATAGAAACGCCGAAACTTAATGCTATGACAACATGTTGGTGCTCTTTTTCCTTCCCAGGCTGAAGCTGAACCGGTCCTTCAGTTTCTGTTCTGTCTGGCTTCCCGGCCCCGGCCCCGGCCCCGGCCCCTCGGAGCCATTGGAACCGCTCTCCCCGGACGGCACCTCCCCCCGGTCCTTATCCTTGACCTTGTCCTTGGCGAGAAAGCCGAAGCTCCTCTTCGTCATCATCGATTTGCTCCCTCGGTTCGCCCGGCTCAGGAATCCGCCGGGGCTCGTCAACAACGACGGGCCCGCCGCGGACAACGGGCTCTTGACGGCATCCTCGGTCATCTTCCGCGCACCGTCCTCCTCTTCCGCCGTCTTCTTGCTCTCCTCGATGGCCTGCCGCAACGCCTCGGTCTCCTGCAGCCGGAGCTCTCGTCTCCGCTGTATCGATTCCTTGAGGTTCTTCTCTTCTTGTTTCCGCCTCTCTTTCTCGGCCAGCTTGCGCGCCTTCTCCGCCGCCTCCTGCTCCTTCTTCTCGCGCTTTCGCTCCTCTTTGGTCTTTGGCGGGTCGGAACGCGCTGTTGTCTCCGTGGGCCCCCCTGCAACAGACGCCGCAGTCGTCGATACCGATGTTGTCGACGGATCCGGTAGAGGACCGACCGCGGCAGATTTCACCTTGGCCACTTCCACCAGGCCAGGAGCCGTCTGCGCGTGCGCTAGGCTGACAGTGGCGGCGTCTCGGTCTTCCACGGGGCTCACAGGCTGCGACGTCTGTTTCGAAAGGGGTATGCCGTTTCCGTTTCCGTTTCCGTTAACGGCAGCCTGTCCGTTCTCGTGCGCGAGATTGGCCGCCTCGTTGGCCATCTTGACCTCCTCCAACCCTTCGGCTTCCATCTCCGCCTGCACCTTCTCGAACGTCGTCTCCTGGTAAAACAGGACGTAGGCGCACGCGGTCCCCGGCTTGTCCCCGAAGAAGTTGCGCACAAAGTGCCTGTCGACGGGTTCCACCATCTCGTCGTCGAACAGCAGCCACCCTCGGTCTTTGGTTTTGATGACCGAGACGTAGTGTCCGTGGTAGGCGTTGCCCCCGATGTGGACCACGACCGCGTAGAGCTCGTACAGCCGGTCCGGGTCCTCGGCGTCGTCCGTCGTGTTGAACATGCGCAGGTGGTACGGGTAGACCACCCGATGGAACAGTTTCTGCAGCCGGCTGTAGTCTTCGGTGTACTTGAACCTCTTCAGGTGGAGGGCCATCACCTTGGGGAGCCTCTTGATCTTCATGCGCTTCTCGGCCTCCTGCAGGCCGCCGCAGTGGTCGCAGTGGAACTTGTTCCTCTCGCACAGCATCTCTTCGGCCGAGAACTTGCGCAGGCACGACGTCACCGACGCGTGCTCCTCCAGGTCGATCGAGAGGTCCAGGAAGGTCTCGTCCCTTTGCGACGCCGTCTCGCACGTCAGGCACTTCGTCTCCGATGTGAGCACGCCTTCGAATATGTCGTGGACCCAACCCGTCCCGTATGTCCCGGATGGCCTTGTCGCGATTCCGTTGCCCTGTGTCGCCTGGCTTGAGGACCCCGCGTCGAGCGAGTCGAGCGCATGCTCAACCGACTGCACGAGTCCGTTTTTGCTGGCGGCCTCCTCCTTCTCCTGCAGGCGTCTGGCGTTGGCTTCGACGTTGGCGATGACGTCGTTCAGTACGAGACCGTAGAATTCGTGGGCGTCCTGGTGCATCGAGTTACGAAACATCTCGTTGTCTCGCTTGAAAATCTCGAGAAAACGTTGGGGACTCAGGACACCGGTCAGGCTCTCGCTCTCCATTAGAGCTCCGAAGATGTCTTTGAGTCCGGTGAAAGTGCATTCGGTCATGCCGTAAGCGTCGGGGTTCTCCTGGTTGAGCTCAACAACGGGCCCCTTCATCATGGCCTGCTTCTTCTTGTATTCGGGGGCGTCTGGTCGATCCTCCGGTCGGACGCCGGGCTGACCAGGCAGGGGCGGCAAGCTAGCGGCCTGACGCCGCCTCATGGCTTCTGCGGCGCTTATTTTCTGCCTGTTCGCCGGGTTCTGGCCGTCGTCTTTTTTTATGGGTGGTCGGATGGTCACCTGGACTTTGGGGCGCACGCCGTTCGGGGTGTCGGAGGGAGAATGTGATGGGTAGTTGACGACATGTTGCCTGAAGGCTTCCTGGTAGAATAACGCTTGGACAACGGAATTGCAGTAACTAAAATCGCGTTAATTTATGTTTTTTTTTTCCCGGGCGAGGGGGACGTCTACGGGAGAGGAAGGTCAGTCGAGCGGGGCACAGGGAAAAATCCTACCAAGTGTTGCCAAACTAAGAAAAAAAAAGAAGAAAAAAAGACGCGACCAGGCGTTAGCATGTCAATTGAGCCAGAGAGGGAGGGGAGGGGGAGGGGGCTTTCTAGAGGGGAGCTTTAGGAGAGAAAGAGGGGGCAAAGAGGAACACACATTTTCCAAGCCGAAAAAGCGATCGGTGCCATCGTCACGTAGGGGGCCGGCGTTTTGGAGCATCTTTTCTAATGGGGTGAGCTCGGGGGGCAGCTCTTCTTTTTCTTTTTTCTTGACGGCAACATCTTTGTTCGCGGTGCTAGTAGTGACCTGCGGAGTAAATGAGGGATTAGAAAAGGCCAGGCAGGACATACGAAGGATAGGGGCATGTCGTCGGTAGGGGACACAGGGCCAATTACATACAGAAGAGGCATTTTTGAGTCTATTGAGGAAGCTGGCCATTCTGGCGGCTTGCCGGTGCACGGCGTGCTGGTGCCGGTGCTGGTCGAGAGGATCAAGTGACAAACGACGGCACGTCGAGACCGCAATGGGGGGGGGGAGAGCGAGAGTGCTGCGGCTACGCACGAGCTCAACGGCGCCGAAACGATACAATGGAATCTAACATCCGCTGGTCTAATGGTTGTTGTTGGAATGGTAAGGCATGGGAGGCGTCGGGGATCGAGGCCGAGTAGAAAGCACTGAGAGATGGAGTTGTGGTCGGGGGTGTTGAGATTTGCGACGGGGTGCAATGCAAGGCAGCAGTGCAATGGACTGGACGGGGTCGGGAGGTTGCCCAGGAGTAGTGTCGGCGAGAAAAGATCTTCTATCGCTAAAGGGATTTAGATAAAGCGAGCGAGCGAGCAATCGAGCAGACGAGAGATCGAGATGATTCCTTGGTGTGGCGAGTCGAATAAGCGATGTGATGCGGCGGAAGTCCACGTCCGTGTCAGGGCAACACTGTGAACAGGGCGACAACAGTTGGTTAAGGCGGCATAGGCAAGACAACCAGGACGAGACGCTTCCCGAGCTGAATGTGATGATGGTGATAACAACGAAGAGCCGGGGAGAACAGGGGCAAGGTTCAGGATCGCGTCGGAAGAACGAGTGATGCCGAGGGGTTGGAATTGGTCGCAACAATTTCAATTTGAATACCTTATTAGGTAGGTAAGGTAGGTTACCTTATGGTGTACGTTGTATGGTATAGTGGATCTGGCAGGCGGGACGTTGGTAAAAGCGACGAACGGGAGTAAAGGTGGCACTTGGGTCCCCCCCATAGGAAAGACGGGGAAAGGTCGTTCTTCCCAACGGTTGTGAATGGGCGTCTGGGTAAGTTTGGGGGGGAAGAGCTGGGGTGCGGATGGGGAAACGAGAAACGGGAAACGGGAAACGGGAACGACTCGGAGGTTGTGGCGATGGGACTCAGGTACGTACTCCGGATTATTCGGTACTCCGCAAGCCGCAAGTACTCCGTACGTACGTACACTACAGAGCACATTGACTCCGTACATCGGGCTGAGGCAATTTAGTGTACTTCCTTCTTACGTAGTGTACGTTGTACAGGGGAAGTGGGAGAAGCGAGATGAGGGGGTCGGGAAAGCGAGGGGGGCAACCTGGAACCCGTCACTTCCATCTCTTTCGAGTTAGCAGCGGAAAACCAAGTCCAGATCTATCTACCCAGTACCTTAGGCAAAAGAACACTAGAAAGCCGAACTCGTGGCGGGAGCAATCGCGATAACCATCTGAATCTGAATACTTTCGCACGGAGTGAGCAGTCGGTAATGGCTGTTGGCTGCAGGTGAAAGAGACGCTACTCCCACCAACAGGATCCAGGGGGGGCCGCCCGCCTTAAAGGATTGCCGTACTGTATTCGGTGTGGTACAGACACGGTACAAGCGAAGTACGTACCTCCCCTCCATGCGCCAAACCTAAGGTACCTAGGTACCTTACGGAATTAGTACAAGGTACCTAGGTATTTCGTCGTAGGTCTTGAATTAATAACGGCTACCTGTAGTTACGGATGCTTCCGTCCTTCGTCCATCGTCCCATGTCCATTCTTCGCTGCCGCATAGAGTCTGTTACTAATTTATGCTTTCTCACTCTCACCGAACGGGTTATAATCATAGCATAAGGTAGCTTCAAAACGTCTAACCCGACCGGCTCTCGCATGAACTCTCGACATGTCCTAGCAAACCTTCTTGCCTACCTTACCATGTGTGCGAGATAAACGGCATACGAACAAGAGACATCATGACGCTCTGCAGCCATCGACTCATGTGCCGGACATGAACCGGAGCCTACCAAGTCAGTCCGCTTCCAGTACGCTGGTAATCATTCCCAGGTTCCGGGGGCGCATTCGGGGGATATTTAGATCAATGCCTCATCACCACTTGAAGACTACCCGAGTAGTCTCGCGCGGGACTACCAGAGGCAGAATCGAACGCCGGCCTGGCAGTTTGTGGGTTCGAACGAAATCCAAGCGTGGACGAACTCATACTGAGATTCATCGACTTGAATCCAACCACCATCTCGTTTGGTGTTCCGCCTGCCGGCGCTCCTTGACCCGAGACCCGAGCTTCGAGGTTCAAGTCCGCAAGCTTGCCTCCTCACTTCTGTGAAGAGTCCTTCTATTCGGCCCATTCGTCCCCTCCTCTTTTGCTTTGCCTGGAGCAACCGACTAATACCACCAATCCACCACCACCACCACAACCAGGCACATCAATCGATAGCTTTGAAAACATAGTCCTTCGACAGTCTTTTATTCTCCACCTCCCTTTTTATTCCGATTGCACGCCTGCCATGTAAGATCAGCGGCAAGTGTGGACAACAGAAGCACCACGACCACGTGCAGTGAACGCTCCAGACCGGCGGCTATGTAACATGGTCAAGCGGCCCTTGGAACCATTTTACCCTTTCTGTGGTTGTCATCCCCGCATGTTCACGGCCCCTATCTGTGCTGCTGACGGGCACAGAATATTGCCATGTCCAACCGGAGTCGAGGACCGACGATAGACTTATTCGCATATGGAAATATGGAACCTCCCCCGCAAACCCTTACCCTGCTGGACACCCGCCGGTGTTTGTTAATCCCCGGTCACCTTCTCGACCAAAACCAGTCGGGGTCTTCTCGGTCTTCGTAATAATGGCTCCTTCGGCCAACCCCCCCCCAGAGTCTTTTACCATAAAACACCGTACTTCTGTGCACTAAGTATGTACAGTATCGGTAATATTTAGGTGCTTAATTCACCAACGACAATTATTAACCTTCTCGATTCTCTCGATTCTCTCGATCCTCTGGGCCTTCAATACCCATGTAGGGGCTGGCTCCTTCTCATCCGCCTATTACCTTGCGTTGGCTGAGTCATTGAGCAATGTCCTTTCTTCTGCAGTTCACCCGTCCAACCGTCATTGGATGGGTTACTGGTCACCTCAGCAAATCACAAACTGGCTACATGTACGCCCTAATAGGTAAACCAAGGACCAAGGTCCCAAGGCTGTGGTTTCGTCGGAAGTTTGCCAGCTGAATTTCCCGAGTGAGATGATGCCCACCAATGCGCCAGTGACCGCAAGGTTGGGGGGCTGGGGGCTTCAGAGTGCTTATAATACTCGATTTACTCGTCGTCGGGAGCCTACAGGTAAAACTCGCCCTTGGCGATAATGGCGCTGATCTGTAATGGATCCCGGAAATTGTGGCTCATTACATATTACGCCATTCTCATTGTCGTTGCTTTTTTCTTCTTGTCGCTCTTTCTTGTCGAGAAAAAGAGGCCTCACAATTGCGGCCGCCGTATTGGCCAGTTCCCATTGAAGATGAGGCAACCGGAATGGGCTGAGTAGGTATTAATTAGAAGGGACGAGCGTTATTGGTCTAGTCACGTGGTAGCTTGGTAGGTGCTGATGAGAGTCCCAATTCCCAGTTCCCTGGTTTTAAAACAGCTTCGCGTTTCCGCTTCTTCGGAAACTCGTCAATTTGACTCTCAATTTTCCCATCCAATCTGTCGAGAAGCACTCATTGGAAGCAATGACCGGTACGTCGTGATCGCCTCGTGGAACCAAACCCCCTAGATGGTAGCATTGGGGACCCGGGAGGAGCTCAATGGGCTGACTTGGCATCTCCTCCCCCCTTAAACGGGAACAGCAAACGTCGCTTTCCGCAAGTCGTTGCAGCGGGCGGCCACGGGGCGAATCGGCTGTAGCCATGGGAATAGCTTCGGTGTCACCGATGACCGCACGCCGCTTATCGGCCGTCCCAATGGCGGAACTGACTACAGTCAGCAGCAGCAGGGCTTCCTGAGGAAGGTCCTGGGCGCGAGCGACACCCCCGGACTCGATAGCTCGAACGTCGCCGTGAGGTGCTTGGCTTGGTCCTGGCATATGACCAAAGCGACCCTATACAGCAGTAAGTTCTTTCATCCTGGCGTAAAAAGAAGGGGGGTTGCGGGCTGACATGAGTATCCTGGAAGATTATGTCAATGTCCTCCTTGTCTTTGTGCCCCTGGGCCTCGTGGCCGGTGCGGCGGGCTGGAGTCCCGCCAGTATCTTCGCCCTCAACTTCATCGCCATCATCCCCCTGGCGGCCGTATTATCGTTTGCTACCGAGCAACTCTCTGCGCGGTTGGGGGAGGCCTTGGGGGGCCTGCTCAATGCCACATTTGGTAATGCCGTCGAGCTTATTGTAAGAATTCCCACGCCTTGGCTTGAAGAGACGCAGGAGAGAGCTGACAAGCATCGATTAGGTTTCCATCGTAGCCCTTAGGAACGGCCAGATACAAGTCGTTCAGTCATCTCTTCTGGGCTCCATCATCTCCAACCTCTTGCTCGTCATGGGATTCTGCTTCTTGCTGGGTGGCATCGTTCACATGAAGGACTGCCATGGAAACGGCACCGAGCAGTGCTTCGCCTTGACAACCGGTCAGGTCACGAGCACTCTAATGACCCTCTCATCTGCCTCTATGATCATCCCCACCGCCGTACGTCGAACTCTCTTCTCCTTCTCTCCCGTCCTGCTCTTCGAATTGACCAGCTCGGATTGTACTGATTCGTTTCTTCCCGCAGCTGTATCTCGCCCTCGATGGCATGGACGAAGAGGATAAGCTGGCAAGTGTACTTCAGCTTTCCCGGGGGACCTCAATCGTCCTCCTCGTCCTCTACCTCGCCTACATGTGGTTTCAGCTAGAGACGCACAAGAATCTCTTCATCTGTCCCGTGGCTGCTGCTGCTTCATCCCCTGCCGGCCCAAATGGCGTCGCAGCCCACGAGGAAGAACAAGACGAGGAAGAGGAGGCGATCATGTCCCCTTGGGCTGCCGGTGCCATCTTGGTCATCACCACTCTTCTCGTCTCCTTTTGCGCCAACTACCTCGTGGAGAGCATAGATCCGCTCGTCGAGGACTTTAACATCACAAAGACCTTTATCGGGTTCATCCTCATTCCCATTGTGGGCAATGCTGCCGAGCATGCGACGGCCTGTGTGGTAGCCGTAAAGGATAAGATGGACCTGGTATGCCTCGGGAACCCAACCCAATCGCCGTTCAGTTGAGATTCCCTCTTGTTGGATGTCTCGCTAACCATGATACACCCCTTCACACAGGCTATTGGCGTAGCCATGGGCTCCAGTGTGCAGATTGCGCTGTTGGTTACTCCTTTCCTGGTTCTCGTTGGGTGGGCCATGGATCAGCCGATGAGTCTACGCTTCCAAACATGTGAGCACAAAGCCTCTCTTCCTTTCTTTTGGAGGTCCGCGACCTACATTTCGCCGAGTCGATTTCTGACATTTTGCTCTTCCACCTTCTTAAACAGTCGAGGTGATCGTCTTTGCGCTTTCTGTGCTGGTCGTCTCATACACTGTCCGAGACGGCAAAACGAACTATCTAGAGGGCGCCATGGTAAGACTGCCCCCATTCCCCTTTCCACGCCGCTCCTTTGTAGCGGTGGTTCCCCGACAAACGCTTACCTCTTATGTTTACCTAGCTTCTCGGCCTCTATATCATCCTCGCCATCGCGGCAGCATCCATGACCAACTAGTAGCCACCAGGCGAGTCACTCCTTACTCCGAGAGAGAGAGAGAGAGAGAGCGAAAGGCACTTGGCTCATCCATTTCCTTTCTGTACCGATTACACTGTAATAGTAAGGCTTTCCTTTTATTTTTTTGGCGGGAGAATTGACAGGGCGTTGCATCGATCTATGCATTCTCATCCTTCTGATACGTATTAGTGGCATATAGTCGCAAGGCTGGATATATAATAGGTTCAGTTTTTATCGCTAGAGAAATTGGACACCAAGCGAGTTGAAAGGCGTACATTAAAGATCAATAGGAGGAAAGAAAATCGGAGCAGTCTCATCCATTCGCTAATCTTAACAATATCTAGCTCCGTCTGATTCTTCGTCCGAATCTACTTATTCTTTCTTATCTGCTACCTGGGATGTGCCTCCGGTCGTTGGGAGGCCCATGAAGATCTTGAAGTAATCCTGGAATTCTGGTCAGCTCCTACTGTCCTCAAAAAATATTCAAAAAGTAGTTAAAGCCAAGGAGGGCCAGGAATACTCACGTAAATCATCCACTGGAGACCGGTCAAGGTACCGATCATGACGATGCGAACCGGCAAACCGTTCCAGAGCCCGCTGAAACCAATGTCCTTGTAGATACGTCCCATGGCACCGCCAAAGGCCTCACCGGGGTTGCGGTAGGCATTAAGCTTGCTGACCATGACGTCGGCCGGGTGGGAGACGGCAGCGCAGAGAATACCAGCGAGGTATCCGGCCGTGAAAGAGACGCCGGTCTGGGCGGCCTTGCCGTAGTCTTCCTTCTTCCCGGGCATGCGGGCGTAAATCATTTCGACCATGGTCTCGAACGAGGCGAACTTCATCATGGTGTAAGGGATCTGACGGGCCCACAACGGGTAGATTCCCTTGTACAGGCCAGCGACGCCTTCTTTGGCCGTGACCTTCCGGATGCCGTCGATGGCGCCGGCGAACGGGGATGGCATAGACCCTTGCATGCGGACCTTGACGGCCTCGAAGGGACAGAGGGCGATGTCGGCCAGAAACTCGGCCGAGGCGGAGGCGGTCAGGTACAGCACTGTGCGGTACTTGACCGCGTTTTCCGGGCCCGCCAAGTCCGAGTATTGCTTCTTGAAGAACTCGTAGAAGCCGTACTTGCACGCCCCTTGCGCCGAGTATCCAAGGGCGGTCGGGCCCCAGCCGGTGAAGATGCCGCGGACGCCCTCGGCGCGGTAGATCTTGGACCACGCCTGGACGTTGCTCGTGTACAGCGTGGAATCGACCTGGCGCCGAGTCTTGACAAGGTCCAGGGGTGTCACCCAAGTATGCGTGAGGCCCTAGGGAAGAGAACTGCTGTGAGCTGACCGCACGCCGTGATTTTTTGGTTCGTTTTCCTAGGACAAGGGGTCGGTTATCCTTGGTCCGAGGGGGTCAACTTACGCAAGCTAACAGTCCGCCAAAAGTGCAGGCAGCATAGTATTTGCCCGTGTATAGCTCGACCTTGCCGGCCTTCGCTTGAGCGGCGGCGCTGGCTTTCTCGAACTCTCTAGCGGCTTCCGCGCTCAGCTTATGCGCCTTGCCCTTGGCGTCATCGACAGTCGAGAAAGCTGCTGAATATAGGTCTGGGCGTGCTTGGTAGCGGGACGGCTGTGAGCATGTTTCCAGCACTGGTGCTGGTGTTTCTTGTGCCCCAGCAAAGCATCGCCGCAGGATATCCTGCCCCGGATACAGAGGCGGCATTCTGATTTTCCTCGAAGGATACAAAGAAGATAGGCTTGCGTGTTTTGGAAGGGGTTCCGTTCCGCTTCGAAGTTCGAACTAGATATAAAGTAAGTTGTTGGACTGGAAGATGATTCCCGCCTTGGGAGGCTTATGAAAAGAACAACGATTGACACAGGCACAACTGGCTTGATCTGCCGCACGATTCTCACCCAATACATTGTACTTACATTGACTAAGCAGTCGTAGATCTAGCACCGCTCATGCAAATGCAGCCGAGAAATAGTTTACACAGAGTCCAGCCGCAAGGAGGTAATGGTATGGACAAGGGGAGAGCGAACAAGCAGTCACTATCTGTCTGAAGATGAAAAGAAGTTCGCACGGGATAAAAAATACACAAAGTCGTGTTTCGGCTGAAAGGAGGTTCGTTCATGGTTCGTTCATTCATTCAGTTGGGTAGTGATGACATCATATGACTTCTGGGTGCGAACAATAACTCTGTACATGCGGCTCACTAACGGAAAGGATAACCATGACGGGTACCTACACTCATTGGCTTGGGTACCTTACCAATGGCTTGGGTACCAAGTAAGGTAAGGTACCACCTTGGATTTCGGTGAGGGAGGGTATAAGTATTTCTTCAGTCCCGGCCGGTTATAGGCAGACGGATAGTCATATCTAAGGGCTTAGGTCTCACATTGCATGCGATCGTATTCGGTACAGATTTCTGGTTATTCACCATCCAGTATGACTTTATGGGTTGTCACGGATTTGGAGGTCTAATAGTTGAAGCTGACGTCGACTTTATTTTAATGGCTCACCTTATCACCGTGCAGTTTCCGACTTCGGCGAGTGCACCCCACCCAACCACCTCACCGAGGACAACTGACGGAGTACGGAGTATGACCGAGGAATCGCGCCCAAAAAATAAGGCGAGGCCCCGCAATTGGCGTTCAGCTCCTATTCCCGTCCCACACTGTCCATTCTGGCTACCGGCGACAACGACATAGCTAAATCCAAGAAAAACTCTCCAACTATCCATAGCCCTTTCAAAGACCAGTTAACGCCGCAAGACCGATACCCGTTTCGTGCAGCCGACCGAAGATCAAGAAACGGCCAGTCGACAGACCACCCTTGCCGTACTCCTCACGACTGTTTTCCCCCATCACCCCACCATGGCAGCGATGTCGAGCAGTTCGGCCGTGGCACCCGCCACCGAACAGGGCGGTTCGCAACCCTTCGTCTCCAAATGGTCATCAAGGTATAGAGGAGTACGTGCAATCCGATCACCATGTTCGCACTTTTTTTCCTAGGTACGAGAGCTAGCTGACCCTTCTTCCTCACCGCGAAAGGCAACCGTCGAGGACCTCGAACCCCCGGCAGCCCTCTCCCTCACCCCGTCAGACCCCATCTCCCTGGCGATGCTCTCGGCCTACGAGAGGGAGTACACCCACCTCACAGTCGTGGACGCCCGCACGCGCGCGCTGCTGGGCTACATCGCCATCCCGCGCCTGCAGGCCCTCCTAGAAGCGCGCAAAGTGACACCCGATGACCCGATCGAGACGGCCATGACGCGGTTCCAGCGACGCGGGAGGCCCTATAAGGTGATCACGATGCAGACGCCGCTCGAGGAGCTCGAGGCCTTCTTCGAGAACAATGGCGGGGAGAAGAACACGTTTGCGGTCATTACGGACGAAAAGAGGAGGATCGTGCTCGGGGTGGCAACCGACCAGGATCTGAAGGAATTTGTGAAGAGGAGACCAGCCTGATGCTGCTGTATCCTGGACGGCGGTCGGTTGTATTGGTATTTCAACCGGCCTGCTTGTTCGGTTGCGCGGCTGTCTTCCTTTCTTTTCCTCTTTTTTCTTTTCGCTTTTTATTCTTCTTCTTCCCCCCCCAAAGTGTACAAATGGGGAGCATCGGAGATGCTTTCAGACGAGAACGGGCGACAGGTCGCAGATTGGGCGATTGTAGATCGACACTTTCATGTCCTGTCTGTTTTCAACAGGGCCACTCCAGGGCGGACATGGGGCGTTTTCAACGGGATAGCATTGACTCCGGCGTCGGCGATAGTTGCAAGCGCTCTAGGACTTGTTCAGATGGCCATGACGGGTAGAGGCGTCTTGGGGAGGACCCTGTAAGCAGGTATTTCAACATACTCTTACTGGATAAAGCGAATTGACAGGACTTATGAATACGTTGGCTATGATGTTCGACCTTTGTTTTGCCGGGCATGGGATAGCTTGGATGGCCACTCCTCGGGAAGGATATGGCTAAGGAGCGTCAAGTCCTTGCCCAGGGCGCTCTTCTCCAGTGAGAACAAAAGACAATCTCGATAGCATGTCTCAACTCGGACGAGCTGGTATTACTATGTATGGACAGAGGATAGGGTAGTTGATTGAGGAGAGGCAGGTACCCATTGATGTCTCTTATGGATAAGGTAAGGTAAGGTATATGGGATATGATTGTATGGTAGGGTAGACCACGAGTAATTTATGCCGGAATATACACAATGATAGTGTGGTTCAGAGACGGAGGACGTCACCGCAGCACTTGAACGGGATATGCATGAACGTCTGACCTGTTTCAGCAGCCCTCGCAAGCACTGATAAGCGAGAGCTGAAGTTTCCCAGGGGAGGTTCGAGGAGGCAGGCTAAATAGGCTAATGTCTAGACTCTAGACGCATGCCATGAGTCCAGGAAGTGTGATGTGTTTCGCATCAATCATGTTCACATCTTGTGTTTTTATATCGTAGTTCTATCCGTCCGTATTAATACTACCGTTCCTTTGACAACTAAGCCGAGTCATGGCAAGATCGGCACACTTGAGGGACACGCTCTCCGAGGACTCTGTCAGTATCCGTACTCTATACCTTTTCGTTCAGCGTTAGGAGCACATTGCATTCGCCAAGTTCACCTTTGACTCTGCCAGATGAACAGAACAACACCAACGAGGACAGAGAGTGTGGAGCGGGGGATGAGGGCATTCGACCTGGGAGGGAGACTGGGAAGACTGGGGGATATCATGGCCTTCACGACTACCTACGCTAGAATTATAAGGGACTAGTTTTTGCTAGGTAGGCACTTACTGAGGACGGGCCTACGATTTTGCCAAGTACAGGAGCGTTACATGAGGTCTTGTGTCTTACTGAATTTATTGTTAGTGACATACATATAAGCCTGCTAAGTCATCACCTCGAGAGATAGTCACTCCGTATCAGTTATCTGCCTAGGACCAAGTATCATTCATCCCTTTTAAGCCTGTTGAGACTTGGTCTGCCCCCTGGTGAATGGCTTGCAGGGGAAGCAAGTCTGGTGATGTCTCTGGACAGTTCTAAGACTCCAGCGGGCGGGTTACCTGTTCTGGTATACTCCAATATTACTTTACTCCGTAGGTAGTTTTGGTTTTACCGCCGGTTCCTACAAAGTATTGCCCACTAACCCACTAACCGCCAGCCAGCGCCTTTTATTGCTCTGACTAGCATAAACCGTTGAGTTCCACTCTTTCAGCGTCTTTTTGCCTCTTCTGGGGTACCTACTGCATCGGGACTCGCGCACCCATTACGTCCAATCCCCTCCTTTGTCTTGCCCTCCCCCCCCCCTTTCCCTTTTCCTCCCTTTTCCCCTCCGAAGGACGAAAATACATTATCGCTTCACAAGAAAAATTTTAACGCCTCACCTTTGATTCCTTGTTGGCCGTTGGTGGTTGAGAAGCCCGGAAGGTTGACGACGGTTGTTGCTGGACATTAATTTCGACTTTTAAAGAGACCGACCGACTTGAAGTCTTTTTCGATTCTTTCGCGATTACTTTCCCTCAATTCAGGTGAGTTCAATTCAATGCGTCGCACACATTTTTTTGCTATTCCAAGACGCCCCCCCCCTTCCATTTGGACTGCCTGCAGTTTTGCGTCTCCTTTCTGCGCCTATTCGCGTCCATCCACACACCGTCCATCTTCGACTCGCGCGACTCTGCACACACGCACGCACGCACGCACGCGCACACACACACACACACACACACACACACACACACACATTATATGCGCCATCTATCTGGCCCACTGCCCTCGAACCTATCTGGCCATGGACTGGGTTGCAACGTGTTGAATTCGAGTCGAGACGCAATTGCGATGCGGTTCATCATGTCGACTTCCTCCTCCCACGCGACGTACTCGATCGGACCGAGATGCCATCATGGTGGTGTCGGCTGGCTCTGACCACCGTTGGTCGGTCGCTGTCCTTTGTAACGGCCCACTATCCACCCTCCTAGACTTTCCGACACGTCGGATTCGGATCCCGGGTAATTAACCGTTACCCGTTACGACTTGCTTCATCGGAGCCATGGGAATTCAGAAATGCATCACTGCAGCGTTGCACAATACCGCTGACCCGGAATACTTGTCGCTCTTGCCGTCCTTTCTGCGCCTTCATTTGCGTGGGTTGTCTGTGCTGCTCAACGACCCTGTCCTATTGTCGCATGTCGCCAACAATGTATCAGACAAGCCGGCGACGTATCCTTCAAGGGAATACGGCTCGTTCGACTCTGAGCTTGCTCCTATGGACCGTTACTTGGACTGTGTGCCGCAGCAAATGATTCATCCACACCTTTTACCATGTAGATGGACGGCTGGAAACGGATGGGCCGACAATGGATGACCACAACCTGCTGCGCAAACGACGACACTCTTCTTACCATTGTTGTCCAGTGTGTATCGGAACGCCGTGCTAATCAACATATCTTCCGACAAACAGATACTCATCTTGGTCATCATGTCTTCCCTTTCTCGCCGTGCCTGCTACAAGTGTGGCAATGTTGGCCATTACGCCGAGGTCTGCTCGTCTGCCGAGCGCCTTTGCTATAACTGTACGTACAGCTTGCACGCAGCTCCCATGATATGCCATGCCCTCAAGTTTCAAGTCGCTAATAACCATTGGCAATAGGCAAGCAACCGGGTAAGCAGAATCGACTGGCCCAGCGGCTATTTCATCATACTGATATAAAGCGATTTTTCAGGCCACGAGTCCAACGGGTGCCCTCTTCCCCGCACTACCGAGGCCAAACAGTGCTACCACTGCCAAGGTCTGGGCCATGTCCAGGCTGACTGCCCTACTCTGCGCCTGAGCGGCGCTGGCACCAGCGGCCGTTGCTACAACTGCGGCCAGCCCGGCCACCTTGCCGTAAGAACCCAAGAAGCCACCTGATAGTTTTTTTTTTTTTTTTCAGCAGAGATCGGCTCTGTTTTGGTCTTCCCTTTCGTTTTTGTTCTAATAGAGAGCTGACGAGATGTTATCTAGCGTGCTTGCCCTACCCCCGCTGCGCTCGGCATGGGCCGCGGTGGTCCCATGAGCGGCCGTGGCGGCTTCGGCGGTTATGGACGCGGTGGTTTCGCCGGCGGTCCCCGTCCCGCTACCTGCTACAAGTGCGGCGGCCCCAACCACTTTGCCCGCGACTGCCAGGCTCAGGCCATGAAGTGCTACGCCTGCGGCAAGCTCGGCCACATTTCCCGCGACTGCACCGCCCCTAACGGCGGCCCCCTGAACACCGCCGGCAAGACCTGCTACCAGTGCGGCGAGGCCGGCCACATCTCCCGCGACTGCCCCCAGAAGGCTGCCAACGGCGAGATCCCCGCCGAGGTCGACATGAAGGCCTCTGCTCCTCCTCCCATGCCCGCCCCTGCCGTTGCTCCCCTGGCTCCGGTTGCCTAGACGGAGCGGCAGGCTCGGCCGATCGACCAGCCGCTGTTCGCATCATGATTAGCTTGTTGGTTCGGCCAAGGGGAGAGTGTTGGTGTTAGCGTCTCTTCAAACACCTGGAGTCGCGTCAAACCTCCCTAACAAACTTTTACCCACTTCACTTACCATAACCACACGACCAATGTTTTTTCTTTGTATTTTGTTGACCCCATTTCCCCCTTTTTACGCCTCTTGGGCGCTCCTTGATCTTTCTTTTTCTCACCATCCGCTTTTATTTCCTTTCTCTCACCCTTCACGGTTTACGCATAACAATGGATAGTTGCTCATGGGCATGCACATCCCGCTTCTTTACTCGGCGTCTCGGATTCCCCTTGGTCAACACAATTCATATTTCTGGAACAAAACGGGAAAATAACACGGCTTTCCGATCTTCATGGGACCCAGGACTCTCTTGACCACGATTCTCACGACGGACGGAACTCGGAACTCGAAACTCGGAACTCGGATTTGGGACTCGGGACTGTTTGCGACGCTGAAATCTCGAAAAGAAATCTGGTTTCACCGGTTGCTGAAGAGCACAACCTCACAACGGACGGACGTTCACGATTCTCCTTGCCAATATACGACTTAATGCCTCCCCCCGCCCCCCACCCCCGGTTTGGGTACTGCGGTTGGACACGGGCTACGGAACAACTGGGAAGGCTGGTTTCCACAGGCGACATTTACCCCTATTAGCCCTTTCAATTTTCGACTAGATCTGGACATTGGCAAGACAGACAGGCGGTGCTACCTGGACTAAGGTTCTTTGTCGGGGCGGCCCAATTAGCCAGGATCGCTAACTCGGGGTCTGGTCATGGTGGGAAGAAGAGTTGTCGGCTGAGAGAGGCGAAGGACGCTTTGCCTTCCCTCTCTTTTACTGGCAACTATATCTTGTCATCCTGACATGGTCGACCTCGGCCCGTTGCGACGGGATTTTTCTATTTTACTAGACCCGGCGGGGAAATTAGTACGGCGACTGGTTGGCGAAGGCAAGGTGAAATAAAATAAAAAACACAAAAAACGGGTAAAGGTGGACCGCGAACAGAACAGAGGCCCGGGTGCTCTGTGTAGGCGAGAAAAGGAAAAGAAAGAAGAGAATCCAAGTTTAACATGCTCATGAAGAATGGATAAGAGAGTTTTGGGGCGGTAGAAGTGGTGGTTGTTGCGTGGAGACTGGAGACTTCTTCTTGACTCTGGTAAGGGCGAATCGGCAGACATTCCCGGCGAAGCAGCCGTGGCATTATGCGCAGACTTGAAAAATGAAAAACGTATCCAAGCGCAAGATGAGTGGGAGTGCGTAGGACGATTGCGTTTCCAGGTTCTGAGTAACTTTAGGTAAGGTGACGAGGTTTGCGGCGGCATTAGACATATTTACATCTCTGGAGATGACCTGACAGGGGGGGTATCAACTTTCCAGTCCACTTTATGCCCTTGGTACGCCAAAACTCCCTGATGCTGAAGACACCCAAGATTGAAAAGAAGAAAAAAAAATTCAGAGGAAACCGCCATGGCGGGAAAGCCGTGTTCAGAACCTCCCCAGCAACTCATCCACCTTCCTGCTCTCCTCTTGAGCAGGGAAGTCCATTTCCATTGAGACATCATCACCGGGTACTACAGATGTCGAAGAGGCAGCAGGCGCCAGCAGCGGGGAAGGAAGGGCGGCAACACGGCCGCTAACCCGAGCGAGCAGGAGACGCATGCGCGCGAGCTCGCGCTCGACGTCGCCGTCGCGGGTGACGAGGTTCTGCTGGATAGCGCTGTTGCCATGGTCGCGGCCGTCGCTCCGTCCCGCGGTGGGGGGTGCGGCTTCGTGATCGTCTGCTGGTGCGGCAAAGGGGCGCAGAGCGGCGTGGGCGCGGCGGAGGCGGGCGAGGCGAGCGCGAGCCTGGGAGCGGGCGTCGGCCAGGGTCGATAGGCGGGCTGCGAGGTCTGCGTAGCGTTTCGCTTGGGGGTGGAGGGATTCGGCTTCTTTTGGGATGGGCCAGGTTGCGGGGAGGGAGGAGAGGATTTCGTCGGAAGCTGTTCGTGTCGTGTCACGGTGACAAAATTAGCACACTTTTTTTTTTTTTTTTTTTTCTTTCCTTTCACTTCATGTCACCGGACTTGACCGGTATCGTTTTGTTGAGGAGTAGGGGGGAGGAGTTTCATACTCAGGTCAGCGGCGCTTGAAGGTACGCCGAGCTCATCGTGGCTGGCATCTCGGGCGCGGTCCCGGCGTTCGGCTTCGGTCTGGTAGAGACGGTCTATCTGCTCTGCGACGAGGCGAGTGGACTGCGGTGGGTATACGCGACGGGCATGTTGAGCGATGGTCTGGTCCAGGCGGAGGAGGGCGTCGTCCAGGGCCGGGCCCGGAAGGGGGTCCTCGGACGCGGCATTATGAGCGCGCCAGGCCCCCGACGGACGGGGCGGCTGGGAGAGCAGGCGAGTCTGGGCGTCGATGAAGGATTGTTTGATGGCGGTTACTGTCAAGGGATCTTGTCGGGAGGCCATTAAGCGCAGTGGCGGTATAGGTTGGGATTGGAGTTATTTTGGGCCCTTTACTTTTCGGACAGATCTGGTTCAAAGGGGTCGACGGCAATGGTGGGAATAGAGTGAGGGACTGGCTCAGCGCGAGTATACGGTATCCGTCTGCATCCGTGTCTACGAAACGTTAAATTTAGAAGGGAAAGCACACGAGTCGCCGAGTCGCGAAGCCGCGAAGCCGCGAAGCCACGAGGTCACGTGATGATGTGACCGATGGATTGGTAACGGATACATCTTCGAATATTCATGATGTTTTGGGAGAACTTGCACGGATACGTGCCTTTCACCACCTCCTCCTTCAATTTAGCTACCTTACTTCGTGTATAACGACTACTAAGGTAGGTATCGAGTGTGCGTGAAGAGGATGAGCTAAGCTAGATCCTTGGCTGGATTGAGCCTCGAGGAGATCTGATTACCTAAAACGCGGCAGCCTGATTGGCTGATGTCGGTCACGTGACCGCTGCCACAACACTTTGTGTAGGTATCCCAGGAATACGTGTAGAGGAAGCGGCACAGTTTCCTATGTCTTGCAGGTCATTCGTTTTTTATTTCTTTTGTGTATTTCTTGAGACAAGGAAGCGAGCTAGCGGGAGGGCTAATAAGCATCGCCCCGCTTACTTGTCGATCAATGTTGCACAAGGTATATTTTCTCCAGCTAAGCCGAGAGACGACGGAGCCGAGCCCATGGGTCGCAGGTTCGTTCGTTCTTTTTTTCTTTTCTTCTTCTTCTTTTTATCCCTTCTTGCTCTGGACATCCTGTTGACTGCTGCGCATAACCGGCATGGCCAAGGTAGTCAGTCGTCTGGCACAGCAGAAAACCGTGGCATAATCATAATCGGGTCTTCAAATGGCGTGGTGCCGGCGACGGAGGACGCTCTTCTCCGTACGACCTCCGTTACGTCCTCTCTTTCGAATCTGTCTGATCCGCTGTGCCGTCTCTCAACGCCACGAAGCAAACGAAGAGCCGGGATAAGCTAATCTCTCTTTCTGCCTCGCATCGCCAAGATGAACAGAGCGCAGGCGGTCGACGTCGTGTCGCGATCAAAGACCTCTCCTTCTTTCTCTCCATGCATACAGAACGGAGAAGATGAAACAAGTCAAACAGCGGCTCGGCGAAGTACCTGAGCAGCGAGGCGAGTCGCGAGGATCTATCGAAGATCTGGGTGGGAATTCAGAACGCGTGGCCCAAGTCTTATCAGAACCCCATGTAAGAGACACCCTGACAAGCGAAGCGGCACGTTGTAGATCTTTGCAGATCTCAACTTACTGGGACATGCTGCGTGTGCGACCCTACACGTACCTAGGCACGCCCGCCGTGTACGTGTAAAATTGCAACGCTTCCGTTCCGACTCCTGTCGGGAAACGGGAAACTGTGCCACATGTATTCGTACGCTGTTTGTCCCGCCAAGCCTCTTGGTCGATCTGCAGAAGTATCCTTTCTTTTTTTTGCTAGGGACTCGAGCTGAACCCTGCGGTGTGATCGCCACTCTACGTTGTACGTGTACCCGCCTTCCTCCTCGCGCAGCTGCATTGCATGTCTTGCCGTCTTGCCTCTGCTTCCATGAATAGCAATGGAGATGGAGAGAAATCACCTGCACGGGAAATCTATCGGCTGGGCGACTTACGGCCCAACAAACCTGGTCATCTCAAGGGCCAAGGGAGTTGCACCCATATAATATAACACCAGGACAGCACCCCGATGATGAACTCGGTGAATAATAACAATCACGACGGATGAACCACGGAGATAGGACCGCAAATCGACCAGACCCAGACTCTCCCATTCCCAACCCCCCCCCTTAGTTCGTCTTCGTGGCGAACCTCCCATAATGGCGAACAACAAGGCCCCCAATGTCGTCGTCACCACGGCGAGCAAAGAGGAGAAGAAGAAGAATGCCCCTACCACCGCCCTGAGCGCCGTCGCGCGGTTCTCCCGCAAGGTATACAACCCCATCGGCTTCAAGCGAGGCTACAACTTCTTCCTCTGGTTCATCACCTGCGGCGCCCTCCTGGGCTTCTCGCTGGCCCGCATGCCCGTCCTCAACTTCAGCGGCTACTGCGACGCCATGCAGGCCAACAGCATCCCCGGCGAGTGCTACTGGTTCCAGCCGGGCAGGATCGGCCGCGTCGGCATCATCCTGCACCTCGGCACCATCCTGCCCGCCGGCATCCTCGTCGTCTTGCAGTTCACCCCGTACATCCGCCACAAGCTCATCCTCTTGCACCGCATCAACGGTTACGTCGTCATCCTCCTCGCCGTCGTCAGCATGGTCGGCGTCCTCATGATGACCCGTCGCACGTTTGGCGGCGGCCTGAGCTTCCAGATCACCAGTGGCTTGAGCACCCTGATGTTCCTCTTTTCCATGCTCATCGCCTATATCAACATCAAGAGGTTGCAGATCGAGCAGCATCGTGCCTGGATGATCCGCGCCTGGGTTTATGTGAGTTTGCCCTTTCACCGGAATTCCCATACAAAGAAGAAAAAAGAAAAAAGAACAAAAGAAAAAAAGAAGAAAAAAAGAAGAAGAAGAAGAACTGACACCCCCCAGGCCGGCTTCATCATCACCATGCGCATCCTGAGCATGATTGCCGGCCCCATCTCCCTCAACGGCGACGACCCGACCTACCAGGTCTCGCAGCCCTGCTACATCATCGACTTCATGAAAGGCGGCAACCGGGACTGGGTACTGAGCCTCTACCCGGCGTGCGCCGACTTCTACTCCGGCGTCGACCCGGAGCTTCACGTCGCCGTCATGGCCAACTTGGACGGCGAGTCTCTCAGCCAGATTGCCGCCGGGTTTACCACCGTCTACAGTGGCGTCAGCTGGTTTGCCCTTGCCATCCATGCCATTTTGGCCGAGCTTTATGTGAGTTGCTTTTTTTTGTCTTGTTGCGGGGGGGGAGAAGGAGAAAGAGAAAGAGAAAGAGAAAGAGAGAAGAGAGAAGATCAAAGAGAAAAGACAGACACAAAGAGAGACAAAAAGTAACTAACGCCAGCCACCTCAGCTTCATCTCACTCCCAAGGAGCATGAGCGTCTCCGATGCGTCTCGTACCAGCGCCAACTCGAAGCCGGTTTCAAGAACCCCGGAAATGCAGGCCTTACCGTCCAGCGCCTGGGCGACGCCGACCCCTGGCTGCCTCCGCACGAGCGCCCTGGCGCCGCCTCGAACGAGAAGCCCCAGGAACAGAGCTCGCCGGTTCCTTCTTCCGGTGCTTCGTACCCGGACCGCATCTGAGAAGCCCTATCCCCCTTTCAGACAAACGTTGGTGTTAAACCACCCATCACGCCTCGTCGAATCGGGTGAATGCAACGGCGTGGTAGAGACGCAGGCTTGGAGGAAAGCCTATGAGTATGAGGATCGAGGAGTCCAAGCGAGCTACGCCCTTTTTTTCTTCTTTTTTTTTTCTTTTTTTTTTCTATTTGCTCAGAACCCAGACTTCGATGTGGTCATGTGGGAGGTCGTGGTTGACAGCGGAACATGCGGCCACGGTGACAAACCTGCCGTCCGTCCGGGGTCCCTATCCATGCTTGGCCGGGTCGGCAATCCATGGACTCCATTATCTGTACACAACAGCCAAACGCCGAGACATGGACATGCCAACCATGCAGCCATGATTATCCTTCATCTGGATTGGTCGGTTGGTATGCAAGAACGAGGTGGCGTTGTGAAGAATTCCCATTCTCCCCGCCAGCAACATAAAACTGTGGTATTGGGGGGTTTCTGTTTTCTGCTTCTGGGCGTCTAGACTTGAGCGTTATCTAGCATCTTTGTTCGGGACCATCGGGGGACTGGTCTCGGGAACTACCATCTTAACCCTTCCGCTGTTATTCTTCATCTTCTGTGTTTTCCTGTTTTCCTACAATGCGCCAAGTCTCTCCACCAATAAGCTGGCAAATTGTGCTATACCAGTCGTTATCGAGTGCCGAGAAAGGATCAAGAAACCCTGCAGGGTGCCGCCATCCTCGACCAGCGCCCCCCCCAATGGACGAACAACGAAACCCATGGGGGGGCCCAGATTCCTGCCGTCTTTACCTCGACTGTGAGGCGCATTGAAGGGGGTCCTACAAACATTCAACACGTAGACGCAGAGGCGTAAGCGATGTCATTCTTTCGGAACATCACAACCGAACCCCATGAATACCGTGTGTAGACGGAGGTGCAACGCTTCGCATCATGTGAAGCTGAGACAAGATATCTTCAAGCGGTATGAGATCGACACAGCTTACCCCCCCCCCCCCCTGAACCTTCCGCGAACTCTCTGCCGTCTTACAGACCAGACCACCAGTAGGTCTCGGCAACGCTAAACGAACCCCGGACAGCCTTGTCCGAGACAACGCTGCTGTCCGACGCGATGACTTCGTACTCCCCCGCCTCCACGCACCACTGACCCCTGTCCTCGTCCCAGTAGCTGGCCGCGTACTTGGCCACAATCTCCACCGTGGCCTTCTTGCTCTCCCCGGGCGCGAGCGACACCTTGGCGAAGCCCTTGAGCTCCTTGACCGGCCGGTTGACGCGCGACTTTTGCTTCGGCGCCACGTACACCTGCACCACCTCGCTCCCCTGCACGGCGCCCGTGTTGGTGACCGTCACGTCGACCCTCAGCTTACCATCACCATCACCATCACCATCATCCCCTTCGCTGACCGCCAGGTCCGAGAAGGCAAAGGTCGTGTAGGACAGGCCGTGCCCGAAGGGGAAGAGCACCTCCCGCCCGACGGCCTCGTAGAAGCGGTAGCCGATGTACACGTCCTCGCCGTACAGCGTGCGCGCGAACTCGGCCCGGTAGTTAAGGTAGGCCGGGTTGTCCTGCAGCCGGCGCGGGAAGCTGAGCGAGAGCTTGCCCGAGGGGCTGACGTCGCCGAAGAGCACGTCCGCGATGGCGTTGCCCGTCTCGTTGCCGCCGTACCACGCCTGCACCACCGCCGCCACGTCGTCGACCCACGGCATCGTCACCGGCGTGCCGGACTGGTTGACCACCACCGTGTTGGGGTTGGCCTTGCCCACCGCGGCGATGAGAGCGTCCAGGTAGCCCGGCAGGTCCATGTGCTCGCGGTCGTGGCCCTCGGTCTCCCAGTCGGCGTTGAGCCCGGAGCAGATGATGACCTGGTCCGCGTCCCGGGCCAGCGCCGCCGCCTTGGCCATCTCCTCCTCGTCGTCGATCACCTTGCAGCCGCCCACGCGCAGCGCCCCGCCGCCGAAGACGACGTTGTTGCCCTGCAGCTTCGACGCCGGCGCCGACGTGAACTCGACCTTGAAGTGGTACGTCGCGCCCTTCTTGAGCTCGACCTTGCCCTTCTCCTCGACCGTGGCCGCGCCGAAGAAGGCGTCGCCCTGCCGCTGCGCCGTCGCGTTGTCGACCACCAGCTCGCCGTTGACGAAGAGCTTGGCCGCGCCGCAGACGATCACGCCCACCTCGTACGTGCAGTCCTCCTCGGCCACGAAGGAGCCCTCAAAGTCGGCGTACCAGAGCGGCTCCTTGATCTCGTAGTAGTCGACCAGGTTCAGCTCCGTCTTGGTGACCACGCGCGAGTCGACGCACTCGCGGACGGCCTCGGACGGCGGCTCCCTGTACGCCCGCATCAACATGCCGGGCTCCCCCGAGGGCGACTTGACAACGTTGCCCAGCAGAGGTAGCAGCTTGTGGGAGTAGGAGCCCTCGGTGTAGACGGGGGGGGATGCGAGCTTCTGGCTGATGCCGTCGAACGGTGTGACCGCGTAGTAGGCGGCGAGGGCTGCCGAGCCGCCTCCGTGGTAGGTGGCGATCTTTGCGTTGGGGCCGATAACGACGGTCTAGGAAGGGGGGGACAACAATGGTTAGCTGGACCTTTTCTTTTTCTTTTTTTTTCTTTTTTTTTCTTTTTCTTTTTCGTTTTCTTTTTCTTTTCTTTTAAAACATTGACTAACCTTCTTGTCCTTTTTCAAAGGCAGCACATTATTGTCGTTCTTCAAGAGGACCAGCGACTCGCCGCCAATGCGTCGCAGGAGCTCTGCCGTTTCGGGCGTGTTACCGGTCGTCTCGGGGGCGTTCTCGGGGATCCCCAGCTTCATGCACTCCTTGACAAACTTGAGCACGCAACGGGCCCGCTCGTCGAGGACATGCTGCTTGACCTTATCCGTCGAGACGTTGAACTTGAGCGCCTCGCCGCGGAAGCGCGTGGGGCCCGGCATCTCGAGGTCGAGGCCCGCGTTGGCGGCCTCGGTGGTGGAGTAGGTGCCGTACCAGTCGCTCATCACCATGCCGTCCCAGCCCCACTCCCCGCGGAGCAGCTTCTCGAGCAGGTCGGGGCTCTCGCTGCAGTAGGTGCCGTTGACGCCGTTGTAGGCGGTCATGAAGGCGCCCGGGGTGGAGTCCCGGACGGTCAGCTGGAAGGGCATGGCGTAGATCTCGCGCAGGGCCCGGTCGGTGAGGATGCTCTGGACGGCGTTGCGCCTGTGCTCCTGGTCGTTGCACACGAAGTGCTTCGGCGTGGCCTGCACGCCGGTGCTCTGGATGCCGTTGCAGAGGGCGGCGGAGCCGAGGCCGGCCAGCACGGGGTCCTCGCCGATCGACTCGAAGCCGCGGCCGCCGAGCGGGGCGCGCTGCATGTTGATGGTCGGGCCGAGGATGCAGTGGGCGCCCTTCAGCTTGGCCTCCTCGCCCATCTTCTTGCCGGCCTCCTCGAGGAGGGCCGTGTTGAAAGTGGCTCCCAGCGCGGTGCCGCAGGGGAAACAGGCCGCCTTGACGCCATCGAAGAACTTGGTACCGCGAACGCCGTTGGGGCCGTCGGTGAGACGGATGGAAGGGATACCGTGTTCGGGCAAGGGCTTCGTATGCCAGAAATCGATACCTGAGGGAAGAGCTGTCAGCACACCCTCTCTCCGAGGCGGGGGCTTTATGAGGGCAGAGTGAGGTCCCCCGTCTTACCTGCCAGCAGGTCGACTTTCTCAGAGTTGTTGAGCTTCTTGAGCACAGCCTCAACGTCGAAGTCGGCCATCTTGAGTGGAATACGAAATACGAAACGAAAGCTAGTATCTGCCTAGTTCACACCCGTGCCAGAGTTGCCTCCAATCCCAGTCGGGCTAGGTACGTACGATGAGAAATGGGACCGGCACCTGGGGCACCAGAATGGAGGGAGACCGAACGAGGAAGAGGAGAAACAACGGAGAGGGAGACGGAAGAAGCAGAAGCACTTTGTTCTCCTCGAGGTGTCAAGGCAACGTCGGGCGACCGCCGGCCTCTATTATATAGTCGTATGTGGCCAAGCTGCCGCCGGCTACTTTATACTCAAAAGGTCGCAATGGCAGATCAGGGTCCGAGAAATCATGGTCAAACGACTCGCCTGTCTGTCCAGACGACCCGCATCGTCGGCGAGTAACCCCGCGTTCATTCACAATTTCACCCCACGCAAGAGACCCAGGAAGCGTGATGGAAACGATACGACGATGAAGTGAGGGGTAGTCGCCTGAATAGATTTCGAATTGGCCAATGGTTGTAGTCTTATGTTATGCTGCCTTTCTGAACGACGTCCCGATACTCCGATGGCTTGGAATGTTGGTGGGGAAGTTGGTCATGGAAGAGAGCACAGCAGAGCATGGTGTGAAGGCGGGTTGTGTCAGTTGAGTTGGTTTTGGCATCTCGGCGCCGTTTCACGCTTGGAAGCGGGTGCCCCGTATTACTGGTAACCTGATTTAGCCGTAGAGCGAGTTAGTTCTCCGAAGAAGACCCGGGGATTATACGAGGTTTCTACGGCGGCGGGAGAAGTTTGGACCATGTTTCCCGGCGTTTATCCAGCCATCCAACTACCGGTAAAATACTCCGTAATACTCCGGGTATGGATACGAGGTACACGTCGGGGCATCTCCGGAAACGAGGTACTGGCTAAATAATGTTCAAAACCAATGCGATCGGTAGTTATAGATCCTCCGTGGCGCAATTGGCTAGCGCGTTCGACTGTTAATCGAGAGGTTGGTGGTTCGAGCCCACCCGGGGGAGCTAGAGGTTTACTTTTTTTTATTTTTTTCATTTCTTTTTCTTTCCTTCTTTTCGTTTTGTCTTGTTCGGTTCGATACCTATCCTTCTGAATGGATATATTTCGTCCCTTGATTTATGGCGTTAATAAGGAATTTACGCTATAGAACTAGACTAAAAGGTTAAGGAATTAAGAGAGTTAAGCAGTTAATAGAACAAGGAAACCCTTATCTTATTATAGAGGAAAGCAACTCTAGTAGGAAAATTATCTGGATATAAGTAGTGCAATTATCGAGTTAGTACCTTATTTCTCTAGACTCGATATCTTCCTAATACAGTAATATATAACCATAGAAAAGAGTCTAACCTTGGGTATTTATTGTTTTATAGCTTAGCATAAACAAGGCCAGCACCCGTGATAACTTTTGTGTCCTTCTACGGCGAATTTAATCAGGGCTTAATATTCACAGTTATCTTAGGTCTTCCCCGACCTGCCTCTAATATCTAATCACTTTGACGTCGACATCTCGAGCAAATAAACACAACGCCTTCACTAATCCCCCGTGCCATATCCGACATGCTTCCAATCAAAAAGACTAACCATACCAAAAGAGGCGAAAATGTATTCAAGCTCCCCCGGGTGGGCTCGAACCACCAACCTCTCGATTAACAGTCGAACGCGCTAGCCAATTGCGCCACGGAGGATGCCGTTTGAGATGTCAACTCGGCTACGATTTCTACTTCATAATAGTAGGTTGCAAGGATTGACTGTATAAAATGCCAGTGACACTGGTAGTAGTAGTAATACCTAACGCTGTGAAATCTCTTTGAAACAAAGCAATAGGCGGGCGCCCTACTCCGTAGCCAAGAAGGTAGTGGTAGGGTGATTTCGGGGTTATAGATCCAAGAGGGGAAACGCGGGCTCTCAAGGCGCCAAACACCCAAGAGCTTTTTTTTTTTTTTTTTAAAAAAAAAAAACCCCCCCATATAGCAACTGAACGTTTCGATCATTCGACCTCCGGGTTATGAGCCCGGCGCGCTTCCTCTGCGCCAAGATGCTTGTGTTATGCTCGGTGTACAAGAATCTCTTCAACGGGGACTTGAACCCCGGTCTCCAGCGTGACCAGCTGGTTGCCGGCATACTAGAGTCTAGCCCCTATACGATCGGAGACTAAGCTCGTTGTTAATTGACATAAAACGCCCGATAGTATCTTCACAGTGAATTGTTTGATGTTCTCTATCTGTACCAAGTGCTCCCGCGGGCTTTGCTTCGTGTTTTTACTCCATCCTGAAGAATCCCAGAGATATCCCACGAGAACACATACTCTTTCCACCCCATGCCCGACGGCTCGTTTTGTGCGTGCCTAGTGTCTAAACGATAGAAAACTCCCAAAGAGGTTACTCCGTGGTGGTATCCCGACATCCCGAACGATCTGATTTGTCTTGATCACGCGCGGAAGGCATAGGCATGCTGTGGCCTGGCTCATCAAAGGCCATATTACGACGGTAACCGTATGCTGATGATATACGCGATGATGTTTCGGTCACGGCACCATCTATGGTGTGGAGGGGAAAGAAAACAGCAAGGTTGACTGGTACTTGGGCATACTTCGAGAGTCGAACTCGCCGGCACTGTCCCGTGCAACATGCCGAGTTTTATCCTGGATGCGGTGGGCGCTGGGCCCAGGCACTTCTACCAACGTGTTGTTCAGACCACGAGGCCCACGCGCCACGACGCGATTTTATTTACGGAGGCAAAACAAACTTTAAAACAGCCTCAGGGACGGCTGATGGTCAAATGCCCCTTTCCCAGAAGAATTCGCCAAGTTGCTTAATCGGGGAAGTTGACTCGCAGTGGATCATGATGAGTAACGGAAAAGGGGTCCGCTGACAACGTCGACGTGTGGCCGGGCCCGTGAGGACCGAGGTTCGCTGCTTGCACCAGGTTATCCGTTCAGATCATACGTTCATACGTCTTTCTACGAAGTAGTAGGATCAATAAACCCAAGCATGGCGTCTTCGCAAGTCGTCAGGTTGGAACCACCGGATTATGAATCGACAGACGGGGGGGGCAGTTTGCTGCCTTGCAAGGTGACACTTGGTCTCACGCATATCCACACCGACCTTACCGTTCACGCCGTGCCTCGCGGAATTCCCGGAGGGCAAGCATAGTTAGTGTACCTCACAGGGGTTCATTCAAGGGGTGCAAATGGCTCGTGGTACTTCGTAGCCTTGTACAAAGTAATGGCCAGTTGACATGCCAAGACTCTATGGAATGGTCTCCACCCGGGGGATTCTCGACCTAGGCCAGCGGCCAGCCACGACAGGACAGACTCGACTATCGAATCAACTCCCCTCTACATACCTTACCTAGTGCGGTAGAACCGGGACAGGCAACAGCAACTATTGTGTGGATTCACAAGATGATAGAGGACTGAACTGCCGCTCCATCTGTAATGCCAAGAACTACGGTAGCACCGCTAGTGCATTACCGGACATTATGTACTAACTAGCCCTGCGTTGGGGCGTCCTGACGCGCCATAACCTCTTCCGTGTTAGACTTCTTCTGGTCTCGGTCCGATGAAACGCTCTCGTGACGGCCGGGCCGCTCGGTGGGACGAGCTGGACGCGTGACGCGCGTCTCTCGAAGACAACTCCCCTGAATTTGATGAGGTGGTGCGGTGCACCTCGGGGGGGGGGGGGGGTCTCTGCACGGAAAGTCCATTTGCAGCGGGGGTCTGCCTTGTCTACCACCCTCGTCTCCGCCATGCTACCGCCGTGGAAGAATCAGGTAGGTTCGGCTAAGGCTAATAGAGACTCGCGCCGTCCATACAATCACTAGTATCGTCCTCAGGTTGGTGAAGCACAGGAGCCCAGGAGATGTCTTCGGCCAACGAACAGGTTTGTTTTAATTATCTGTTGGAAAACAAGTGTTCCAAGTCGCTCACGTCTGTCCGTCCTAGCTAGTAGCCCTCGGGCCTGCCTTCTACGACATTTGCCGGACAAGAAGTCTAGGTGTCTGCGGGTTGTATACGAGACTCTGCCCGTCGGAATGGAGAGGAGAGTAGATGCTGGGTATCAAGAAACAACTGTAGTAGCTCGACAGTTGACTCGCCCAACTGTAAGTTTAAGGCCCCCCTAGAAAAGGCCGGACGCATCGATGATGTATGGGGATAGCAAGTGATTGGAGAAGGAGGTCCAAATCCGGCAGGGGGCGAGATCGGGATGCGGAGATCAGTAAAGGAATGTTGTTGGGGTGCAGGGCTCAGATATCATAAAGTGATATTTTGCATGTTTCTCCCTAAGGTATGCTTCAAATGTCCGTCGTGGAGGAGAAAGAAAGGACCTGTTGATCCGTCTTGGAAAATCAACGTAGGTAATTCAAGACATACATTGTCTTGGATGATTGGTCAGAGGCATGCGTTCAGAAAACACAGACTTATTATATTGGGGGGTTTTTAGTCCTCGACCCAACCAATACGTTAATACCTGACAAGACCAGCGAGGATTTTAGCTTTTCAGGAACTGATAATCCGGGGCAAAACAATCATATAAAGTACGGATACTCCGTAAATAATCATACATACACAAATAATAATAAAGGAAGACAAAAACGATAGAATGTGAGGTACGAATACCTACGAAGCAGCTAATCGGGGTTGAAGTCTGCCTTCCCCCTCCCCACGCGCTGCATGCATACAACTGTACAATCAATCTCCCGCCTTTATATCCTTGCATCTATGACGTCTTTATGCATAGACCTCCATGTCTTTCCCTTGTCTGTGGCGTATGTATGCCTCAGTGAGATTTCGCTCAATTACTTCGTAGATCCAAGAATTATGGCAGCAAAAAAAATGGGACAAGGGAATCCAGAGACAAAGATCCCGGTCAAGTGGCAGCATAATGGTAGCCCACCATGTCGGCTCGTCCGTCTTTTATGTACATTGCATCTCCTTTATTGTTCTTCGGGTATGACGGGTTGTCTGTCTGACTGACTGTCTGTCTGTCTGTCTGTCTGCCCGTCTGCCCGTCCGTCCGTCCGTCTGTCTTCTGTGTCTGAAAGTTGTTCTGTCTCACACCGTAACCTGCGAGATCAAAAGTCTGCAAACGCCAATGATGAGCCGATCCAATATAACCAACACCCCTTATCTTTTGAAAGCAATCCCAGTATTTATCATGAAGGATACCTAGACACGCCAGCACACCCAGCTTAAAAAGCAAAACAGGATATTTTCTCGTCGAAACATGGGGAGCGTAGACCAAGGTCAAAAAAAAGGGGGAATAAATAACAGAGAAAAACCAAAGAAAATTTTGTGGACAGTAGCCGGCAGGTATGAAGAGTAGACGTGAGAGGCGATGTAGTTAATAACGAATTCGACCAAAACACACGAAAAAGAAAAAGAAGAAAAAGAAGAAGAGAAAAAGAAGAAAAAGAAGAAGAGAAAAAGAAGAAAAAAAAGAAGAAAAAAAAAGAAGAAAAAAAAAGAAGAAAAAAAAAGAAGAAAAAAAAAGAAGAAAAAAAAGAAGAAAAAAAAAGAAGAAAAAAAAGAAGAAAAAAAAGAAGAAAAAAAAAAGGAAGAAAAAAAAAGAAGAAAAGGAAGAAAAACAACCCTACTCAGTCGATTGTCCCGACCAAACCTTGCAGCCCGGGGTAGCGGTGTATAAAGGCGGAATGCAGACGCCAGTTCTCGGAGCGCATAGCATGCGCCGCGAAGCCATCGACGAGCCAAACATCGCCCGTCACAGGATCGGCGTGTATGGCGTCCACAAGGTGGCCGGGCCAGTTGGCGAGACGCAAGCTGGACGCGTAGAGCAACTGAAACTCGTCATTCCCATAGAGATCCTGCCGCTCCACCACGGCGTCTCGTAGCGGCCCGTGGATGATGAGGTCGATCCACTGGCCGTGAGGTACGGTCAGCTGGCTGGGCCGCGGCATGTGGTCCGGCATCAAGGCCTGGTACGCTTCGCGCGTGGGTTGGGCTAACCAGGCCAGCAGGCGCTGGAGCGGCACCGAGAGGCCGAGCCGCTCGAGTGCGCCTGTGGCACCCGCCGTGTCGAGGAGGGCTCCGATGAGCTCCACGAGCGGGTGGTCGGGTCTGGTGGCGCCGGAGACGGAAGGGGGAGGACCCTGGGTGCCGTTATTCCCAGGGCCGCAGGTGCTGTTGGTCAACGCCGTAGGCATTGTCGGGTCGAGAGCACGTTCGAGGTCGGCATATTGAACACGCGGTGCGGGGTGGGCTGGCGACAGAAGCCGGCCTTCGAGCAATGCCTTGACGTTGAGCCTCTGTGGTCTGAGGAGGGCATCGAGGGGTCGGGGTCGGGGCCGCTGCGCCTGCACCTGCGCCTGCGCCAGACGCCGGCAGTCCCGGATGAAGCTAACCAGCCACTGATCGGCCGCGCAAGTGGGCGGCGTGACCAAAGACGGCAGCTCCCAAAAAGGGATGGCGGGATACCGAGTTAGTGGGCTGACGGCTGGTGTTGGAAGTACAGAGTTGTGGTGTACATGTTCCACGGCTCGTGTGGGAAGAACACGTTGCTGGGGGTGTTGCAGTTGCGATGGGACGGCGGGTATCCAGCGTCTGCGGGCTATGTGGTTAGCGTCTCAGAATGGCGCTGTGAAATGGAGTAGAAGCGGAGAGGAACCCAATATCAGAGCCGCGAGGGCGAGCGGCCTAGGGCCCTTCTTCGGGGGGGGAGACGAACGGTTGAATAGAGGGTTGTTGCTTACCAGAATCTACTTCCTCGAAATCCAATGGCCCTCCGGTGGCGGTCGCCGCAGCGGCAGCGGCAGCGCCAGCATTGGGGACGCTCCTGGCGTCTAGCAGAGGGGCTGGAATGCTAGTGGGAATATAGGCGGCGGCTGCGCCGTATTCATCTGTGTTGGCCGAGGACGATGGGCTCGAGACGGCTGACGGTACGCCAGGAACGCCGTGACCCCAGGGCTCGGTGGCTTCGGGGACAGGTACGTAGGAGGGGCCCAGCTCGGGCATTGCAGCGTAGGTGCCTGGGGCGGGAAAAGGAGAAGAGCGTGCGCTCGGGACCGGACCGCTGACAGGAGGGAGGCTCTCGTCGTATACTGAACCAGCATTTGCCATTAGCATGCCATAAGATTCCGGCTGGAGGCTCAGCAGGTCAGGAGAAGTGCTGCTCGAGTACCCACCTGAGCTCCTTGTATACGACTGTCCAACCGGCTGGCTTTCCCGCATGCGCATGATCTCCTCTTCAAGTGCCCGATTCCTCCGCAATAGCTCTTGGACGGTCTGTGTCTGGTCCCGATTCTGCTGGCTCTTGAGTTCGGCGAGTTCGTTCTCGAGTCTTTCGATGTGTTCTTTTGTTCTCGCCCGAATGGCGCGCTGGGCCTCTCTATCGTTTGCTCTCTTGCGGGCTAGCTGTGCCGGATTCAAAGTCGACACGCTGCGAGTGCCTGGGTGGGGAAGAGATTGCGTCAGTATATTCCGAGTCACGAGTCAATGTGACGACAGAAAACAAAACAGGACAAAATAATAAGAATAATGAATGATAATCAAAGAAGAACGTGCTGCTTATTGATAGCAGCGTCCAGGGAGTGATCCTGTACCCTTTCGTTTGGTGATGGTGCTCTTGGGAGGCTCGTCTGATGAAGATCGCGTCATGGTGGTGGTATGGGAGCGGGCCAGGTTGGTAATGGTCTCGCGTCGGGATATAGACAGAGCACAGGTGGATGTTGAAGAGGAAGAAAATGATTTGTTTCGGTTTTAGTTTTGTCCTTGTGCCGTCCTGAATTGTCTTGACGTCGTGGACGAGATAAATGTTGAGTGATGTGATGATGGGTCACTGGTAAAGATGATACCAGGATTGTTGGTTTGGACTGGGGAGAGAAAAGCCGGTGAAGATAGTTCAACGGTTGTCAAGGAAGAGAAGGACAGGGATGCGATGGGGAGGGGATCCATCGGCAAGATATAATAATGGATCAGAGAGACTAGGTTGTTTTAAAGTCGGGAAGATGTAGCTAAGTAATTCGTCCCATTGAGGCAAAAGGATGGATGCCGGCGGCAGAGGTTTCAGTCCAAAAAGAGGACGAAGGGGTTTTGGGAAAAAGGGGGGGGGGGGATGGGGGAGAGAGGGAGAAGGAGATGTTGCCCTAGTACTCCCTCTGCACGTAAAAGGTAAAGGTTCGTAGGAACGCTGCATCCGGGCCAGGTTGTGGCTCCAGCGGCGGACGTACGGTGTACCTGGTTAAGTCCTGGCTAGGACACATCCGCGCGGTCAACCCAGGTTGACATATATACGTATAAGCAGCAAGTTCACTGTTCACCTCCCGCGCATCGGTCGTACCCTTCGTAACGGTCCAGCCCTCTACTAGCCCTCCACCTCATGCCCGCCGCCCACTTCTCCGTAATGAAAGCTACAAAGCAAGTTAGCAACTCCATACACACTCGAAAAGAAACTGGGCCCGATGATCCACCGGTGCCTCTCGAGTCTGCATATTCTTGATGGATGGGTGGATGGGTGGATTGGTGGATACCATCGTCATACCATCATGATGGGCCATGGCTGATGATGGACAGGTAAACATGCCCGGCGACCTGATCCTTGCTTAAGATCAGTACGCCAACCCGGCACCAGCCCACCAAGTGGGATGGAGCTGGACCCGTAGGTGGAGAGGGGGTTTGGTGGCTTAGGGTGGGAACTAGTTGCGCATCGACGTTCTCCACCAGGGATGGGAAAGGAATGAAGAGGTCAAGAGAGGTCAAGGGTCTTAAAAAGGGGGGGGTGACCTTAGCGGACGATGATTGTGATTGGTGGAGTGGGGGGCTTTCTCTTGTCTCTACCTAGCCAGTGGATACACCCCTGCAGCGGTGACAACTCCGGTTGGGAGAAAGCGGTGGAGACGAGGCACGTACAACGTACTCCGTACCAATGGCAGAAGTGGCGTAAACGTGGTCAAGGGGGTTTTTTCCCGCTCTAAAATAGAGTTGAAGCTACGGTCACCACAATTGGTCGCCCCCTTCAGTCGGAGTCGGCGATAAACGGGTGGAACGTGGAATGGGCCGTTGAGAAGTCAAGCTCGAAGAAGTGCGATGGAGGAAAGCCACATTGATTTCGTGGATCGCGCCGTGGAGAGAATCGAACCAGAATGGGGAATGGGAGGAGCCAACGACAACGAGGTAGGTAGGTCATCCCTGTAAGTGGTCCAATACATGCGAATACTTCGTAATTAATGCCAACCTGATCTTTGGATGCATACGGCATACTCCATAGTGCAATACGAAGTACTTCGTGCGAACGGCAACCGACGTGGAAAACAAGGGGTTTGGCAGGGGTCCTGAGTATCCTATTTCTAAGGTGCGGTACGTGCACCTGCCATGCAGCAAGGTAACATTTTAGAACGGGTGTTCGAGTCCAAAGCTGAATGAGCTGCGAGAATCCAACACGAGGCCTCCTAAGTGCAGGGAGCGTGCTTGCAGGACAGGCGCCGCATTTGCCATCGTTCTCCAGGAAAGGACAGAAAGAACAAAAATTCGTAGACCGAACGTCCGAACCCGGTCGAGCTGAACAAATTGGTAATCCAGGCCTTCGACCACCAAACAAGCGTTGAGCTTTCACATGGCTGACAATCATCGCTGATTCTCACATCACTTGCTGCGGTTCGCCGTTGCCAGCTGAAGACCGAGGTTGCAACTTGCCACGCCCTGCAAAGGAGGCTTAGCCGTAGCGTGGCGACGAATCTCAAAAGCCAACAAACAGGCGGCCATACCAAATCGGCCGTCTTTTCTTCCCGTCCGTCCATCAATTGGAGAAGCGACAAGTCTAAGGAGGCAGGAAACGTCGACGACCTGAAAGGAAGAAGAAAGATGAACCCAACCCAACCCCTCTTCCGCCCCCTAGTGACTCCAGCCATCTCGATCCAAAGCATGAACAAAGACGAATTCCTCCTTTCTTGGACAGATGCTCAAAGCGAGAAACGATTCCTGTCCTCTATCCTTCGTAGAGAGTGCCGGTCCGTCCCTGACCCCTGGCCGGGCTGGCCCTCGGTAGGTGAGGAGAACCATTTTTAATTAATTACGGAGTATTAATTCGTGCAAAGCACGGATACGTACGTTACCTTACCTAGGTACTTGGACATATTATTAGGTAGGTCATCACGATTAGAGGGTGCACCCGATATTGCGCCGGAGTGAAAAACGGCAATGTCAGCTTTTCTTTACTTTTTTTTTTTTTTTTTCTTTTTAAAAGATTACGGCTGCATTTCTATGGAAACTCAGAAGATGCTTGCTTACTTTATTGGCTCTAGTCTCTCTCGTTTTCCGGCGGAGCCGAGCCTGCTGGATTCCGCAGGCGTGCCGGTGCGATAATAAAGCACCTGGGGGACCCGCTTCCCGCCGACGGCAAATACGCCGGCTCTTGAGGAGGACGGCCGTCTCCATCAGGAGGTTGATGAGCGTCCCTTCCCCGATCTAGGCCAGGGTCATGGATTTATACAGCAGAAACAGATGAAAGAAGATGAGCAGGAAAAATGGGAAAGGAAAGGAAAAAAAGTTAACGCGCTTTGCTCGCTCGCAGTCGGGGTTCATTCAACCTGCTATCTCGGGATTCTCGTCCTTTACGGCTTCCACCAAGTCCTCCATTCCGCCGGCCTCGGTCGGTCCGCTCATACCACTAGGCGGAAGCGCCCAGCTGGGGAGTGGGCTCACGTAGCTCCATTTTCCCCCGGCATCCTCATAGCGGAGGCTGTGCAGCCAGATGGAGAGCTCTCTATCCCCGGGGTCTGTATACAGCTCTGCATGACACACGTCGCACACTTCGCCTGAGAGTTTCTCGGCTACCCGTTCGTGGTATTGCTGTACCATTTCATCGTGGTACGCGACGGCATCGGCTACTTCATCCTTGCCCATGCGTTCTAGGCGAGACATGATGTCTTCGTCCTTGGCCTCGCTCCCATCGGCATCATTGCAGCCTAGATTGAAGCCCCACACCCTCCGATTTGCGTAGAGCGGATCGTTCTGGATGGGGTGGCCCAGGAACTGGAGGTGCACCCGGATCTGGTGTGTCCGGCCAGTCAACGGTAGGCAGCGGACGATGGAGTGGCCCTTGTTGTTGATCCAGGGCCGATGCTTCTCATTCACTGCTCCTTCGGCGGTTTCGCGCCCGGGACCTTCTCCTGCCCGACCCTCTGCATCCGCATCCTCCAACGGTGGGTAGTAAGCGAGGCGCTTGAAGACGGTGCGAGCCGATTTCCCGTTTGCGCGGACGCGATTCAGGCCCAACCGTGGGGAGATCTGAAGGATGGGCTGGTCGCAGACGACCTCCCCGTCCGGGAAGCGGCCGCTGACTCGCGCGAGGTATTCTTTCCGTACGGTACGTTGGCGAATCTGCTCCGTTAAGTTGTCGGCGGCTTTGGCGGTCTTGCCGAAGAAGAGAATGCCGCTGGTAAGGCGATCCAGACGGTGACAGGGCCGTGGGTTGAAGTGATAGCCGCGCTCTGATCGCAGGATCTCGGTCATGGAGTTGAACTGGTATCGGCCGGCGGGGTGGACCGGCACACCTGCCGGCTTGTTGACGACGAGCATCCCATCATCCTCGTGGATGACGCTGATGGGCTCGTCGGTTACGGGAGGTTCGTGGCGGTGTACGGTGTGGTTGACCAGATCGCCGTTCTGGAGGACGTAATCAGACCCGACGGCCCTTCCGTTGACGACGATGCGACCGGCTTCTATGGCCTGCTTGTAATAGGTCCGGGTATGGGCTCGAAACTCGCATTCGAACACCTCCAACAGAGTGCGACCCCGCCATCGCTCCTTGCAGTAGGTGCGGTACGTGAAGTGATACGGCTTCACCTTGCGAAGCCCGTCTTCGAAGTAGTAGGGGCGGGGCCATGGATCGCCGCAGGGTGGGATGATCGTGTGGGTTGTCTCGGACAGAGCCTGAAGCCGTTTCTTGTGGGCAGAGATTTCCCGGGCTATGGGTCGGTTCGGCACCTTGGCCCCTGCTTTCGCAGGTGATACGCCGGCACCATCGATCGGCTCGGGCGCGGTGGCCTCTGATGGCGAGGATGGCCGAGGGCTCATGAGAGATGTCAAGTAGTTGCCAAACCTCGCAAGAGGCGCCGCGATGCGCCTGACGATGGCCAGCGTGACGTTCAAAGCGGCAGGTTGCTGTAAGGTGGTATAGTGGTTACTAGGACGTAGTGAATGCGATAAAAAGGCCCCGAGTTCCTCGTGTTCGTAAAGATGTCCTGGCCGTAGATATTGGATCAAATCCGGGAGTCTTGTCCAAGTTGGATGCCGAAAATTGGGGGGGAAATGACGGGCGGTCTAAAATGGCAGAACGGATTTCTGAGGTTTCATCTGGACGTTGGAAGATATCAGATAAGATAGAGAGATAAGATAAGGTACAAACGGACAATTACCTTAGGTACCTAGGTACCTACCCGTATCCCTGTTGTTGGGATTTGTGATCAACGTGACGGGTTACCTCGGCTCCTCCAACGCGACCGAGGCCTCACGCCTCTCAGTCCTCTGGACACCTTTGATATTCACCCTCAACGTGGTCGTAAGTCAAGAATTTAGAGCTCACGATAGACAATATCTCATTACCTACCACCCTTCTCATTGACAAAACAAAGACAAAGACAAAAACCAAAAGAAAAAGAAAAAGAAAAAGAGAAATTGCTTCCTCCTCAGTCCTAGGTCATGGCGCCCCATCAAGAGCTCAAACAACGTCGTCGGGAAGACTACCGCTATATCTTGGATTATAGGACGCGATGGTGAGTTTAGACATTCTGTCTATCAGTGATGCGGCTCCGAAACTCGAGTGGTTATTCAACGCTATTCAGGGCCGACAACGATATGTATCAGCACATGAACAACTCCATCTACAACTTCCTGTGAGAGCTCTCAGTCTCCCCCTCCCCCTCCCCCAATCTGTCCCTCCCAGCGAGAAGGCTTGAGAGAGACTGGGCCATAGTGAGGGCACCCTCTGATGGAGAAACTGCCCAGGTATGACGCCGTGGTCAACGCCTACCTGATCGAACACTGCAAACTCAATCCTTCGTCGTCTCCGCAGCACGGTGTCGTCGTGCACTCTAATAACGACTACTTCGCTTCCATCTCTTTCCCGGCCGTTGCCGAGCTCGCCCTGCGTGTGAACAAGCTGGGGAAAACGAGCGTCACGTATGAAGTGGCTCTATTCGAAAAAGGTGTCCCTGAGGTCCGGTCCGTTGGCGAGTTCATCCAGGTCTTCGTAGATCGCCCTACGGGGAGGCCCGCTGCGTCTGGCATGAGTGATGAGATGCGCAAGGGGTTAGAACGGATCCTTGTAACCACTGAGCCCAATAGCAAGCTATGAAGCGTTCTCGCGATTTCTTTCTTCTTTATTGTTCCTATTTTATTATTATTTTTGGTCTCTTCATTCGTTTCATCTCGACTATTCATGAGAAATTCAAACATGGCCGAACATCTCTTTACACCTCGCTTTACACTCGTAGACTGCCCTCTTCAACAACATCGTCACCGGCCCCCTCGCTGTCGTCTAGCCGTTTCAGAGCCCGCTGACATTCTAGATCCCATTGACTCATTCCCACGATCACCCATTCCAAAGCCCCCACCAGATACAGGGCGACACACTGTCCCACCCAGAGGCCTGCCAGCCCCCAGCCATGGAAGGCGAGGTAGATACCCGCGGGCAGGGCGCCGCCGTAGTAGCTCACCAAGTTCACCGTGGCGCCGACCCACTGCCGCCCCATGCCACGGAGGGCTCCACCGCAGGACCCGTTCAGACCGTCCGCGATCTGGAACAGCGCCACGAGCGGCATCACCTCCGCCACGAGCCGAACCACCTCGTCGTCGTTGCTGAACATCCTACCAAAGACGTGTCTCGTGCCCATCAGCACAGCCAGCGCGACGGCGCCCAGCACCACCGACAGCATGGCCGCCGCGTGCGCCGCCCGCGCGGCGTCGCGGGGCCGTCGCGCGCCGAGCAGGTTCCCCACGCGCGCCGAGGCGGCCACGCCGAGCCCGAAGGGAACCGTGTTGATGACCTGGTCGGCGGTCATGAGGACGGACTGCGCCGCCAGGGGCACCGTTCCCAGGCGGCCGGCCGCGAGGGCGACGATCTCGAAGGCCCACCACTCCGTGCCCACGTGGATGACGCCCAGGAAGGCGAGGCGGGCGAAGGGGAGGACGTTTCGGGCCGCGGCGCGCGGCTGCAGGCCGCCCCAGCACTCCTTGCCCCGGACGAACGCGGCGTAGGCGACGAGGAGGAGGAAGGAGATCCAGTAGGACAGGCCCGTGGCCAGCGGCGCGCCGTACAGGCCGAGTCCGAAGGTGTGGACGAAGAGATAGTTGAGGCAGGCGTTGAGCGGAGACGTGATCAGAAGGACATAGGTTCCTGGGCGGTAGATTGCTGTGGATTTGAGTCAGAATGGTGATGTGCACTTTGCAGGAATTGGTAGATGATCATGACTCGTGCCACTGCCCCTTTTTTTCTTGACCCCTATTCCTTTTTTTTTTCCCCTCCTTTTTTTCCCTTTTTTTCCCTTTTTTTTCCTTTTCTTTTTTTTTTTTTTTATGGATCCTATACATGACGGAAAAGTAAACTCACCTTGTGCCTGCAAGTACTTCTTCAAAGACTCAAACCACACATAACCCAAACCTCCGGGAATAAGACAGCGGAGGAACATGGCACTGCGGATGCAGATAAACTCTTCCTGGCCCAAGGCGCGGAAGACGGGCTCGGAGAACCACCATAGCACGGCAACGATGCCATACATAGCCGAGAGAGCGAGGATGCCGCGCTGCAGGAGAACACCCAGGTCATGAGGGTCCCGGGAGCTGGTGAAGCTGGAAGAGGCCAGGGTGTCGAGGGCCGTGGTGCCACCCAGGGCAACCAGCCAGGCGGTCGCCATGGCAAACATGTAGCTGAAAGCGGCCGTGGCGAGGGCTTCGGGGCCCAGACGGCCGGCGACCAGGACCGAAACCGTCTGCAGGCTGTTCTGGAGGGTGTAGGCGAGGATGACGGGGACGGCGGCACGCAGGAGTATGAAGATCTCGGCCAGCCATTGCCGCAGTGAGGGGGTACCGGCCGGCTCATCATCATGTTTGGGGAGGAGAGCAGTCGTTTCATCGGCATCCCTTGCAAAGTCGTCCGATTCACGGCCGGGATCCGGGCCCGGGTGGGAGTCCTGTTGGCCACCCGGCCGGCGGAAGAACGGAACACTGACCATCACTTCGGGTGGGCTATCAACGAATTCCCAGTTCGGCCACCGAAATGTATGGAAGAAGGAGGAAAGCCAGACTATCAGCACCAGCTGCACAGTCGAAGGGTAGAAATCAGGGCGTTAAATTTGTTTCTCATTCATTCCGAATCGTGGTGCCTCGACGGAGGGAGAGGGGAGAGGCTACCAACTATGTACTCGCTCCGTCTTCCCATGCCCCAGAGATAATGCGTTATAATAACCAATTACTACTTGTCAAAAGTGAAGAAGAATAACCAGGTAACCAAGGGGAAAGAAGCGGCTCTCCGGTAAGAGCCACGTTCGTACTGGAGCCCCTGGGCCGATGAGGGTTCAAGAAACGATATCGGAGTTGCGACATTGGACACTGATAAGAACAATGCAGCACCAAACGCACTCGCGCGTGTGTGGTCATGGTTCTGAAGCGATCTACGTAAGGGACAAAGGAAAAGAAGGCCCTTATGAGGCCCTGAAAACCACGCGACAGTTGACCATTATTAACTCGAACGAGTAATAACTCGGCAATAGACGCAGCATTAAACTTGCTTTTAACATGAGGGTTTGCATAGGTAATATCGAAGTGCGGTGCTGATAAGATAAGGGACTTGACGATGATAGGGGAGAAGACGGAGAGAGAGAACTGGGTCGAATGGACCGACCCAGGGGACTCGCCGGGCTTCCCCGAACCCGGATTCCGTGAGGCTATGAGACGCTATTCCCAATCGAGTAACCAGTCGACATCTGTTGCAGGACACGACGATAACGGATATAACGCTGGAAGGCGAAGACGGACTTCCCCAGCAGGAGGGGAAAAAATTGAAAACGAAAACGAAAACAATGGAGATAAAGAGAAAAATGAGAAACCAGCTAGAAGCTCTAGACGCTTATTCAAGCGCTTGGTTAACAGGCTTTCGGTAATCCGCATATCGCTCCCACAAGGTGCGTTGTACGTGTAAGCCAAGTAAAGCCTAAGGTACCTTATGTAATTACTTTGTACATTGTATTATTTACCTGCAACCTCCGACCTTCGGACTCCTCTCTCTTACTCTCGGGTGTTGGCTCTCGGTACGTATCTCACTTTCGTTTTCGGTGAAAACAAGCCTCGACCGTACACCGAACCGAATATCCGGCTTCATCCGGGCCCCTCTAATCGCCCCGCTTTGGGAAGTCGTCAACCGTTTCCCTGCATTACCACGTGATGTCCCCACAGAACAAGAGATAGATGCCCCCAGCGAAGAAGCGCCGTTGACAAGGCATGCCCTGCCTCCAGGAAGAAGTGACATGATTGGACACGCCCTTTTTGCCCCTGCAGCGGAGCTAGCTCCGTCGTTGTATCCCGTAATTTTCATGTCGTAAAGGAGGGGGTTTTCGGGCCCCAGATGAGGGTTGGGGGTGAGGGGGGTTTCTTCGGGTTCCAGAGGGGGTCCGACCAGGCTTTTGCTCCACCCAATGTTACGCGTTATTCGCCTTATTCTTGCACCCCTTCAGCGTTGTTAGTGGGGGAGGGGGGGTGCGTCGTTAGAAAGGCGACAGACACCCTTGCTGTCCCTAAAGGTATGTACAACGTATACGTCAGAGGCTTGACGCTAAGGGAGGTGTTAGGTATTGCTTTTTGGTTTTCCTCCCACCCCCCTCCCACTTCCCGACTTGCAAGTTGAGTCGACGACTTCGAACGGCTAGAAAAAGCGAATGAGAGGCCGCGCCTTGCGAATTACACATACAGAGAAGAAGCTACTTTGCCGCCGAAGAGGGCGAAACTTCCAATCGTCCCAACAACAACTAGAATAAAACAAAAAAGGGTCATGATGTAGGATGACCGATGACGGTCCTCCAGCTAGGACCCTCCAGATCGGATTCCCATCCGACATCGAGGAGAGACCTGCCAGGTCAGTGAGACGGCAAGGGAAATAAACTTTCATATTCAGCAGCATCATTTCGACATCCCAGCTTCCCAGCGACACCTGACACCCTCCTTGCATCCCCATTCCGCCGTAGTTTTTCGCCAATCTGGCTACTAGCCGTCACCACCTGAAAATACCATGCGGTTGTCGTCATCGTCGTGACTTTTTTCCATGGCGATTTACTCTCTTCGCTCTTCTCTCCATCGTTGGTTGCCACAGTCACGCGAATTCATTTTCTCGACCGTCGAGGCCGTCTCTTCACATCGCCCCTTGTCTCTTTCCGTGATTCTCGCGTCGCGTCATCACCGAGGAAAAGGAAGAAGAAAAGAAAAAAATTGAAATGAATTTTTTTTTTATCAGATGCATTTCCTCATTGGATCGGGAGCCCTGGTCTGGCCTATTCTCTCTCTGATCACGGGGGGTGACGATAAGGTTTTCAGATCGCATCTGCGACGATCGGGCAGTTGAATCGTCATGTACCTGTCAATGCCGTCATCCCCACCTTTAGGACCCCTAACGGCTGAAAACCATGCGAGGAACGATGAAACGAAGAACGCGGGGAAGAAATGATGGCTCGCACGTGGCGCTCCTCTAGTCCGTGCTTGAACTCAGTTTGCAGTCTTCCGAACAGCAGTCATTTCGTCCCGCTTTAATTCCTCCTCCCCCCCGAACAAAATCCGTCGTCACCTGTCGACTCTCGTACGGGTGTGGCGCAGCAATAATTAGCGAGAGAGACACACTGGAAGCTTCGAAAAACGTTCTAGGAAGAATTAACTACTGGTTACCCCTTGCCTTCACTGTATTAGCCCTGTGGTAGTCGCCTAGAAGAAGACGACGGAAACAATCCGAGCCCCTGGCCGGCCCACGCAATCATGCACCGTTAGGAGACAACATCGGGAGATCATCACGGCATGCCAATCAATATCAACACTTCATACTGGCCATCTCGTCGATTGGTCAGCTGACAATCCATTGTTACTTCGGGCGCCGATATCTTTGTTGCTCCCTCCACCTTCCCGAGACATCTCCGGTGGACCAGGTCCGGTCCCTTTTCATCTCTTTCGTCTACCTAATGGTATAACTCCTCCTCTGATCTTTGGGCCTGTACCCCACGTGTTGCGCGACTCACTTCTGCCGCCCCTTGAGTGGGCTTTGCCCTTTAGTGCGAGCCTTTTGGTGGGCCAGACTCCGTTAGGACAGCTTGAAGACAAGAAGGGGATATCACCACTAGCGAGAAACATGAACAGAAATCAGCTCAACGTGGCGTGGCATACATAACGAGGACGAAGCATATCGATGAGATGATGAGCTTGACTTCTTACTTGAGGCTGCTGCGGAACACCAACATGTCGAGACGTCTTCTTTGGTTCATAATGGTGTCTGGTGATTACCTTATTGTTGAACTATGTAGCACTCAAAAATGTACCACAATCCTCTACCTTACTGGACATAGGTACTTTTTGATGTTATATAAGGTAGTTCAACAATTATCAACTGACCTGACCCTCTTGTTCCTGGAGTTCCAGCTCCTGTGTGTACTTCGTAGACAATGGGGACCCCCATCTTTCGATAATGTGACCACCGGCATTTGAGATAACCGGCCCTGTCGATCATGTCGATCCGGCAGTTGGTCATTCTCCGGCCCGATTCACAACGCCATTGTGGCCGCTTCCTCGCCGCGTCCGGTATGGCGCGGCGGTATCCACTAGCGAACACGACCACCACCCCCCTCCACAGGACCCGCCTGCGAGGGAACGTCTCATATGCAGGCCTGCTGCATTGATTCAGTTCCATGCCGACACTACGAAACCCCCCTCCCCCCCTTTCGTGTTGGTGGCGCCTCCCCACGCTTATCGACGGTGGCGGTCATCGTTGTCCGCCTTCAACGAGAGACGATGTACCGCCACCACCGTCCGAGGCTAGCCCCCCCCCCCGGCTCAACCATCCCTGGACGCGCAACCCCGCACCCGCTGCCTCCGTCAAAAGCTGCCAGTTCTCCAGCCCCAAATTCAGAACGGACATCACTAGCATGCTCTTGACAAGCCGCGCCTGAGCCGACCCCGGACAGGCGGGCGCCATGGCCAGCATGACCCAGTGGAACACCCCCGCCACCGCTTTCCAGGTCGCGAGGGGCACACGCCGCGTCGCATTCCACATGCCCAGGAACTCGGACGCTGTACATGCCTGGCTGATGGGAGTTTGCGTCATGATGGCACGACTGTAGGCCAGCGCGGCCAACCGGACTGTCCGGTAGAGGTAGTCCGGTCGCTCCGTGGGTTCCGAAGACGCCCGCGCGTCGAGGCCGAGGGTGGGGTCGAGAGACCCTTCGTAGGAGTATACCACATTGCCCAGATGTGAAGAAGCTCGTCCTCCTGTGGGGTAAACCGCGGCATCCCCTCGGGTGGTCGGGATGGGGGTCAAACTCCTTCCCGTGGCGCCACTGGCCCCGGCCCCCTTATCCGCCACGCCTAGCGGGCTTCTTCCGCGGCGCATTGCATTCGAGCCCCGCAGCGAGGTTTCTTCCTCCGAAGGTGACGGTCTCCTTGAGGATGGATGTGGGCTTCCGGTGATGGGGTTCAGATGTAGGAGACGGTTATGCATCCATTCGGAAGTTGTCTTGACCTTGCGTAACTGCTGCGGTGTCGGGTGTTCGGGGAGCCAGAGCACAGCATTAAATAAGAAACGCATATCGTCTAAGATCCTCGCCGTCGCCGGATGGAGACCGAGCAGGTGGCTAGATTCGGAAAACGAAGGTAGGTATCCCACCAAGGGCGAGTTGTGCGAGGTTTTCAGTGGGTTGTTGTCCGGGTTCTCGAATGCAAATTCAGGCCCGTCTTGGAGAAAGGGGATGGTTTCGTGGGCTACAGAAATAGACACATCGTGACTGCATAACTCCCGCCACTCATTAGCCTTGTGTGTCGTGTAGGTTTAGTTTCTTTTTGCGGGACAGAACGCAGGGGCTCGTATCGAAGGAGGGGGTTGCAGCTCACGCTATAGCGTTCTTCGCCAGAAAACCGTCCATACCCAGGTGAGCGAACCCGCCCCTGAGGCGTATCATCTCGCGAAGACCCCGAAGATGTGCCCGGACATCTCGCATCTCTCCCCAGTACCACTCATTCGAAATGAGTTGGATCACTCCAGCGATGGAAGACTCGCTGGCTTGGCCCGAATCCGAGTGGAGGTGCTGGTTGAGTATGTGAATGGCCCGACCTCTGTGAGCAATAACGAGGGTCCTAGGAATGCTTCCGGCTTCGCCAAGATAACAAGCAGTGGTATATAGAAGAATTTGCAAAAGCAAGGAGTTTTGGGTTATGTGTGAATCGTTGCGTCTGGTCACATGCACTCTGGTGCGTAGTTGCTTGACATCCCGGTCGTTGTTGACCGAACTCTCCAAATAATCGAAGAGGCCCAAGTCGATTCGGAGGAGATCAGCAATGCTGAGAATAGGGAAAGGCGCCTGGAAGCACCCCGGAAGGCTTCCAGGGGGATGGGTCGCCCCGACTGCTGTCGTCCAATGTAGTTGTTGCGGTTCCTCAACCAACCTTGCGACTGGCCAGGGGATGCCCGCAGTCGACAATGTACTCCAGGCCATGAAAGCATTGATGTAGTCGGAATCCAAAATAGAGTTGCCGTATCCGCGAAACTTCTCAGGGATGGCGTAGTGTCGCATGAGGAGGCGCAGAGCTTCAGATAGGGCGTCACCGGAGGTCTTCAAGTCAGGTTCGTACGGCCAAGGCGTGCTCCCCGGCGAGAGGGCATCGTCTTCCCGATTACTCGCCCAAGCCGAGCTCCACAGGGGGTGTAATGCGTTGGGGCATGCGCATGTGGTTGTGGTTGTGGTTGTGGTTGTGGTGACCATGCCAGATGATGTCCCTGGTTTCCCCCTTTCCACCAAGGTCCATGGCTGGGGTGAGATCTCCGGCAGAGCAGCAGAACTACCGCGATTACCGCGAAAAGCAGAGCCGGGGGACCTTCTTCGCTTCAGTTGCCCGGTGAGACGAGGTAAGGGCGAGGGTGAAGACGATGGTACTCGTCTGCAGTAGGGGTCGTGTCAGTTTTGCGAGCAGAATTCCTCGACTAACATCCGGGAGCGGTTCTTCATGGTTCATACCTGTCGTGCTTGTATTCGCACGCCGGTTGAGGAAACCTGCGGGCACAGTTGTTACAGGGCTGTCCGTGGTCACACTAGGTCAAGGTTAGGCCCCGGAGCATGGTGTATCCCAAATAATAAACGGTGATGTGAGTTATTGAAATTCGGCATACCTTTTGTTTCCGTCTCCTACACTCTCCGCAAGACGTGGTCATCCTCTCGACACGAGATGTGCGAGAATTCTGAAGCAAACCTTCAGGCATGTTCTCCAACGAGTCGCCGGGTAAGCGTTGAGTGCACCCCTTTCGAGTGACGGGTCCGCCATAAAGGCATAAACTCTCCCGTAGGGCTGAAATAAAGGATGGTAGGGCTGAATATAATAGACCGCGTGCTTGGTTCTGACCCACTATGTGGCATGAGCTTCATGCAAGCCTTCGGAGATGCGCATTTCTGACCTGTCGTTGATTCGCTGGTAAGAAGCGCCCTAGATTCTGCCGAGACCCGAGAGGGACGAGGGCGACGGCGATTCCGTTCCATGGGATTTGCGTCACGACCAGCAGCAGTCTGAACGAATGCGGATCATAAAGTCGTGAGCGAAGGCCCAGAGACTGTAGGGTCAGTTGTAATTAGCAGAGACAACGTACATTTTCTGGAATTGGATAGCTTGAGAGAGGTTCTTTGGGATGTCATGTCCTCGATCAAGCCGGACTATATACAGCCGGCTTCACACGGCCAGAAAATAAAACAAAAAAGGAACAATGGAGGAAGAAGAAAAAGTGCATCTATCACCGCGAGATGTTTGTCATGAGGAAGAGGTGTCGACTGTGGCGTATTGAGAGAACAATGGGGGCACATCGTCATCGAGAGACAAGCTGCCCCGGCCCCTGATGCATGCACGTCTTGAGTGTCAACCAATGCCCCGGAAATCACCGTGATCGAAGTCTTCCAGTAGTCTTCCAGGCAGAGGCAGCCGGTAGACGACAGGACGTGGAACAGCGCAGACCTGAGTTGCAACCACAGCGAATGAAATGAATGGAACCTGATTTCCCAAAGCCACGTAAGTTCCCAGTGACAGTTCTGGGTATCTGGTGGCGAAGCAAGCAATAAATAGGTAAATATGCAGGATCGCGAGCCTCACTTATCCGACCATACGACGAGGAACATGAGTGGCCCGCGGCGTCATAAGTTATTATGTGCTATTAAGGGGCAGTTCGCACTCCGCCTCCTGGATAGGGCCACGGGATGCAACAACTTCGTAGAGGAGAGGAGTGGAGCGGGTCGGCTGCAGGTAATCAAATGGACCCCATCCTGCTCTGGGCGATCCTGTATCTGCAGACGCTTCCCCATGGAGCGTAGACTGCGTAGTAGCGGCCTGGGCGAGTGAGTGGACGAGAACCTGTCAAAGAATTCCAAGGTCGGGCTTTCAAGGAAAAAAAAAATTGAGAAACGATGGAGTGAATCAGGGAAATAATGTGAGGGAGTCTAAAATCAGCGACCTCTCTCAAAACCCCAAGGCAACAAGCTGTTAGAGATCCCATCTCCAGTGCCAAGGCCCAAGGCCCAAGGCGCAAGGCCGGTCTTCCGGCACTCCATAGGGCTGATCAGGCGTAGGGCTGACTGGGCTCAAGTTGAAGCAAGTACTCACTATGGGTATATGTGTGTACCGTGTGTCGTCGCGTCTGATACACGGTTCTTAGCAGTAAGCAGGTGCTGAACATATACAGTATGGGGTCGGAGAAGTCCTATACATTTTCGCCGAGACGAGCCGAGACAAGCCGAGACAAGCCGAGAGACAAGCCGAGAGACAAGCCGAGACAAGGACCCTCCGTAATAACCTCTACGATAATTTGCTCCGTAGATGGCTCGCGATCACGCACCTTCAAAGGAAGCGAGGACATACGGGGAATTAGCTAGATCGTGCAGGATCCTGGTATAATCCATCCCATATCATCAGCCTTGGCAGTCTTATATCATAGAATGTCAACTATATTAATCATCCTAGCATCAACACGACGTAAATCGGCGTACGGATAATATTAATATATTAGGTAGTTATTGGCAGGATACCTAGCCCATCATTGGTACAGCTGCCATTCCACCTGACAAAAGGAAAATCGAACAGGGACATGAGAATAAAGCAGAGAGAGGGAAGAAAGAAAGAGAGAGAGAGAGCAGGGATGGGAAAGGGGGGAAAAAAGAGGTCAGGTCATCCCGACTCGCCTCTGTACCATTTCGCTCATTTATTCTTCCTCACTTCCATCCTATATCTCAGTCGTTCATATAAAACGTCATATTGAAATAACTCTGAACGTCACATAGCTGGCATAGAGTGGTATGTGAAACCTATATAGCAACGGGGAATCTCGACAGACATATACGCAACTGGATAAAAAAAGAAAAACAAACTTCCCACGCAAAAAAGGCCTCACAAGATAGGAGACAGGCCCGGACATTCCACGGACATTTGTGTCATCCCTTGCGTATCGTATCTTGCTGCCTCTTCTTCCCGTTGGTAAAGAAACCGCATGGCCCTTCCCCATAGATGAGGTCCCGGTTCCTGCCGTAGGCCCTCATCTCACCTGCCTCGGAAATCCGGTTTGCGCGCCATGTTCACTGGTGGCGGCTCATCATCCCCCGGATACGGCAGCGCTACACCGATGCCCGGATAACGGGTACGGCTTGCTTGCTGCTCGGGGAGAGGCGTCTTAGGCGGTAAAGGGGGAGGGATACGGTGAGGCCCGTCTTGTGGCGGTAGTGGCGGCAGCGGTTGGGTCGGGGGTACAGGCCACCGGGGGTGCTCGTCGGGGCTCATGATGGCGATCTTATCAGCTCCAGCCGCGTGTCGGTACTGCGACGGCGTGGGCGCCGTGACAACAAACCGATCCGCTTCGTCCGAGTTCCTTCGACGGTTTGGCCCCGGAGCCGGCGGCGGCGAGTGCCTGGGCCGCGGAGGTGATGAGCCCCTCCTCGTATGCGATGCCGGTCCCAGTGGTGATGGTGGTGGATGGTCGCCCGAGGCTCTTGGTGATCGCTGCGCGCCCATGGTAGGAAGATGGAGTGAGTCCATACCCGAGTCGTACGACTGCCTCGGCGACGAGAGGGACTGCGGGAAGGACGCCGGCAGGGTCGGGGAATCCCCGGGCAGCTCCGCAGCCATTGGCTCCAGCATGGTGTGTACCTTTCTGCCTTCAGGCACGTCGGGGAGTGCAGCTTGGCGCGCCAGGCGCTGGTGTGCCTTGTGGATATTGGCCATCTTACCCGTCGCGTTCTGGATCATCTCTTGTTCTGCCTCCCGCCGGAGATACTGCCTGGTTCCGCTGCTGATGTTGGCCAGGCGGTGCCACTCGTTCATGCCAAACTCGCCGACTCCCATTTCCACGTTGAACCGGTAGTAGTTGTCGATGCTGACGCCTCGGGCCGGTAGCAGCTCTTTGATCATCCTCTCGTGCGTCGTCTCGCAACCCTCAATCTTTGCGACGAGTCGGCGTCGTGCCTCGCCGAATTCCCCTAGAAACCCCTCGTACCACATGTTCTGGTTTGCGTCGCTTCCCCTCGGCCTTTTCCCCGTGCCCACGCTGATGAACACACCCACCTCCCTACCGGGCCATTCGTTCACGGTGGCCTCTTCCAACGCTTCTGGTGCCGGGTTGAACGGGCCGGCGCCGTCATCGTGGAACACAGACTGGCCGATCTGGATGGGCTTGAACGCGAGTCCGATGGAACAAGTCGCCCTCGCGGCTTCCCAGAGCTTACAGTCGAACTCGGGAGGGGGCTCTCTTCTCGAGTCGTACGATCGCAGGATAACGGGCGGTTGCCCCTTTCCGGCGCCCTTGTACATTGTTAATACCGCCCTAGGAAGCGTCGGCGTTAGCAACTACTATTGAGATGAACCGAAAAAAAAGAAGAAAAAAAGAAGAAAAAAAGAAGAAAAAAAGAAGAAAAAAAAAGAAGAAAAAAAAAAAGAAGAAAAAAAGAAAAAAAAAAAAAAAGAAACCGCCTATTCAGAATTCTGGAACAAATCAATGAAAATCAAGGTCTCACGTCTTCGTTCTATTTTCCCTCGAGTCGTACAGACGGGCCTCTGGATTTCCCCACTGCGAGGGGAAGCCGAACCGCGTCGTTTCAGCCTGAGGGCCACGTGCGCTAAAGCTGACAACGCTGGCGTTGCTGGACTGGCGTCTCGGATAGGAAGAGTTGTTGGAGCCGGTGAGCGGGTTCGCCATGTTGGGCGTTGTGCCGTCGTTGCCTTCGCCCTCGTATACGGTGTGTTCGCGGACGCACTCCTTGATGGCCGCCTCCAGCTTGGAAGCCTTGAAAAGGGTCGAGCGGTAGGGGATACCGGCGATCGTCTTATCCGTCTCGAAGACCATGCGCGTCAGCCGGACATACAGCTCCTTGCATGTCTCTAGGTCGAGGCGCAGGCGGCCGAGCATCAGGGCGATCAAGCCGCCTGTGCCGGTGCCCACGATGAGGTCGAAGTGGTCGCATGGTTTGGGTATTTGGTGACGACGCGGGGCGCGGCCCTCGATCTCGACATAGGCGCGATGCATGAGCTCTTGGACGATAATAAGCATGGAGTACCCGCGGACTCCTCCTCCATCTGTGACACCCGGCGCGCGACACCAATCGCATCATGGTTAGCGTTGCAAGTCCCTCTCGCTGTGGCGACGGCGGGAGGGGTAAAGAATCAGGCCCGTGTCGCAGCTGCCCCAAGAACAGAATAGTAAAAGCGTACCGAGAGATAGAATGCGGAGGGGAGGACCCTTGGTTGTGTCCCTCCTCTTAACTCCAGTCCCGTCCATTTTCCTTTTTTTTCTTTTACTTCTTTTTTTTTTCTTTTTCTTTTGCGCAATTCGGGCGACACTTGATTGGTGCCCCGCCGCGATGCACAGAAGAAGAGTGAGAGTTCCGAGTTGAGTCGAGTCGAGTCAGAGTTTGGCAGTGGAAAAGAGAGTTTGATGTGTTATGTGTTATTGATGCCCTTCGATCAACTGGCCTGCGCAAAAGGGCACAAAGATCTGGCCTACAGAGTATTTCCTCCTTCAGGTGTGTACGGAGTAGCTGTTTCGTCGCGGGGTCACGAGCGAGTGACGCAAGAAGAACACCAGAGGAGTACGTACTCTACTCCGTGATGGCCGACAACCTGGAAGGTTAGAGGTACATTCGGAGGAACGAGTGTCCGGGCGCAAAGCGCAAGCGAGGATGCAGGTACTTGTAGATACCTCTGTGCAAAGAACTGAAATATCTGACAGTTACGAACAGTTATCCGCAAGATTGGAAACTTGAAAGACGAGTCCCCGGTAAAACGTATGATTGATTACTAGATACCTTGTAGGTAATCAATAAGATCCGCCTTGCAATTGCCACCATAATAGCCTTGGGCATAAGGGAGGTACTTCAGCTCTTTTTCTCATCAAGTATCCGTAGGCGAAGTAGTGTACTTCGCTGCATTTCGGAAAGGAAGGTTATTGGCAAGGTACCGATATGCGTCGATTTCCCTGTGACAAAGCGGCCTCCCGTCTCATGACGAACTCGCTAAGGTAAGGTAATAAGATACCGTAAAACCTAAGGTACCTCTTAGGTAGATGCCCGCTGACAGGTGCAGCGGTGGTTATTCACTTCGCGGCCCAATAACGCACTATTCGTACATTGCAGACTGCAGTCTAATTACAAGCAGTCTGCAAGCAGTCTGCAATCGACAAATACTTATGTTCTGCTGAATCGCCACTTGGGAAGCGGGGCCACGAATGTGGGATAGAACTGATGCCTCGGACGGGTTTCGTCGTCTTCTGGTACGATACATATACTTGATGTAATGACTGAGCGAGGGAGATCCCGGTGCAATGCATTCGCCGTCCTCAACGCCTCGAATCGACAATCGACCATAGGGGAAGGCGGCAACCGAAGCGAAGCGGTCATTACTGGCCTGAACGCGCCTGGCTCACGTCATCAGCTGACAAGACCTTCATCCTTCCTGTTCATCCTTCCCATCATTTGCCCTTTCGACAGGTACTGCGAGGGCGTTTCATGCCTCTTCCATTACCTAGATAAGGTTACTCTACCTTGTATCGCTCAGCCACTCGTGGTGGGAAGTACGCTAGCCTCGTTCGTCCGTGATTAGGAGTACGAAGTACATGGGAACCTACACCGGCATACGATACAGCGATTTCTATCATATTCTATCACGTAAGCCACGGTGTGGTGACCTCCTATTAGTTAGAGGTGCCCCACTATCCTCGCTTAGAAGGTGGCAGATATATTTAGGACACGTATACCCGCCCCCTTTTTCTTTCTCTTTTATAGATAATATAATTATATATTTCCTGAATTAACGCTCCCTATAAGCACGCTCCTATTAATTTAATAGTTATAAGCCCGGGTAGTAGTAGTAACTAATAACTTCCTACTAATTTATTATCTATATTTATTTTTATATACTTTTATAGTATTATAGAGCCCTCCTACGCTCTCTCTACTAATAATAAGCTTTTATTCGCTAAACTCTTATTTAACACTATATTAAATAAGCTCGAGATCACGGCTAAAGCGCTCGGTATCCCACGCCTTAAATCCACATAGTAATAGGCCGATTAGATCTTCTATATCTAGTCGTATACGTAAAGGATAAAGGTCTAGGCATTACTCGATCCTAGCTAAAAAGATTAGCTAGATAACCGTCCTAAGTATATTATACCTAAATCTCTAAATTAACTACGCGAATAGTATTCCTAAGGCGAGGGCGACGATACTATTATACCCTTAACGTAGGAGCTTATACGCCTCGCCAGCCTAGAATTAAAAGCTTAGTCGCCTTATTAAAGCGCTTAATAAGGCTAATTAACTGCTTAAAACCACCATAGAGACCTCTACTTATTAATAGGCTATCGAAGAAGCTATTAAAAGATATCTCGGCTACGATACGGAAAACTAAAATAGATACTTTATATTACGCTATATAATAAAAGAACTTATGAGTAGCTTCGCTTTAAGTAGTATTTATATAAAGGAAGAGGTAAGACGAGTATATAAAAAGTATCTATAAAACGCTTATCGAGCTAATACTAAAATAGCTCTATAGTATATAGAGTAAAATACCCTTATTAAACGCATATATTAGTAAAAGGTAACCGAGATTAAAGGACCTACTACTATTCGGAACTTCTTTATAGTAGTTAGATAGAAGTTTACGTTTATTTAGGCAGAAACTAAGCTTTAGGAGCTAATAATAAAAAAGGTCCGCGGCGATAAGATTTTCGATCTTCTAATATACGGCTATAAGTTTAACGCTATTATAAGCGCTCTAACCACGGACGGTATACGCCACGGCGTTTATATAACCCTAAAAGACCGCGTAGATAATAATAAAGGCGGAAAAAAGCCTAAGAAGAAGAGTATTAATTACCCCTATTAACGCGAATACACTTAGAAGCCAGAGTATTATAATAAGCTAGAGTACGCTCTAACCGGAAAATACGAGTAGAGATCTAATACCTACGTGAATAATAAATAGTATAAGGAGATATAAAAGGAGATTAAGTTCCTAAAGTGGAAAAGCTTACGCGAAAAACTATTAAAAAAGGGATAAGAATACTCGGAGAGCTATAGTAGTAAGAGAGATAGGTATCCTAGGAAGGTTATTATAACTATCCTAGATCCTGCCCTTATCTATACTATAGAAGAGGTCCTTAGGATCTACGCCGCGCTCTAACTAGGCCCCTACCCGCTCTTATAGAGCACTCTTCTTAATAATTACGGCGTAACTTACCTTATTAACTTAATCGACCTGCTTATTCTAGGCTCCTTTATTACTATAAAGGGATCTATTAAATCCGGTATAACCGACTTTCCGATTATTAGTAAAGGTAAACAGCTTCTTAAGGGAATCCTTAATAGACCTTTAGGTACTCTAAAAGCTAACTTAGAGCTTAACGATATAGTCGTCGTGGAGGGATTTTACACGAATATTATATCGGAAGCTCTATTACATAAGGTTAGGATCTAGTATTTGGGATATAACTACCCGTTACGCTTTAGAATAGCGGAGAAGAGCGTGGTCTTATTAAAGCTTCTTCGACGCTTTAATATAACTATTGCTTAGTATAAGCTAATTTTATCTTCTTCTTCTTATTCGTTATTCTAACCGATACTATATAGTATTATTCCAATTAACTATAACTATTAGTATATACTTATTATAGTAGTCGATCGACTAACTAAAGCTAACTAATATTACCGACCTTCCTATAACCCTCCGTGTCCACGAGTCGACGAAGAATAGTTATAGCACTTAAGAGCAGGCTATCTTAGACTAAGCGCTCTATAAGTATTAGTTCGTAACGCTAGGAACGTGTTAATTAAGGGAACTAAGCAGATAGACTATAAGATATACTCCCGAACCTAGGTATATTAAGTTATATCTCGATATATATTAGAATACCGCTCTCTATAACCGTTTTAGTGTATTTATTAGGATCTTTAAGAGCTACCTAAGAGCTATAACGGTATACGATATCTTCTTATAATAAAGGACGAATATAATAGCTAGATCTATGTACTGTCTTTAGCTTCGAAAAACAGCGTTACGGTTTATAACGCGCTATAAGCCTTCGAACGATAGGTTAATCGGCAGTTTATATTATATATCTATAAGATACGCAGTAATAATAAGCCCTTAATCGTTAATTTAGCAGGGAATTTAATAACCCAGTTATAGGCGAGTAGTTAAGGGATTAATATAGAAATTACACCGTCCTATACGTATAAACCGAATAGAGGCAGCGAAAAAGCTGGTTAACTAATTATTATAAAGTCTAATACTATACTTAACGGAGCAGGAATTCTACTAGATAAATAGCTAGAAAGCACTAGAATGGTAGCGTTATTATATAATATAAGTCCCTTATAATAACACGGATAAAAATCCCTAGTAAAAATCCTCGACTTATAATTTAGAGATAATACGCCGATTCCGGTAAAAAAGTATATAGCCGACCTACGCCTTAATTAGAGTAGTATTTATACCTACGGCTACCGTGCCTATCTAATAGCGAGGGATAAGGAGGCTAGGAGGAACAGGAAACTATATAAGGTTTAACTAAGGGGATATATTAGGTATCTTATAGGTTACGTTACCTATAATATTTACCGAGTATAGATTCTATAGCTTTAGAAGGTTATTATAACACGTAATATCCAGTTTAATAAGCAGCTATTTTATAAACTATAGCTTAAAAAAACAGAATAAATCCTAGAGCCCGAGGCGAGGAACTAGCTTATAACTTATAAAATATAAAAAGATAAAGATAATAACTTTATCCTATAGGCCTACCCTCCGCGTGGATTAATTAATAGCGCACCTTTTAGAGAATAAGTATAGTCCACGGGTTTAAACTTAGGGGTAGGAGTAGTAAAGGCTAGATTAGATACTTTATCGCTATTACTAGATATACCTAGTATACCCAAACCGCCCGTAATAGGACTTTAAACTCTACGCGTAATACCTAATCCTTAGAGCAGGAATCTTTAGGTTATAAGCGTAGAGCCGTAGTCTTCGGAGGAACTCTTAATTAATAATTCTTCCGACTAATAAGATAATAGAGCGGCTACCTAAAAAAACACTATAACCGACACGCTAGGATTATATATACTAGAGCTTAGTATAGACACTTCGACGATTTTAACTATAGAAAGGAGTATATAGGCGACGGTATAAGGACTAGCTACCCCTAATCCGCACTATAGTATTAACCGCATTATAGCGTCCGGATCTAGACCACCTATCCGACTAACTCCTAAGGTAACCGCCCACTAAAGGAAAAAGAGTATACTAGTAAAGGAAGTAACGCGCGCTAGTGTAAGAATCACCGATCGCCGTGCTTAAGGAAAGACTATTCGGATTAATCCACGGATATATTAGGTAGAGCTAGATATACCTTTAACTTATACCTTTTTCTTATCTAATTAATAAAAAGAGTGTTAGGACGGGCTAAAAAGGCTTCTAACCTTTAATTTAATAATCCTCAGAGTAGCCGATACTAAAATAAATACCCGTTTAAATACTAAAAAAGAGGCTATAACGTTACCGAAGCCCTTAATCGACGGCAGGGTTTATTACGACCACTTAAAGG